CCTATGCCGTGGCGAGCTGTCGTTCCCCTTTCCGTACATTCGAATGCGTGCACGCTGAAGTTACACACGGAATCGGACCTGGCCTAGATTTTCCTGTCCCACACGCGGACATGGATGACAATTGATTCCGCCCGTCTCTTCCTCGCCCAGGATACGTCTCTCCCCGAGCCTCTCTATCTCCGGGTCCGGTGGCGCGGGCTCATGCTGCAATCTTCTGCCCGAAGGTCCGTGGGTCGTCGTAGTTGCAATTGAACAAGGATGTAGCAGTGCAATCGCCGGCTTTGACCGTCGATAACATCTGACATCTCCTCTCCTATCCAAGGGGCATTTTTGGCTTTGACAACTATACCCAGACATGCGCGGATAGCGCCATCACCGCCGTAGCGTGAGTATTCAAGGGTTGAACTCCTCCCTGGAGAAATCTCAAAGCACCAAAATGGTCAGCAAGTGAAGTGTGGGTGATGATAGTCGTGATACTTCGACATGGCGTGACTTGGTCATTCTCTCCTGCGGCCAACCCTGTAGTGAATACGTTTCCCCGAACCCGAACCTCCTTTTTGCGGGGTTCCTCGACCCCGGGAGGCTTGCTCTTGCCATGTGGCCTGTTGGGTCTTTCTCTCGAGGATTCGCGGGGTACTTCCGGAGAAAGCTTGGACGAGGGACTTAGAACTACTGTTCTGAGAACCCTCTTTCCAGCCGGGGCAAAACGATCCATGGGCCTAGGAGAGACCTCATCGCAGTGTCCAAGAATGGATAGAATGTGTAAACCCCCCTTCCTGACCCCGATCCACCCCCAGGTCGGAACTGAGTTAACATCACCGTCGACGGGTTCTCCACCCCCCCCAGCGCTTCGGATTACCGAATCGGTACTCTAGACCAGGCTGGACCGCTCGAGGTATGAGCAGGACGATTGTAAATTGCAAGAAAAAAAAAAACACTATCCGGATACGCTAAAGTATGGGAGATACGAAACCGCCCATCGGCGGAGCAAACACTTGTTATTCCTCCTCAGAAGATTGTGACCTTTTGAAACGTCGCGAGAGTAGGACTGAACTTCGTCTTCATCGCCTCCATCGTCCCCAGGCTTAGGATTAGGCTTAGGCTTAGACTGGGGGGCCGTCTTGTTCCGAATCTAGCCAGCACGGAGAATAAGCGATCGGGATCTGAGCCGCCAGTTCTCAATACCCGTCCCAACACGGAGCCGTGTCCGAATGACTCGCAAGCCTTCAGTCGAGTCCAGCTCTTGCGTCTGAGCTGCCTCCATAAATGGAGAAAAGGGCCAATGGACGTGTTTCACACTCACCCTTACAGAGTTGAGATTCGGAGTCTACTGGAGAAGGGGATGGCCCGCTGTCCGAGAATTGGTATAATGACCTAGTCTTGGAAGAAAAAGAAAAACAAAAGATTTGGTGATAGATTCCTACCGGGTCAAGGTTGCAGTTTTCCACTGTTTGCCGTTGGGTACGTCCACAATTCTCCCGCCCCAGAAAAAAGTTACATCGGGCCGATCGAGAAGGAGACGGAGAACGGACAAGGAAGAGAGACGCAGACCCGCAGAGACAGACTGGACATGGCGATTTGAACGACATTCTCAAACAATACACATCCACTTTTCCTTTTTCTTTTCCCTTCCATCTCAGTGACTTTGGGTCAATAACTATGGTAATGGCGATGGCCATGATAGCCAACCCCCCAACAAGCGCACACCCCGTAGAAGAGTGTAAGACTAGGAACCCAGAGAGTGTGCATTGTTTGGTACTAGTTTACTACAGTTCAGTCAAGTGGCGGTTTTGTTCTGTGCCTCAAGTGTCCCACTGTCCCCCACGAAATCCCCACATCGGCCTCGGCTAATATTCGATCCAAGGAAATCAAGGCATTTGGGACTCCGGCTTTATCCCGAGTCCGAATCGTACACGGAGGAATCACGTACTTTTTTCTTTTTCTTTCTGGTCGCCCGGGGCATTCCCTTTTGCCTGATCTCAGACGGCAGGTGGTCTCCTGGTTGATGGAGTCATGGTCCCTTTGGTTCTTGTTGACTTTTTCGTTGAACCAGCTTTGCATCGTGGATCCGGGATTATTCGACGGACGTGCACACATGACGCAGTCCGGTCAGTACTGTGACTACACGAGTACTTGACTCTACTGACTCTGACTACCTCACCGAGTAACTAACTGTACCGGTATCCCAGTTCCGCCAGCCTTGCAGGCTTGCACAATGCACGGCGTCTCCCGTGCATTTCCCGTGTCACTCGGTGTGTTTTCTGTTCCCCGTCGAGCTACGCGAGGGATATGGTCGAGGTCCATCTCGAGACCCCGTAGACATCCTGAACTTCGACCCGACTCTATTCTTGTGGACGGAAATTTAGGTTCCGCAGACGGAGAATTTCCAATTCTTGTCCAAACTCATCTCTATCACGGAAGCAGATGTAGAATGATTGGTCTCGAGACCTGGAAAACACACATCCTAGACCACGACTAGCCCACTCCTGTAGTAGTCTTGTAGCGAGAAACGGAGGTTGATTGGAGACCATGTTATTGCGGACCATTCCCCGGATTTGTCCACCTGTAAACCACCCCATTCTGCCTGAGAAGCCAAGTCTCGGACCGCTGAGGCCAGAGAGAAACCCGACATTGAATGACAATAGTACGTGGCCAGTCGAGGGCTTTGCCGCAAAGCACTGAAACATCCCCGACGCACGAATCCCCAGTCACGGGCAAACAAGAGCCACGCGAGGCCGGGGTCCCAAGCTCTGCACTTTGTTCAAGGTTGCCATGTTGCCATGTTGCCATGTGTGAAAGGTCTCTCCACCCTCGACTACTCCCCACTCAGGGCTGATGGTGTCTCCGAGTTTATCCCGGTAAATCTCCTCGCTGGTTCGGGTTGACTGGGGCCACGATGCAATGGGCTCGTCGCTACGGGATTGGGAGTAAGGCACTGGGGGTTGGGAAAAGACGTAGTATTCTCACTGATCTATCTGCACAGCGATGTGAAAAAGTGTATGACTGTCAGTGTCTGTAGCAATACTTTTATAACGCATTTCACCCGGACACCCTTCAATGCCGTGGTGCTGTAAAGTCAACCGCTGAACAGTCCACAACTGTCCCCTATAGGCCTATACACTTACAGCGAAACCAAAACCCGACAACCCGAACAGGCTAATAACAGTCCGAAGGTCGCAGAATCATCGACACTCTCCTCCACTCGGCATCCAACCTACACTCTATAGTCTATACCCTATACTCCCCCAGATGACAGGGGCGTGACGAGATTCCACTCCTGCGCCTCCCCCGCTTTCCGGCTAATCACTGTGACCTGGAGTGTTCAGGAGATGGACGTGGTACGTGCGATCGTGGTCTGATCTATTTACATACTCGGGGCTTTGCTCGTGCTCTGGATTGGTCCACCTTGTCGGGCTCTCTCTGCACTGTGTCGGTATCTCGGGGTAAATCTCTCCAAGGACGGCATTCGATGCGGACCATCGAACCGGACTCCGATTTGTTGTGTCTGTTGACTGTTCCACTGTTCGTACGAGGGTGTGAACATAGCTGTTGGGTTAGCTAGGCATTTCCATGTCGAAGGTGAGTAGAGGAGAGGTTCAACGTAGGTCCCAATAGAATGATTGGACGAAGTGAGTAGGCTTCATACACCCTAAAAATTCAAAAGAAGAAAAAGGAAAAAGTGATATACTAGGGCTATCCGTTGAGAATTCAGGCGTATAGCAGACATGAAGTTGCGAAAGAAGCTATGTTTGAAAGTACCAGGACTAGTCTTCGGACTTGGATGAATCAAATCTCCCTCTAACGGTATGAATGAATCTTTGCCGAGCGAGAAGCCTGTCCGTTCTATGGACCCCCGGTTGGTTTTAGCCTAATTTCTAACGTGCAAAGTCGCAAGGGCACACTTAGCTGGAGGACTCGGCTGTCAGTCATGAATATCCCCCGTACCTAAGATGCCAAATCTTGTCATGGGGGTAAACTGATTCCAAAGACAAGGAGATGGAAAGGTGAAGGTATTGGAAGCTGAAAAATGGATAAAACATATTGAGCATCTTGCACGCTTCTGATATCTTAAGGTAGCTTTGCCCAAATGACAGCTGCCATGGATCCTGGGGTCGGGGTGCATGCTCAATACCTACCTAATCCGTGGGACTGGCGGCGTTCCTTCAAAGAATCATGGATGAACTTATTCTCTTGCTTCCTTGTGGGAAGACACTGGCCATATTCAATATGTTAGAGAATAATGTGAATGAGTAAATCATATCATGTTGGAATATGTTCCGGGCAGCCTTCTCAGTATTCGAGTCTCGCCGAAATTTGCGGCGCTCATGTCTCATAGACTCCGAAAGAAAAGAGAACTGTGAGACATCAATCGATACGGACGAGGTCAAGGGCAATGTGTTCACCGTGACCTATGGTCTGACTTATACGATAAGTATCCAGGACATCCATATACGTAACTTGTATGCAAAGCTTCGACTACGGTCATCCATCATTCTCTTGTCTGACAAGAAATCGACGTCAGCCCTAGACGCATCAGCTTGTCTCAAGACGAGTCGCAATAATCTGCGATGGCACGTCAACTCAGTTCACAATATGGTGTGCGTATGATCGAGGCGGAAAGGAGTCGATCAAAAAGAGAACCTTTGCCCACAAACGAGAATAGGGCTCAGAGATGGTGTCCTCGACTGTCAAACTCACACGAAATACCCACGGCCTCGGTTACTAGAAGATCGACTTCTGAATATTGAGATCTGTGTCAGAGCGAGAGTGCAATGCTCTCAAGTCGAGAACTTGACCAACGGGTCCCAACTCCGGTAGCGCTTCACGCTTTGCTACATCATGACGAAATCCCCGTGTTGAGCAGGAAACCACCGAACGGAGCCAACATCATGTACACGACCAACTGAGACAGAGTCGTCCAGGTCTGTACCTGCTTGCGCCCTTGTGTTCCTCTGCCAAATCTGTGAATACCGACGACAAAGACTAATCTCACCTTCATCATGGTTGCCGGACCTCGTACAGACCGACCAGTTGCGGTTGTCGGCGGCGGCGTCCTTGGCCGGCGTATTGGCTGCGTCTTTGTAGCAGCCGGATATAATGTGCACATCTATGATCTCTCTTTGACTGCGTTGCAAGAAGCAGTCGAATACATTGACGCCCATCGACAAGAATACTCACTCATGCCTCGTATCAGCAAGACTAAAGCATCCGCGCGTGATACCGCAGAGAAGAAAAGCACAAACAATGACGGGTACGACGCAGGAATGAGCGACGATGCGCTCTCCACGGTGGACTTTGAATCATATTCCCGAGGACCATTCGGCAGTTACAAAACGTTTACCAACCTTGAACCGGCAGCGCGCGATACGTGGCTTGTCATCGAAACGATTCCGGAGAGGATAAATCTGAAAATTGATACCTTTCGAGAGCTTGACGAAAAATGTCCCGAGGACTGTATCTTTGGGTCGAATAGCTCTTCCTTCAAATCGAGTTTGTTGTCGGCGAAGGTGTCGAAGGAGCGGAAATCGCGATTTCTGAACATGCATTTCACTATGCCGCCGATGATTCGGACCGTCGAGATGATGACTTGTGGGGAGACTGATCCGCAGGTGTTTTCGTATCTGGAGGATGTGATAGGCGAATGTGGATTGTTGCCTGTGACGGCCAGGAGAGAATCGACAGGGTTTGTTGGTCCATTCGAGCTCCTCCGTTCATGCTCGTTCCCTTTCACGCCGATACCCTCTTCTTCTGGCAACAGCAGATCACCATCACCATCACCATCTTCAACTCACAGCTCGCTGATCCTTTGTCATGCATTCAGATTTGTCTTCAACCGCCTCTGGGCCGCCATCAAACGCGAAATCATGAACATCCTTTTCGACCAAGTGAGCGATCCCAGCGAAATCGACCTCCTATGGGAACACATGTTCAAAAACGGTCCCTTGCCCTGCCAACTCATGGACCAAGTCGGTCTCGACACAGTCGCCTACATCGAAGACAACTACATTCAAGAGCGCGGTCTCGACCCCACAAAGACCGTCAACTGGCTGCGCGAAAATTACGTCCAACACGGCCGTCTGGGCAAAAAGTCCGCTAAAGGAGGCCTCTACCCTCCCACCGTGAGATCGTCCACGGCCGAGCTTCACCCTGCGAATCCACATACCGCCGCGAAAGACATTTATCTCCTCGACGTGGGACTGGGCAGTAACGCCCGCGACGTCACGCAGGTCCATGCCAACGGGCAGATCCTGCGCTTTAACCTGGCGACGCAGAAGCTCACGCCTCTTGTGCTGAGACAGAATCTTCCGGATGGGATCGATGTCTCGATTGAAACGCAGCGGATCTTCTGGACGAATATGGGTCGTAGTACAGCTGCGTGCGACGGGTCGGTCTGGACGGCGGATATGGATGGAAGTCGGATTCGGTGTCTTATTCCCAAGGGCCATGTGCACACCCCGAAACAGATCTCTGTTCTCGATTCCCGGAAACAAGTCTATTTCTGTGATCGCGAAGGCACAAGCATACACCGAGTCAACTACGACGGCACCCAGCATGAGATCATCGTACAAAGACACATCACCCCGCAGATGGGCCTCGGCGAAAAGATGCGCTCATGGTGCGTTGGCATCGCGCTCGACGACGAGCACGGCGTCATGTACTGGACGCAAAAGGGCCCGAGTAAAGGCGGGCGAGGCCAGATATACCGCGCACGCCTGGACATGGCCCCCGGCGAGACGGCGGAGAATCGATCCGATATCGAGTTTTTGTTCGATGGATTGCCGGAACCGATCGATATTGAGATCGATAGCGATACGCAGACGATTTATTGGACTGATCGAGGCGAGCATCCCATGGGATGTGCTTTGTATAGAGCGTATGTCGGTGGAGAGCAGGTCGATATGCACAAGGTGATTCTGGCAAGACATTTTCATGAGCCGATTGGGTTGAAGCTGGATCGGGCGAGTAATATTGTGTATGTTACGGATCTGGGAGGCAGCGTGTACTCTGTTGATTTGAGCGATGGGATTAAGGTGGAGGTTGTGCGGAATAATGGGTGTTATACGGGAATTACACTTGTCTAAGCTGGAGGCTCGAGTTGCCTCCAAGATTGGCTTACCCATACCATTTCTGCTACGATCTGCTAGGTCCCGGACCGAGATGGAACCTCTGTGGTGCATGTCCATCAGAATTGAACCAACCCTATCCAAATTACAATGCGAGATTCCCCACGGCCACAGCCAGGTCCTGTCAATGATGGGTGAATATATGTTGACTCCTCAAGGTAAGGCGATGGTGCTGAAGAATTACCTAGTCAGTGTGAGGGGCTGGCTAAGTAATATCTGGAGTGGTGGGTAAGCCCTTGATAATGAGAGCTGGAGGTATGCTCATGACTTGCGGATGGTGCAAGTCACAAAAGTCGTACTGGCAAAATGAGCATTTAGATATTCTACCCAAACGAAAAAAGAAAAAACCAGTGAGCTGGAATAATGTTACCTTCGAAATGAAGATCGATGAATTAGACCAGAATGTAGACACGAGCTTACACAAAACAGAACGTTCGTGATGGTGTAATTGTTCCGGCTGATTCCACCAGGACTCGATGATGATAAGTACAACGATCAGTATGAAGACTCGAGATCTGTATGAAAGGAGGGGAAAACAGAGAAAAAGAAAGAAAAACAAGATAAGCCAAGATTCACTGCGAACACAAAAGACCAGCTTCCTGTTTGTGTTATGACACGTGTACTGCACTCCTGTATTTGCAGATGTACTGCGATCCAATGGTGCCTTGTCTGAACTAGGTCCTGTGGGACCGGTTTGATTGAGAAGTCGATCGTGACACAGCTTCAGCTCGGTCTTGCCATGCAGAACTAAAAAAAAAGAAAAAGAAAAACAAATCCGACAATCCGACTCCAACGTCACTGACCGATAACGCCTTCATTAAACCTATATATTCCCTGATGAACCCCCACGCAGTAAGAAGGAGAGAGAGAAAAAGAAGAAGAAGAAGAAGAAGCAAAAGAAGGCAACAGTTAACACATAAAAGTCTCTACTTCTTCCTTCTCGGCATGATTCGTGACTCCAGTCGTATAAGTTCTTTACCAAGTTAAAGAGTTCGGGTGGTCAGCCACCGGGACTGCGGCACCCGAATGTCTGTCGTTGATCATTTCACATCAATTTGGAAAGCTTTCCACTTGCCGCCCAGAACGCGGCATCGCGGACATCCCCGGGCCGATGGATAGCTGGTAGGACCCGCGGGTGGAACATTGCTCAACGAGCCATTGCCAGGACTGCGGAACATGGTGGGTGGGCTCGACATGAACAGGCTCACGCAGTCTCGACAAACGCCACATATGCATTCTGTACAGGCGTATGATTCGTTCAAGGGCGAGGGTCTTCTGCAATTGGCACAATATATTTGAACATCTTGGTTGCGGAAAGAGGCGGGTGTCGGGTTGGAAAAGCGGTGGTGCTGGCGTTGCTGTGAGAGTGGGGGGATGACGTTGTACACGGGACTGGAATCCGAGTTGATGGACCGTGCGATACTGCTTGTCGAAGGGAGATTCTTGCCGGATGCCGTTGACATGGAATCCAGAGATGATTCGATGGATGGGAATGGCTCTAGATCGCTGTCCCGCCCACGATGACCCTCAAAGGGCGGCGGCGTGAGTGACTTGTGCAGCGGGGAAGCTGTGTAAGAGTGAGGCGGGAATTGTCGATGCGACGACAATGGCGGAAGGCCGGGTCCTGACTGGAATCCGGGAGGCAGTGAAGATCGATTCTTCAGATTCAACGGTGCAGAGGTCACGTTATTCAGGAGCGGAGCGATCGTTGGCGATTGACCCGGCTGGAGATCCAGGTCCATCATTCTGGAATCTCTTTCCTTGATGTCGCTAAGGCTGACCTCGGAATATCTCTCATCATCAGCTTCGGTAGCGGACGTGGCCGCTTCAATAAGGTCTTCCCACCTCTTGCCTTGTGCCCACGCGACCGTTTGTGGTTCAGCCGAAAGCGCTTTCCGCTCGCCGAGGCTGGGTCGTCGCGCGAATTCCTTGGACCTGACCCGCTCATGCTTGGGTTTCCGGGCCGACTGGGAGATGGATGATTTGCGCGGTCGGTTTGGCTTGTCGCGTCGCTGAATGGGAGGCAGCGTCGAGGAGCGACCGGGTGGGGAGTGATTCAAGATTGAAGGCAGCAGTTCACGTGGTCGCGGTGAGGAGAAAGGTGGCAGAGATTCCTGCTTGAAGTGGTCGCGCAGTGAGGGTAGTTCAATTGTGGAGCGCATGCGACCCGTGTGAATGTCGGTGTCAGAATGGGTGTCCTGCCCCGTGAAGTGTCAGTTCAACTGCTGGGAGTGAACTCTCGGCGCCTGGCGGTAGAAAAGAAACAGGCTTCCACGAGAGCACCGCAATTAATTTTGTTTCTTGGTTTTGTGAAAGACATACCATGTCGGTATCCCAGTCGGATGCCAGGCGATGATGGTGCAGTTGCGCTAGTGCAACAGCCGCGGTCGCAGCAGCGGGGTGGGGTTCATCGAGAGCTCGAGGGGTAGCCGGGGAACTGGGATCAGCGACGTAGATGTCGCGGTCCGCGATTTCTGCAGGTAACCGTCAGTAGTGCATCTCCAACCAGAGAAACCCCCACTGCCGTTGTGGCATTCAAAAGGTTTAGTCCCATGAGGAGATTGAATGTACGACTTACCATGGCCATGTGGACGACGTGGACGGGCTGGTTCGGGTGGAGACAGATGCGCTCGTTGATCGGGCGGGGTGGTGACCATCAGTAGGAAGCTCTCCTCGGTCGCCGGGAGCTTCGGGATGTAATGGTTGGGATGCGCACGTCGAATATGCTCCTGCATGGAGCGATAACGCTTCTCCTGTAGCTCCAGATTAGCTTCTGTGTGCTTCCCCGATCTCACAATGCATGCGAGGCTATTGCACAAGTCCATTCTTGACGATGTCGGGGCTTGTTCGTGTGGTCGCTTATTTTCCACAACCCCGGTGCGACCCGCCCGTCAACGATAAGGCGTGGGGATGCACGATGGATTCAAGCAGCACGACCCGAGACCCGGGCAAGGAAGAACGAGGGGGAATGGGATGTAGGACCATGTTACAATCCAGCAAGTTGAGGTGCGTGAAACTCACCCCTGTACATCGTTTGCGACAACTTGAACCGTCGTTGTTTTTGAGGGGACAAATCACTTCGTTGTTGGCATCCGTGACGGAGAATGAGCTCGTCAACGAGCTTCGAGGCGGCATGGTGCCCGTATGTCGAATTGCTGAATTGTAACTCTCTGTCTCTTTGTACTCCCCAAGCTGGACCTATCGTGCTCCCGGCGTTTTTGGTGCTCCTGTGTCGCACAGTTTTGTCGTCGGATGTTTGGTGCGTCTCAAGTTGCAGTCGAGGATGGAAGTAGTAGTGGATGAGGAGGGACGAATGGCGCAAGCATGTAATCGCGAGAGCAGAGACCCGGGCTCGATGTTAGATATGTACGTTCCAAGAGGCGGAAGGTCAATGAACACAATCTGCAGCTCTCGCAGGACAGCCAGAAATATCACACACGGAAAAATAAAGCTATGATCTGGTGGGGGGAAGGAAGAGAAGGAAGGAAAGGAGATTGATTTGCGAACGCGGCTCATCGAGTGGCACAGACTCATAAAAGCGCAGAAGATGGGGGGTGGACTCGCCCATGAGCTTCCTTGGTAAGATTTGAAGTACAGTAAAGAAAAAAAATCCAGAGGGAGCAAGCAAGAACGCCGACGGAGCTGAGAGAAGCTTTGTCTCACGGTAAGCACGGTAAGCACGGTAAATTAAGGTGTATCGAATGTATTGGTCAGCAAATTGCATCTACGATACGGCGATACGCTGGGTAGAGATAGTAAAATACGGAAGTAAATCTTCGCCGGTGGAACTTGAGATGCCGATTTGGTGACGCTGAGTGGTTGCCCATTTTCCATGAGGACCCCTCGACCGAGTCTCCAGCTGCGACGACTGGCGGATCCCGACAACCAAGCGACAGGAGAGAAGCGAAAGACACCGTCGTATCCCCGCGTCAGTAATCCGAACGAGATCTTCCAGTGCCACTTGCCCGTTCCAGTCGGGCACAGCATGGCGAATCGCGATAGTTTCGTTCTTGTTGGTTGCTCCATGCCTTTGGTCTGGGTCATGACCGTATGAGATTGTAATTACACGGCAAAGTCTCGATACTTTACAGTTGTAACTTGCCAGTTGCCCAACTTGCGAATTACAGATGTATTCTACATTCTAGTACAACTTACCGTACAGGGACAAGCTTACAGAATCAGGTCCTCCATGTGAGGTTGCATGACTTAAGGTAGTAAGTAAGGATAGAAGTAGAAAATTACATACCTGAGTCATGGTATATAGGCTTAGTACCTGTTAATATCTATATACATTGTACACACCTGCAACAGAGATACAGCACTACGTAAGTGAATTGAGACGGGTTACACTCATCTTCCTCTTCCCCTGACTAAAGTATCAACCAAGTCTTCAGCTCGACCTTGTTGCCTCCTAGCTCGGACGGGGCGCTGCCGCATGCATGATGTATGTACCATGGCCATACGTGCGTAAAAAGAAACTCAGCCCTGACACCTTGCTCACCTTGAGATCAGTCCCATCTAAATTTGGGCCATCCTGGGCTGGCAGGACCCAGGTACCCAGTACGGTGCCCGTCGCGACTCGCCGCTGCACTGAGGATCAGTGCCGTGCGTATGATCGAATTTGCATCCAGAAATGCCTCGGCAAGGCCGGTGTTCCACCGGCCAAAAGGGAGGTTTTGGGGGGGGGGGGGGGGTGGGATGGTCTCCGATTTGCCTCAGCAGAAGAGGTCACTCGAATTTCTTCTTTTTGTGTTTTCCTTTCGAAATACATGGCCCCAATTTTTCGATGGCCTTGGCTGAGCTTGATCGTGTAACTTTTTCTTTCCTCTTTCCCGAATTTTCCATCTGTAAGGACACTGGGATATAAGCAGAACTGCAGTGATGTAGAATAATAAATGCTCCATTGTAGTTATCGTTATCGTCATCGCAATCATTCCCTGCCCTCGATAAGCACAACGGAGGGGTGATGCGATCTCGATAATCGATAGTCGATAGTTCGATAGGCACTATCAGCGGCCCCTCCGAAGCTCTCCCCAGCTCCTCGTCTCCTACAGTACAGCTCGAGAGAGATTCCAGAAGCTCTGGAGCGTGTAAAGCCCTTACGCACAGTGGCAAACCCACTGTACTCGGTACCGCCACCGGAGCCCTCTTGAGAGCTGGTTGAGCATTGGATTGACTCAAGCTGCACCAGCCTTACCAGCTTACCAGCTTACCAAGATGACGATACGGTACTGTACTGACGGCAAGCTTTCGATACCGCATCATCAATACTGAATGGTAATACCCAGCTTGCCCGAGCTTGGCCACGGGAACATCGGATTCTGAAGTTACAGTCACCTGAGTCAAGCTAGGGATCATGACGAATCTTGCTCTTTTTCTCAGCAGAAAAAGGCTGATACGGCTCTTTTGGGTACGCCGTGCACTCGAGAGTCGAGAGAGCGACAAAGGTATATACTGTATGTATGGCTACAATGTACATCAGTTGCAGGCCATTACACTGCCGACGCGGTTGTACCCCTGCTGTGGAACTGAGCACCTGGGTTCCTCTGCAATCTGCATGCCTCGATGTCTCGGTGCTCGATCTGTCTGATCAACGCACATGGCGTTGCATCACCATAACCACATGATCGACGTCGGTGGTGCCCGGGCAATGCATTATCATCATTGCAGCAAGATCACACTATCCAGTGTATCCACTCCTGTGTCCAGTGTCTACCTGACGGTTACTAGTGCAGAGTTACAGCCATAACTAAGTATATATCCATGACTCTATACTCTGCTCAGTCTGCAGTGGACTTCAAGCGCTAAACTAGTGTGGCCAAGTGGCCATCATAGTATGTCCTGGGACCAATGTACCCACTACGAGGCTATACCCATCTTAGCGTTGGCCCGCAGAGCGAGACACAATGGAATACGGCAGTCGAGGGAACAGACTCTAAGCTCCGAGTATGTAAGGCAGACCTGAATGAACCTTCTCGCGAGCCTTCCATCACCAACCGGAGACCATTAGCACAAGTTCATCGTATCTTGTACATGTCTTGGTGAATCATGCAGCCACTGACTGAATCAGTAACCTAATTCGTGATCATTTTCGGAACCTCATCCTTCAAGAGCCACCGTTCGTCATCGTTGCTAATCTTGGTCGTTCAGCTCCAACTTTAAATAGGGTGATACCCATTGTAATTGTATCGTCCGGGATGAATTTCACTAATACTTGAGCAAAAGGTGACAGAAGAGTACTGTAATTATGTAATACATTCATTGGTCAGCACTTGTATTATCGAACCAAGCGATACCATACCATGCTACAGTATTTACTATGTAGTAATCTATTCACTCCTCGAGTAACAATTTACCAGGATACGACTATACTCCTCAATACTTTAGTTTCCTCCTTGCAAAGTTGCAACTGCCGCAGACAAATTCAAGCCCCAAAAGTTCAAACAGCACCGCAACTCCACCGGCACGGGGCACATGCCGATGAGAAGCAACTTCGCCAAAGTAACGTGATTGGCCTGGCAAGCTCCAAAGTGGAGGAGCAGCTTTTTCGTCGGGCGCTGCCATCATTGGGCCAGCGGACTCTTCGGCAAGGGTGCCATGCCGGATGGGGATGGTTGTGCAGGAGACGGGGGGGATTCTTCAGCTGTGGAACTGTACAGCTGTACAGTGCTAATATGACCATGGACCAGAGAGATGAGCCAGATGAGCCAGATGAGGGGAAGAGAGGGAGAAAAGGCAAAAAGGGAAGGGCCGAGTGTAGAGTAGACTCCTCGCAGTGCAACACATTGATCCAGCATCGGCCCCGTTCACCTGAAACTGTAGCACCGGCCTGTGGCCAGTAGCCCCGGAATTGAAAAAATTCCACTGTACCTGCCATGCTACCAAAGGCAGCATCAAGGTACTGACTACCGAGTACCCGGCTGCAGGACGGGCAGCACTGCAGTTTTAAACCCTTTCAAGCCAGGACGAGAAGTACGAGTACGTGTTGTACAATATCGTGTTTCCTACAGAGTTGTAGTTGTTTGAAGCTCGCTCTAGCACGGTATATTGATGTGTTTCACGTGCGCTACAGTACTACACAGTACACACCACCTCGATAACATTGCATCGACCAGAGCATCTCCGAAGCAACCGACTGTGCAAACTGCAATCTCACTTATCGCTAATAGAAAACCCAATCCTTCCATCAGTGGAGACTAGAGAGATGCCCGCGAAACGGCAGCGGAGCGTCGACCTGTCGCGGGCTTGTGGTGGGGTTGCAATGTAAAACTCTAGATTGACTGTATTGACTCTATTGAGTATTGAGATACACGATACAATACGCCGTACAGTACTTCCGGGCTGGCAGACTCGATGTATCCTATATTCGTAATATCTCCTGCTTGCAAGTAGTACTAGTACCTGATTTCCACACAGCTAGCGCTCTCTGCTGCGCACATGCTTGGCGTTAACAGTTGGGGAGAGGAATCTGCTGATAGTAGTACTCCAACGCCAGATAAGCCACGTGCAATACTACCTCTACTATCATGCACATTCTACGGTGTCGCCTGGAAGCTCGAGTCAGGCGGTGCTTATCTTAGGTGAAACATGCTGAGCTCACCTGGCATGTGACCTCGATTGGCGGTTACAGAGTGAAAGCCCATCCAAAATGATTGTCATTGCCTTCGACACGATCATAGTATTGACAGCGACCGGCTGATACGAGTTGGCGGTCGGCTCTCGAATCATTGGATTGATTCATGGTATGCTTGGCTGTCGAGTTTGTGCGTGCCAAGAAGGGAACATCGCATACATTTCTGCCAAAAGCTGCGGCTTACTGGGACACACAACCTTGGAAGCGGTCTTTTCCATCGGGGGAGACATGTACTTGCGTGTTCAGTACCTATACACCATCTTGTCCATTACATACATCTCATCAGACTGACAATATTGGGAAGCAACAAATGCTTTGATCTGTCGATTCTGTCACGCCTTATCACTCGAGTTGAAAAGAAAAGGAAAAAAGCACGTCACTTCTCTCACTCCGCTGAGCACCAACTGCGCCAAGAGTCGGATCAAACGAGATCAGCCAGTCTCACGGCGTCTGAGAGACAGCGACAAAGGAATACATGCTTTCCTCCACCTCCTTGCTGCGTATCATTCGATATTGAATTTCAAATATAGAGTTCACTTTTGAGGGCGAGCTGAGCTCTCGCCACTGCCGAGGGGCAGGAGGCACGCTTCTTTACCGCAATTATCAGGGGCACGGCGACATGCCATGAATGTGAGAGGCCGAAAACCGAGTTTCTCCGACACGAAATGCTCGACATATTGCAGGCAGCACAGCCTCGGCTGCTAGATGTGGTATTTGCCCGTCGCCAGACCTAAAGATGAAGAATGATATTCAAGGGAAGCACAGGGGGAACACCGGAACTATGAGGTTGCAAAGACCTCTGGCTGCTCGAGCGGCGGTGTCATCAAACCATGCATCTCTTGCGAACTCGCTCTGCTAGCTTCTGAGTTCTCCCCTGCAAAGAACAAAACGACTGCCTCCGCTGCAGCTTTAGAATCATCGTCATCCTCGTCTTGTCCCGGCACTCGCGCAACATGAACTTGCTTCACGTAATGATCAATCTGTTCCGCAGGCCAGTCTGCATGTGCACCAAACTCCACCATCAACTCGCCATTCACAAAGGTGTCAAATTCAAAGTGACCTTGGTAGGTCAGAACTCGACCCGGATAGTACAGCCCTTGAATCGGACATACTGCGCTGCTTCCAAGATTCAGCCATGGTGCTGGCAAACTGACCGATGGGCGACCTGCAGAGACGGCGGCATCCCGAGCTTGGGGTGTTGGAAGAACTTGATCCATGTGAACCAATTGAATGCGGAAGGGGCCCTTGGCCGCAACCTTGGCCAAAGGAGGAAAATACTCTGTGAACTGGGGATCCAACTTGATGGGCTGAATGCCCATCTCAAATCCTGTCGAGGCAGGTTGCACGCTGAATGTGTGGGTGGCGGGCACATCGCTCGTGGGTGTAGACAACAACGCCTGGGCAATGATCTGATGTCCAAAACAGGATCCGAACAGCTTCACATGTGGATAATGCGTGTATACCGTTTGGATGAATGAGAGCAGCTCGGCAATCCAGGGAAGCTGGTCATATGCGGAAGCAGCCGAGCCGCTGACGACAATTGCATCAATGGGACTGAACGGTCCGCCTGTGGACTCTGCCGACGTGCGCGGTTCGGTACGAAGACAATCAAGTGGTGGTAGGGTTCGCCCTACGGCATCGAACCCCGAGACATGCAGCTTGATCGGGCCATGTCGCAGCTGGTTGCTGACGTTCTTGTTGAGACGCTCAGCGGCAGCTTGGAGGAGGACTCGAAATTGCGAGCTAAACAGACCCCTTTTCACGTACACAGAGTTGCATGGTGCCTCACAATCGAGGGCCGCGACGTGGATCTGATGGTGTTGATGGTGGACCATTGGATGTGTGAGTATGACTACGCAGCATTCACAGTAATAGCGCAAGTGAAAGACGACGGCCGCAGGGGGTCAGGTCTGGATGATCAATCAGGGTGAGAACACATCAACACTCCCCACCACCGAGGAAGGAGAAGATGAAAGAGGAAAGACATGTTTTTTCCGGGTCATTATCTGCTTAAGGTTGCTGTGATTACCGTGCTTCTGACCGCATGACCTGCCGTTGTCGGGAGGGGAACTAGATAAGAGGGGTGTATTCTCCATAGAGTCCACGCGCCACAGAATCCATGCTACTCCATCGACTCCACGCTGGGCGCCGGATCCGATTACCCGATTCGGGCCCAGTCGAGGAAGTTTCCGTGGGGGCTCCGGTGGATGACATGGCGGAGACGACCCGTCGGTCTCAATAAGGCAGTCGAATCCCGTCCAGCACCAGCAGTCGTCAAGGTGTGTCGGAAGTTCGAGGTTCAACAACCAACGCGCGAGTTAAGTCGGCTCCGTCCTTGGGATACTTGCCGAACGAAAGGCTATCTGACAGTTATGGCTATGGAAAATGCCAGCTATGTGTGTTGGTAGGGTCGACGCTCCGGAATGTTTATTCTAACGTGTTTAGCCTCTAGCCATCCTGAAGTACATGCAATGCCAACGACCATCACGCACTGTACTGCAGGTACTTGATAGTAGATACGCAAGACCCGACGGTGACACCGACCTATTATTGACCATCCCGCCGATGTCTCCATCCCTCGCTAAGGTGTGCGCATGAGTTTCAACGCTGTCTATCCACGCAAGTACCCCCCGTCGTTACCAAATAAGAAGCTGCGTCGATCGTTTTTGTCACGTGGACAAGCCATGAACCTCAACGCATGAACAAATGATTCCATTGTATGCATAACGAGATCGTCTCTCCCTAATGCCACTGCTCCGCCCATTCTACGAGAGCTGTCGAGGCCATCACTTCGCACACCGTATGTGGGACTGATTCTATCATCCTTGCCTACTTGAGATCTTGTTGGACCGAGAAAACCAATATCTCTGAGATAGGTGGGACAAGGTCCTGTCTTGGTAGAAGGGACTAAAGTGAATAAATAAGCAAACGACATGCCTGAACGGCATGGAATCCATTCGCTTCATACCCCGTGACCCTTCTTGCATACTAAATGAGGATCTCTATATAAAGTTCCGAAACATCAAACCCTCTACCTCGTCCGGGCGGCGACACGTCCGCCCAATCCACGGACCCCAGGTCGTTCGATCCGATCTACCCTTTATTCATCAGTCCCTCTTCAATTCCGCTCGACCTGTTGATGAAGTACATTCCGAGCCAAGACAACAAGGTCGGGGAGAGAAAATAAAGGAAGGGAGGAAGATGGCCCAGGTAAAGCAGTAACATTATCATACAGAGGCCCACGGTAGTCAAGTAACGTTACAAATGGCATAGTCATCAGCATAAACACGTGAGATATCAAAATCGAGACGACTCATAGGAGACTCTGCTCACTCCAGATATCCTCGGCAAAACTTCTCAGCTCTTGCTCGGGTATCACTAAGTCTCTCTCCAGGGGCTGGTGAGGAGGACGGTCAACAACCTTGTCAAAGGGTAGATCAAGCTGTGTGGTAGTCCTAGTTATACCATTTATGTAGGACTCTCCGGTAACTGATGTCGTGTTATTCGTTCGAGATAATTTAAGGAATGAAGTATAACGCGCTGAAAGAGAGGATAACCTTATAAGGACGCTATATCTTCGGGGAATAAGTTCCTATCGGTATAGGATGATCTCGGGATTTTCTCGTTTAATACTGATCGTAACCACAAGTTTCACAGATAAGGAGTCAGTCTTAAGCCAACTCCGCGCATTAAGAGCAAGTTTTCGCGTAGACTCTGACAATCCTACTTCTACTATAAAACTCAGCCTTGCATTCATCGAAGCCGGAGCCCAGCAGCAGTCAGCCTCCTTTTTCCAATTTCCAATCGTAACTGTTGTCGAACTGAAAGGCCTCACGTCACGATGGACGTTCATCGCACGCAGCTCGAGGGAGATCAGCGAATCAAATGATCTTATTGCAAGTTCGTGCGCAGGATTTAGCATGACTTTCGTGATCAAGATTCCCTTTTCTGCATTAAAAAAGAATCGACTGTACTTGCTTGTCCGCGACCGATCATCACTCAGTCTGGAAGATTGCGCCGGGGGGACAGACGTAAAGACGAGGTACTGATCCCGAGTCTGGTTTTACTAAAGAGCTCGTTGACGGCCTTCCAAGGATTTTTATAAGCTCTCGTTAGTGGTGAATGGCTGCTGCTTCACTTCCTTCGCCAGTTGCGCAACAGAATCCTCAGATTCGTATTCAACTGACGAGAATCCAGAATATAAGAGTTCAGAAGTTGACGACTGAGAGTCGTTCGAGGTGGATTAAAGAAAATCCATGGTGGGTAAGAAGGTAGGGTGAGAAGTAAGAAGGAAGTGAGAAGGCAGGTAGGTAAAATAGGCACTTGCGACTGATAAGAAGAGCAAGGCGGTAAGATCCCTTGTTTGCCTGTGCTTGTTTTGATCGCTGCAAGGCTGTGGACGAGGAGGTGACGTGACGGCGTATTCGGGCGCTAACCCAGAATCGGCAAATCCAACCGCATTCAGTAAATCACAGGTCCCGATATTTCAAATCCAATGTCTTACAACTTGGGTGGATGTGACCACCGAGAGATTGGCCGAACGTCGGACAGAAGTAGCGATCGTCAATATGATGGTATATTGATTCAATAGAAACCAGGTCAAGAACACGAATTGCAACCTTAAGAGGAAGATCAAATCGACACGAAAGAGAAAAACAGAATATGTTCTACGCCTCGAATGAAACGCGGATAAAGACGAAGCGACATTAGGTATATGTAGAATAGGTAGTTAAGAAGGTGTGAAGTCGGTTAGAAGAACCTGTCCCCTCCAAGTCAGCAAATAAGAACGAGTCATGTAGTGTTTCAACGAGATCAACATACCAAGCAGCGAGAGCAATGATCAGATACATCATCATTAGGAGGATACCTTCAAGCCAGTGAGACTTGCCATCTCCAATCAAATAGTTGACCTGCGCAAAGGAGAGTGATTTAGCAAGAACCCGGATGACATGTGCTATGATTGAGACAATCTTACCAGAAGAACCGAAACGAATAGCAGGATAATTTCGAAAGAGTCAAAATTGAGGGTCTGTGAGCATCCTAGTCAGTCTTTGCTTCCACTGAGGGAAAATGACATGTAGTGGGTCGTGCTAGGCCTCCAACGTTTGACTCACCATATCATTGATACCCTCACACCAACCCAAGACCACAATGAATGGCAGAACCAACAAAGCAATCTGCATGCTTGAGCCAACAGCGACACCGATAGCCAGGTCCATCTTATCCTTGCAAGCCACAGTCACGGCAGTCGCGTGCTCGGCAGCATTACCAACAATTGGGAGGAGAATCAAACCGACAAAGGTCTCGCTAATGCCACCAGTCGCGGTAAGTGGCTCGATCGAATCAACCATAAACTCGGCGCATACTGCAACCAGTGCGGTGGAGAGGCCAAGCGTCAAGATAGCGACCCAGAGCGCCAGCTGCGGCTCTTCGGGCTCATCATCGCCATCGGTCATTTTAACCTCTTGGGCGGATCCGGCACCCAGGCGTGCAGTCATTTTGCCGATCTGCGCAATGCCACGACTGGCATCACCGCTCTTCTTATTGCGCTTCTCCACCTTCTTGGAAGGCGCATTGTACATATCAATGTGTGATTTGAGCTGGAAGAAGAGATAGCAGCCGTATGTGACGAGGAGAAGGACAGCAGTACCTGTGGTCAAGGACGATTAGTATTGATCGACAACCGATGTAATATCGCATGAGAAAGATCGGATAATCGTACCGCGTGACACAGCAGCAGTGTTGTCTGTTTTGCTGTCAGACCACTGATGGAACGCGGTAGGAATGATCAGACTGGCCACAGCCAGCGACAACAGACTAGCCGCCGTCTGTGCAACAACAACATTGAAATGCTGCTCAACACGGTTGACACCGCCAAAGAAGAAGCACATGCCCATGACCAACAACAAGTTCGAAAGCATACTTCCAATCAAGGATGTCTGCACAATGAGCACGTTACGCTTCTGCAAGGCAATGATGGCCACAATCAACTCGACTGCATTACCAAACGAGGCGTTCAAAAGTCCTCCAATCGTCTCGCCGGTACGCATGGCAATTTCCTCGGTGGCATAGCTCAGCATTGCGGCCAGCGGAATGATAGCAATGAAGTTCACCACAAAGACAGCAATGGGATTCACACCCACGGCAAACAAGGCAATACCAACTGGAGCTGCGATGATCAGAACATTGATCCATGAATTCAGGATGGTTGCACGGATCTGGCTTGCAAATGTAAATTTGGGGCCATCAACAGGTTTTTCGTCGTCAGGTTCGCTAGCGGGCGTTTCTTCATCGTGCTTGTGGCGACCGAACTTTCCAAATAATCCCTTTCGCTGGCGTGTTTGACCTGCCGTGGACTCGATGGCCTCGTTTCCGTTCTGGTCCTTCTCAGCAATGGATTCCTGATCTAAAGCACGTGTGGCTGAAAGCGTTGCGAGGTCATTGATCGGTTCATCACTCCGATTCGATGGCGCTGGCTCATAGCTCTCTGTTGGTACGGGTGGGAAGGTGCCGGCATAGGCTGGGCCTTCGATATCACCGTTGAACTCGGCACGGCGACGCCTGTCCTGGGAAAGGTTGACATCTCCCATACTTCGAGAGTGGACGAGTTGGTTTTCTAGTTCCATGGAGTTGCTTCGCTGAGGGCGTCGACGAAACTTCTTGAAGGGGTTGTGAGAAGACGGCTCGCCATCTTGATCATACCAAGCGAGTTGCCGAGCTTCGCGACGATATTTATCTGTGCGAAAACCGGTGAGCAAAGTCGCCAAAGGTGACAAGGAAGACTGGCCCGTCAGGCCTGAGATCGACAGCCGAATACCGGTCATCCGATGACGCCAAAAATCCTCATTGAGGGGGGAGTGAGATACTCACGCATTATGATGAATCACTTGAATGGGGATCAATGTGCAGCCGGGTATAAAACCACCAGAGAGTCACTTAATCTAAACAAACAATGCAGCTGTTGAATCGAGGTGAGTTAGAACGTTGAAGACGAGAGAAAGGCCTCCAGGTCTAAAGTCCATCTTTGAATGTGGAGTGTGCAAACAAAAGACCGGGACAGGTATCTTCTTCGAGGCTCGAATAGACCCTGCGTGAAGAATGCACCAGCCACAGCCCGTGTGTGTGCTGAGGCTCGGCTGCGTGGGGTAGGTCTTCAAAGAGTAGCCACGTACCTGAGAATAGGAGCGTTTCCAGGAGCTACCAGTTGTTTTGCAGTACACAGAGGCAAATGGTAACGCAAGTGTAGCTGTGGCGCAGCAATTTGATGCCACCAAAGGGGCAAATATGGGTCGAAAGGAGAAAATGCAAGCTTGAGTTTGTGTGGCAATGCCTTGATATTTTGTAACTGTCGGATCTGAGTGAGCAAGTGGGTTTTCAGACTTGAAAATCCGAGCGAAGGTGACGAAGCAAGGGAGGCGCGCGGCTGATGATCAAGTTGCGACTTGTCAAGATGCAGGCCCTCACGCGACAGCGAAGAATGGAGGATTGGCAATTGTGGACAGGAACAGAGTAAAGAAAGTAATCTCGCCAGGAGGAATACTATCCAGATGGTATGATAATGAACGACGGGTAAGTTTGAGGAACGATTGTGCGACACCAACGACAAAGGACGGGCTCAGCGTGAACGGAATCCGGGCCTACCTTTGGTCGAGGATTTGGGACACAATGACTCCTCGTCAAAACACAGCCACCCTCGTAGTGGAACGGAAAGGGGCGATCCCAATTCCAGGACTTCCTCGGTTTAGGATAGGCTTGGCGCGGAGAAGCGGACGCTTTGTTAGGTAAACAAGCTCCGATGGTACCACACTGTAAGTGGACTATTATGCGACCGGTACATACACAATCGATTTCGGTTGAGCTAGAGTAAAGCGGCCACGAAGTGTGATATATTCAGAGCTGTATGTGTCTCCCAAGGAAAGAACTGAATTGGGCTGGTATGACGACCATGCTGGTCGATTATCCGGCCAGGTGTGATGGACGACTGCGTGTGGGCGCGATGATGAGTTGGCGCCTCGGATTAGGACTCAGCAGCGGGGGTGGATGCCCGAAACGTAGCGAAATACGCCAATCTACCCGCCACCGAGTGAGCAGTTCACCACAGACGGGTAGTGCCCAGCAACTGAAAGGCCTGCAGGCTGGAACGCGCTGCCGTGCAAGCCTTCCAGAGGTGACTTCAACCCTGGGTAGGTGGGTGCTTAGTGAGCTTGTGCTGCTTGGCGACATGCACGCCCGCAGCAATCTGGATTCACAGTCTTCCTCGAGGCTGATCCCCAGTTTCCAGGGAAAAGATCTTCAACTTCAGAGTGCGGTTATTCGTCGTGATGACGAAGATGGCCAGTTGGAGACTCTACCGCCTGTGGTTGCGAGTACTTGTGACTGGTGCGGCACACTCGTCGCACAGCATCGGAGGCCGCTCGGCTTGGATCCACCGCGCTTCGAATTGTGAGGGAAAGTGGCTGAGCGTCTTGCGGGCGGATGATTGGATCAGATCCTGGAACATCGTGTTGGCGTCGTCTCAAATTCAGAACGGCAAATGCTTCTCCGTTCTTGGCAGTGTCCCAATCAAGACCCTCGATCGGAGTCTCTCTCGAAGACGATCCTCGTTGCCGATGATGAAGTCAAAAGTGTATCCTCAGTTCTCGCCTGGAGCAAGGACAGACAACGTCTATCGTCCATGCTCAACCTTGTTGTGCGTGCAGATCACAGCCTCAAATGCTCGGATCTCGCTGACCAGGGGCGGTGAGTTGCATCGAGATCGACGTCAGCGGATGCTCACCCCCTCGGTCTTGCGGTCGGGCTGGACTTTCAACAATACGGATTGATGGTGAATTTAGGCGATGTCCTTGCCCAGTCACGATGAGCAAGCCAGCTTATCCTGGCGACTGCAAAGTCTAAGGACCGATAAATTGTGAGGTCTTCTCAATACCAGTGCGTCGGTGGCTGCAGCTGCCCTCAGTGCAGCGACCAGCAGACCGAGTTTGCTATCGCATCCTAGAGTCCAGCTCAACCACATATGCCAGCACATGTGCGTATGACTGGCGTGCGTGTCGGAGGCTCAGATCGACTTTGCCATCTTTCCGCCATCTTTCCGCCATCTTTCCCAGGCATGACCAGGCCTCAATAGGGGGCCTCCGTGCCCTTGGAGTGCCACTGGCAATCGCAGATCAGCTCTCGCATCTGACCTGGAACTCGCCATACTCATCAGTGTGCAAGTCGGAAGCACGAGGAGAGGTGGGTAACAAAATATAGTTCAACTTGGGGGATCGGAGAGACTAGAATCTGGATTGGGAACTCATCAAAAATCCATGTAATGACCGTTCCGCCTGGAGACGAAGTCTGAAGGGGTCGTAATGCTCAACGCGAACAGTCGGCTGGGATGGGCGTCGAACGAGCAACCAGACTCGCCACGATTGCAGGAGTAGGCAATTAGTTTCTCAGTAGTAGGCGCTCTCCTCAAGCATCGCGCTCGGGAGGTCTCCAGGTATTTTTTTTTCCCACCCAGTCCCAGGGGTCCTGATCGGCTCATCCATTGTATGTATCCGAGTTGAGCTTTCCATCTCTTGGCTTCCTCCGTGATTGTGGTTGCCTACAGCGGGGTGGAGGGTCTGATCTTGACGCCCGTTTCTGCGCTTTCGTTTTAGTCCTCAGATGACCCTCTCGTGCAGCATAAATGCCACTGATGTTCTCCACCCGTGACGATGCCTCTCGTAGGGCCCGTAGGGCTGACTTTGGATTCTGCGGTGCGCAGTAAAACAGTGGGGGTTATGCATTCTGAAAAGGAAATGGCACGCTCGCCTGGCGATGCGTCCGGGGATCTTCCGTGATGGCTTGCTCTCGACCTCCAAGGTTATGGGCGGTGATAGTTTCGCTTGAACTCCGCTTGAATTTCGTCGGTCCCGCTCTGAGAGGTGCGATTCTCCCTGTGAAGTAAGCAGATAGCTTCCGACGTACCTAGTGGAACATGACAGCGTTGTTCGGACAAGCTCGAGGCGAAGGGAAGTGGAAGGCCATATTTAGGGTAGTGTCCATTCCGTTTTTGATCATTCTGTTAGGGGCTAAATTGGTCTGCCACGAAGGCGAAGCATTGAATTCATGCCAACTTTGTGACTTGATCGAGCAGCGACACTTATCTAGCCAACAGCGTGTATGGCAGAGTGCCATAGTTGAGGAGAGCACGTGTGTTCTGCCTTCAGACGGAAGCTGCTACAACGTAGGCAATGTCCACATTTATCCCAACGATGGTCTTTCGAGCAAGAGGCTGATTTTGACAACCCTTCCTACCCGATGACAGTTCAGAAGAGCCTACCACCTATCATATACCTTACTTGCCATGACCGACTGGATCTCATCATTGCTCTAGGCGCCCAGCGCATGTATACCCGAATGCATACCTACTCGTTTTGGTCATACTAGCGTTTCCACGATGGCAGTGTCCAGAAATTCACGTGCGCCTCACCCACCGTAGCTTGAGTTGTTCTTCGTGAGACAGCGCCCGATGGGCTGACGCGACTTGTGTCTCCTCATCAATGCCTCTTCATCGTGTTTGAGATCCCACGGCCTGATGCTGAACAGGCTGGGGGATAGTCACCTGTCTGGAGCCAAGTTTCTTGGTCTCGGGGAAGGGACCCTTCACCTCAAGTATCACATGATCGATCGTTCTTAAGAAGAGGCTAGAAGACCTGCATATTCCCCTCTCACGATCGTCTTTGATTATCTACGCCCAAACAAGACATTCTCGGACTGACCGACGTACGCCCAGCTTGCCAAGAATGTCACTTTAGTAGCTGGATCAAACTATGATGCGGTCAATGGGATGAGATTATCCTCGGCACTAAAGACAAGCTTTCTATCGGCCTGACTTGATTAGATTGTCACCGGAGGTGCCATCATTGCGAGGTATCAATCGATTTCAACCCGCGATAGAAAGATCGAGTTGAGCCATTAGAGGATGATCTAAGATACGGTAAGGATTTAAATATTTACGCATAGATACCACCTATATTCTGGTATTGAGGTAAGCCAAGGCAGGAAGCAAGGTAACTCGCGAGGATATACATGCCCTCCAATCCACAGTAGAACTAACCAGTAGCTCGTAGCTAGTCACTAGCTACTCGCTACTGTAAGAACAAGGCGAGATCTGACGCCTTCTCTGCCGACGATCAGCCTCCAAATTTTGAGGTGACATGACCATTGGCGGTGGGGCAAATGAAGACCCTGCCGTGACTCGGAGCGGAATAAACTTCTTCATAAGGCGCTAATGCAGGGGGAAAAAAAAGGCTCGTCAAACTTTGCCAACCTCCCGCTGCTTGTGAGTTTAAACCAGAGGCAGACCCAAACACTAAAAGTGAACAGTCGTCCGGCTCAGCACTTCACTGTAGTATTACGACCGGCGCAAGCTGAAGACCTCATGATGCTGATATTCGTATATTAGAATTGCAACTCATCCACCGTCTTGGATCTCGTTCGAAGTATTGCAAGGGCCACCGCAAATCGGTCCTCACGGAAAGCTTTGATATGGACTCAGGGGCTTCTGGTGGTGACTGGTGGTACCTGGCACGGCACGGCTAGTCCAAGTTCAGTCAGCAAGCAAGCATCAGTATTCCGGTATACAGCTGAACATCCATACAACCATACACAAACTGGGCGGACGTCGGTGGAGTCGCTGTCTCTGAAACAAGGAAAGGGTTGGGTCCCGAAAGGTCCTTGAAATTCTGCAAAAGGACCCAGAGACGGGGCCCTTGGTGGAGATCGCCATCAATGTTTGACCCGTCTGGGTCTCGGTTGGACTCACATGGCCAATTAATGTGCGGTGGCTTCTCCGGCCCCTAATACATGATCGTCGCCATCCTCAAATGCCTGTCTCTTGCATATCCTTGACCGTGTCGATCGAGACCGCATACATCAATCCGGTTTCCGTATCAGGAAGTACTACAGTAGTACATGCTGTATATCTCATGATGATCTCTCCTTCTACCATGCTCATTACCTCCATGGCTCAGAGACATGTGTACTCGAGGATCCGACTCCCGTGATGTGCAATGCATCCACCACAGGCCGTTTGATGATGCGTCACGGAAGATCAATGAGAGGACTTGGACTATGTAACTGTACATGTATACTCACTACGTGACTACACTGTAATCAATGTCCAAGCCTGACCTTTGTCAACCCCCATTAGACCATGAGAAGCAGATAGAAAATTGACGTGACTCCAACAGAGCGCCTGCCAGCTGATCGATGTCGTCTGCGTTGAAAATCCATTGCTCGGCGTAGAAGGCTGTCGACGAGTACGGGTTTCCCGTACTCTCATTGAATTCACACTTCGGTCAACCGTATGTAGTAGTATGAAAAAAAATCATGAGCTTGAATAGTTCCACCCTGCCAATGACGCCAGGGCAGTGCAACCGCAATAATGCTCCGTATCCGTATAATTGCCGCAATGCTCCGTACAGGCCTGCAGGCTTAGGCCACTAGAGGTTTTTTGGTTTTTCATGGGTGGAGGATATTGTGATTTGCCCCTGAGTCTCGACCATCTCCATCGTCTCCACCAGGGGCTGGCCCTCCTGCCCCTGCCCATCTGCTTGCCCATCTCCTCCGCCACGCCTTCCTATTTCCTCTTCTTCCCCCTCCTTCCATCGTCCATTTCCAATCTTTTCAAGGGTTCGGCATATTCAATTTTGTGTCATCTAGGCGGCACTGTTCACTCCCTTTCCTATATTCAAACCACGTCTTGACACCGTCGCATACGGGAATCGTCTTTCACCATGAAGTTCTCCGCACTTGCCGGCTTGTCCCTCGCGGGTGCAGCCGCGGCTGCCAATATTCCTGCCATCGAGATCAAGGGCAAGAAGTTCTTCTATTCCAACAATGGTACTGAATTCTTCATTCGCGGTATTGCCTACCAGGCCGACTACTCGAGCACCTCCTCGGGCGGCAACAGCAGCTCCAGTGTCAACTACGTCGACCCTTTGGCCGACATTAAGACCTGCAAGCGTGATATTCCCTACTTGACTGCCCTTCGTACCAACGTCGTCCGCACCTACGCTGTCGACCCGGAGGCGAACCACGATGAGTGCATGTCCGCCCTGGCCGATGCCGGCATCTATGTCATCTCGGATCTCTCTGCGCCTTCCGAGTCTATTGTGTCCAATGACCCCAAGTGGGATGCGGACCTGTTCACTCGCTACTCCAAGGTCGTCGATGCCTTCGCCAAATACGACAACGTCATCGGTTTCTTCGCCGGTAACGAAGTCGCCAACGAGGTCAACAACACGGCTTCCATGGCCTACGTCAAGGCCGCCGTCCGTGACATGAAGAGCTACATCAAGACCAAGAATTACCGCAGCTCGCTCGCCATTGGCTATGCCACGGATGATGACCAGACCGTCCGTGAGCAGATCTCCAACTACCTCGTCTGCGACACCAGCGATGATTCGATCGACTTCTTCGGTTACAACATTTATGAGTGGTGCGGTGATTCCAGCTACTCGACCTCCGGCTACAAGGACCGCACCGACGAGTTTAAGGACTATCCTGTTCCCGCTTTCTTCTCCGAGTATGGCTGCAACCAGCCTTCTCCTCGCAAGTTCACTGATGTGCCTGTTCTCTACGGCCCCGACATGAACGATGTTTGGGCTGGCGGCATTGTCTACATGTACTTTGAGACGGACAACCACTTCGGCCTGGTCTCTGCTGATGGCGACAAGATCAAGACTCTGGCGGACTACTCCAACCTGTCTAGCCAGATGAAGAAGGCTACCCCCACTGGTGTCAATAGTGCCAGCTACGCCGCCACCACCACCGTTGGTCGTAGCTGCCCCACTGTTGATTCGACCTACTGGTTGGCTGCCAGTGCTCTGCCTCCCTCGCCTAACGCGGATCTTTGTGCCTGCATGTACAACGAGCTGGAGTGTGTTCCTGTTGACGGGATCTCCACCAAGCAGATGACCAACACCTTCAACTTCCTGGGTGGTGTTCCCGGTGTGATGGACGGCGTCTCTCACAACGCCACCACCGGCAAGTACGGCGGTTACTCCATGTGCAACACCAAGCAGCGTCTGGCGTGGGCGATGAACCGCTACTACCAGAAGAACGGCAAGTCGTCGGATGCCTGTGGATTCAAGGGTGCGGCCACCGTGACCAGCACCACCAAGGCCTCTTCTTGCTCCGCCCAGTCCTCTGCCATGAGTGCCATTGGCACTGCTGGCCGTAACAACGTCAGCGGAGGCCCGGCTGCTGCCTCTGGCACTGCCACTGGCGGTTCTACTTCCACCTCCCAGGGCGCTGGCGCCGCTACCTTTGGTCCCCAGGCTGTCTTCGTTGGCTCGTGGCAGACCGGTGCTTATGCCGTTGCCGCGGTTGCCTCTGGTCTGTTCATGCTCATGCTGTAAATTTAGGAGCTGTCGAAGAGACCGGACTCGTGAGAGTCCTTTGATGTATTTGATCTTTGCATTTTTCCTGTCGTTCCATACCTTTCTGATTGACTGTGCATCGGGTCCTGGACCGACGACGGGCCTTTCATTATTCTGTGTGTTTATAGATTCAGCATTCCCACCTTTTAGCGCCCATTCTACCTTTTTGTCTCCAGAAATTGACTTGAAAATTCTGCATATGTCTACCCTCACTATCCGCGGGGACAACTGGTCCCTCTAGTACTACCGGTCCTCTCGGAAGTTTCGACGAATCCATGTAGTAGTAGTGCGAGTGATGTTGAAGGCAGCTTTTTCACGGCGTCTAGCAGCGCCGGGGTCGGTCATGAGCCGTCCAAGCCTCGGGCTTCTAGCGTTTCCAGTACCGTTCGAAAAGGACGCTTCATGATCATGCTCACCCAAGGCGTACGGCGGAATACCCATGGTCTGTCTTATCTCTCCGCTGGGACCTCGTCTACGACTGAGAAGAATACTGGTGGTCATAATCATGTTTTCATATATGCCTTCTTCGCCCTGTGTGGCGTATTTGGAAGCCCCCCTTAGTCCATCAATTTCTCCCCCTCCTCACTCGACGCAAGACTGGTGAACTGAATCTCACGGATAGCGTGTCCCTTCCACATCAGCAGCATGACAAAGAAGAAGGACAACACAGCAAAGAACGCCATCATCCCATACACCCAGCCGACGCCAACGGCATCCACCCACGGATTGATGTAAAAGCTGATCGTCAGTCCGTACGCTATGCGATACGCACCAATCACAATACCCGCTTCCGCCGGGTATTTGGTGAAGCACTCGACGACATAATTCACAGTGACAGGCACACTAGCCAGCGACCCGATCGTGACCAGGAAGACCGCCAGCGCGAGCACCATATAATGGAGATGGTATTGCAGAGCGGCGCCAAAAATACCCAGCCCGATGGGATTGAGGATGAGACTTGGTAGCCAGAGCACGTGCAGACGATACTCGGGTTTCCAGACGCCGTTGTTCCAGCGCCGTGCGAGTGCGAGCGGGAGTCGGTCGTTCAGGTGGTGGCCGAGAATGAGCACGAAAATGATGCCTATCCAGTGGGAGAATGTGAAGGCGGCGTTTTGTTTCAGGGTGAAGCCGTAGCCGCCGGCGGCGACGGGCTTCTGGAGCCAGACGGGGGTGAGGGCGTTGACGCCGACGTAGAAGCCGAAGGAGATGAGGGTGAAGAGGCCCATGATGACTGTGACGGGGCATATGCCGATGAGGAAGGGTGTGAATCCGATTTTGACCTGGAGGGGGGGTGCACTTCATTAGCTTTCGAATGTTGCTGGTTAATATAGGCACCATGTGGGTATTGACAGGACTGACTGTATTTTTCCAAGAATCCGGACGCACCACTCGACGCCCGAAGAAGAATGTCACCAATCGATTTTCCAGAAACGAGAGCGGGACCGGGGGGTTCCTCTCTAGGTCCATGCGATCAAACCCGGTCTCTTCAAGACAGAAAAAGCAGCAGATCAGAGTGAGCCCCAATAGACCGACAGTCCACCAGAACTCGACTGGGAAGAATGCCTCTGCAGATATGAAGCCGGAGATTGTCGGACCAGCAATGGTGCCAAACAAGAACGACATGTGCAACGCAGTGAATGCTCGTCCTCGCTGATGTAAAAAAAATAAATCAGTGACCACCCTCGGGCCCAGGACAGTCGGCACCGCACCAAAGAAGCCGGTGAATAGTCGGGAGATGATGAACGGAATATAATCCCCTGGGTGGGTCATGAGAGCTCCCCAGATTTGACATATCAGGGTGAATAAGATACACCAGAATATCAATGAACTGCGACCAAGACGGTGCGCGATAGGCGCGAAGAAAAATGGCCCACCGGCCATGCCAGCCAAAGCAGCTGAGTTCTATGAGGTAGATTTGTTAATATCACAGATCATTACAGGAGCTACTATGGACAGTCTATCAGGACTTTACATACCGCAAATGATTCTTGCAACGTTGTCTTGTGGTATAATTTGGCCTGACCTTCCAGGTTCAACTGCGCCGAAAGGGGCGCGATCGCGCCCGCAAAAGAAGCCAAACATAGTACCCCGAGAATGATATACTTGCGCCGCGAGGGCCAATTCTGCGCGAAAGTTCAGATCATATTAGTACTCGTTCATGAGCCCAACTCTGCGGCGGTTATCGCGCCAAGAAAAGCAAAAGACCCAAGGTACCTACTAGGGGGTCGCGCGGGTGATCACTTGGCTTCGGCACCAAGACCAAATGCGCCTCCTCCGGTGAACCAGTCTCCGCCAATGCCACGTCATGAGTCTCCTTGGCACTGGTCATCGCGAGTTGCCAGCGTCCTTCTTCAGAGCCCGTTGGCTTGTCGTCAACCCTAACTTGATCGGCTTTTGCGAGGGTGCGAGTAGTTAAAGAATGATTTGGTCGGTGACTGGGTTGCTCAAAAAAATGAAAAATTGGGTTAGGAGCCCCTTGGGTCCTGACCCCTGACCTCTCGTATTTCCGTGCGACGGTCTGATCGTCGCTGGTCCCCCCTCCTTCTGTCTTGCCACGGCCGGGATGGCAACCTCGTATAATTGGTAGTCTTGGCGAGCTCGGTTCGGATTGAGATTGGGTGCCCAGGCTCTTCTTTTGATACTCTAGCTCGTAATTGAGCCATGTTTCCTATTGATGTTGAAGGGTGACGCGTCATCTGATTGATAAGAAGTAGATGTGGGGACTTCCATCGAACGGGCGTGTTCTAGTTTCCGGAAGCGGTAAATGGCCACTGGCGCTGTACTGGTGCCATTGAGAGAAAGAACGCACCGGGTGACTAACTGCTGGACCAGTATAGAAAACGGCAGCCTCCGCCAGTCCAGACAGCGAGATACTCATTGACAATCATGCCGCGCGCCTATGGGCTCGAAACATCGTCTCTGTACGGTGGCACAATGGGCCGTATATGAATACCGTACGATTTGGAAACGGTACCTCTCACCGTCCCAACCATGAACGTTGTTGAGTTTAGCACTGTTAAGCAATCCTTGCGTAATCGTTCTCCTGCGTTATTTCTCTAATTTTTGGTAGATCCAGAATAAAAATATCGACGGAGTAAGTTTTTGAGGACATTCGAATTATTTTTATACTCTTTACTGACATTGAAGATCCGCTTCCTTCTACCTAGCAGAAATTGAACCTTAGACCTCGACTAATACTTCCGGGTATGGCTTTCAAGTTGGAGACTATAAGGGATGTAGGACTTCTAATGAGTAAATGGCTCTACTTTCTATTGTGTTAGTTTACAACCTATAGGTACGGGCCTTTCAATATACGTGGTTGAGGTCCAGGTTGTGTAACTTGGGTGTGTTAGATGGAATCAAGATTCAGTGTGTTGGAATCAAGTGCGCCGGATGAGGTTTTACTTGAGTGAGCCGGATACGTGGTGGAGAAGCTAAGTCTACGCGCAGGGAGCGAAGAAAGAGTGAAGCGGTTGAATTGGTGATAGGCGAGTAGGCACGACAGAAATACACACAGAGAGAGAGAAAGAAAGAGAGAAAGAGGAAAACTTGCGAGATATAGCAGGGGAAAGCCCCTCTTCTCCATCACATGACTGCTGGCCCTACATAATTGGGGCAATCTCCGTCAGCAATAAGGTTTGAGTGAAGGGAGCTGGAGTCGAGTACGCTAGGTCAGGCCAGGAGGTAACGTAATCCACAAGCGAGCCGTACACACAAGCGAGCCGTACACCTAGCCCTATCATGAAATTTCAAAATTAATTATCTCAACCAATATCCCTTGATTTAACTAGATCTGGCGATTTTTACATACATTAATCCTATGGCCAACTTACCCACACCCACTACACCTAGGCGGAGCCCTAGTAGTTAGCCGATCTGGCTGATTAGGCGTTTCGTCCTACGTATACGATACTACCTTACCTACTTTAACTAGCTAATTTACCTGCTGAGCTAGTTATAGGCCCTCTTGAACGGTTAGGCCCTTATCGTAGGGTATCTGCCTAGTTAACTATTTACGCTTCTTAATAACCTTCTTATTTACTACGTATAGATTAGCGATTTCTTACGATAGTATCGCGGCGTTATATATCGAGAGATAGGCACCCTTGATAATCTGATCTATAGCGGTTTTTGATAGCGACAGAGGGCTATTTAAGCGCTATTTTAATAGATTCTTAAGTAAGATAGCCTATTTCTATAGCTAAACCACGGTTCTAGGTATTTTTAGTGTGAATTAGCTAGATCGGCTAGTTAGCTAGCTAGTTAGTAGTATAGGTATTCGTAGAGAGATATTAAGCTTCGAAAGTACCCTTTCTATATTAATCGGTACTAGTCTACTAGCTACGAAGCTATTTTAAATAGTAACTAGTTAAAAGGCCTCTAGCTATATACGTTAATAGTTATCGAGGAAATCAAATTTATCGATATAATTATAGCCCCTATATATAAGATTACTAATAAATTAACTATATACGCGTTTTAATACTATAAAATAGCTAATATCTAGTAGCTATAGTAGATATAATAAGTATATAGATATATAAAGTAGTATAATATTATTTTCGGCGTAGATTCGGTCGAATTAAGGTATAAGATAGCTACTATAGCTATTAAGAATTAGTAGCCGAAATCGGCTAACTACGCGCGAATTTATTAATAGGATAAATAGCTTTTATAGCTAATATAGGCTAATCTTATCGGTTATCTAGCTATTATTCGAGACCTCTAATCGCTAATCTTATAGTAGGTTATTAAACTAACTAGCGATTATAACCTTATCCTTAAAAATTATATATAGTAGTAGCGAATAGCTATTAGCGTAAATTACTTCGATAGTAGTAATATATTCGCGATTACCTAGCTATAGTATCGATCGCCGACCGTAGTAATCAGCTCGCGTAATAACCTTTTATATTAATATAAGGCCTATTATAAATCCTATCTTATCGAAGTTATAGATATCCTACGGTTAAATACCGTTCTTATCGATTACGCGTTATACGGTCGTAAACCACGCTCGTAGCGATTTTGGATCTTCGTTTAGGGCACGTTAGTAATTATATCGTCTTAAGAAGCGTATACGAAGCTTATCGCGACGTTTAATAAAGTTTAATAGCTAGTTAATACTAATAGTAGGCGAAGGATTAGTTCTATATATAGTAAGAAGAATATTAGCTATTTCTCCTATAGTAGTAGGTCTAGGCGCTACTCTACGTAAATCTATAGAGAGAATCTATTTAATAAGCGATTCCTCTTCTAATTAGGTTAATTTATAGTTATTTAGGCGTTTATTAACGCGTGCCTATATCCTATTCGCGCGATCAGCTAGGGTTATATAAGATATTTAGTATAGCTTTACTGCTACACGAATAGATTTGATTCGGCCATTTTGAAGATCGTCAAGGGCTAATAAGATATTACCCTCTTAATTAGCCGATTTTTACCGAGATTCAGAACGATTTAGTGGCATGGTAAGTGGTTAAAGAAGGTAGGTAGGTAGGATGGCGCGATTTTAGATAGGGTGTACGGCTCGCTTATATATACGGCTCGCTTGTGGATTACGTTAAGTAGAGACCATTAGGTAAGCCATCGAGTGAGCCCGGTGCTGGTAGTACTTGAGAGTGAAAATGGTACCTACCTCCTAGCAGTTATATATACGTATACCTCGGTGCCGCACGGTACTCATAGACAATGGAGGTACCGTTCATATACCGAAAAGACAAGACTTTGCCCTGAACGCCGTGAATATTCGTAAGCTTTAGGGAAACCGCTCTCAGCACAGTGTTTCCAGAATCAAAAGCGGGCGGTATGGGAGCATCTATCAGGGTGAAATTTCATTACCCGATGACTTCTGAGAATGACGCTCAAGACCTTTGGCGGGCCTTCCCTTTTGGGCGGCGGCTGTGCTCGTATATCATACCTCCCCATCGCTGATTTGCGTGCTAAGGATGTCCCCCTTTACAACGATCCGTCCGTCCTCCTCAGCTGTTAACATTTTCATCGCCAGAAAAGAACGAATATCAAGATGGTCCACATCTTCTCCAAATTGGCTCGGCGTTGTTTGGATAGGAGTAGAGATGAAACCGGTTACAAACGCCTTGCTGACGACCCGCCTGCTCAAGAGGTCCCGCCTACTCGAGAAGTTCTGCTGTCTGAGAAGGTCGCAGCAAAGGATGCAGTCATGATTGCATCTGACGGACTTTCCTCGTTGGGGTTTTTTAGGCCTTCTTGTGCCTTTCCTTTTCATACTGGGGAGAATTACGGCTCGCACGGTGATTGTCGACTCCGGTACGGCCATGCTCTTTGCTTTTTCGAGTTCGACAGGAATGTCTTTGTTAAGTACATTCTCTGGGAGTTTACTCTCCGACAGCTCAAGCAAAAGCGGACACGGATGTTACAACGCATAGACAGTTTACGCCCACTCCCTGGAGTTGACGATACGGATGAGGAGGGAGGCGTTTGTGACCTTCAGAAAGTTGAAATCGATTATAGTGAGACATCCCCCCTACTCTTCGAACCATCAGACCTATATGACCAAGCGGAATCAAACGGAAATTCTGCACCCCAAAGGATTCTCCCTTCACATGTTATTCAGTCAAAGGAAAAGGATGTCATGAGTTTGGAGAAGAGAGTCGTCCATGCCGCAAAAGATATCCACTGGCTGTCTTGCAGGCTGGACGAGATGGAGATGCGGCTTCCAACACTAGTCAAGTTAAATCTCATATCCATTCGAAACGATCCGATGTGGTATATGAAGGAGAGTTTGGTGAAGGACTGCGCGGATCGTGGTGGATGCTGCGGCCGCAATTGCGGCTGTTGTGAGTTGCGCGCCAGGCATACCTACGAAACGGGTATTGGCCATTGCACAGTTGAATGTTCTTGCTGCTTTGAGTTTCGGGGCTTCGCGCCATCTTCACAGGAAGCGGTGCAGACGATTCGGGACATGGACATGTCTCTGAAGCACCCTGACGCGGCGTATCTCGTGAGACTGGCAAATGGGTTCTTCTGCATGACGTGTTAGCTAACTTGAATAGATGGACCTTACTCGAAAGAGAATACACAAAGTAATTTTACGGAATTGATGACGAATGTGTGTAGTGCGTAGGAAGACAAGAAGCTAGTCAGTTCACCGACTTTCATTACTGCTGGAATATAAAATACTCCGTTAAAAACCTTACCTCGAGTCCCTGGCTCGATACAGTGACGGCGTTTGCTAGAGCTTGTTTCTGTGACTGCTGGTCAAGTGAGGTCTAAATACTTTGACCATAAGATCATATTTGCGGGAATAATATGATCTATACATGTATTCGGTTGGGATTAATCGCACCGAAAAGCAATGCGTCATGTGAATATGAGGTCAGTTGATCTCATGATCGGTCGATACAGGATCGAATCTCTTGCTCTATTCTTACACAAGAATACACCCATCATATTTTATTATTTCTCGTCTCCAGTATTATATTATCAAGTAGAATCCCTGGACAATAGTTCTCAAACGATGGTACTTGTCCTTTTCGACCGTCTTCGTACCGCCTGTCTTTTTTGTAGGCAAGACGTGCCACTGCGGCCGACCTTGCACCCCGGATCGAATGGATCGTGCATGATACACTCATGCAGAAAACCTAGAGAATAAAATTCATGTGGACTTGAGTGAAGATAGCTGCAGTCATTCTGGCCACGAGTGCAGGCCTAGCAGGCTAGATTGTAGTTTTTCCTACTGGCCTTTTGGTCGGTCTTTCTAGATGATCCTTTAAACGGTCTTTGGAATCATTCTTCTTCATAAATTCCTCAGAGTCATACCGATTTGGCAGCCTTCTCAGATACAGCCCGTTAGAAACCTTCATAACTTATATTCGCTGCCGAGTACACTCGTCTAGTGGCTGCCGTAGACGTGGCCCTATGAACACGTGGATCTTATGGTGACTTCTCATTTCACTCCGAAACTCAGTTGCCAGCAGAATGTTGAGCCCCGATGTAGATTGTATGAGAGCTAATTTGAATGTCCAAGAACTCAATTCTTTTGGCAGGCAAGCTCGACTAAGTCCAGGATGGATGTTGTAACTCATAAGAGCTTCCACGCGCAACCTCTGGAAGCTACGATGAGCCTAGAAATTGAACGGAGTTATTTAAGATGTATACCGCAAAATGCGTGTCCATGGGAATAGGCATTGAATTAGTGTATTGAATTCGATTGTCTAGGAGACATGTCCATCTCATCTTGATTTGATGTTCCGGGCGCTGGTAACTATCTCAATGACCTGGTTTGTCCCGCTTGCAGCACAGCTCAAAAATATCTGTGTCAACCTAGTTGAAGCCTCATTAGTGTAGATGTAGACATTCTGGCTAACATAACCGACCTCAAATGTAAGCCCCTGGAGATAACTGAAAGTTTTCCATTGAGCTGCGTTTATTGATTCCGTGATCGTCAAGTACCAGGCACTCAACATTAGTAAGCCTCAGACTTCGGTGATTTCGCTCGAGAACCGTAGGTATTTTTCGGCGGTTGTCCATCATCCTTCAACCACTTCCAATTATTCAGGTCTACACAGGGTATATTTTCCGAGAAACAACTTCTTCGGGCTGAAAGGAGAGCTGACATCATTTTCAGGCTCGAGGACTGTATGGACTCTAAAAATATGTTGGTCGATTCCGCCAACTACATCGGGGAAACTCATCCTTCGGTGTCTTGACTTCTCGCCGAGCGAGACCCGGTGCAGAATCCACGCTACAAGAGTATTTGAGAAGCTGAGACTTAAGATTTTTCATTTTTCTCCTCTCACTATACTAAATTTCTTGCATTTGAGCCATTTTAATGGATTGACACAACACGATCTCACTCGTTTCTGGACTTTGAACCTGCCCGAAATGGCGCGGGCCTCAGATCCTTCTCCCCAAACAGCTCCAACGCAGGTCCAATCTACACAGCTATCCGTAGCCACGGACGACGAGATAGACTCCAAGCCACATCCGCACCTGAAAGCTGGGCACCACTTACCACTATGGCGCAAATGTCTGATCTTATTTGTCGTCAGCTGGATGACATTGTTGGTCACATTTTCAAGCACATCCCTGTTAACTGCGATTCCTGAAATTGCCAACGATTTGTCGACGACCCGGGAAATCCTGAACATTGTGAATGCGGGTGTCCTGATTGCAATGGGATTTTCGTCATTCATCTGGGGCCCCATTTCTCAGATTGTTGGCCGGCGCCATGCCTATAATAGTGCAACTTTGGTGCTGTGCGCATGCTCGGCGGGTGCCGCAGTATCAACCAACTTACATTCTTTCGTTGCGATGCGTGTATTGTGCGGTCTCACGGGAACCTTCTTCATGGTCGCGGGTCAGACCATCATTGCAGATATATTCCGGCCAGTAGGTATCTCTTGTACCGATGACTTGCGAAACTGTTGCTGATCACAAGAATCCAAGACTGTGCGTGGGACTGCGGTGGGGTTGATGATGGCTGGCTCAGTGAGCGGACCTGCGATCGGTACTTGTCCCTGCATCTTCTGTCACTTTCAATGATATTCAGCGCTGATATTTATGGCAGGCCCATGTGTTGGAGGAGTGATTGTGACATTTTCCCAGTGGCGTGTCATCTACTGGCTTCAATTCGGAATGACCCTTTTTGGGTTGATATTGTCCTTGATCATCATTCCAGACATCACGAGGCATCGGTCCCAATCTGTCGAGAAACGACCGATCAGCTTGTTTTACGTCGTCCGGCTCTTCAATCCTCTGCATGTGTTCCGCCCTTTCATCTACCCGAATGTTGTCCTCTGTGTGAGTGTGAACTGCCATGTGTCTCCTTATCATCACGACAGCACTGATATGCAATTTGCAGCATTTTACCTGTGGCCTACTAGCAACTTTCCAGTATGGCTTTCTCACCTCTGCTCGCTCAATTTTCAATCCTCGCTTCCACCTACAAACACCTCTGGTCAGTGGCTTGTTTTATCTATCACCGGGACTGGGCTTCCTCATTGGAAGTATTGTAGGAGGCAAGTTATCGGATCGTGCGGTCAAACAATGGATCAAAAAGCGCAACGGTACAAGACTGCCTCAAGATCGGCTGAACAGCGGGCTTGTCAACTTGTTTGTCGTTCTTCCATCATCTACTCTGATCTACGCATGGACGTTACAACAAGAAGTGGGCGGCATGGCTGTACCGATCATCAGTGCCTTTGCTGCTGGTGTAGGGCTGCTGGGCACTTTCAATGGGCTCAACACTTATTCAGCCGGTGAGGGACTGACCTGAACGCCGTTCAACTTTGAAAGTGCCGTGATAATGGAAGCCATTTCTGACAGACATTATCGCACGCAGAGGTAATCCCACAACTTCGCTTTCAAGTGATCAGTGGCAAGTACGTGATGCAATACGCCTTTGCCGCGGCAGCCACAGCCTCTGTCGAACCATCGATCGGCTGTATCGGCGTTGGCTGGACATTTACCATTTGTGAGTCGATTCCTCAGAACGAGTTTTCACAAGACTTATCTAAGCCACGGTGTTTTATTACAGATGTATTCTTGGCGCTACTCGGCGGACTTTGTGTCTGTGCCATTATCCGATGGGGGTTTGACATGCAACGCTGGGTAGAAAGGACATTCGACGTTGACGAGAAACCATCATCTGCATAGCGAGCAAGCGGAAGCAAGTAAGAAGAAGAGTAGATGACCATTTTATGGTCGTACAGTATAGTCAAACAACCTACATACATAGATTTGTGAGATACCAATAGACCACTTGCCCGAAATCACTTGACTGGAAATTGTTTCGAAATCGATAGCGTTGAAAGCCGGCTCTTTGCTGTCATCAAAAACCACCCAGAGGCATTGCCCGAATCAAGCACATCCTCAACTTGTATCATAAAGCCAGTCCAGGCATAGAATGTAAGTTGAAGTTCGTATTCTGAAAGAGAGCAAAAGATCCATTCTGGTGAGTGCTAGGTAAAGAGGCCGACAAGTACAATTTAGGTACTAGTTAGGCACACTGCGTACATAAGTTCAGACTACAGTATGCTTAATTGTGAGTCCAGTCAGAGGGTTCCGATTGGTCAAGGCAAAATCCCCTGTCTCGGCGTAGGTGGCCGAGCTCGGCGACAGCCGCCGAGTTTCACAGATTCAGAACTGACCGCATCATCTCAACCTTGCACGACATACCTTCGATCATACAAAAAAAAGCATAGATAACATGGCCCGCGCTAAAGGGCCCAAGAGAGCGGCGCCCCAGCCGAATGAAGAGGAAGAAGATTCTCCTCGGCAAAGAAGGAAATTTGTCGCGTGTGTGGCCCTGTCTATTTGTACCTTACGAACAGCCACAACGCCCCGTCACCGGATCTGAGCAACAGTCTAACGCTTTTTACAGGTGCCAACGCTGCCATACCCATAAAATCAAGTGTTCGGGTGATCTGCCATGTAGCAAATGTCGGGCTGTGGGATGCGCCGCCGAATGCGCATACAGCTCACGGGATCGTCAGGTCAAAGTCAGTGAGAAGTAAGTCGCCGGCATTCTCAACACTACGCCAGAGCTTGAGCATTCGATCCTTGGAACAATATGCTCTGAACAGTATTGCTCACATTTTTGAAATGGTAGCTTTCTTGAGCAACTGCTGGAGGAGAATCGGCGATTCAAAGAACAGTGGATCTCCTCGGCTGGCGTCGCCGAGACAAACGGCCCTCCACAAGTCGAAGGGTATGTCCATATGGTTTCATACTTCATGCCACTTCATGGGGGGCCGAGGATGTTCTGCTAAGACCCCGATCAGATCTTCATCTCTACTTGCAACAGCTACCGAGGTGTCTGATTCTGCAAGTCATCAGAATCCGCTCATTGGTGACCGAGCTTGGTTTCACCGTTATGATTCCTCCTCGCCTCCAATCTACATCGGTGAAGCCGCATGTTCTGCATTTGCAACTCGATTTCGCCGCTTTCTCACTGGCAATAACACAGCCGCGCACATCACTCGTACACAGTGGGAGCGTGAAGAGGTCATCGCAGAGGCAGCGAGCGATGGATCCGCACAGTGGCCAAGTTTGCACCATGCGCGGCTGCTCATTCGTATCGCAATCAATCAGATCGGACATTTGTACCACCTCATGATGCGAAAGACAACTCTCGATCAATTGGAGCATATCTACCAAGCTCAGAAATTCGATTCGGCTGAAGAAAAGTGCAAATTTTTCGCCCTCTTTGCCTTTGGACAAGCGTACTCAGTCCGGTCTGATCCCACTGCTGGGCTTCGGGTTCCTGGGACAGCTTACTTTGCGCAAGCAATGAAATTGGTCCAAATTCTACCGGAGAGGACGAGTCTCACTCATCTTGAAACTTTGCTTTTGCTGGTAAGCGAGCAAAACTGTCACAACGAAACAACGGCAGTCAGCTAACCGATCTAGTCCCTGTATTCGTATTACCTCAATCGCCGACATTCAGCTTACGTTCTAATTGGAAACGCCATGCGAATGGGTCTAACCATTGGCCTAAATCACAACATCGCCGAATCACAAATCATTGACCCCGTTGAACGTCAACACCGCATAGAGTTGTGGTGGACAATTTACATATTTGATCGCATGTGGGGGTCCAAGATGGGTCTTCCCATGCAAATACTAGATGAGGATATCCACGTTGATCTTCCTTCGATGATCAATCCGAACTGGCGTCATCAAGAAGAACTCTCGGATCCAGACTACATGAAGGCCAATATCAAGCTTGCACGGATCGCAGGCGAGACCATCACCCGATTGTACAGCAGACGCAAATACGACGAAACGTTCCTGCAGCGTGTGCAAAAATTACTCAAGTCCCTGAAAAACTGGGTCGATACTCTACCCGAGAGTCTGCGGCTCAACATGGAAGATTTAGAATCGAGTAAAAAGCCAGTTGTTTCACTACACATGGCCTTCAATCAATGTATCATTCTCACAACACGGCCGACACTATTACATCTTCTCATCACTCTTCGGAAAAACAACGGCTCACGACCCCTTCGCGAGAACTTCCGAGAATTGGTTTCGCAACCTGTGCTCACTCTCAGTGAAGCCTGCATACATGCTGCCCGCCACTCGCACTCAATGATCCTTACCCGTTGGATCAACGGAACTTGTCCGTCTTTTGGCTACTTCCATGCGCATTATCTTTTCTCTTGTGCATTGATTCTTGCCATGTCCAGTTTTGTGCCTATCGGCACTCCGAAGGATATGTCGGGCTTTGACTCGGCGTTGGACGTGCTCCGCTCAATGTCCGAAAATGGCAATCTCGCCGCTGCAGAATTCTACAACAATTTGACACAGGTCAAACTGTGTCTGGATGATTACAAGAGAGCCACACAAATCCAGAGAACAAACTTGGGTTCTGACGCTCCTCCGGGCACTGCAGATCCTCAAAGGATCATAACTTCGACGCAAGCCTCCCGGCAGCAGCAACAGCAACAGCAACAGCAACCAGCAACGCAACCTCCGTCCACAAGCCTACCGAGACCTTTCTTCAATGCCTCCACAGACTCCACTTTCCCGACCGACGGGGACTCCTTGCTAGGGCAGTCAAGTCAAGGACTCGATGCCCATTTCTGGTCTGGTAGGGACAGTCTCGCTGGCTACACTACGGAAATGGCCTTCTTGGAGCCAACCATGCAGGATTTCTTGGCTCAGTCGGACATTGATCTGGGGTCCCTGCATCCGATGGATACATTTTTGAGTGATGCAGAGAATATTTATACTTCACATGGACTATAAAAAGCCATGATGGTTGAGGTTTCAACGTAATAGCCTACGAGGTACCTGCCTGTTCTGTTTTCCTTTCTCGTGTGTGGGTAAGGATGCGAAGTCACTCTGCGGAGGCGAAGACCTTGCCACAAAGTTGTTGCTCAAATCAATACACTGATCCTCAATTTTATGCAAGATGTGAGCTCTAGCAGTGCTGTACCTGCCCATTTATTTAGTTGTTAGCCGATTGGCGACAGCTTGCTCTGCAGATCAATGAAGGTCAGTGTGTACTCAAATTACAGAGATGGGACGGTTGGATGAATGGCTTGAGAGAGAGTTTTCAGTCAGCTAGTACAGGATGGGACTCAATGTTAGCGAGGCTTTTTTGTTTTGTCCGGACTCTCGATAGGATCAAGGACCATGACAGGAAGAGCAATTGGAAGACGCCAACTCAGGTTTTGAAGAACAGAGGCAATCTTTCAGCAATCTTTACGCCGAAAGTTGAGTTGGGCGATCGGACTGGCGCGGAACTCCTCCGCGGCGCTCACCGAAATGGCAAAAGCCTCGACGCAAAAGGTCATTTCTAGAAGGCAGACGAAGATGCCTGCGGAAAGAATTGAGAACCGAGATACCACGAGTGCTTACGGCATGTTGTCAAGTCGGATAGAGTGCTCTCTACCGTGACGGGACAAAATATCCATGCAGACAAGCCATGCTTTCTTGGAGGCAAGGTCTTTGCCAGACATAGCATGTAGCCATCTCAGAGCCTTTTCAACATACTGAACCAGATCAGCACTCTCAGGTGTCTGTGGTTTTGTACGGTGAAAGAGCTGTGTAAGAATAACAGTCACCGACTGCATAAAGTAGTGAAGTACACACCACCATGGAGACACTTCAACCAGCCAGGTGATGTTGGGATTTTCGGGAAGCATGTCCCACATTTCGCATGCCATTTGCACGCAGATGGCCGCCATCGTGTCACAGAAAGTGCCGCCTGCACGAGCATTAGCGCTTGGAGAATGATAGGCTAGCTGGCTGAGACAAGGCTGGGTGATGACAAGCTTGGCACTGTAGAAGCGAAAGCCCACGTCCGCACGTTGGCGGACGAATGGATCACGACCAATATCAGCAAGCTTCGAAATCTGAAATTCTGTTGGCAAGCGTGATAACCAGGCGTCAGCATTTGCGTTGAGATTGGATATGACAACTTCCATCTCTATCCAAGATTTGCCTGTCGCACTAGGGGCATACAGTGTCTGAACAGCATTTCTCGTAATACGATCTAGGTCCAGTCCATATAAGAAGGCCAGAAAAGAGTTGGGCGTCATGGTTTCAATCAGATCCGCTGTCACTCTTTCGGCCTTCTTTCCTCTCCTTCGGTGATTTCTGGGCGGAGCAGGAGAATTTGGCGAGCTCTCAATATTCCCCGCATCAGCTGTCTCTTCATTTCCTGGGCCCAGCAAAGAGGCAACCAGGGCACTTCGGACAGAAAAATCATCCACAATCTCGATGATACTCGTCACGTCGAAATCCTCCTCGATGAACGGAATCGGCAACGGGGTCGTACAAAAAGCGGGATCAGTATCCGGTGGACGACCAGTTCGAAGGCAAAGTCCTGCGTCAAGCGTAGAGAGCGCCCACCACACCCGATACCGGGTCTCCTTTGAGACCAAGGGGACACTTCTGGTTTCACTGCGGAGATTGAGCCCCATGGCAGTCGCTGACCGTATGGCAATTCCATTGATTCGCCAAGCTCTGTGGTATTAAATCGATCAAGAAGGTCAGAAACAGCCCAGTGAGAGAGTTTTTTATGGGAGGGCAATCTGGATGACTGACCGATTCACTTGACCAGTGCAAAAAAGATAGAAAGCAGCAAGACCCTCAACTTGGACTTGTTGTAAGCTTACATGATCAAGCAACGAGATGCTGTCCATGCCCAAGCGCCAGCCCCTGGTGAAATAAGAGAGGTGATTGTCCCCTTCAACCTTCACGTCATCATCAATGAGCTGCGCATACGCTGCAGCGATTGCGAAAACGAGATTGAGCACGGCGACCCATCGCTTTCCGGGTCGAACTGTTGCGTCCATGTAGAAGGACTGGTATTGTGTGAGAAAGACGCCTTTGCCAATGACGGGGAATGCTGGATGAACTGTTCGGAAGTAGAGTTTCACAAAATGATCGGCAATATGCACTGGCGGTCGTTTGGACAGCTCGGTCCGATCAAGATTGATGATCTCAACATCATCCTCGAAGTAGCTCAGAGAAGAGATCGACACGGACTCTTGATCAAATCCATCGCCACCAAATGTTGATCGCCTACTGTCGAGCCGACGCTTAAGTTTGTACAACCATGCTAATTCCGAGTGTGCACCAACAAACCCAGTAGCGCGGACTTTCTCGTCACGGTTGAAGTCTTCCTCGGTATAGTTTGTGATGCTGGTCGCGAGTTTCGACGTTTCCCCTTCAGAAAAGGATTTCGGGCGGCTCTGTTTTCGGACTGTCAGAGTTTGGTTGAGAAAGGGCGTATCAATATGGTGGAATCTTACCATTCCCGAATGACGTCCGAGAGTGCGATCCACGTGCTGAACCAAAGTTTGTTCAAGTCTTGGATACAAATCTCGTACTAGGGTCTCATAAACATTGAGCTGAGCGGTCAGCTCATCCAACTGCCTGAAGGATCTAGGTGAGTATCAAGTCGTACGGATACTGTTGTCGCCAGCTCACCTACTTGAGCATTTTCTCGCGCTTTCGGTCTCCATAGGAGCATGCCACTCCGGACTCCTGGCATCTGTGGCACGATGGACGGTGACCGCTACATTTGGCTTTCTGATCACGACAGGCCTCGCAGGCGCGGCTCACGCGGCCACCGGTGGAATGAGCGACAGGGCGAGTGGCTCTTGGGATTGGGACTTTTGGGTTCCGGGAGCCCTGGCCGGGTTCAGGAGCAAAATCTGAGGAATCCCTGCGACCAGCCAAGAGCTCCGAAACGTATGGTGATAGTCCGGACGGCACAATATTAGGCGCGAAAATGTATGCTGGCTCACTCTGCTCACTTGTCGTCGGCTCATTTGGCAGGATGTTGGATGCATAGGGAAAGCCGGGTAGCTGACGGTCACTCATAGCTCGGTGGGCCTTGCGTCGCAGATGTAAGAGCTTGAGTGAAAAGCCATGCCCGAGTGAGAAGACCTATGTTTGTGACAATTGACCTTGTCGAGAATAAAAACCCTAGCGGGGCTTGGAGGGAGTCCGAGGGACTGTCTTTCTCACAAGAAAAAAATTTCCGCCCAACCTGGAACAGCCAGCGTGCGCCACAATACAGAGGACCAGTTCATTGTTATTTTCACAGAGGGCTCAACAGGAACGCCGCAAGAAACTGTGGGGGGGGGGGGGCCGGGCATCCGTCAGCCGCTGTGGTATGCTGGATGTGACTGCCGTGGAGATTCGCCACTCAGGTTGCGGGCCGCTGAAACCCATCGATAATCTTATCCAAGGCACCCTGTCAGTCTGCTGTATCTTTTGCATGTACGCAATTGGTTGGAACTCACTGAACATGAATTTCGCCCAAGCGAGGGACGTAGAACACCCAAAAAAAGGAGACCGATCTGGTCTGGACCGGTCGTCCTCAATGGGTTTGGGCCGACGAGTGGCAAGAAGGCAGTGCTCTGTTTACTCATTCAGTATAAGAGCTCCGGGATTGCACCTGATCTTGGGAATCCGATATCATGGTACCGGTAGTTGCTTCGGATGACAACTGAGATAGACCACTTTTGGGAGTTCTCGTCCTGAGAAACATTGAAGACCAGTGCTGCAGGGTTTCCCCTAGTCCTTGATGTGGAGACATGTTCGGTGGAAAATCTGGTGCTGCCATCAAAGCAATGGATTGAAGCAGTTGCTAGTAATGACCTTCGAGTGGTAAGTGACTGATGCCCTCTCTCAAATGATTGAAACGACGAAACCAAATTTTGCACAAGTAATAGAAACTTAGCTCACAACAGGTCGTATGTGAGGGTGTCTGAGATTGATGGAGACATGGCCAGTCCTCACCGCTAGGCGTATCCTTTGTTGAAAGACTGGAAGGGTCGGACTCGCCAGACAGATTCGTTAAATTCAGAAAGTAATCGATCTATGTATGTACGTGTTTGGAGCAATTCGAGACAGATCGTTGCTCTTGACAGTGTGCGCACTGACCAGATCTTGTTCCCGGCCCCTTCAAGACTGAAGTGAGGCGCATTGAAGACGACGACTCTGGAAGTGATCGCCAACCAATAAACGTCTTCCCCGAGCGGGATACAAAATGACAGATCGTGACTTCTCGAATTCAGGCACGGTGGAACACAGGCAGGAGAGAGGATGCCGTCGCAAGATTGTCTCCCGAGGTTGATTATGGTATTGTGCAGCTTTCACGGGTCGCCGACATTATCTGACACTCGGAATGATGCTGACGAGGTGATCTGGTAGATGTGAAATCTCGCCGTTTTCATTTCCGTCCCAAGACTTGTCGCTTGTGCATTCGAAACGTCCTCTGGGCCTTTGAAGCAGTAACTGAGCGTCGCAGCCTCAAAGATCCTTCGTCTTGTGCCGCCCGAATACCGAATACCCGGTCGTGAACCTCGCGACGCCGAAATTTTGAATTGCCGATCAAGCTTGCTCTCGACATATTCTGAATTCAAGCTCCTGGAACTCATTTTCAATATGCTTTATCATCTCCCAGAGACCTCAACGAAATCAAAGCTTCCGCGAGGTGCGGATGTCAGGCTGTGGACGGCATGCTCCAAGGTTTTGCACTGAAGTTGTACCTGACTCCGTACGAATTTCGTTCCCGTGCTGTGACTTCAGCAAGGTAGTTCACAGTGCCGAATCTCGTTCCCTAATCACGATTAGGGAAATCAAGCTTGTTCTAAGCACCTGCTGCACAACGATGACTTGGAAAGACCACCTGAAGGGCCATCCGACCCAGTAGCATTGAAGATAAACAACAAGGAATGATTCCAATACAGTCAGTGGCAGTTTTGAAAGCGGTTGAGTGGAAAATAACCTTTCGCAAACTGAGGGTCCAGCAAATGAAAGATGAAGACATTCGCACCTCACCCCCGATCCACATTCGTATTCAAGACACGTCGCGGTGATCCTATGAGAGAAGTCAATTGCTCGATCGCCAAGCATTCAAATTTAGCTTCGAAACTGCCCTTGAAAAATCGTCGCGCGAGGTGTTGCTCTCAAGAATGATTTACCTCGATGGCCCTTCTGTGGATCGCTCCCGCTTTTCGGATTCGTAACAACATGAACAGCAACGAACGGGGCAGCCAACCTGTGCGCGCATCGTCAACAAAAGATGGAATTTGATGAGGCCTACGCAGAGCCTTGAGCCGGGCGATCTCTATCCCAGGCGTTGAAATGTTGAAGTGTTGAAGTCTCGGTGATTTTTGATCAAGGTTTGCGATGTCATGTTGGGTTTTTGAAAGGACGCGCTCCCGTACGAATGTCCATGTTTTTGTTTATGGATCTCGCAATTCTCAACACCATCTCAGGCTGAATATGACAATCATCAGGCTAATCGATCTCGTCCACCGTGATCATGGGCTTGAATTTGGCTCAGAGACAACCATCTCTCAATATAGCCCCGCTGTGGTGTGACAGCACGCAAGTAACATCTTGCCGAGGAGCCTAACAGATTTTTGGATTTAACAGGAATAGATTCGTTCTCAAGCGATCTTATCGCGCGCAGTATTGCCCTCATGGCAGACGAACGAAATATTCTGAACCTACCGCGCTTTGATAGAAGTGCAGTCATGGGAGAGCTGAGGTTCTTGCGGCCGGATCAAGTTTCCGGACTGGCTGACGAATGTGGCTCATCGGCGATTTGACGTGGATGCTAAGCCCACTTCACCAACTGAATGAGTCAAATTTTCCGCTCGCAAGTCATCTAGCGAAGCTCCAAGACGTCCGTCAAGGATACTGTGAACATTTTCTTGACTTCGGCAGATATTCTTGTATGCAGGAGGTGCAATGCACGTGTGTTCTTAGATTCATGATAAAACAGAATCAAAATGCCTGACTAAAACCTCGCATTCCGTGTCCGTCGATTTGCTATTGAGAAGAAAGAATCATCTCAATAGAGTACACTGGCGCTGTTGTCGTTGATCCTACGTGAATGTTCCAACCACCAAGTTGTACTCAGGTGTTTCTTCGGGCTCAGGGAGTCAATAGACGCTAAATCGCTTTCTGCAGTCCAGCTCCAGCAAAAGCTATACTTCCTAAGGTAGCCTTCATTCCATTGAGAAGCGATGGTTTTTGTAGCAGAACATGCGCGCTCAGCTCTAAGTTCTCTAGTCTTTGCCCTCGTCTGATCTCAGTTGGGGAGCGCATTACTTTGGGGGTTCATCAGTCGTCCTTAGAGGACGGTCAAAGTCTCGAAGCCTAACCCCCAGTGCCCGCGGTACCAAGATCATTCTAGTGCGCTAAGTCTTTGTAGAGATTTGGACATAAATCTGATAGGGCTGGCCTTTGTTTTTGTGGCACTGATCGTCAAATTTGACACCTGAGGCACCCACTTCCTGCCCCTTGCCGTCATAGCGTGAGCCGAGTCCACGTGATGTATCTCTTATCTTATCGACCATGCCCAGGGTCCGCGCAAGAGGGCTTCAATGGCGATTTCTGATCACATATCTTCGGAATTGCAGGAGCTACAATTCATCGCTTGTCAATGCAGTAAAGCTGGACGATGTCTTTGTGTGGGCCTATGCGGCGGTCCCACTTGCGGCAGGTGAGCGCCGCAAGCCTGGAGAGCCTCTCAACGGCCCACTCCATGGAAGCGTCGCATCGAGACCATGGCCCCACGCCGGACGGACGCGTTGTTCGAATGTCGACGGGCCTGGCTCGACGGCAATGTACACTATGGGTTCATGATGAGATGTTCTCACGTGAGGATCTCCTGCTCAATCCCTCTGCGTTTGGGGATTGCGACGTTCAAGTTGGTGATATAGTGGAAATTCTGCCTGTCCGCGGATCCGGGGATCCAATTCATTCTAGTCTCAAGCCCGATGCCTCAGTGAAGATAGCGCGTGATAGCCTGATCGACCAGAGCATGTCCTCAAAACCAGACGGTTCTTCGAAATTCAAGACTCCGCTTCAAAGCCGGTGTTTATGCGTTGTCAAGCCAATGCCAGCTGAAATCAAGGCTCGTCACCCCAAACTGGAAATATCTGTGACCAGCAGCGTGGCCAATATCTTCGGTCTGAAAAACCGAACTCAAGTATATTTGACTATTGTGGACCGGAAGAATTGTGCTGCATCACATGTGGATATTGCGTTCCGTGATCAGTACATGGTCCGTTCAGATATGTGGCGGCTTGTTGAGTCAGAGCTCGTCGATAAAATCATCTACAAGGGCCAGAAGATCATGTTCATGGGCAGTATCAAGGCAACTGTCAAGAACATCTTCATTCGAGAGAAAAAGGTGCTTTCAGGCTACTTTGCGCCCAACACGATCCCTGTCTTCCGGAGCGAGTCGGCCAAATATGTCCTTTTCATTCAGATGTCCCGTGAGATGTGGGACTTTGACTCAGAAGGATCTGGAGATATTCTCTTCAGCAGAGTTATCAATGGATTCCTCCCAGAGCTTTTCAAAAGATGGGCCAACTCAGATGCAAAGCACTTGGTTACAATCGTGCTCTTCACCCGTGTCGAGTACGATGCATCAGTCCATCCTGACCTATCCAAACTCACAAATCGAAATTTGAAACCCGACTCAAGCCCAAGCCCAATGCCAACTCGAGACTTCTATCGGGTCGTGGTGAACGATATGGCGAGCGGTCATTGGATGACGATTTTGGATGAGCTCAAGAAGAATTTTCGAACATTCCTTCGGGATGTTTCGATATTGAAGTCAGATGACCTGGAGCTTCCTTTCGATACTGGCACCAGGCCGACGTCCAGATCACATACGGCAATCATCGCCGGACGTCCAAGCACGGCTATTCGAGGCAACATCCTTGAGGCTATTCATCTGGCATCTGCTCATCTGGCTTATGATCATATTGATCGAGACATGGTGCATACAGGAACTTCGATAATCGTAATCACTCCTGGAAGCGGTGTTTTTGAAGTCTCTTATGAATCTTTAGCATCCACAACAGAAGCCCTGGCCAATCGGGGAATAGCTATTGACTTGGTCTGCCTAAGCCCCATGCCCCTTCACTCAGTCCCTCTGTTCAAGTATCGAGAGCCATCAGAGCGACCTCCAAGCCCACGTCCAACAAAAGACCAGCCCTACGGAAACGACTTGTCACCCGAGACTCAACATTCTATCTCAAGTTTGGCGAGTCGATCGTCCTATCTGTCCCCGGGTTCTTATTTTTCCGCCTCGCGTATACGAGAGCGAACCAACAATCGATCAGATGGCTGGTGTTATGGAATTCCACATTGGCTTGACATCTCGTACTGGAACCCTGAGACTTATCGTGAAGCTCGGCGAGTGTTGAAGAATGATCCCAATGCACCTATTCCGCTAACTGTGACTCGACCATCCAAGGCTTTCACGCCACGTGTTCGTATGTACGAGATTCAGATGATGGGTGTGATGGAAAGCGAGCAGTCAAATATCTCGATTCCATATCTTCTTGAGGGGCGCGATTTGCGCAGACGCCGCGAGTCTGTGCAGAGCTCTGTTGGCACCGTACGAAGTGTCCCGCGGGCTCGATTTGCAAACCCGCCCTCTCTCAAGGCTCAGTACAGCGACAGTCTAAGGCCAGAACGGTCCTCCATTCTTGAAAGTGTTTCTGATTCTAGCGAGATTTGCGTGGGCGAACCCCAAAGGACGCGCAAGGCTGTCATGGCATGGATGGATCAGTACGACGAAAATGTCTTTTCGGTGTCCCTGAAACAGCGTCGCGTCCAGAAGCCCAGAGGCAAGCGCATACATGAGCCCGAGAATCAGACGAGTGGTGCTCATGAAAGGATGTCTGCACGATCAATATTACGCCTTCGGGAACATGAATCCCACACGAGTGAGAAGAGCCAAAACGTTCGAGCAAGTGGGCCACGCAGACTTGATGAAACTCCCGTCTCCGCTCCCAAGAGCCCGGTCTCTGCCAGAAGTGTACCGGTGGCGAAGCCTGCATTGAAGCCTCCGGCAGCTGCTCGACCACCGTCGCGGATTTCACGCACGATCAGCTTTGCTCTGCGTGGATTGAGCGCCACTGCACCCCGAGCGCAAGCAAGCACAGGCGTCCATGTTGAACATGCCAACGCAGGGCCTATGTCAAATAAAAGAGGTTCTACTAGTACATTCTCTGATACTCGAAGTGTGGCATCTCTCAGCCCTTCCGAGAGCGCATCGATCCGCACAATAGCTGATGTTGTGCAGCCGGAGTATACGCCCCCAAAATTGCAATTGGAGTCCCGACCGACTCCATCTAAGCCGATATCGATCAAGGCGGTTTCGAGGAAATCATCTGAAGTTGCTGTTCCGCCTGATCGTACTCAAACACAGGGCTCGTTGTCAACTTCGGCCGCAGAAACCCAAATGAATGAAGAAGTCACCGGAGAAGGTCCATTCAGAACGAGAGATCGGAAAGTTGAAATTACGATTAATCATGGCGGCCGTGAGGGTCCGCCGCGGGCATCACCGAGCAAAGCTCTTTCTCCGTGGGTTCGGTCCATCAATCCCTGCAACACCCCAAAGGACGTGCTGCGAGACACTAGCTGGTTTGGCCGCTGGCAGCATGCGTACCCTCGCCCCCCACATGTTGCTGTGGTGAAATGGAAAAGTTTGAAATCTCCGGCAGTATTGCCCTTGACAACTGAGGAGTTTCCCACAGCAGCTGAGCTTGCCTCGGAATATCTACAGACACCTTATCGGGTGGCCCCCAACGATGAGCCTGATGCTTTCGAAGCACCTAAGACAAGGGGTACACTTCTGAGGGAGATGATTTCTCTTCGATTATCTCATGGTTTCCAGATTGTTGTTGGCAAAGGTGTCGCTGAGGGAACGGCTCGACCTATTCTTGAGAGCTTCAATGTTTTCGACACGCGGGGCCTTGAGAGAGACGGGGCCATTGTGTTTCTATCCAAGGGTAATACAATTCATCGTCTGAACTGCATAGGCGGTGGAGAAATTGAGGTGACCCGCTTCACACATCAGACATCTGCTCCGCTTGTGGCTTCGAAACCCACCAACTCTACCCTTTATCGAGCTGCTATGCGAACTATACTGAGTACAGAGTACGAGATCAAGGACATCAAACTGGACTCGACTGCAGAAGACTATAACTGGAACTACGCCGATAATTATGTTGCGGGCCATCGCGATTATCTGCAGAATCCAGCACAGCAGCTTCATTTCTGGCGAGTGCGTTATGTCTTGATTCCTCTGCATCTTCATGCGAACAACCGACGACATCTACAATCTTTCAATGAGGACAACGAGGAGGAGATTCACTTGCTAGGAATCAGCCAGCTGACCCATATCTGGCAACGACATAAATATGTGTCCCCAGAAGAGAAACGTTTCGAAATATCTGCCAAGAAGAGAGATGCGAATCCCCTCAACATAATGTACCAGACACGGAATCCATCAGAGGTGGTAGCTGCAGAGCTTGATCGAATTCTTCTGTCGGATCCACGACTCGATAACCCTCCTGCCCAGCTTCTGCCGGAATCTGAACTTCTCGAACGGTCCAGCGTCAATCTGTCTAGCTTGGCGCAAACCATTCAAGGCGAGAAGGGCGTGCGAATGATGGATCGACGATGGCATTGGAGGCTGCATTATAATTGCTTTATCGGGTTCGAATTCACAACGTGGCTGCTTCAGAATTTCCGCGACATAGATACCCGTGAAGAAGCCGTTGCGTTCGGCAATGAATTGATGAAGCACGGCCTGTTTCAGCACGTGGAAAAACGGCACAACTTCCGCGATGGAAATTATTTCTATCAAATTTCTGCCGAGTACCGTGTGACTCGACCAGAATCTCGCGGTGGCTGGTTCCCTCAGCTTAGAGTGGACAAGTCCATGCCATCAACGCCAGCCGTTGGCAATGCCAAGGATTCCCCGTCAAGCTTCCATACCCGCTCGGACAGCACTGAGGACCGGGCACCCATTACGCCGAACACACCGTCCAAAGCCAAGACCAAGGTCGCTATTATGCTCTCTAAGTCCTTGAAATATGACGTGGATAACCGGAAGCGATCAAATCGGCCCGAGGTGGTTGAACTTCACTATGACCGGTTGCATAACCCTGAGAACTGCTTCCATATCGAATTGAGCTGGATGAACACCACACCGAAGCTTATCGAAGACACCGTTAATTCATGGGGCTCGACTGCCGAAAAATTTGGGCTGAAGTTAGTTCAAGTACCAATTGCCGAGGCATGTGCCATTGACCGGACTCAACCTTTCCGCAAGCCGTTCGAGCTCAAACTGAAGGTTTCTCCTCCTAAGGCGCCCATTCACACTGTTTTCAGCAATGCATCCTTCGCACAACCAGGACCTCCGGATAATTTATACTATCAGAAAGCTCTTCTACGCAAATTTGATTTTGTTCTGGACCAGGAGGCTTCCACTGCATTCCCTGCCGACGTTGAGGTGTCCTTCTCCTGGGGCAAGCCAGAATATAAGTACCCGCAGTTCATTCACCGGACGGGCAGTCTTCTTGCTCAGATCACTGACGAGGGACATTTCTTGTTACTCGCCAATCGACTTGTGAGTACGAGAAGCGTTGCCAGTCGAGACGCAGGACGTTATGAGCATCACGGTCGGCCCGAGTATCGTGGGCGTACGACTACTCATGATGTGCTTGACCGCATTTCGCCGCGTCTATCGCCGTTAGTACGGCCTCTGCACGAAATTGGGAGCCCTATTTCCCAACCTGGACACAAAGAGCTTGACTCAGCGAACCTTTACCGAGCCCCTGAGCATGTTCTCAATGGATTAGTCGAGTTTTGCAGTGACGCAGCCCAACTTGAACAATTCTATAGCGAGTCGCATGTTCGGCCAGTCTCAACAAAAGTCGAGCCCACTACAGCTAATCTGATGGACACGTCGATCCCAACGTTGGAGCTCCCCGCCAGCGTGGTCAGTCACCACATCTCCCCTCCGCCCGGTTTACCATCCCGTATCAGCCGGGAAGTGCGAGATCACCGAGACGTGCTCAAGTCTCCCGAAGTTGCGCGTCCCCGTGCTCGCGGCGAGAGTATAAGCTACAAGGGAAGTCCACGCAGTGGTAGTTTACGTCCTTTGATGTAAGCGATTGGCTTGCCAGCTTTTTTCGCGATATCTCGAGCTTGACAAGGCTTGCTTCACGTCCAATCATTATTCTCGCAATTTGACCTCACCGTCAGGTCGTGTACATAAGGTCGATTATGTATTTCAACGTAACCCGTCAAGTGTGATGTACCTTTCACCTAGCTGTCTGTTCTACTGGCGATAAGAATAGCAAACATACCGCGGTTCGTAGCAACTGATGCTAGGTCAGAATGAACGTCATTGGTAAAGTTGCCCGCAAGCTTGGGCGGGTCCATTGTTGCAAAACGGTAGCTCCGACTTCTCGGCATGTAATACCCCGTGCTCAAACGTGCCTCCGTATTCATTCTTAACTTGATCTGTGTCCTTGCAAGCTAGTGGTGATTTTATCCGAATTTACCGCGATTTAGCCGCTACAGGCCCTTGCGCGCTGGTTGGTGGGCTAATTCGAGGATCAGCTGCATTTGCTGTTTCCAGCAATGACATTCAGCTTACTCTCTTTCCACGATCCCCCCTCTGATGGGATTGCCCCCTTATGCGGAGACGAAGTTCCAGTGCGACTGCGGAGTAGTGGAGCTCTTCGCCGTCATGTCTCGTCGGTCGAATCCCCCGTGTCTAATGAGGGAAATCAAGAGGGACAGAGCGGACATGGTCGAAAGCTGGTGACATGATTCACGAGACTCCGCTGGCCTGGTCGGCGGTTTGAGTCGACAGGAGGGGCTATCTCTCATTTCATTGCATCCGCTCGACATTCTTTCTTTCGCAATCATTGCAACTCGCGATCTAGGTCAACCTCTTCGCACGAATTGAATTGGTTACGGAAAGTGCGGGCACTTCTGTTATTCACAGCAAGATGAAGTTCACCGAGGGAATGTGGTGCCTGAAAGTATGTTTTCTCGAGAATTCGGGTAGTCTTTTCGACCCTGCAGATGCAGCCGAGGGACTGGGTTCTGACGCATGGTGGTCGATAGGAAGGCGTTCGCATTGAGTGGATGAGCAATGTTGAGCGTCTGCGCACGGAGAATGAGACAGTTCACTTGCTGTTGAACAAGCTCCAGAGGCATCGCGGAGATACTCTGAACTCACGTACGCCATAACATGCTTTGCGTTTGACTTTGACTGAAAATCGGCAAACTAATCAACTTGGAAGCCACTATTTCGGCTCGTGTCACCTCGCCGCAGGAGGGGGTCATCGGCGTGAAGTTTGTTCACTGGTGAGTAGCTTTGACTAATTGGGCGATTCTTGAGAAACAATCGATACTGAACTTCAGCAAGGGCCGGAAAAGTGGACAATGGACCGCACTATCACCTGAACACAGTAAACGGTCATGCTGTCATCAATCATGACAAGATCACGGATCAGTTGGATTACAGGAGTGGCCCCTTGGCCTTGAATGTCAACACCGCAGCCAATGCTCTCGACTTTGTCTTTCGTTCACAAAACGGCAGAAAGCTGACTGGGCACTCTTTCCGCTCAATTGGCTATGTCGCCGACCAACGTACCAACAAGCATCGCTACGAGGACGGGATATACGCCGAGAAGCAGGGATACATGCTAGCTGAGCTGGATCTCGGTGTTGGTGAGAGAGTCTACGGCCTTGGTGAGAGATTTGGACCACTTGCCAAGAACGGACAGACTGTCGACATGTGGAATGAGGACGGAGGCACGAGCTCTGATTTGGCATACAAGAATATCCCTTTTTACATGTCGTCCAAAGGGTATGGTGTATTCATCAATCATTCTGGTAAAGTCAGCTTGGAAGTGCAGTCAGAGCGAACCACACGAGTCAATATCTCTGTGAGTGGCGAGGAAATCGAGTACTTTGTCGTTCACGGCGATGATCCCAAAGACATCCTGCGACGATACACAGCTCTTACTGGTCGACCAGCGCTAGTCCCATCCTGGAGCTACAATCTTTGGCTCACAACCAGCTTCACGACAAACTATGATGAGCAGACCGTTACTGGTTTCTTGGATGGGTTCAAGGAACGTGATATTCCCTTGGGCGTTTTCCACTTTGATTGTTTTTGGATGAAGTCCTATCAGTGGTGCGACTTTGAATTCGATGAAGAAATGTTTCCTGACGCCCTGGGGTATCTCAAGCGACTGAAGGAACGCGGTCTGCGAATCAGCGTCTGGATCAATCCATACGTTGGTCAGGCCTCGCCTCTTTTTGAGGAGGGCAAAAAGAACGGATACTTCATCAAGGTCAGTATCATTATTCTTTCTTGGCTAAAATGACACCCTCTTACTGAGTGCTGAATTTAGCACACGGACGATTCCGTTTGGCAATGGGACTTCTGGCAAGCTGGCATGGCTGTTGTGGACTTCACCAATCCAGCCGCGTGCGATTGGTATAACAGCCACCTCGAAAGGTTAATGGAAATGGGTGTCGACAGCTTCAAGACCGATTTTGCAGAGCGTATTCCCGTGAAGGGGATCAAGTACCACGATGGCTCCGATCCAGAACGCATGCACAACTACTATGCCCTCTTATACAACCGCAAAGTCTACGAAACACTCAACAACCGTGTCGGTCGTAACCAAGGCCTCTTGTTTGCGCGCAGCACTGCTCCGGGAGGGCAAGCTTACCCTGTTCATTGGGGTGGTGATTGCGAGAGCACCTTCGAGGCCATGGCCGAGTCACTCCGTGGCGGATTGAGTCTCATGCTTTGCGGATACATTTTCTGGGCATCTGACATTGGCGGTTTCGAAGGAACTCCACCACCCGCACTATACAAGCGATGGGTACAATTCGGGCTGCTATCCTCGCACTCTCGACTCCACGGGTCTTCTTCGTTCCGCGTGCCGTGGATCTACGGAGAAGACTGCTCAGTCGTGCTAAGGGATTGCATCAAGCGCAAGATCCTACTCACACCCTATATCTTGTCCGAAGCTTTGTGTGGTCATCGTGATGGAACGCCGCTCATGAGAGCATTGTTCCTGGAATTCCCTCGAGACCTGAACACCTATGCCATCGATACACAATACATGTTCGGGTCCAATCTGCTGGTCGCACCTGTCTTCTCCGAAGACGGTGAAGTGACCTTCTATGTTCCACGGGCTGGGGATGGGGCGACCGGAAAGTGGGTGTCGTGGTTTGACCATTCCAAGTCGTACGAAGGTGGTCAGTGGTACACTGAGACTCATGACTTTGATACTATGCCTATTTTGATTCGTCCAGGATCGGTGACGCCGATCAATCCAAAACTTAAGGTGCCAGAAGACAGCGCATTGGAAGGAATGCAGTTACTGGTGAATGGCACCTTATCTGGAGAGACCATCATTGAGATTGTGGACCCGAGTCAAACAGACCAGGTTCTGAAGAGACTTCGTGTGAGTGGCGGCCCTGATGGAAACGGCGTGCAAGTGGACGGACATGAAGTGGAAGTCATCAGCATTGGCCAGTGATTCCCAGATCCCCGGTCCTACGCTAATGAGTCAAGCTAGCGTACAAGTTGGGGTTTGGCTAGGAACTACATCTTAGAATCTTAGATCGTGTGAAATGAAAGACTTAGGACTGCCTGACTGATAATCTGTTTCCAATGAGGTATTAATGAACTTCCAATGACCGATGGGTATCATAATCGAACAAGAAAAAAAAGATGCAGTGTAGCTGTGAACACCAAAACATCAATGAAATATCAAAGTCTCACGCATGCCAATGGTTAGTTGAAAGAGGAGAACCTGCACAATGCATGTCTTTCAGAGACGGGACGTAATCACCAGCACTCCTCAACCTCCAGCAGCCACTTTCGAATGCCCTGACGCAAGAAGTTATCTACGCCGGACTGCTCCCTTCTTCGCTCTCGGTCGGCCATGCCTAGCCCACCCTCTGTGTCCTCGCGACAATGGTCTGCCGTAACTATTCTGACCACTTCTTCGAGGGCCCCCAAAACAATCTTACGACATTCAGCACGCGGAACCTCCATAGGAGGCGCGTCTTCAACACGAGAACCTGCTTGTGGTTTCTCATCCCCACGACGAGCTCGCGAAGGTGACGGTGCCCGGGAGTGAGCAAGAGATGAAGAGCCACTTTGACCAAGGACTCTCTCAACGGCATCTACGAGAATACCGTCAAGATCCATGACGGGTTCCTCGACAAACCTTTCTTCCACATGAGTTGGCACGTAGGACTCTGAGAAACCTGGGTCCGGGGACTTGCCCTGGTTTGCAAACAGACCAGAAAAGTGGGAGGCAGAGCTTGAGCTTCCGACTGTATGGCGAGCACCTCTTGTGTAAAGGGCACTGACAGGCGACGGCGGTGAATTTCCATATGGTTGACCAACAATTATTTTCCGACGCAGCTTGAGAAGCTTAACAGAAGAGCTTCTGGTATCAGCAATCAGGGTTGATGCTACATCTACCCACTTTTCCGTGCCTTCAGCATCGGGACTTGACGCAATGGTTGGGGTAGGCTCGGCGCGCATCGCCCTTTTAATATCTGCCTCAACCGCGTTGTACGGCCGAACAGCCTGAAGAGAAAAATCTTCATGAAAATGTTTAAGCCATCCCGCCACGTGAGTGCTGGGGCCATCAGCCTCCTTCGTGGTTCCATGGAATCCTGATCCACTGCTGTGTGTGGAGGCCATGGCGTCCATACTCGTGACCGATGCCCTTGTTTTTCTAGGAGAGGCAATGGTCGAGTCTCCTGACGAGGAGAGGGACAAAAATCCTGGAAGAGGGAGATCGACATCCACCACACCCTCGTCCGCACGCACTGAGAGTTTGAGAGGCGACTCACGAACGTGACTGGAGAGGGATGACTGTTCTGGAGACCCATCAGCGGTGCCATGATTACTGATTGGAATGGTGATGTTGCCGCTTGGCGCAGTCACAGAGTCTTGTTCAGCCTCAGTCTCGGCAACTTCTTTCACCATTTGAGACAGGGTGGGCGGCGCCCGTGGAGGCAGTCCTGATAGCGTAGATACAGATCGTTTACGAGCCTCAGCCGGCGAATAATAATCAGATCCATCGGTGGAGGACTCCTGTCGAGAACTCCAAAGTCCCGAGAAGATCCCGCCCCAACGTCCTCCGGCCGTCGGGAGACTACCATTGACGGTTGAAAACGAGCTTTCACTCCGCTGTAAATTCTTCAGCAGAGTCTCCGATGCGAGGCTTTCATTGGAGTCTGCTATGTTGCGGTCAGATCCTCCCTGGCTCGAACGACTCTGCTGAGAAGTGAAATGTGGCACGGGCACTGTGCTACTTTGAGTCGTCATGGAAATCGTGGCACCACTGGTATTTTGTGTCCGGGTATCCCTAGGTTGTATTGTTGCACTCAATGTCTTGATTGAACGTGCATCCGATCCGCGCCGTGCTGCGGCAGTCGATGGCCCATAGTTCACTGAATCAGCCGTTTCCATCGACCGCTGAGGCAACTCCTGGGAGGACACGCTGACGGAGCGGCGGTGTTGATGACCATCCCCTGACATAAGTCGTTGCGCACGGGCACGTCGTTCAATTGCTCTACGTAGTGACTCCTGCCGAAGCATTGGCACAGTGGGTGGGCTTTGGGAAATAGCGCGCATGGAGGCCGATGTGCCCGGCCGCATCGGCGATGGCAATGGCTCCAATTTTTGCTTGGAAGGAATGAAGGCGGAAAGCAAGAAAATGAGACGACGGGCGGTCATCTTGTCCGGGCACACAATCACTGTTCGATGAGTCAAAACAGGATCCATGTCCTGTCGAGCCTTTTGCTGCTGACTGTGACGGCGACGGTACCACTCAGGTCCAATAATGCTCAGCCATTCTGTGTGATTGCCCAAGAATGCAGTCAGCAATACAAGGAAAAAGAAATTTGCATCTCTGTCGCCTAATGCGCGAACGATTGAGCGACCTTCTTCACGCCACACTCCCCATCGACTTTGACCGGTAAGTACATAAGGGCTCTGCAGAGCCAGGCCGATTCGACGGGTGCTGCGTATCGCTTCTTCCTTGAGCTTCGAGTTGACAGAAAGTATGTTAGCTGGCAAGTGGACACTTGTCTGATTCGTCCTCTGCATGTTCGGAGGTTTCGCCGGTTTTGGATGAATTCCAGTAAGAGAGTCCACTTTCTTCAGGAGGAACAGTATCTCGTTCCTGGCAAGCCTTTCTAAATGAGACAAAGTCCGGGTTATGACATCCCAATGATCAACGAGAAGATCGAGTCGCTCGTCCAGACTGGCAGGAGGCGATGCAGTGGACAAGCTATCGTCGAGGAATGCGCCAGGCCAGCGGTGACAAGAATCCAGAGAACTCGATAACCCGGCTCGCGGAGAATCAAGACCCAGAGTACTGAACCGGGACACAGGTCGCCCTGAGCCTCGAGCGAGCAGGGGAACTTGAATCGTGATTGCCACTGCGTACATCGGGGTCTTCTTCTCCTTGATTTTCTTCTGCTTGGAGACATCCGGAAATGGGAAGCCCATCTCTGGGAGAGAGTCCTGATATATCCCGGTTGCATACTCGTTTCGATCAGCAGACGTATCGGCTCCTTCCAATATGCTGACGCTGAACATGCGAGTTACAAGAACGGTTACCTTGGCAGGAGGCTTAGTTTCAGGCACTCGTGAAGACCCCATTGGACCAGAGGAGCCTCCAGTCGTGTAAGCCCGAGCTAATGGGCTCCGCACTGCGGGAGAAGAGTTCGCTCCCATGCCCGGCTCGTCATCGGCCGACATGATGTGCATTTTGGTGGAAGAGCCGTAGGAAAAGGAGCTGCTACCGAAGATACAATTGATCAAACCTGAATCATTGGAATCAGACCCATGACGTGTGACCCCAGGTTCGTGCCAGGTTCCTCCTGGTGCTAGAGTGGAGCTACGGCCACGAGCTCGGGAAAAGGCGCCGGGACTTGCGGGCATCGTTCGTCGGGCATCAGCGGCAGCTGACAGAGGACTGGAATCTGTGACGGAGGATTGAGCTAGGTGGGTTCGGCGAGAGCCTCGAGTGAGGCTGGACACAGCGCGGGAATGGCGTGAACCTGATTGATCGACCCCATTATGATCGATCCCGAGCCCTGTTGGCCGATGATCTTCGGAAGCGCGAGTGTCCAGCAAAATGCAAGCTTCGCGGTCTCCTAACCCATTTTGAGCCACAATCACTCGGAAATCCTTCATGAAGTCCAATTCCATTCCACCACGATCATCGTATGCGCCGACTGTGGAGGCATTTGGAGAATGAAACGTCGCCTGCAATGGATAAGTGTTGGCATAGGATCGACGGAGGAGGCTCGCGTCTGGAAACAATAAGCCGGATGTGTGTTCCTCCTCGGTCACCGATTCTAGAGGAGGTCCATGACTTCGTGACGTGTACGTAGCCGGATTCAGGCTGGATGCAGCCGTGCTGAGCAATCGGCCCAGCATCGTGGAAACGTCCGAGAGGTGTGGGACCGCAAGTTACAAGAAATTCGGGAATGCAAGAGGGTTAAATCGGCCCGATCTCCAAACGTGGTGTAACGATGGGTAGGAGACAGCTAGATGAATCTAGACTGCATCTACCCATTACTTAATTCCACGGGGCAGCAACCATCATAGATGGAAAGACGGAAGATGTACAATGAGTGAACCACTTTTGACCGAGGGAGAAGTTCAGGCGTAAATGTAGAAATGGGATGGTCTGCAGGCAGTGGGGCGTGTGCGGAGGAGGCGGTAGAGAACACGAGATGATGGGAGCAATTGGTGTCCAAAGAGGCCCCGTTGAGTCCAGATATCAAGCATCAGTGAGACCCAAACAGATAAGACCTGTCAGACTGGCGATTTCGCGCAGTTCTTGGAGGAGAGCCGGAGAGGAAGTGGGTAGTCTTAGAGAGGCTCGCATGAGAGTGGAGAGGGGACCTGAGCTAGAAAGGGCGGTGAAAAGCGGACAACAGCGGATTGTGCGGTTGGTAGGCCACATGACTGCAGCCCCGGGCTCGAAGGGGAAAGCCATCTGGAAGCGGACACTCAAGTCGAGATCGAAATTATCTCATACCACCGTTGTCGCGAGACACGGTGAAACCCGCATATGCGACTTGGAGAGGTTGCTGTCGTTGCACTGCAGTGGCGCTACGCTGCGCTACGAATCCAGACGGGAGCGTTAAACAGGACATATGCCGGTGTCCAGCCCACGTCAGTTCTTCGACACCGTAGGAGACCAACTTCAAGCTTGGTGAAGGCTTGCGAGAACGTTTGAGAGGAACGCGTTGAATGATCTATGTAGTCTTTCATCCCGCTAGAAACAGAAATATATACGAAACAATATCAAGTAACTTCCTCATGCCTTTGATCGCCGCTTGACCTTATCGGCCAAAGATTTCAAGTCGTCGAGCCCTGAGTCGGTAGTTGATTTCTTTTGCTTCTTTGACCGATCTCGAATTTCCCTAGGGGGTTCTGTCTCACCGTCATCTCCGGTGTGTCGTCGCTTGCGACCCTCGTCAAGTAGGGCTTTCATGCCGGATGTTGCCTTGAAACGAGGATTGGTTGGGTCGATAGCAAATTCATGACTCTCGAACAGTCGGGAGAATCGAGGATCATTGACATCGACATTGAAGTCATCCTGAACAGTAATCTGCTTGTTTTTGCCCTTGGCCTTGCCCTTACCCTTCCGGCGAGCCTGTTTCTCTGCTTTCTCAATCTCATTCATGTCAAAGTGTTGAATCTTGGCTTTTTCGTCATCCAACATCAATAGCTCCAGCTCGGCGCGCTGGGCAGCAGAAGCAGCTTCTTCCGCAGCGCGTTCCTCCCGCTTCTTGCGCTTCTCCTCCTTCCGACGAGCTGCAGAAGTCGTCTTGCCACTGGGATCGTCGAAGAACGGATCATCAAAGCCCAAGTCTGCTTCTGTAGTCTCGTCGACGGCTGGTTCGTTGTCGGCGTTCGATGGAGCCTCGACCTCGGCTCCCTCGGTCGTTTCACCCATCTTTTCAGCTTTGCGACGTTCCTTACGACGCTTCTTACGCTCGCGCTCTTTCCGCACGTAACGTTCAAGCGCCGTCTCCTCAATCTGGGGTTCGTTCTCGAAGATGCCACCGTCTTTGCCATGGCCACCTGCGAGTCCAGAGGTGAACGTGACCTCCATCTCACCAACAGGGCCAGATGATTTCGAGCTTGGCGTTGGCTCGGTGCTCAGGCCGAGCAGAGCTCGCATACGCTGCTTCTCGGCTTCCTTTTTCGAAAGCTTGGTAGTAGTGCCTTCATTCGTTGTATTGTCAACGACTTCCACGCCACCATCTTCCTCGCCTTCGCTCTCGGAGCTATCACTTCCGAGGTAGGCTTTCAGGTCGTTCTCCTCGATTTCCTTCCGGGACCCACGGAATGCGCGAGCCTGGGCCTCTTTCCGTGACTTGTCATCCGCGTCCCAGGTCAGCTTAACTTTGCTGTGTTGTAACGCATCTGTGACAAACTCGTTCGGCTTGTACCCATCAGGGATTCGGGAACACGAATCGCGTGGCTTGTCATCTGAGAAGTCGGTATCATCTGGAACAAAGCGGAGGTCGAAGAAGTTGGCGCTGGAAAGATACTCGGCACCATCCACAAGGTCGTACACATGCTTAGCGCACTCCTTTGTAGAGAACGTCAGAATGGCATAGAAGTAGCGGAGTCGCTCGAGCTGGTACTGGCGCAGCTTCGTGGAGTTGAACTCTTCGCCAGTGTCGGCCTTCAGCAGGGATTTTTTGATCTGCTCCTCTTCCTCATCAGAATCCAACTCGTTGTTCAAAGAATCATCTTCCGCCGCATTTGTAGCTGCGAAGATCTCGCGGGGCGGGCCCTCGGTTTCTTCTTTTTCCATCCGCTCTCTGCCAAATTCACTAGGATAGACCGTAACGTTCAGAACACGGCCGCCTGCTGGCAAGAAGCTGGAGAAGCATGCCATCAAATCCTCCGCGCGAATGTTATCCCAGTCCAAGTTGACGACAGCGATACGGTATGTCACTTCACCAAGAGGAACATTGACCTGCTGCTTGTCAGGGAAATCGACCTCTTCCTCCGGCTCCTCTACCTCAGACTCGTCTTCCCCGTCGCTGGAGCTTTCCTCTGACGACGAATCTGAGAAACCACCATCTCTCGCTGGGTCGTATGGACGTTCCTCCACACGGTTCAACTCTTTTTGCACCTCGTCGTCGTCATCGACGCTGATGTTGTCATCCTCATCCTCTTCTTCGCTGTCCTCGTCTTCGATCCGGTAGAACTTCTTGAGCTGTTTTTTCGTATCGTCTTTGGCCAACTTGCGCCCATATCGATCAACGGCAGCGTTTCGAGAGAAATCTTTGTCATCGAGCATATGCGCAAAGCGCTTATCGAGCTGGACGCGAGTATGCCGTTTACTTGGGAGGCGATAGCGTGGATCTGACTGAATACTCGCAAATCGAGGATCGGCTACAGCAAATATATCAGCCCATTATCCAATACTATCTTAAAATAATGGACTGTTCGTTTGAACTTACTGATCACCGGGCCACTGTCGCCTCTGACACCATTCTTCTTAGACTTCTTCTTGTCTTGACCCGCCATCTTGAAGCAGAATCTCGCGACTTTGGTTAGTTCGATCTGAAGAACCCCACAAGCGCCCTTCAGCCGTCAACGAAGTAGGGCAGAAATTAGCGTTAAGGATGCAGAAGTTGCGCCGATACTGCTATCGCGAAATACGGACTTTTTTCTTTTTCTGCCTATTATTTCCGAGCGGTGTAGCTGCACGTGAGTAGGTTCCATCCCGATCGAATAATCTTAGTTGCGGCCGGGCCCCACGATTGGCCGAGTCAGATCCATTTCCCGCCGAAGCGAACCAGTATCACTGCCATTCTTTCAAGTACTTATTAGAGGCATCGATCGTTCTACGAGCTCTTCTGAAAAAATACAAGAAAGTACTATGCTATTACGATACCTGATACTTTGGGCGTTTCTAGCCTTTGATCCATCTTAACAGTTATTCATCCAGACAATCTACCTAGAAGGTGGGTTTCTCAATCTCATGGAATCCTAACGTTACTTGATGTAGGTTATGGCACCTCCGTGAACAGACTAGCCGAACGTACAATGCTTATAACGTAACGAATCATAGATTGTACATGCGAATTAGATAGAACCCTAGCAACCAAAGTATCGTTTCTCCATCCAGCGGGGCTCGCCATCGGGCTCAATGCGACCGACAATGATGTTAATCTTGGGAAAGACAGCGATCAGGCGCTTAATTCCTGTTTCACCTGCAGCACATGTGACAAAAACAATTTTATCCTCACTGACACCATGGTCAATGAGAACACGAACGGCCATCAACGCAGCTCCTCCGCTTGCCATCTGCGGATCCAGCAGCATGACCATGGAGTGCTCTTCAAGCTGAGGAGGGAGCTTGAGGTAATGCAGCTCCGGTTCGGAGCTGCTTGCATCTGTTTGGATTAAGACCCTCCCAGTGACGCAGTCTGGAATAGACCGCTTCAGAGCGGTTTCTAGACAGGAACCTCCCCGTAGAATGGCGACTGCAGATACCGAGCCTTTGGGGTGTAGACCGAGGTATTTGTTGCCTTGCGGTGTCTCCACCGTAGTCTGAACGTATGGAGTCATGTCCAGGGCTCTATAACACACATATTAGCAGTTGAAAACGCAAGTAAATGACCAACATGAAGACGGACTTCTCGATGAGTATGGAGGCAAGCCGATCAAAGTAAAACACAAAGTCGACATGCTCAGTAGCAGGGTCTTGCAGGACAGTGTTCATTCCCACGAATTGCGGCGTCGCTGGCATGACGTGAACATTCTGTGGCAACTCAACTTTAGCCGCCAGGAGGCCCAGCTTACGAAGAGCCTCGGTGTGGCTCTCCGACTTATCCTGGAGCTTTCGCTGAATGTGCTTTACGACCATGTCTAGAAGAGAGTTTGTGTTTAGTACGCCTTGTCGAAAAGTCTAATAGAAGAGCAACCAGTGCTTGGCTTACCAATCGCAGTGATGTTTTCAATGCCACGAGGAATGATGATATCTATAAAGCGATTAGATATGGACGCGGACAAGCAAATTATACAAGCGAGCTGACCCGAAATATGTCGCTGGGGCTCGACAAACTTTGTGTACGATGGTTTCACGAAGGTAAACCATTGCTTGATGATTCCCTCGACGTCTCGCCCGCGCTCGCGGACATCGCGGAGGACTGAATTCAAAGGACTCGTTAGAAGGGCAACGGGGACATTCAAGAGTCATCGGCTAACCTCTTCGTCCCAAGCAAACATCCATATCAGCTTCAACAAAAATCTAAGCCGGTCAGCTGTGCAACACAACGACATGTTATGAACGGGAAAGTTTTCATTAGCTGACCTTAACATCGAGCAACTTGAGGATTCTTGGGTCATGAAGAGCCAAGATCCCTTCCAAGATAAGCACACGAGGCGAATAAAGAGTGGTCGTTTGAGTTTGCCGTTGATGATTGGCAAACGAATAGACTGGAATATGTGCCTTCTTGCTGGAGTCATCATCCTCATCAGAATCGTTGTATTCGCGAGTGCAAACATTGAACTTTATGGAATTTACCCTTGTTTCAGATCTTCAAGAGTACTGACCAATAAGTCAAAATCAATAGAGTCAGGACAATCAAAGTCATAGTTATTGGCATGGGCCTTGGCATGCTCCTCAGGAGTCAAAGTCTTGTAGAACGAGTCCTAAAAAAGAGTCGATGGTTAGATTTTCTGCTTCGAAATACAACGGGAAGACCGCTCTACAAACCATAACCAAAATTACGACCCATGGCAGATTGAGTGATTTCACAATCTCCATGGCCACCGAGGTCTTGCCGGAGCCAGAGCTCCCAGCAATACCAATGATGCTCAGGTCATGCCATGGCGGGGAATACTTCACCTCCGGGACCACTGAATAGAACGGCGATGTCGATTCCATAACGACCTTTGATAAAGTTTCAGACCATGACCTCCAACGAAGAGCCTCCTAGAAATCAATTTTAGACCTCGAGCGGGGACATGACTTTCTTATCTCGTGATTTGACCTGAACTCGTCCTCAGTTGTGATAAATTGGGCTTAGCGCGTGACTGCGGGTCATGCCCGTCGCTTGTGGCTGACATAATCGCTTAAGTCAATTTCTTTCTTCCGCCCTCCTACTTCTTCACCTCCGAACCTCCTCCTGCTTTCTCCTCCCAGAGCAATTCCAACCTCCAGCGTTCTGCCTTGAATTCCATGGCCGTCGTCTCTAGGGTCGCTCTTCAGCTTGTCTCCTAGCTGCACATCGCATACACTGCCAGGAGCACTTGTATCTTGAGACGCTATGTCATCCACTAACATTGTATGCTGCTTGGCACTCTAGTACCGTCGGGGTCAGGGTTTTAACACTGCACAGATGTCTCGATCTCCCTCAAGTGCGACGCCAAAATGGCACCAGTTTGAGCGGAAGGTCGAGGATATCAAGCCATCCAAAACGTGAGTTACAAGCATGTCCAGTCTTTCAGCCCATTTCCCAATTCGCGGCCCTCGGCCGTTACCATGATGCACTTTACTCAAGTTGGGAATCTCTCTGAAAAATTTTGAGGAGAAAAACATTTGACTTGTCTATCTGATCTCTTTTTTACGTTCTTCGAACACTGTCATTGCTCGCTATTCTTCCCACGCAGCTGCTAATATGAAAACTCAGTGACATCAACTACCTTGTGATGGATTACCTGATCACGAATGGCTACCCCGCCGCTGCAAGTAAATTTGCCCTGGAAGCGAACGTTCAGCTTCGCACAGACATGGAGTCCATCCAGGAGCGAGTCGAAATTCGCAATTTCATCCATTCTGGAAATATCCAGGCAGCGATCGAGAAGATCAACGAGTTCAACCCTCAGGTAAGCTTTGTGACTTTCCTCTCAATCCCATCTACTCTTTCATGATTATACGAAGTTTCATGCACCACTCCTATTACACCCTTCGGGGAGTTGCGGATAATCAAACATCTTCAGTCCTCAGTATGATTAGCAATTTTTTGCTCTCAATCTGTTCATCAAGTCTCACACAACAACACGTTCAGTACACGGCTAACATTGATTTGGCTAGATCCTCGACAAAAATCCTGCGTTGCACTTCGCGCTTCTCCGCCTCCAACTGGTAGAACTAATTCGCACTTGCACATCCTCTCCCGACGGCGACATCAGTCCCGCGCTCGAGTTCGCAACTGCGCACCTCGCACCACGTGCCCCTACCAACCCACAATTCCTCGATGATTTGGAGCGGACCCTTGCCCTATTAATCTTTCCGAGCGGCAGTCTGTCTCCGTCCCTCGGCAACATGCTAGATCCCAGTCTTCGTAAAGAAATTGCTCAGCGGGTCAATGAGGCCATGCTCCAGAGCCAAGGCGCCCGTCAAGAAGCGCGTTTACGCGGACTTGTCAAACTACGCGCCTTTGCCGAAACTAGAGCCCGGCAAGCCAAAAAGGACATCCCTGAAAAGCTTGACATCGGCCTCCTCGGCGATGGTGGCGGAGATGCCCAATTCAGTAACACTAGTAATAATCCTCTCAATAGCGGCACTATCCACAATGGCGGCGGCGACACTGTGATGAGCAACAGTGGTGATGGCGAAGCGATGGTCGCGTGAAATCTTGCCTATTCTCATGAGCGCCGGTCTCACATTCGCGTCCATGCATCTTCTTCATGAATGTGCCGATCCATCATTGTCCTTTTGCTCGAGCTCAGTGCACTCATGCGCTGCCTCTGTTCTGTCCTCATGCTGGGGCTTTGACTTTAGCGTGGCGTTCGGCGTTTCAGTTTGTGCTATCTGATTTTGATCAACCTGGAGCTTTTACATCGTGAGCCTGCTACACTACATTTACAATATCCACCACTCTAGAATTCTTAATTGTAATCAGAAAGCATAGGCAATAATAGCCTCTGAAATTAAGCTGATTCTTCAAATGCATTGTAAACTTTGTGATGTACAAGGGATCTCTTTCAGGCGTGCCCAAAATCAACCAATCCTCGCACGTCCACATCCACTTTAGCAGGCGAGCGTCAGCGAGCCTTAAGTCATCTTGGAAGCGGACATTCCGGGCATTGACACGACGGAGTGTCTGTTCGAAGTCGTGGGGCTCACTCCGACGGACGGGACATAACCCCAGCGGAGGATTCCAGTGTCCATATGAATATCCATCCAGGATAAGATCATGTGCACGGTGACGCATATATGCGTTAGATTCGCGATGATCGGATCAACGCCAACAATCGCTTAAGGTCACAGGCGGGCTAAGTTACTGAATATATACACCGAGACAAGCGAGAGCGGGCTGACAAGACGAGACAATGTGGTGGCCCAAGTAGTATCAAAGTAGGACGGAGACATGCCGGCGATAATCGCATAGAAAACAGGTGTGTTTGATGGTGCTGAAATGCGGAACATTGAAGCGGTCCTCACAGGAATCCCAACATGTAACCCAAGGAATAAATATCAAATGTCAGTTGTATGGGTGTGCAACATAGATCATTCGATCGGACCACACAAACTAGAATGATCACAGCCGATGTAAAAGAAATATTTATATTTGGTCCACTTGGATAACAATGCTGTGGAACCAAGGTCGCCGTAAATCATATTAAGGTTTACCGGAGGAAAACAACCCGGTTCTTGTACTGAACTCTTAGTGCGAGTCCAAGGGAGAAAGGTTTCATGAAAGGCAGGAAACTCGATCAAAAACTCATCAAATCTGCCGTGTATATATGTTAGCTGCAAGATCAGGATTTAGGGTATTATCAAGAATTATGGGGCGCTGGTGACACATACCTCTTCCGAAAAGGGCACGCTTTGCCCAGTCCATCGCCAACATACACCTCGTGCGGAAGCTGACACTCTGCGCGAAGTAGACGCTGCGCCAGAGATACATGGCAACGACACCACCGCTGAAGCTCAAGCCACCGAAGTCGAAGATAGCAGCGTTGCTAATGTACGCAAGACTTCCAAGATGTTTGTACTTGAACGCCCTATAAACTGCTTCATCAAGATCGCCGTATTCGATATCGTTGGCTCGCAGACCTGGCAGAGCTGCTGCGATCTTGGTCAGCTTACGGCCAAGGTACACTCCCTGCTGGTTTGCCCGTTGAGCGGTAGCCGGAAGAGAGGTGAGCTTGGTGTCAATCTGGTGAAGAAGTTCCGAGAGTTCACCGAAGTCGAGGGTACCAGACCGATCTGTGTCATATTGCTCGAAGAGTCGGTCCAAGCGACGAAGGTGAGCAGCTGCTTGCGGAAAGCGCTTCTTCACACGCTTGGCGAGATCGCGCCATTCAGAAAACGACAGTTGAACCTTCTCCGGATCCCGGTCCTTTTCCCAGGCCATAGTACGCAGGAACTTCATAATATTTTCGGCAACGTTGTTCTGGACAGTCGAGCAGTCGCCAATAGCGTAAACATCACCCATTGGTGCACCAATCAGGCGCAAGTGAGAATCGGTCTCCAATGCGTGCTTGTTGTTTTGACTTTCCAGCTTGTTGGATATGGTCTCGCAGATCTCAGCACGGGCTGTGTTGACAGTTAGAGACGATCGCAAGACCATGAGCAGGAGCGCGATCACTCACCAACTCCAGTAGACCAGAGGCAGAATGCATTTGGAATTTCTTTGGTAACAGGTTTTCCGTCTTCCATTTGAGTAAAGAGCACACGGTCCTTGTGCACTTCCTTGACTCTAGCGTTTGTGATAACTTCAACCCCATCACGAGAAAAGCGACTCTACTCCACGTCAGTAAATGCCTAGAGCTGCATATTTGGGATGAATTCCTACCTCAGCGTATGTGGACAAAGCTTCGTCATAAGTGTTTAGAATATGTGAGCGACTCTGGATAATGTGCACTGAAATTTCGTTGCGGACGATGCGGGGGAAAGAGTGAAGCAAATCCTCGTTGAGCAAGTCGAATAGTTCTGCAGCAAATTCGACACCGGTAGGGCCACCACCGCAGACAACGAAGGATAGCAGACGTTTGCGTTCTTCATCGGAGGTAGTAGGTAAACAAGCCTGTTCCATATTGTCCAGAATTTTGTTTTTGATTCGGCGAGCATCATCGATCCCCTTGAGGAAGTTACAGTTTTCGAGACCCTTGACACCATGGGGATTCGTCACACAACCTAACCAGGATATTAGTCAGTTCTAATGGCACTATTGAAGCGTACTGAAACGCAAAATCGAGTGTGCACTTACCGACACCAATCACTAGCTTGTCGTAAGGCAGATAAAAGTTGTGCGTTTTCCCATCGTTGTCAACCTGAGAGACTTCCACCAATTTGTGCGAGAAATCGACGTCCGTGGCTGAAGCTTTGAGGAAATGTCCGTGAACTCGTTCGATAATACGTCGTACTGGTTCGACCAGGGAGCGGAGACCAAGGGTACCCACAGTGGCAGAGGGTAGCATGGGAGTGAACAGGAAGTAGTTGGTTGGAGAAACGACAGTAACGTGATAATCACCAGGGTTGAGATTCTTGAGCAGCGCAATGCTGCCCCAACCAGTACCAAGAATAACCAGACGAGGCTTGTCCTTTTGCTCCCTCATGGACTCCGAGTCACAGTCATCGACGAGATATTCAGCGATTGGTAGGTTTTTGGGGCCGCCGCAGCGAGGATTCAGAGCCAATTCAGAGACGGGGATGTCCGCAGCACTCGGTGTCTCACGATAGGTGCTGGCATCGTAGAGAAAAAACGCGACCACGAGAATGCTGCTCCCGAGACCGAAAGCACCGCAGAAAGCCAAAGTTCGGTACAGAGCCGCCAGAACCCTGGACCGCTGCTTGGGAGCAACCTTCACGCCAGCTTTATCCGACTGAAACCGAACTAGGGTCGATGGCTTGGGAACCGCACCGAAGGGACGCTTGGAAAAGGGCTGACGAGCTGATGTATTCAAAGAGCGAAAGATCGATGATTGAGTGACTGGAGATTTCTCAAGCAACTTTGCGCCAGACACGAGAGATCCAATTGACCTCATCGTGAGGGCGTCCGGACGACCCCGGAGTACCGCTGCCCGCATTTCGACGGAGTGCAGCTGTACGAGAACGAATACAACCGCAGTGATGGATATGTAGCAGCGAGACTCTCCCTGAACAATGCCTGCTGGGAATTGAACAAGGAAGAGAAACCTCGAAGCCGTGTCGTTGCACAACAAAGTTGAAATACGCGAGGACAGAACAAGAGGATGGGGATTTGAGTATCGTTCACCAGCAAGCTGAGCGCACCCGACGTCATTCTGAATCACGTGTCGATCGGATAGCGGCAGTTTCAGTGGGGCCGGCTAAAAACAGACAAAACCGGCTGCGACTAAGGCTGGGCCGCCGATCTGGATGGATAATCGGCTACGTCTTACGGGTACTGAGCTATGAACATTAAATGCACGGATCCTCGACATCGAGTTACTGTTATGTACGTACGATCTAGAAGGGTTATACATATTGCATAACATAATGGGGAGCATGGACAGATCGAGAAACGGTCAGTGCAATCTAATCGATGGTTCAGTAGCGGGTCGACTGGGCTCGCGATGCGATACCTAGTCGTCAATTGCCCGGTCAATGTGGTGTTGCGCAGTGGCTTTAACCATGCCTGCTGTCGAAGAAAGCAACCCCTTTATTCCAGCTGGATGGAGATAAGGTGGTGTGTCATACTCGATTGCAAAATATGAAGAAAGGCCACATCTGCACAGATGCATAGACCATCCATTGTACTATGCGGCTCCACGTGTAATTTGCCATTATGAGGCGGAATAAACAATGGATTCATGTCATGTCAATTGCTGACGTCCTCGATATAAAAACCTAAGCCCTACCCATTTGTCAATCCCAAACCCCGGACAGAAACCAGCCTGCGCCTGAGATGCAAATCGAAAGCTAAAGAAACATTGTATTTCATAATAAGTCGTGCACAATTCCAACAAAGGTGAGACAGTCTCCGTGTGGCTAGAGCTCATCCTCGGAATCAAAAGTCGAAGGCTATTTGCCGACAGAACCGTTCCGTGCTTTAGGTCGTTTATTGAGACCATGGCTTGACATAGAACTCTTTCGTTTCATCGGGCGAGAACCGAGTACTCCAGGTGCGTCGTCGGGATCCCCAAGGCCGTCGTAGGGATCGCTTTCTCCACCATTCTCCTGGTCGACCTTGAATTCTTCGTCTATGGCAAGGAGAGTCGAGAACTCGCGACATTTGCTAAGCATAGCTTCTCTGCTGTTGAGTGAAGCGACATTTCTCACAATGGCCTCCCAGAATCGTTCCCCAGTCACGCCGTTCACTTTCGTGGCCGTTTTGTTCAGTTCTTTTGCACTTTGCTTGGATTTCCCATCCTTGTCTCTCTGCTGAGAGTTCAGACCGTATAAACGACGCAAATGGGTTCGAGCTTCCCATAGCATCGACAGCGAGGCGGCTGCAGTAGCTAGCAGCCGCAGAGTTTGAGGATCCACAGAGTCCGGCGCAATCGCAGCGGCTGGAGCTGATACATCAAGGCTCACACTAGCGGTGTCTGTCGACGTATCCAGTACTGGCGGGCCAATGGGCGTAGGGAAAAGGTCAGTTTCGATCGCATGAGCTACTACAGTGCCAGTGGAGGAAACAATCCGTTCAAGGCAGCCAATAGTTGGCAGCAGCTCTGCTAGCTGGGCGTAATCGAAATACGCAAGATTCTGGGCAATGAAACGAGCCACGAGAAGATGCTCTGGAGGATCGCCAGAGGCATCAAGCTTTTTCAACTCAAAATCGGCCTTCGCGCACAGATTGGCGAGGAACTTTTTCTGATAACGGCTGTTGCTGATCTTGACGATTTCAAACAGTGGGGCAAGCTTCGCGACATACGGCCGGGCAGTTGCACCATTAGAGTCACCTACTACTTCGCGCTGGTAGTAGAAGGCTTCTTGAACAGCCCTCATGTATTCTCGTTCAAACATAGACTCGAATTGCTGGTGAATCATTTTGTGCGTGTCGAAGGCTACCTTGGCAATTTTAGGGTCCGTGGAAGTCTCCAGGGACACCAGAACGCCCGCACACTCCTTTGGATGGACCAACCCTTGGCGGTTGATGCTGGCGATGAGCTCAATCGCAGTCAAAGCGTAGGCATCTTGTCGTGACTGTGCAACCTGAAGCATATCTTTCAAAAAGTGCTGCGCAATCAATGCAGCCGCACCATCATTGTCACTCGCCTTCAAGGACCCTCCAAGTCGGGTAGATTCTTCCTGGGCAACGGTTTCTGCAGTTGGAACCACGCCCTTTTCGGACTTACCTTCGTGAATGAAGAAGAAGTCTGCAAAGGAGCGAAGTACGATGTGTTGTAGGCCTGGGGAACCTTCACTCAAGACCTGAGAGAAGGTGCTCCGTGTCGGCTCACGACCAAATTGCGCTGGCCATGACTGGCAAATGGCACCTACACTTTCGAGAGCTGTCACTCGAAGCTCGGTAGGCTGAGTGGACTCTGTAAATGGAAGAATGCAGTCCACCATCAAGGACGCAACAGAGCCGCCCGAACCACTGCTCCATGTGGGGAATGCATTCCGGAAATGTGCGATGTACTTCTCAAGATCGCAGTGACGTCCGACACAGCCCGCGATTCTGATGTAGCTCTTCGCACGGGCCAGTACCTTTGCGTTGGCAGAAGAGGACATGTCAACAGTCCTGTACTGTTGCAAAGGCTTCAACACAGACAATGTTAATTTGACAAGTCGATCGGTATTTTGCAACACTCCATTTATTGTCCAGAGACAGGCCATGACCTCGTTCAACTCGGGGCGTCCCAGTTTTGCCACGCTCTTGAAGAGATCATTCTGGACATCTTTGAGCAACCTATTGTGGGCGGAGGACAAATACGGCAGAACACATCGGTAGATCACAACGACCGATCGAAACAAGAACAGATCGTCAGCGCTGGCCAGATTGCCGATGTAGGGATGCAGGGCTTCCAGCTGATCAGGGCTGAATAACTTGGCGTTGGCTTTTGCAAAGACAGTAATTGTTTGCAATAAAGCTTGCTTGAACTCTTGAGACGCATCCGCATCTTCCACGAGCCTCTGGAACATTGTGGAAACCATTGATTTGCATACTTTGAAGTTCAAGGCTGCCGACTTGGACTTGCTAGAAAGCACTGCGCTGACGCACGTGCCAAGGGAATCGAGGGCAGTCTCGCTGCGCTCGACTAGGCTGATAATCAGTCCAACATGCTCGCCGAGCGCCATTCTAACCTTCGGCCCATCAGAAAGAGAATCGATAGATTCATGAAATGGGACAAGCCATATCTCTTCAAAGGTCTGGCGAGCCAAGGTTGCTACGCTTTCATCGAGATCCCCGGTCCGCTGAAGGAAACTGTCCAATGTGGCTAACTTCAGCTCCTGGCGAGATGTCTTCTGGTACAGTTCCCGTAACAGACCAATACAACGCTTTCGAACACCGGCCGTGGCGTCACCAGCGCAAGCGAGGATACTTCGACACCCTTGCTCCTCGAGCTTAGGCCGAAGACCGATGCATTTGGCGATCAAGGAGAGAGCCGAATCGCGGACCATAGGGGAAGCGTCTGTGGTGCAACGGAGAATTAACCGCATAACAGAAGCGTCGCGATCGAGCAGGTTCGGATCTTTTTCAAGCATTTCAATGACACTTTTCAAACTCCTGCTACGGACCTTAGCTTGATCACTTGCAATGGAGTTGAGCAGGACCTTGAGAATTGTGTCAAATGCCTTTCCAAATCCAGAATTCAGCACCGTCAAGATGTAGGCAAACCGCCCGCTGGCACTGGAGATCGAAGTGAATTTCCTGTGAGATTCCAGATATAGGGAGTCTGATAAAGCCCTTGATAGGAGAACCACCAGTTCGCCGGTCGCGCTATCTTCCGGGACATCTTCCTTGTCCTCAGAGTTCCAGGAGAGATTGCAAACCACCTTTGCCCATGCGGCCATAAAGAAACCCCTCGTGCTCGTCAACTGAGAGTTATCGGAGCTCTTGTCTTGGAGAAGATACTCCAGTACCATTCTGTACGGACCATCAGTCGCAACCAGATCCTGCGGGTGGAGCGCACGGGAAGTGAAGTCGTCGAACAACTGCTTGAGGGAGTCATTCAAATCATTGTCCTCTAGGGCGGGAAGCATGTGTTGAGCGTTTGAAATAAGGTCGGAAATGGCCGATCCCATCCACCCGAGGAGCTCCAGAGCCATGCTCTTCGCCTGAGCTGAGCTTTTGTCCTGATCCGCGATACCGACCATGTGGGATGCCATGATTCGAAGAAGGAGCTCAGATGCTGGCCAATCGGTGGAGCCAAGCACGTTGATGAGGTCTTCCGTAAACAGGTCAAGAATGTTTCGGAAGGGCTGATCGCCACTCTTCGTCGCATTTATAGCTCGTTGGACGATGAAACCAACTATGTATTGGGCGCTGCGGATTGCATTATCGTAGAGTCTGTTCACTCTGACCGCTAAACGATCTAAAATCACCCCAATATCATCCTCGTCGTCTTGGTCCCAGTCGTGTTCATTGGAAGCCTCATCCATCACTTCATCCTCGTCGTCATCGGCTGAAGCCTGCAGTCGACGCTTGCTGTTGGAACGTGACGACGTCTCAAGTGCGGTTGTCTGAACGAGCTGGAGAACCAAGGCTGTCAGAAGCTGAATATTCTTGCCGTCGGCTATTTTGAATTGTCTGGCGCTTTGACGGGTAGAGGGAAGTTTTTCTAGCGATCCTAAAATCTGATCTAAGATATAGGAACGTTGGGCAGGGTACCGCGAAAAGATTTTAGCAAGGACATCCATAGCTCCACGTCTTGCTGGCTCGAACTTCGAAGATCCAACAGCGGAGTCTTTTTCATTGTGCGCGTTCTCGACAAAGATCAACTTGGCGGCGAAAAACAAGGCCGAGTTGATGGAGCTCTCGGGTACTTCAACGCGGGACAAGAAGTCCGCGAACAGTGTCAATGCTTTCTTGCTTTGGTGAATCAGGCTTGCGATTATCCGTCGTTGGGCTGAGAAGAACTTGAAAAGTTCGGCGTCTTTGCCTCCTGGGCGCGATTCGACCGCTGGGATGATGCAGTAGTCGAATAGTTGCTCAACAACCGGGGGTATGGCTTCAATCAAATCTTCAGGACAAAGATCTCGCTCTGTTTGACGCCCGGACATTGTTTGCAGTAGTGTAGCAATAGCCAGCAAACCATTAATCACTTCTTCGACTTTGCCAAGCCATTCTTGGACCTCGGCTTCATTTGAGGGATCATGCAGAGTAATTTGAGCAGATTGAGCGGCAGAGATCGGCTTTTCGCACAATTTTTGGATTCGTTTGAGGTAGTCTGAAGGGATATCTTGAAGTCGATCGAATCCGGAGACTTTGCGAATAGCCTTTTGCAAGCGATTATGGGTTTCAGACGACAAGACTGGGCCATCAACTTCCAATGATCTGAAGTTGACGAAAATAGGATTCGGCTTGTCAGCGGTAGGCGCAAGGGATTGGCCTGGCTCAATCTGGTCCTCGGCCTCGAATATCTCATGGAGAACATCTTGCAGCTTGAGCAGGGCGTCGTCTGCCTCCGCTTTTTGATCTCTCAATCGCCGCGCAGTCACTTCATCTTGGTGGCTGGTTTTGGACTTGGAGGATTTCGTTGGCGTCGGTTTCATTGGGATGACCACGGATACCTGACTCGACGGTTGGTGCGGTTTCTCATAGAAAGCTGTACTTGAGCTGTTCGCTAAGTACGCCTGTTTGTTCCACGACGCCGCAGGGTTGGGGAAACCCCGTGTGTTTTGTTGATTGTTTGGTAGTGTGGCTGTGGGAGGATCTGGAACGATCAATCAGTATATTTTCATAACGAGATGCCATTCCTCGTCGAATATCTCACATCTGAACGGAATATCGGTGGACTCTAATATCATGCGAGCGAAAGCCCCCAAATGGCTGCGACAGGACGCGGATCCGTTCGAGGTGGTTGTATGTGACTTCGGACTGAGGGCATGGGACAGCGGAACCTTGAAGTTGCTAGAACGAGAGACGCGGTCAGACACGGCCAATCGGTAGCAAGCAAACACTGACGTACAACTCTGTCAACCGATCGCCTTCCAGTAATTGTTGTAGATATTCTCGGGACGTCTCCAGTTGACTGGACTCGTCCAAGCCGTTATCAATCTCCGCATCCAGCTCACTGAGGGTTATTCGGCCAGCTTGTAGGACATGTTCGATTGAGGTGGTATTAGACGGTCTGCCAACATCGGGACGAATAACGCAATCTGAAAGTAAACAAATATCAGTGTTTGGTGTCAAAGCTTGTCAATCGATCTTCATCATGGGGTCGATTATACCAAGGCCAAAGATAGGAGCGCTGGACATGGACGAGTACTGGAGCGCCTCATCGACTGACAGCGGCCTGTATCCCAATAAACTTGCGTATTGCAGTCCTACCCCCGATTCAGGAGCCTGCTGTAGCTGTGGATGGCCATTAATGACCACCTGTACTGCTGGGCGTCCATGATTGTCCATGTTTGGCGATTGCGGATTCGAACAAGGAAGGCGCTAATCAGATGGGAGAGGACCTGCCGAGTGCAGAGTCATGACAGTGGCTTTGAGCATCTATGGTACGCTCTCCGCCATTCTTCGACCACACGGACTGACTCAAAGATTAATATATCAGAGCTCAGGGTCAGCTCCGGCCATTATCAACTTGTCCGTCATTGTACTGAGTTACAATACTGCCGCATTTCCCCGCCCGCTGTGGCATCGGCCTGGCCCGTGCGATCAAAAAGAAGTTCCATGCTTCATCTTCTGCTCTCTCTCAAATCCCGAGATTTGCGATCGAATCCCCAATACCTTATCTACTGCCATACCACCTGAGTTGATTTGGTCATGTCGGCGATTGGCTCTCTCATATTTTGCACCGATTGTGGTAATCTGCTGCGTGAATCTACGGGCGATGAGAATGCGATCTTGCACTGCACCGTCTGTGGAGCGCGGAACAAGGGTATGCGACGCGATTCGTTCTTAACCCAAAAAGGCTACATTGATGGACTCAAATACTCATTTATCTTAGACATTATACCACAAACCATCGTTTCCGAGTCAAAACCTTCCGCATTTCCGTCGGCTTTGAGATCGAAGCGCTCTGCCGTTCAGACATTATCCGCCGAAGACCGCAAAACGGAGGCGGTCACAAACCATACCTGCAACCAGTGTGGGAGGACAGAGATGTTCTTCACTACTGTGCAGCTTCGTAGTGCTGACGAAGGAAGTACCGTCTTCTATCGCTGCGTTTGCGGCTATAAGTATGTTTTCCAGGCGAGAATTCTCGATCCCCACCCCTCATGAATTGCATGCTAACATCCAATTTAGGGAAACATCGAACAATTAAGGAATTGGCGACGTAGTGGGAGAATGATATTGTTCTATGTATTGGCTGTATAGCATGTGGAATAAAGAGCATCAAAATAACGACGTCACGACATTTCCTTCATATTCGAATTTCATCACGCCGAGACAGCAGCTGTAGCTCGGTCGGGAATCAGCGCATACTCCATCTCCCCGGTCTTCTCAAACTCTGCCATGTCGAGGGCTACAATAACACTGTCGCGCACGACCTGCTCAGGATCGTTGAGGAAACTCTTCAATGTGTCCTCAACACCCTCCTCATCACCAAGACTGCCAAGAGCCTCTGCTGCTTCGTGACGCACCATTCCAACCTCTTTCAAGTCGCCAAGGCACTCGGTGAGATACGGAACCGAGGCCGGATGGCAAAGCTGGCCAAACACGAACGCAACCTCATGACGGAAGAGGGCGGATGGGTCTTTCAAACCCTTGGCGAGCGACCTCACGGCGTCCACTGCGGTTGGGAGATCGGGAGGAGAAGCGAGATCTCGCAGGCCAAACATAGCGCGATATCTTTGGAATAGAGGAAGCTTGGTATCGAGCAGAGTCTGCTCCAGGTCAGGAATCGATGGCTCACTGGCCTTCAGTGGCATTGGTGGGGCCGGGTCAATAGATGTGAAATCGCTTTATCCAGGGCAGCTATGTTAGCTTTTTTGTGATATCAGTACACCGATGAGAGTTTCGTAGGCGTACCTGGGCTTGAGCTTCTCAGCCTTTCTTTGCTCGGAGTTCTCCCATTCAATCCGATCAACGGCAATATCACAAGTCTCCCGCACGATCTCGACCTCATTCTCATCATCGCGCAGTCTCTTCAAAATTTCCAAGCTCTCCGCATATCCCAGCGCACCCAAAGCCTCAGCAGCCTCGTGGCGGCACATGGCGTCCTCCTCCACATCCTTCACAACCTGCTGCAGGTAGGACACGGAATCACGGTTACGGGTCTGACCCAGACAATATGCAAGTTCATGCTTGAGGAGGGCAGAGCTGGATGCGAACGCTGCTGCGATTGCTTGGATGGCCGGGAGAGTTTGTTCGGTAGCAGGGTCGAGGCAGGCTAAATGCTTCAAAGAGAAGAGGGCACGGAAGCGGCGAGCGAGTGGCTCGGACTCGTTGGTCAGAACCTTGCGCAAAGCAAGAACTGTCTCGTCAGCCCCGTGGGACTCAACAGTGGCGGAGGGAGACATTGTATCAAGAATTCTTAGACAGAAGGACGATGGCGCGGTAAATTTAATGCGGTCCTGACTTGTTGATTAGATGCGGGATAGTCAAAAAAAGGCGTGCATTACAGTTTTTTCTTCCCTCCAAGTCCATCTTATCGCAATTGGAGGGTGGGGTGGCGGGGCGGCCTACGCCCACTCGGGTCTGGCTTTGGCCGTGCAGATTTGATCGTTCGATTTGGTCTGTCCCGTGACTCAATTTACTGTTGGCTTGGGACACGCCACCAGAGGAACGTAATCTCATTGAAGCCGCTCCAGCACCTTGATGCTACCGACTCGACGGCGAGTCCATCGTTCAGAAACGGTGCTGCTTGGTAGTAGGCCGGTATCTATAAAGCGATCTTTGATTCATAGTTGTCATCACTCCGTACCACATAAGGTACCAACCCGGCTCAGTCACATGCATGATGCCAGTCCCGTTTAGAGATCGCTTCCGTTCCACCGAGTATATGTTGTTGTAATCGACAACCAGAGAAAGTACTTTGAGTGCATTTCGCCCCCACCCTTGGAATAAATTACTTTGGTCGCCCGACAGTCTCGCCATTTCAGTTCCAGCTGGAAATAATGATTTGGACTTGTGGACAACATCCGAAAATAACCCGAGAGCTACATGTTAAAATCATTAATAAGACGAGAACCTACCATAGTATCAAAGTCAGACGGGAGCTTCCATTCTTCAGAACGAGAATGCTTCCAGCCCCTGCTACCTCCAGTACCTAGACAGTGAGGCATTATTGTTTGCAGACTTACCTTGAAGGGGGTGGAGAAACTCACGCACCAACTAGGTCATGTCCTAACTTAAGGACCGTTAAACCTGGGTAGATTGTCGCTTTCTAGCTGAATTGACAAAATAAATTTACCATGAGCGTCGAAGAACCTTGATTCCAGCATTAGCTTTTTTCGTGGAACAACGAAATGCGAGGTCCGACATTGCGATCCTCTGGTTTAGGAAACGAACAGGGGTCAATTGCCTGCTTTGGGCTGTGAGATTATACGTTCAGTGTTAAGATCCCCGACTGCCTAAATCAAGCAGCGAACCTGACATACGTAAGAGCACACGTAGTGACAACCGGGCATGGCCGGCTCGTGTCAACTTGCCTTAACAGTGGAAGATCATGGAGAACGAAGTCAACACCTTCAATCTTGGTGCTCTTGAGATACTCCGGGTACTGCGTCGGGTGGGTCATAGTTTTTGTCATTGCCGCATGACTAGACCTATCAAATATGAGCCCAAGCACGTATCTTTGCCGAAATAAAAACTCGGTCTTGAGACCTGCTATTTCATGAGTAGCAATTTGGTAGCCAGATACAGCATCTCCTACGGCGTTTAGGGTCCGGCGACTCGCTTCCCGCGGCTGTCAGGCGCGCTGACCCACTGCGGACGCTCCCGCGCAGCCATAACACAGTCTTCATGGATGTCCATGATAGGTGATTGGTTGTTGCCGTAGTTTTTTGATATTTCCGTACACTGGGAAGCCATTGGGGATTTCTTAAGATCCGTGTTCTTCATTAGTTAGGATCACACAAAAGATGGTATTTGAAGCCTGATAGATGTCCTACTGCTGTCTGTAAGATTGCTCTCTCGATCAAAATCGACTGTGTTGCGTGATGAGGCGAGCTCAATTGTCTAACTCAGTGAAGAAACAATTGGCAGTCGGGACTCTGTGATTATATGGAAACCATGGAGTCGATCCTCCGAGACCTGGTCAGTCAAGTTCCGGGAAAACGAAAAATGAATAATAGACGCGAAGACCGCTACTTCAAGCGAATGCATCACCCGGAACCTGTCTGTAACTGACGGCCCAACACGAGCAGTAACAAACCCATTGAGATTTTGGAAGAGAACTCTGCGCAATCTGCCTCCCAAAAGTCTACTAAAAATCGTCTCACAGGCCCGGTGTAGGGTAAGTGTAGAGGCACCCGCACATTGCACCTTCGTACAACCTATACTAGGTACCTAGCAGTGACTTGGGTCCTTAACGGCACCCGTGCTCTCATGACATTGAGTGAGCTGCCCCAGGGAGAATCTCTAGTAACATGATATCACATTTTGCTCTCTTCCAGACACACGCGAATCGCTCGCCCAATCGTCTTGCGGCATTGGCTGAGAATAAGCGAGCTATACGAAGGTCTGAAAGCAAGATTAGGTCGCATTGTATCGCTAAACTTGGAGCACTGAGAATGCGGAATATGGGACCAAGTAGCTTTCTGATTTTCCACAGGCGCCAAAGGTAGGTAAAATTTCTGAATGGATGGGGCATCTATGGGCTCTGGTCTGCAAATAGTAGTCTTTCATCTGCATCCTGTAAGCCTTGAAATGAAGGTCACGAAAAGGATCTGCTTTGACTCCTGACATGATCTATATGCCCTGAATCAAGAGTAGGTGCAGTCCAAGCACTGAGAGGAGCTCAGGCCCGTTGCGCTTGAAGCGGAAGCCGAACAGGACGCATCGCAATGCGAAATGAAGAACCAATCACCGGCCAAGTTCCATCAGGGTAGCCTGGCTGACACTCCTTGGCGCACTGCGGTCTTGAACCCATGCCAATCCCGAGTTGAATGGCGGTTGCCGGCTTTGCCAGAATTGATGTCCAGGAGAGGCAGAAAGATTCCAGCAATCTGATTTTGATTCAAAAAGGGCATAAGAAAGAAGTTGAACAGTGGATATTTACATGGTACAGGGAATAAGCACGATCATTTGGTCTTGATGTGCTTGAGCTTCTTGGGTTCGTGGAGGAAGTTGTTGGCATAAGCCTTGGGGACAAAACGGCGCTCGTTAGGCTCCTGGACGAAGTATTCGTAGCCTTGCTTCTGGGCAAAAGCAATGGCGTCCTCCTTAGACTTGAATGTGAGGTTAGTTCCCTGCATACCATCCGCAGATGACTGCCAGCCCATCAGAGGGTTCTCCCAACGGTGACCTTTTTGCAAGATATCCCAGTCCATACGCCAGTGGTGTCCGTGCCATGTGCCAGACTGAGTCGCAGGCTTCGCGGGGCGGTAAATTCTGGACAACAGAGTTGTTAGTAACGAGGTTCAAGGTACCTGAACTGCGCAGGATGGGTAGGGTGAGTATTGTACCTGACAGTGCGCGCCTGGAGATCGGTGGGAGCGCCGGAGAGGACTGCAGCAGGCAATACTGGACCAGGCTCGCTGCCATCCATCACGCGCTTGGGAACCGGGGAAAACAGGCTACAGTGCGGAGATTCAAAGCCAAGTTAGTGACCCGCAGCTAAGTCAATCGAAAGGTCGGAATGGATCATACGAGGTGGCATGGTCGATGGTAGCCTCATAATCAGGCTGATGACGAGTCATCGCCTCCACAGGGCTCTGCTTGCTGACCAAAGTGCTATCCTTGTTGGGTGCGTCGGGAGCATCAGCAGGACTGGTGTTCACCTCGCCCTTGGCCACACTGGACACAAATCGGGCATTGACAGGCACAAAGGCCCGAGTCGCACGGAGGCCAGCAGCACCTCCAATTCGGAAGAGCGACATGGTGATTAGCGGGTGGGGGTAAAGGTTGTGGCTATAGAAGAGGCGGGCTGGTGTGAGGAGGTTAATCGCAGAGCAGAGTGCAGGTCACGGCACGCCCGAATTGGGTTTAGCGCATCGAACTCATCCGACCACCCGCTTCCTGTCCGAAGAGACTCTTTCTTCTGCACCGCAAGTCACTTCTGGTTTATTTGCGCCGCAAAAGACAAGTACGTGCTTGCCGATTATATTAGCGCATTGTTTGGGATGCAGCCTTCGAATTGCGACCATTTACTGACATCTATGTAGTCCAGTCAAGATGAGCTACATCGCCCGCCGTGGTCTCTCGACCCTGATCCCCCCCAAGGTACGACCGACCCCTTCGAGTGGCCGCATACGAGGCGGCAAGCGTGGTATATTGAATAATTCAACAATTACTGACATTGTAGTAGATCGCTTCTCCCAATGTGAGTCTTTGAAGGCCTCTTCGCACGTGGTCATCTCACCCGACAACCTGCTCCAAGACCCGTTTCCTCCCGACGGACATATCTCCATTCCCAATTCATTTCCGGACTCGATCGTGTCCACCGTCCTCGAATTCGTCACTGACATGTCTATACGCAAGGCCATCGGTGCCGCCCAGGATGCTGCCCGCATGGAGCGCGTTGTGAGCTTCTACGCCGGTCTTCCCCGTGGCCCCGCTCCCCAGACCAAGGCTACTGGTCTCCTTGGTCGCTACCAGGCTCGCTACTTCAACAAGAACTCCGCGGCTCGTAAGTAGCGAGAACTCGCCTGATTGCGAAGATGATCATTGTGCTAATATGGAACCAGCTTTGCTGCACGCCATTGCCGGTATCTTGTTGATGGGATACAGCATGGAGTACTACTTCCACCTCCGTGAGTGTCTCGCGTTCTGCTGATGATCCATTTCTCATACTGACAGTTGCTGGACAGGCCACCACAAGAATCACCCTCACTAAAGCAGCCATCAAATGAGAGGGAAATGAACGGGGAAGTTTGATCTTCAGCTGGGACTGAGTTCCCTTATGTCAGTAGTATAGGACTCAGACGCCTTTGGAATTGAAGCTCAAGCTGTTTCAATATTGTAAAGCGATGACCCGACGCTCTATTTCTTAAGTGAGCACATGGTGTTTGACTGTCACGCAAATGTAGCCTCCAAAACGTAGGCATCTGAGGAGGTCTCCGCGCTGCCTGACCACACCTGCAGTATCCCCACCTCAGATGTGGCAGCTCTGATTATCTCACTTCTACAATCATCTCTTGAAGCTCATTCAAGTCTGAAAAGAATTCAAAGACTTCTATATAAATTACAACTGCTTGTCTACCGCGATCTTTCTGATTCTCACTCAAAGCATCGTCAATATTAGCGCCGGGGGTCAGTCCGCAACTCACCTCACACATCACACACTTCTCGGTTCGACGCTAACCGAAAACAGCCATCCCTCAGCTTCAAACCCGACAACCATCTCAACGGGCCCGAACCACGTACACAATAATCAACCTCCTCTGCTCGACACCGCCTCCCTCCTCGACCTTCTCCCTGGATTCGGGACTTCTCTAGGGTCGCGTTCATTCCCGTGCGCCCATATCAGCCTCGCAGCTTCCCAAGTTGCAGCGCCTTTCTATTCGCCTATCCTTCCCAGAGCTCCTTGAGGTTGATCGCCCCAACGTTGTCTTCCTGGTTGTGGAATCCCGATCTTCGAGGGTGCAACCAGACGAAAGAGCAGCATCTCAAAAGTGGCGATTACTGAACTCTGACGAGGTACGCGGTTCCCAGCTCTGCTGTTTTTCTATGCGATCTCAAGGCCTCCGGGTGTCTTGCTGTGTCCCCGCACGCTATCATCCTGCCCTTTTCTTACTTCCCCTTGACCAAGACGACTAACAAATGCCTCGTTCTCACAACGAAGACTCAAAAAATTGTTATGGCAGAGCAGAGCGGCCGCGATGTGGTAGATCAGACCCTGTCGGGCGGCGAGCCTTCGCCTTCCGGCGTTCCTGCGAGCATTAGTGACAAGATATCTGCTGGAGGGGACGGGGGGAAGATTCAACACATCACATCAAACACACAATCATCAGTACCATCCGACACGCAGAACAGTCATCAGGAAGCAGACGGACAAAAAACACCAATGGAGGAGACGGAGGACGGCAAAGACAGCCGGACTTCAGCCACGGTATGTTTTTGGGTTACAAAAACAAGCTTGTCAAGCTACCTGACATTAACGGCGATATTTGCAGCAGACTACCGGGCTGGTTGCTTCGCGAGCTTTAGAGTTGAATGGAGTCGCATCTGGATCTGATGGGGGAGATGATACGGCATCGCTTGGAGGCTCAGAATCGGACGCCAGCCGGACAGATGGCAAGCATCAGAATCGGGCGGGCTCAGTGAAGAAACCTTCGGCCTTTAAGCCTGTGTCATTTGCTAAGTTTGCGGTCCCAAAGGCACCCGGGGTGACCGCAGCGCCTAAAGCGCCGGAAAAAGGTTCGTTCTCTTTGTTTACTTGCAACGCCTCACCCGCGAGACCCGCATGACTGCTAACTGATGCCCAGTACCGTCAACTTCAACCACCCCGCTCGGTACTCCTCAACCGACCTCTCGCCCACGCTTGGTCGCGAAAACCACAACTGGAATGCGCGACTCTTTCGCCAAGTCAGGTGCAGGCGGCGGAAGACCCGGCGCGACAGGGCCCGATCCGAATCAAGTCTGGAACAAAAACAGACGTATGTATCCTTTCTTCGCTTCTAATTCATTGATCGAGGCACTAATATCCACATTCGCTCTCAGCTGTTCAGCCACCTCCCCCGAAAGCTCTGACCGATGAGGAGCTCAAGCAGCAATACGGAATTCATATGACGTCGCGAATCCAGGAGGACAGCGGAGGCACTGAAGCCAAATGGGCTGATATTGACGATGATGAAGATGATTGGGCCCCGGAAACCATCGAATGGAATGACGGAACCAAGGTCACCCTCACGCACACTGACCATCCGCCTCCCGCTGAGCAAGCTGTTGAACAGACTCCGGAGGAGACGAAAAGCGCAACACCACCTGCACGACCTGAGCAACCTGTTGTGAAAGATGTCGTGAAGATCGCTGCTCCGAAACCAGCTCCTTCCGTCGGACCAAACCCCACGGTCCTCAGGCTCGGCGCAAATGCGGAACGGCAGGCAAAGGCTGCAAGTATCTCGTCTAAAAGCGCAAACGACAAGACACCATCGGGGTCGACAAGTCCTGCGCCTGCACCGACAAAGTCGCCATGGGCACCTTTGCCCCCAGTTGAACGGGTCTCTCCAATTAATCCACCCGCGCAGATGTCCCATCAGCCACGAAGCGCTGGCCCTCCTCCTCCGTCCTTCCATGGCGATGCACGCCAAGCTCCACTTCCACCGCAAGAAATTGCCGCAGACGACTTCAATCGTACCTGGAGAGAATCTGCGCCAGGTGCGCCTCGAGAACTGTACAATTCTCGATCGGGTCGCTATGAGCCCGTTCAAGAGAATCGAAGGGGCTCGTGGCGTGCTGATCAGGGTCCTCGTCCGCCTGCGGTTCTCCAAAGACCGAACCTCGCAGAATCTGGTGGTCCTGCAGAGCCTTCTGCGGCATTCCAAACCTATCGGTCTAGCCATCAGGATGGCATGGGTTGGAACAGACGCCGTACATCATCCAATGTCAGTGGCGGAAGTGGCGGTTACGGCCGTCGGACATCCTTTGGCCGAACCGATGCTCCGCAAAGGTACATGGATGGCCGCCGAGGCTCCCAAACGAACGGGATCCTCGATCCAGCTCTGACAGCCGACGACACTGTGATCTCTCCAGAAACGCTTCCGTCCCAGCAGCGTGCTGGTTCAGGCTGGACAGGTCAAGGGCGTCGTAATGCCAGCGCGGCTTCCTCTCTCGAAGCTCCCCAGCCCGCTCCGCCAGTTGTACCTGAAGCTGAACTCGAAGATCCCGTTGTTCTACAAGAAAGGATCATGAAGGATGCGAGAGCACAGGCCAGACAACGCAGACTTGAGCAAGAGGAGAAGGATCGGATCGAGCGGGAAGAGAGGATCAAAAAGAAGCTTGCTGCACTAGGACCACCTCCGGAGAAGACGCAACGCAAGGAGAGCACTGAGGCTCGCAAACCACAAACGCCTGTGGCGCCAGCCCCCGCGACCTTACACTCGCCACCCAAACCTCCTGTTCCTGAACCGAGCGGTGAGCCCAAGCAATATGGCATGATGAGAGTCCATCACCCAGACTCAGTCAAGAAACTTGTTGCGGCAAACGAGCGAGATCGGGTTGCCGAGAAGTCCGCGGAGAAAATTGCATCTCCCCCTCACGCGCGACGTGTTCCACAATCCCCTCGCGATCATCCAACGGAGATTACGCCCTCTACGAGCTCGGTCAAACCTTCACCAACAGAGCGGCCGTCAACTGAGTCCCCCAAGTTTGAGGAACCTGGTGCACACTGGCGTGGTGGCCTCAATGTACCAAGCTCTCACGCGCCATGGACAAGTGAAGCCAATCTGGGTTCAAACGCCCCTTCGGCAAACAATCCCTGGAAGCTCTTGAGTAGTGACAGAACTCTTGGTAATGGAATCTTTGACCAGACTCTTGGTGGATTCCCACCACGCGAGCTTCCGCTTAGAAGTCAACTTGGTCTGGATCAGGCTTCCGTGCCTCCACCCGTCTTTTCGGGGCCACAGCAGTCAACTTCTATCTCCCCACTACCTTCTCCGGAGACCAGACATGCGCCTGTTGATTCTCTGAGCCCAATCGGTCGACCAGGCCCGATTGGACCGCCCTCATCACACAACAATCAATGGCAGCAGGACTCTGGACCCGCTGGACCATTGGCGTGGAACAATTTCCATGCTATCACTGCTCAACGAGAAAAAGCTATACAGGAAAAAGTCCACAGAGAGTTTATCGCGAGCAAGGGCAAGCCTAACCCGATGTTCGCATTCAAACAACTTGAAGAGTCTTGGGCCCCAGCTCGGCCAGGTAACGACGACACCACTCAGAGTACCGTGGGTGTCGCTACAGCACCCCCCACAGTGAGGAACAACAGGAACAACCTTAGTTCTCCTCATACACTGACTGGACTTGAGACCCCTCCCGACGCTCCGCCATTCTCCGAAAATCATGCCAGGTCGAACGTCAGCCTCCCCGCTCGTAGCTCGAGGTTCTTCCCACAGGCAAGCGAAGCGCCCAAGCGATCTGTCACGGAGGCTTATAGTGAGCAGCGAAGCCCATCTCCGCCTCCGCCAGAGGACATCTTGACCCATCCAGTCTACTTTGGCGGAGCTGGCCGACCGTTGGTTCACTTGCCGACTCCAAAGCCGGTAGTGAAGCTGCCGCCCAAGGCTTTGGCTGCGCCGATTGCCCCCCCTACTTTTGCGTCGATGGCGGCTGCACCTCCGCGGGGCCCGGGAGCGACTGCATCAAGCGGCATTTCCTGGCAGGAGAAGATCAATGGCCTCTTCGGTAAGAAGACGCCACTAGAGAAGAAGTCCGCGTTGGCGATTACCTCGGCATCAAAGGAGCCGCTGGACGTCCCCTTGGCGGTCGCTGCCGTGTCCGTCTCCCTTCCTAATCACGAGACTGATGTACATGTCGGCAACGGACACCTTGCTGTGCAGCAGGTTGAAGAGCAGGAGGAGATCTTTGAAGATCGTGAGCCCGGGTCTCTTCCCAGTGTGCGGGTGCCCAACATGGCTCCGGCCAATGCCTGGCAGGCCGCTTCTGCGCCTCCTGCTTCACGTCTTCGGGCTAAGATTCTTCGCCCTATGCAAGTTCACAGCGTTGAGCCCTATTGGTTTGGGTATGGCGAGAAGGACTCATTGGGTAACGTCCAGATCATGATTCTGCTTCCGGGCTCAGAGACAGGAAAAGCCGTGAGTATGCCCAAGAGATTGACCAGTGGTCCTTCATATCGCCAGCGAAATTCTCCGACCTTCAAGCCTCGAAAGGGTGCGAAGCCAAGAGAAGCCTCAGGGGTCCATATGGGTGCGAAGAAGCCCTCGACTTCCTCTCATCAGCAATCAAGCGGCACTGCGTCCTCATCACCCCGGCATTCCTCTCGAGCCGCATCGTGGGGACCCCGCAATCTGTCTGGTCCTCGGTCATCGTGACGAGAATTTTTGCTGTCAGCGGCCAGGGATTTGTTAAAGCCGAATATGTCGGACGCGGAACTTGCAGTGCTTACTTGATCGACTTGTACCTGCCTTTCATTGCTTTGCAGAAAGTGTGTTTGACGGCTCATTCTTGAAGCCAGGAATACATCTCAGAGCATCTTTACCTTTTGCGTCTTGATCGGATGGATCTCTTGGGCCCAATGACTGTGCATTGCGCAAGAAGGGAGATCTTGAAGTCGAAGCCGGACGATGTCGGCATATACAAGGCACTGCTGGCTTATACTCCGTGCTCACACACACACACACACTACCCCCATACTTAACTTTTGACCCTCTTCAGTGTACTCTTTTTCCGCTTTCTTCCGAATCCAGCCTATTCCAGGATTTCTTTTTCTTTTTTCAGTCTTGCTCCCCCACAACAAGCTCTTCGCGTGATGGTGCTGCTTCACGCCACACGAGAGAATGTCCGGCAATGCAATAATTATTCTCGGGCCCACCTCTTCCATCGTCTCTTAGCTGCCTTGTATTGCCTTAGCCTCACGTTCAATGAACCGCACGTTAAATCATGTGCTCCCTCCTGTGTTTCCATTGCGTTCGAGCTTGATCAGTCTACCTGCATTTCTGTGGCGCGATTTTCAAATTCCTAATGCAGGGTCCCAGCCGTCTACGCAACCCATGAGCTGTGATTTTATGGCTCGTCTTTTGTCCTATGAGGACGATAGTGCTTGCCTCGTTTTCTGTGTATATGGCTATGACTTTGAGGTTCTCGTTGAGCGAATGGAGTTCCAAGCAGGATTCGTGCATCTCCCGACACGCATTGTAGAGGAGGGGCTATGACCACAGTAGGTAAATTATGTGCGTTGAGCACAGCACAAGCTTTGGCCCGTATCATATCGGAGGACAGTAATCACGGACTAGTGGTCAGTGAGTCACAGCACTATTGTATAAGTGATACACAGTCCGTGAGGGCCTAGTAGTAGTACACAGTACACAGTACACAACCTCTTGACACTCAAGTTGTGGCTTCTAACAATCCGCCAAGCTCGACAAGGTCGGCCGCTAGAACTGCCTCTTTGATCTTTTTTTTTGCAGCCATTAGGAGACCAATCTACGAGACATGTTGCAGGGGCCAGCTGCCAGCGGATCTTCAGTTAAAGAACAGTTTTTCCCACCCCTTTTCCGCATCTACCTGGTCTTGCGAAATCGTTCATAGGAACCGTGACGTGCGACTTCTCAGATGTCCCGGCGACTGCCCCTTTCTTGTATGTCAGCATGCCTGGAGATTGGACTCTGCCGACAGGTCGGTATTCGAGCATTCTCAACTAGAGAGCGATGTGAGTGATTTCAAAGAGATGCAGGGGTGTCGTCACTTTGTGTTTTCAAGGGGCCTCTCGGAGTTTCCAAGACGGACTGTCAGTGTCGGCCGCGACGCTGACCAGACTCGCAGTCGGGGATAGGAATCACGGATGACAATCCTTTGCAGCAGAGAGGGAAATTCTGAGATTCCGCTGACTCGCATGACACGAAACTGGGAGATGGAATGGATATCTGGAACAGGTTACCTCGATAGTACAACTAGTAAGTTACTAACGTTGGTGATCGATCTGCGTGGCCTCCGAGGCGGATACAGCCGACTCTCCCATGTCCGGGCATGTACGGCATGTCCTGCACTCAGCACTGCAGGCCAAGCGGCATCTTTTTGGAGATGGAACTAGATACCTTGTCACCTTAGTAGTAATCCGGTACACTTCCTGTGGCATGAGACATCCATCCATGAGAATTAGCTCTCACACGAAGGGCCCACTGCGACACTAAAAGCCACTCTCACCACCCACCATCAACCAGGTAGGTATGGACTCATGGTCCCATGGAGACATATGATGGAGTCGACTTTGGGAAGCGAAAGACCACAGTCGGACCCCCCACGGGCATCAGCTTATAGAGTGGACCCCATCTTGACTTATCTCTTCCATCCTGATTGATAATCTCGAAGGCAAGCGACGACTTTCAAGCTAAGTGACCAGTTACCACCGACAACGGTGTCAATTACGCAAATCGATAGACCAACGAGACCCACTAGAGATTAGCTTCGCTTGTCTTTGATATCATGTTATGGATCCGGTTGGTGCGAATCAAGCGGCGTTAGGATTCGCTTCCGACAGCAGTAATTTATGGGGATTAGGTTCGCATGCGCGGCTGCGGGTACGTGATCACGGACCTTGTCACTGTGAGTAGACTCAGTACTGTACAAATGTACAGTACTTCTTTTGAGTGAGATGGCGACTACGACTGCAAGTGTAGAGTGTAATTTGCATCCATGTCCGCGCATTGCACCTGCCGCCTCGGGGTGTCCGTCGGGGCGGATAGTCACGGCTATTCTGGCATTGTGCCGGACAAAACGCAGGTGTCAGGAGTCCGGACACAGTCAGCAGGTTTGGAAGGTGCTGAACCTTGAAATGGTATCTAAGATCTTGGTGGCGCTATCCATGAGGTACCTGACCTCCTACTACTACCTAACTTTCAGTGACCTGTCCAGTGGATGACCAGCTCACCAGTGCCTAGGTACCTAAGGCGTCACTTTAGGTCCCGCTGGACTTGGGACCTGGGTCTCGTGAGGCATAATTTAAATTCACAAATGGAAGCACCACGCTATGCTGTTCCTGAGGCAGGGACGAATTCCGAGCCGAGTCCCTCCTCCACATGGCAAGAGTATGAAGCTTGGGGGGGGTGCTCAACCTTCAGCCCCCGGTAGAATTGAAAACTCTCAATAGATCCTCAAATCGCCAGTCCAAACATGCTAGAGCGGCATGTAGTGTGATACCAACTCAGATCTATCATCTATACGTGTATAATCGCATCGCAATCCAAGCTTTTTATTTTATTTTATATCAGGAGTTCAATTCGCTGCGAGCTATAACCTACAGATTTGTTGACCACTTAGTTTACCTATTCTAGATAGGTAGATGAGCTGGTGAGAGAAATCCTGGCCCTGGGGACTTATTCATCAAGGGGATTTGTGGTTCTCACGACTCAGTCCTCGAACGACAAATGTAGCGGTCATTAGATTATTCTCCCTCGAGCATTGCCTCTTCCAGGCGTTGCACCAGTGCACAACTGCACACTGGCACAGTGCTGAGCTCAGCACTGTAACTCGCACAATAGACCGTTTTGTAATTCCATTCCCTGGACATATCTCCTCTACACTCCCCCAAATAGGTAATGATCGGGGGCTAGCAGACGTCGCGTGGTGCCGAAATTACCGAGCAGCGATTGTTGGAGCCTAGTTTCATATTTTCCGCCGAGATCCATTTTTCCCGCCAGCCACCTGCCTGCACCCCGTAGGCCCGTACCAGCGTAGTAGTACCATTACCATGAGTATTTCCAAGTATCAGTGGAAGTCTCGCTCTCCGGGAGGACTCTATCCACCAAGTATAGAAAATGGGAATGCACCGTTCCCATGGGCGGGCCAGCTACGATCTGGTTCACCAGACACATGGCAAACGCCACCAAGGCTTGATTTATCCTGTGGAGGATAGGAGACGAGCAAGGTGTTTATGGGTAGACCGACGGAATTGACAGAGAAAGTCAAATATCCAGTACTGCAGCAGTGCAGAGTGCAGAGCGTAGCGGGTGAAGTTGTAAACCCTGAAGTTGAAAAGGGTGGAGTCAGACTGAAAATGGTTGTAGGGAAGAAACGCTAGAAGTCGGAAACCACCTTCCCGATCCGGTAATGCATCGGGAGTCCGGGTCCCCGCCGTAGTCCGAGGCGCACTGAAACCCAAAATAGTGGACCTTGGAAAGGACCGCTCTGCTCGGAGGGGAGAAAAGATTTAAAAAAAAAAAGATCCATCGGGCGTTGACAGTTGAGGGCCGATTCAGGTAATCCAATGCGATTGCCTCTCCACAAGCATCTGGGTTATGGACCACATTGGGATGGTGTAGAAAGGGACCAGGATGGTTGAGGATTCTCACAGAGATTGACATGGACAGTAGAGTAGTGCCCAATTGGTTGTTGTAGAGAAATCTAACTTACAACCCAGCAGACCTACCAACATGACTAATTCACTTAGAACAATGACAATCATACAATGTTTACTACTAACACCGCATTGTCGCATTTACCAGTGCTGGACTGCCGGTGGCTGTGGTGGCTGTGGTGGCTCACTCCTGGGAGGCATTCAACCCATGTGACAGGAGAGGCCTCGGGGCCACAATAGAGAGAGTGAATCAAGGGCGGGTGAGACCCGTGTACCTTTTGACAATCCCTCTTTCTCTCGCTCGAATTACTACTGTACGCCGTACTGTACTTATCTCCGTCACTGGTGTCGCCAGTCCCCAAGAGGAGATCGCCATGGGCATCAACTACCGGTAGTCGTCAGACTTGGAAGTGGTCATTCTTCATGCACAAAGTGCTGGTGACACGGTCTGCGCGTCTATCTCGGGGTCTATCTCACTTTCGCCTCCATGGCTTCGGATGTCGCGTGTGGCCGTGGCCGGGTCCCCTGTCGTCTGTCCAGTGGACAGACGACAATACGACAGTGGGGATGGCAAAATGTGGAAGTTGCGGATATCCAGGGCCGATGCTTCGTAACTTTTACTTTCGGGTTATCTGTTCAAGTAAGCGATGGCGTGTGGAATGGTCATCAAATCTCATCATTTTCTCACTCCAGCTGGTTCGGTTCACCTGTCACGACTCATCAGCGCCCCCTTTTGATCCACCAGTTTGGGCTCAATGGATCTGGTCCCAAACGACATTCCGCGGATAAAGCCTACAGTGGAAAGGACCTCGGACGTTCCTCTGGTCCCGTCACCACATCTCAGGAGTTAGGACACTGAGGACAGTCGTTACCAAATGAGATCAAGCGGAACGTCAGACACCGCAAGTACGGGACCATCAGTGCCTGTTTCTTGATGGCGATTGCCGCTCAAAGGCTGAGGCATCCGACACCTGGAGATTGTCCTGATGTGATTGTAGAGAGGGCCGAGTGGAGTTGTCTGAATGAACTGGGGAACGGTCCTGGGGACGACGGGATGTAACATTGGCGTGGGTAAGATCACGTCAGACTCGCGTCTGTGTGGATGATGGATCCCGCGCGCGGAGTGTTCTTTTCAGTGCTGGGTACGGCTGTACGGGCCTGCCGAGTGGACGAGAGATCGATCGGGGGAACAGGAGTTGAAGGCGAGGAATGTCATCCCAAGGTTTATTATTGATTATGATTATTACTATGCTCCTCATCACCTGCACGAACTTTGGTTCAATTCGCATAGTAGGCCATAGTCCATAGACTAAGGAGTATGGACTATGAGTATGGACCAAGTACAGAAAGTCGTAAGACTACGTAGCAAGGAGGCAAGTACGAAGTACATACGACTGCCCGGATATTATTCTCAGACACAATTATACTTTCCAGGGCCATACTCTGTCCTACAATCAGTTGTACTAGTAGCACTATACCCAGATCCATAGCCATTAGCCACCGCTTCTTTCCAAAAATGACTTGGATACCGGTCCTTTCTCAATGCCTAGTCCTCGTCCTAGTCCTACATTTCCCTCCATTGCCACCTCCAATTTGCATCCCGGTCGCACCGTGCGTGGTGCGTGATCCAATGGCCTCATTAAGCGAAGCCCCGGCCGGGTGGAGCCTACCCCCCCCCCAGGTGTCTCATGATGCTTTTTGTCTCCTGATAAACCACAGCCGGATGATTGATGATTCGCCCCCGATATCCTTTGCCCGTCTCGGACAGCCCCGAAAACAGTCAAGCTTCCCCCCCCTTCCCCACTGGTGTCCACCGAAAGCGTGAGGTCCAGGAAAAGGGCCCTGCAGAAACGGGGCCCTCTCCAGCAGGGGAAGTGGCTGGAAGATTGGGCCTGACCTCGCCGAGACTCACGGCTCCTCATTCGAAGAAGCTTATCTCAACTAAGCCTCTGATACGACCGCCCATTTTTTTCTTGTTTGACGCTACAACGGAGCTTGGCCCCCGGACGCAGGAGGTCCGAGACCTTTTTTATCTCGTTCGCTCAAAGTGTACCGTCGGCCCGAAGACACCAGCAGTCCAGCACCAAGACGGCGTCTGACTTGCAGTCGTTGGGCAATTTCTTCCCTCCTTGACAGATTGCTTGCGTCCGGCTGCAATCTCAATCTCCGGGTCTGATGTACCATACAGAAGTGGCCACCCTCATCTGGCCAATTCCACCATCTCGGCCGATCTGCCTGAAACTAGTCCCTAGTCACCCACTACTACTACTCAGGACTCCCCATGCATTCACTAGCACCCCGGGAGCACCGACTGACACATGGAATGAGGGAAGGGCAATATGGAATTGTGGATGTACCCGATGCGGTCGTTTGCCGTCTCCATACGTAAGACGCAGTGGGCATGGACACATGAGTACCATACACTATACAGGCCTATACAGGCCTATACAGGCATACACTCTATCGTCTACCCGAGAGAGACTCTCCAGTCGTCACAGTAGTACAACCACTGCCGCGTCAAAGATCGCTCTCAACCCCGTTCCACATCCCCCAGACTCAGTAAAGCCAAAATGGCTCAACCCGGTGGCCACGGCGTTGTTGGAACCTGGCGATGCACCGCGGTGCAGCCAACCACGAAGCACACCAGATCAGATCAGAGTTTATATCCACTTGCCTCGTGGCAGGCGCAGGATATCTCTGGTCATGGCCGAGATAGTCTCGACTTCTCGACCCGGGACAAGATGCTCACTGGTCGCGCCGCACGAGACTCCTCCTCCCCATTTAGTTCTAGTGCCATGTTGCCTTGACCACGAGGTATTATTCACTCCGAACGGTTCTCGGTTCTCGAGGGCTAGAGAACATCCGCCGGCGAAGTGGAACCCCCAGAGATAGCTTGGAGGATGGAGATACGCTGGTTTGGGGCGGATGGTGCCCGCTGAAGGCGGTCCAGTGTCCACTCTCCTGTACCATCCAGGAAAGGAGCGGCAACAGCTTGGACGAAGATCCGGGGGTCTGATCATGTCCACCCTACTCAGCGAGGGTGACGAGGGTCATAGTCACAACGCACTTTCAGGTGGTATATGAATCGAGTCTGTCCCCCCCCCCTCCAACACATTGGCTTCTCTTCCCTTCTCTTCTTCTCTTCAAGGAATCCATTGCCCTTCCTCACCTCTCCCCACTTTCTCTTTCCCCTTCTCCTTTCATCCTCTTGTCTTCCCTATTCTGATCCCCCTCTTGAATCACTCAACCCTCTTCTGACAACTTCCACTCACGATCACATTTCCACCATGTCGATGCTTCCGGGCCCCGTGGGCATCACCGCCCCAACGGAGCAAGTCCGGGAGGCCACCGCATCCCCCGGAGAGCTGCATAAGCTCGAGGAGACTGCAGTTCACCCGGGGATTCGCGAGCGAGAGTGGGGTCTCGCTGCTCGTCTCGATGAGACCGTCACCTTTGAGGAGTTCACCTACTGGGCCAAGATCGAGCGTGAGCTGGAAGAGGAAGAGTACCGTCGCTATACCGCCATGACGGGCGGTGGCGGTCTTCTGACCTCGTTCAAGAACTACTTCAAGAACAATCCCTACGAGGATGCCAAAATTCAGAATTCCCGCGAGGTGCAGGAGAACGAGCGAGAGTTGCAACTGTATGAGAAAAAGGCCGACGTGGCGGTCTCGGGAAATTCCAGCGAGGCCACTCACCCCATTGCGCCGCCTCCCGCTTACGATCTCGATGCCGAATGGCGTACGGCTGCCCGTGCCCTGCGCAATGCGGGCTGGGGAACCATCTTCTACCTCATCACCACGGATATCCTGGGTTGGTCTCAGACCCCCTATGTCTTCGCCAACACCGGATACGGTCTGGGTGTCGGCATCTTTGCCCTCATGGCCTTCGCGGCCTTTGCCTCGGGACTCATGATCTGGCGTGTCTTCCTGGCTCTGGACTCGGCTCGTTTCCCGATCGTCAGCTTTGGCGATCCCTTCTTCCGCCTGTTGGGTCCTCGCATGCGCCACTTCATCAACTTCATGCAGTCTTTACAGATGTTCCTCAGTGTCGCCGTCGTGTTGCTCGGAAACACGGGTATCATTGCCCAGCTGGGTGGCAACATCAACCTGTGTTACATCGTCTGTGGTATCATTTCCCTCGTCGTCGGTATGGCCAGTGGTTACATGCGATCCCTCAAGCACCTGGGTTGGTTCTGCAACATGGCTGTGTGGATCAACATTGTCACTTTCATCATCATGTAAGTTGGGGAACCCACAATTGGAAAGAGCACCACCCTACCGAACAAAATACTGACGCTGGCCCCCCTCCGCCTCGAACTTTTCAGTATCGCTGCCGCTGTCAAGAACGGTCCTGATCCCACTGCTGCGGTCAATAACGGTGTCCTGCCCAAGGAATGGGCCGTCCCAGCTACCATGGCTCCGGTCATGACCTTCGTGGGAACTCCCCCTGCCATGTACCAGCCTACCGATCACCAGCTTTTCGCGGCTCAATTCAACGGTATCAACAGCATGGTTTGTAAGTGATGCCTCTTTTGTCCACCTGACACACCACTCTCATTGCATGAGAGAAAGATTGTCGGTTCCTAATCCGACGATATAGATGCCTACTCCGGTGCTGTCATGTTCGTCGCCTTCCTCTCTGAGATGCGCCGCCCCATGGACTTCTGGAAGGGTCTGCTGGTTGCTCAGACCTTCATCACTGTTGTCTACATTTTCTTCGGTGCCCTGGTAAGCCTTGACGAACCTGACACTTGTGGTCACTGATTGATTTTACCTCGAACGATTTTCCTAACTCTTTTTTCCTTAGATCTACCACTTCTACGGCCAGTACGCCTACGTCAACGTGAACCAGACCGTCAGCCCTCAAAACATCCAGATCGTGGGCAATGTTCTCTCTCTCCTCACTGGTTGGCTTGCCATTTGTAAGTGTCGGCACTCTACGCGCGAGCTAATACGAACTTCCAAACTAACATCCCCTTGTCCAGTCCTCTACTTCAACGTCGGCATGAAGACTGTCTACATCGAAGTCGGCCAAGCCATCTTCAAGCTGCCCCCCATCACCTCCAACAAGGGCAAGTTCCTCTGGTGGGGACTCGGCCCCGTCTACTGGATCCTGGCCTTTGTCCTGGCCCTTTCCGTGCCCCAATTCGGCGCCTTCACCAACTTCGTCGGCGGTCTCTTCAGTCTCAACTTCACCTACTCCTTCTCCGGCGTCATGTACCTCGCCTACAAGATCCAGGACGGCGCCCGTCTCGAAGGTGAAGGCTTCGACCCCGCCACCGGCCAAACCATCCGTCACGACAGCGGCATGTCTCGCTGGGTCCGCGGTTTCCGCAAGACCTGGATGATGAGCTTGCCCGTTCTGCTCTTCACCCTTTGCGGTTTTGCGACATCCGGCATGGGTACCTGGGCGGCGGTGTTGGCTTTGGAGTCTGCCTTCGGTCCCGGTGGTTCCGTCGTCACTTCCTGGACTTGCACTAACCCTTTCTACACCGGTTAAAACTCGCAAGATCCATGACCTGGAACCCTCCAAAACGGCAATCCTCCCAGCCGAAAAAAAAAAAAAAAAAAAAAAATTAATCCTCGAAGGGAAGAACTGTGTCTTATCCTCTCTGGAACCCGAACAGATTCAAGACCTGAATGGATCGTCAACTCGTTGACAGTGAGATTGGATCTCGATCTCGATCACGGAACTACGCTTACGCCCATTTCACACCCACCCATGAAATACTGTCCCCATCGGACAAGACTCTGGGGGTTCTTCAAAGTACCTATTTTACATCCCTTTTTTAATTCCTGGAGCAACCATGTCCCGAGTTGTTTCTTAACGTCTCAGTGAATTTATGCTAGCCACGTGCACTCGTGCACCTTTTCAAATCTTTTCAATTGGTGTTGTAGCACTTCCAAACGTACCGAGTACCGAGGACCTAGTTTTACTAAAGTAAGGTAATGTATAAGTGGAATATATTCCTGCCTAGAAATGGATTCAATTCAGTTCTCAATCCCTGCAAGCTACATCGATGGAGGGAAGAGCCGGGCGCGCGAAAGCTGGGGGCGTTCTCTCTGGTTATCGGTAGAACTTATGAGCTATGTACCTGGCTAGCTGGACTGGAGGGCACTTGACTGATGGTTTAATTTGAGACAAGAAGAAGAAGAAGAAGAAGAAGAAGAAGAAGAAGAAGACTAACTTATAAGGTCAATTTGCAATACAAGAAAGACATGCATTAAAAGGTATCGACGATTCTGAAAACAACCAAAAGCTTTGAAAACTTTGAAAACCGCGAACAGAAATGATATCTTCCCAAGCAGGTTCCCTTTTCATAACACCAACGAACGGAAAGAACAAAACAACCCCATCACTCCCTTCAGTCATACATCCGAGACAAGACGAAAGATTAAAAAATATTGTCATTCAAAGACACGCTTTAGAACCCAATGACAAGGTACAAGTAGCTCAAACACCGCGCAACCCTGGAAGGAAGAAAGAAAGAAAGACCGTATAATGACCGTGACCGTGACACTCATGAGAATGGAATGGGAAAGATTTCCCTGCTTTATCGTCATCACCAGTTCCACGTGCGACTGGATGCTGTGAAGACGGGAGGTTTCCATTGCAGGCGAACAGGGTCAATTCTGCGAGAGCCCTTGACCTTCTCCTTTTCCATTCGTCTGTTGTGCTCTTCGAGGACTTGGTCCGTGAGAACGATGAGCCAATTTCCTTTCTTGAAGGTGTGTTAGCTTTCCAATGTTTCTAGAAATCAGAACTTTCGACTTTCCAAAAAAACAAGACCACACTTACATGATATCGGAGCATGTTATTCACCAACAAGGTCTCATGGATATCCTTCTCAGTCATCGATGTGAGAAGAGCAAGTTCATTCTCACTCATGGCTTCCCGGTTCGGCTCTGCCAGCAACTCCACAAGCGTTTCTCGCCAATATCGACGATAACTCAGCAATCCCAAATCACTCAGTGGCTTTTCGGGTGAGCCCAGCTTACCCTCGCGCTTGCTGAGCTCGTAACTCATGGCAATCAGCAAGCGACCATAACCAGCTCGCTGATACTGAGGGAAAGTCGTGATACACGCCAAGTTGTAGCCCTCGGCGGAGTCTTTTCTTTCGAAAAATAGCCTACCAAGTGACAACCGGTCTCGTCGCGGGTGCACATGCAGTAGAAGAGGAAAGGGTCCACATCGTAGTACAGCGTCTTGTGATCAAGGAACAGCTTGCTCAGAAGACACAAGTTACGACACCAAGTCCGTTGACGTCGGCCATCCACCTCGAAGAATGAGATGTTGTCGTCGCGGTAGATCTCATTGCCCGGTGGATGAACCATCGTGCACTTGGATCGATGCCTCTCAAAGGCACGATAATTGTCGAAATAACTTAGACAGAATTCATCAATGTAGACCAAGTCCACGTCGGAGAAAGAGTCTGGGTATGGTGAGAAATACCATGGCTCGATATCATACTTTCCCATCTGCAGCTTGGTCAAGTTTCGCACGCGATGAACTTCCGTCGGATTCTGCGTCATACTTCCACCGGTCCTAAGCCGCTCAATCTCTTCCTCTCGAGTGATCACCTCACCGGAAGCAGTCTTGACCTCTTCCTTGAGAGGAGCATCGGGCATTTCAAGATCTTCCGAATCCAAGACTTTAGGTGTGCCAGCGACAGAAACACCTTCGGATCCAACCATCGAGACATCTGCCCCAGGTGTATCGCGGTTCTCCTTGCCTCCAGCCGTTGAGGGCCGTGGCGCTTTTGCAACATTTTGGTTCTTACTTCCAAATGCATCAGGAGTACTCGATACCTCGCGGCTATCGGCACGATGTTGTTTTTGAGCATTCTTGCTCGGAGCCTTCGTGACGGCTGCCTTTTTCTTTTCTGCTTTCTCAGGCCGCGGCCACTCCACCTCTTGTGTGAGGTCTATCCGTGCAGCTGGGACCCATTCTGAACCAGAGTCAAGACTATCAATATGCTGGTACGATGCCTCAAAAGGATGCCTGTAGCAAACTTACCGTCAAGACGTTTGTTGAAATCAACATAGTGGACACTAAAACAGAATCAGCGCGGGGGTTTATCCATTAGCCAAACACATCGAAACCTACTAAAATGATAAACCACCCTTTCGTTCTCGAATCGACAAAATTTCCGCTTTACGGAGTTCACCATCCTGATACAGACACTCGCTTTAGTACAAAGTCACGTGATATGGCTTCAGGCTTTTGCGCTTTCGCGGGGGACGTTCTCACCTTCTGCACCATAGCCTTGACACCAAGTCTATCATCTGAATTAGTAATGTGCGACCGAGGAAAAGCCAACCTGCGAGCACTATGGGCTCAGTTTGAAGCATTTTGCTTCTCCCTACGAGCCTGAAACTTACGTGATGGTGTTGATCGTGGCGAGTCCCTTCTCCACGGGGTCGGGCGTGCCCGTCGCTTCGCCAGGCTCTCGAGGACCCATCTTGACAGAGTCAGAGGAGACTAGAAATCGATCACTGGGGCAATATTTTGATGGAAGTGATGAATGCGAGGCGAGGCGCGAATCGGTGGCAGTTGCGTGGTGAAGGCAAAAGGCAGTGACACCGGCGATTCTTATTATGTCAGCGTGACCGCGTCCGGCTGGCGCTGCAAGTCCTCTTGGTTGCTATTTGAGCCAAAATACAGAATGGAAGAAGGGAGGCGACTTTGGCCAGCGGTAGTTTCTACCATCTCAAAGGTCTAGGCCAGAGCACACAACCTAATTAGTCGCTCGAATGCCAGAGTCTACTCTGAATGATCACGCTAGTAATCTGAATTATGTGGAAAACCTCGGGGTGCCACTTGAGATAGGATCACATGTAAACGACATGCATGATCAAGCAATGAATTCTTCCTATAATACAATCCATATCAAAGCGCCCGCAAGAGTTATGACCCAGTTTAATAGTCATTTAAAAAGCAAACTCGTCATCGGCTACCTAATCAATGCCAGCCGTTGATCTTGGCAGTTCCGGCAATGAGCTCGTCTAGCTCATCCTTACGGCTCTTGTAAAGTTCTTGAGCTTCACGCTCCCGACGCATGATGAATGATACTGCTTCCCTCAGACGCTCCAGTCGCCGAGTGATGGCAGCTTCCTCTGAGATCTGGAGCGTCCGGAAAGCGTCAAGCTCATCCTGCGCCCTTGGAAGAGCAGTGCCCGCCTCTAAGATTTTGGTCCGAAGGGTTTTGGCACGGTTCTGATAACCGCCGTAATGCAGTGCCAGCTTCTTTTCCAGCTTGTTACCCTTCTCCGCAGTAGCTAGTAGCGATGCTTGAACGCCGTCGAATGCTGCAATCATACGCTGCTCTTCCTGGAACGCGTTCTCTTCGCTTTCCTCGTCGTCATATAGGTCAAGACCGGGCAGAGCTTGAGCCCGATTACTCGACCACACATCGTCGAATTTTTCTTGCCATTCTCTTTGCTGCTGTTGAACTTCATCAGCAGCGATCTCCGCCGCCAAGGCAGCCCGGGCAGCTTCCAGAAATTGGTCATCGAGACGCTGTAGCTTTGGTGCTTTGCCTTCGATCTTGGCTCCGGGAACAGGATGCTTGCGCGAGTCGTGTGCAATCATTGTCGCTGCTTCCTGAGAAATAAGTGCTTCGATGGGGTCCTCAACATGGGAAGCAGTTTGCATCAACGCCTCCAGGTCAAGCACGACAGGCCGAGGGAGCCCGCGCTGGTAAACTTGCGACTGACGCTTGAACTCTGCCTTGGCAGCCGATTCTTGGGCCTCCTGTTCTCGACGATCTCGCTCAGCGGCATCCTCTTCAGTCATCTCCACGTCCGCAGAGGGCTCGGCGGTTTCGGATGGGAGCTCTTCAAGCTCCCACTCGGTCTCCTTGGGTTTCGGCAGGGAAGCTAACTTGCTGCGGATCGACTGTCGCGTGAAGTTCTCGTGCATCTTAATTTCTCTTGGCGTGCTTCCGGTGATTTGACCTCCTTCTCCTTCCCGGTTCAGCGAGAAATGATCTCGTGGCGTTCGCAGAGGTGTAGCTCCGGGTCTAACCCCTCCGTGCATAGGGGTGGCTCCAACGCCGTTGGCCTGACGGAACGGTGTAGCCATAGGGTTGGGCGTGACAATGTCTTGCCGTCGAGGTGCAATGCCCTCAAATCCTGTTGAAGACCGTCCCTCGTGCAGGGGTGTGTTTTCTCCTCCGAGCAACGATGACTGTGTTTCCGTAAGAGCTCGAATGTTCTTGATCTCGTTCGCAATATGATCTTCTTCTGGAGCGGCGCGAGGTGTGCGAATTGGTGTCCCGCCAACGATGGCGCCATAATTTCCAATCAGACCCCGAGTGGTCTCCTCATCTCCGCTCATACGGCTGGCCTTGTCTCCAGCCATGCCCATCTTGATGATGTCCTCCATCTCTCCCTCGCTGACCTGTGGCGCAGGGAGAACCAAACCCCTCCGCTTACTGCTCTGCTCTGCCTCGCGGATTTTCTGCATCTGGCCAGCGCGTGCCGCCGCAGCGAAAGCGGCAGAATTGCTGTTTTTGTCATTCTTGCGCTTCTTGCGCTCGGCGTCTTCGTCTTGGTCGCCTTTCCGCTTATTTGCCAGTTGTTGTTTTCGGGGATCGAACATTTCTCGCTGGCGCTCATTTCGAGTCTGTTCCTCGGCCGTGTCATAGAAACCAGGAGCCGCAGGCTTCTCAAAAGGAATATCTGCGTTGTAGTCCATCTCGCCAGGCTTGCGAGTCTTGACTTTGACATTGATGCCGGCATGTTTCAATTCGCGGCGTTTCTGCAAAACGGCTAGACGTCGAGACTCCTCTAGTTGTCGCTCTCGAGCCTTGCGCTTGGCCTTTTTACCCTGTGTATTGGCAAGACGGGCACGAGCTTCACTCAGCATCTCCTTCTCGTCTTCGTCCAGGTCTATCGTATCGGGGCGTGCAGGTTTCGACTCGGGATCGGGGTCCAACTCTCCGGGTCTACAGCTGGTTAGTCATGCGCACATCTTTTGCGTAGTATCTGGCTCAGACATACCGAAGGCGACGGACATCGTCCGCACTAGGAGCTGCCGCTTCACCACCTTCCGGCCCTCCAAGACCAAGTTCATCATTCTCGCGAGCTTCAGCCTCATCCAGAAGCTTTTGATAACGTTCGAGACACTGTGTCGCCGTGCGGCCGACGATTGGAGCAATTGTCCGCCATTGCGTTGGCATCAACTTTGCGAGATGCAGAAGCTTTTCATCCTCCTCTCGCGACCATTCAACTTTGCGAATACCAGGGTCTAACCATTCGATCCAACGCGCCTTGCATTGCTTGGGGGTCTTGCGGGCGAGAAGGGAGGACACGCGGGCCCATTGATTGAGACCATATTTGGAGACCTGTGAGCGAATCAGTATCGGGCGCATACATCGCTAAAGCCTTGGAGAGACTCGGAATGACATACAGCCGCGCGAAGGACCTCGTCCTCGATATTGGTCCTGGAAGTTGTTAGTGATGCTCATTGCGATGCGAGGCGGACTGCGCGTGATCTTACCAGACGCCTCCCTTGACGACCGGCATGATGCAGTAATTGCGGATTGAAATTCCAATATCTCCTTCAGCCGAGAGAAAGGGCGTCCAAAATCGTCCACGGCGCAATGGAAAAAGCGAATCCCCCGATAGCACCTGTCGACGCACGAGTGATCTCACGGAGCTGCGAGAAAAGCGAACTCGCCAAGTCCCAGTGTTCTGACCGCCCGCATGGTTGGCCGTCCCCGCGTTAGGTAAGCAGATCCCGAAATTTTTGGATTTTCTTAGATTTTAATTTGGTTATAGCTGCTTCGTCCGGCTCAAAAAAAAAAAGAGAGGAGAGCCGATAAGATTATTCACCATGTCGACGTCGGTGAAAGCCCCTTCGCAATATAAGCAGCCATCCCGTAAGGGTAAGAAGGCCTGGCGCAAGAATGTCGATGTTACAGAGGTGCAGGAGGGTCTCCGCCAATTGAAGGACGATGAAATCAAAGGGTTCGTCTACCACTGCGATGGCGTGCAAGACTGAAATTTGACATGACCTTGCTGACCTGCTCATTAGTGGTGTTCTCGCAGAGAAGGCCGCAGAAGACCTTTTCACCCTCGATAAGACCGGGGATCTGCAAGTTCGACAGACTATCGCGAAGAAAAGTAAGCCTCTCAGGGCCGACCAGATTATTGCACAGCGGTCTGCCATTCCTGCGCTGGATGGTCGCAAGCGTGGCAACCCCAACGTTACGGATGGTGTGATCGAGCCTACGAACAAGAAGCACAAAAAAGACTGGGTCAGCCGAAAGGATTACCTGCGCTTAAAGCAGGTCGCCAAAGAGGCCAACCCGATCAATAAGAAGGGCAGCGACGAGATCTACGACCCATGGGCGGAAGACGCCGAAGAGCCCACTGTTTATGATGATCCTCAATTCGACTTCCTTCAGAAGCCAAAGCCCAAGGTCGCTCCGGAGACCTTGAAGCACGCGCCCATCTCACTTGCTGCCAACGGCAAGCCTATTCCCGCTGTCCGCACGCCTCATGCCGGTACGAGTTACAACCCTGTGTTCGAAGATTGGGACAAACTGCTGCAGGAGCACGGAGAAAAGGCCGTTGAGGCTGAGAAGCAACGTCTGGAGGAGGAAAAGAAAGAGGAAGAAAGACAGCGGTTGATTGCCGAGGCTCAAAACGATGACGGTGAAGTCAAATCCGACGATGAGAGTGCCTGGGAGGGCTTCGAGAGTGAATACGAAAAGCCTGAATGGTTGAACAAGAAGCGACCCGAGCGAAAGACCAAGACTCAGCGCAACAAGATCAAGCGCCGCAAGGAGGCTGAGAGGCAAGCGAAGTGGGAGGAGCAGCAGGCCAAGAAAGAAGCACAAATTGGCCGAGTCCAGGAGCTTTTGGAACTTGCCAAGCAGAAAGAGGACAGTGCCAATCAGTCTGATGCCGATGACTCGGAGGGAGAGGGTGATGATATGGCCCTGCGACGGAAGCCCTTCGGTGGCAAGCTTGCGTATGTCTCTGCGTTTGAACCCGTCATTGAATTTGAGACACTAACATATTTTTGAACAACAGGCCCCCAGAGAAGCCATTGGAGTTGGTTCTTCCAGACGAATTGCAGGATTCTCTTCGTCTACTCAAGCCTGAGGGCAATCTCTTGGATGATCGATTCCGCACGCTCATTGTCCAGGGTAAGCTGGAGTCCCGCAAGCCAGTGACGCAGGCCCGCAAAGCCAAGAAAAAAATTACGGAGAAGTGGATGTCCAAGGATTTCAAGGTTCCCGGGTTCTAAATAATCTCATGAGTATTGGGTGTTTGTTTTTCCTTCTCAAAACGGCGTGCATTGGCGATTGGATGTATATGTTGGTCACAATTCCGAGGCTTTGTTGCATGTTTACCTACTACTCTTTGGACTATAGATAGCGGCGAATGGCTTCCATGCAATGGTCAATTTTGGACATTGAACTCCATTTTGTCAGACACGTCCCATTTGGCGGTTTTAGCAGCTGAGCAAGGTGTGCTTTCACCTCGCGGCCTATCTTAGGACTGTAGGCCTTCCTGGCGCGATCAGGGGCGAAAGCAAACTGGTAGAACCCGAATTGCCGAAACAGACTTCTGGTAGCATTCTAATGAAAGTGAAGAGTAGTAAGCGGTTTAATGAGTCTTCAGCTTCAAGCAATCAGCGTTCTCTGTTCGACAATATATGGGCAGCAATGGCTGTATGAAAATGCAAGAGTTCAGTGCCTCCAATGGGATTAGGTCACGTAGGGAAGGCTATCGTTCAATGCAGCGCCTTGTTCAAAAGAAAAAGACCTTTCACACTTCATCTGATAACCTTTGAGCATCATCTTTATTGGTAAAACTAACTCATATATCAATCAAAGTAGGTGAGGATCAGGTATGCTTTCTCCGCCAGTCTGCCAGTCGGCGATCCGCAGCGGTAAATCCGCCACGAGTCCGACGGCTACACAACCACTTAACGCGGCAACGGAAACAGCTGACGCGTGACGCGCTGCTCGCCGGAAACTTTTGCACCTGAAGAACCTCTCGCACCAGCATCCACGATTCGAATTGTCAACTCTACCTCATACTCATTGCTAGTATAGACTGTCCCGATTCTCAACCTTCGAAAATCAAATCAACAGGTCTGTGACGTGATCAGACCACTGCCGCGTGTTCGGTCAATTGCATTTATTCCCGGATCATTGAGCGACAATGCCAGACATGTACACCTTTCAAGCTGGCTCGAAGCCGCTCGATTCGGAATCTAGAAGTGGTGAAATACCCAGCTTCACACCCAACATTCTTCCATGTCGAGTCCATCATGACGGTCCCGTCGAATCGAACGGTCGATTTTGGATCACGCAAACAGATGAGAAAGGTACGCGCAACAAGGCGGGTCCATGAGCCTCGCTCTCGGATGTGGAGTGATCTCGATCAAGACAAAGTACTGATGAATGGTTCCTGGAAGACGATCAGCAAACGGCACATTTCCGGGGTCGTAGGCTACGAGGTCGGCGCGTTGCCGTCCCAGAGGGTTATCGAGGTACGCAGTACAGGGATTCTGGCAGCACATATCACCATGAACACTTTGCTGATGCTCTCTCCGCACGGACAGGCGTTATCGTCTCCCCCACAGACCGCGTCATATCCGGAACACAAGGATTAAATGGTGATCGAATGGAAGACGGCGAATCTGACCCAGAGGAGCCGGTAAAGATCCTCGAAGCGCAAGGCACGTTTGATGAGATGATGGTTTGGGGCCATGAGAATCTTCCTGCTGCAGACGACCCTTTTGTAAAAGGCGTGGAGGAATGGATTCGGTTTGCTGAAACGGTAAGCTCGGTGTGAAAAACCTCGTACTTGGTGGCATGGCTAACACGGGGGCAGATGCACGGCGGCTCAACTGCAGCGCCTAAGGAAGATTCGGGCAAGTGATGACCCTTTCGAAAAGAATTCAAAACCTGACACGATGAGGAGACATCGATGATCAGGCATAGCAGTACACTTGTTAAATGACAAGATATCAGCCATAGTGATCTTCACCATATAAGGATACGAGATTGTTGTCCTGTCGAAGCACCGCCTGCGAAGCCTTTCCGCTCTAGTACGCTCCCGATGAGCGATGCAAGACCACGGGCAATTCGAACATGTCTGTGAGACTGTCGGTCTGCTGCTGGTCCACAATGGGGTGACCCGAGCACCATACCTGAGACACGGAAAACTTGCATGCAAGTGGCTTACTGATAGATCAGCTGCACGTCCATATCTCGAGATTTTTATCAATGAAAGCTTGGCTATCTCTACTTGTAGTCACCGTGGGTCCTTTTTGGCTCAGTTGAAGCGTTTCGCGTTCCTAAATACGTTGTCTCTTGAACCAACCCCTTATGTTGTACACGTGCACTTGGCGCCTCTACATGCTGTCGAATACTTCAAAATGCAAACCTGTGTATGCTTGTTCGAGCACAAGGTTTCATGTTCCCACACGAACTTCGGTACTGTTTGTCGACAAAATAATGGACGCACTCCAGAGGCTGACCGCCCTTAATCGCGCCGACGAAAGCCCAAATTGCCGCCCCGCTCTCTTCACTATATCCTTCTGGCTCAGGTAGCTTGCTTCACTACATTTTTGATCTGAACATGGAAACTAATTCAGAGGTGCCGAGAGCCGACCCAGAGTCTTTGATTGCGAAATTTCAGATTGAGAAGCTGCTCAAGCAAGGTACGACGTTGCAAGACACGCTGTTGTTGGTCCAGTGTGCAATGGGGACTAATTGGACTTAGATCAACATGGCCGGCGTATTACGCTTTTGGGCTCGATCAACAACCAGCAAGGCATCCTGACAGCCGAACGTGCAGCATTTGCGACAGAATCCCTCGAGGTCATACAGGCGTTCCATTCTGCCATTACTCGAGTCAAAAATCTTGGTGACAACGACATATACCGCTGGTATCTTGCATCGTCTACCGGCAGCAATAGCAGCCAATCAGCCGATAGTCAACAGGATCTCAAGCTCAACCTGATCTGGCCATGTACAGCAAAGCACATCAAAAAGTACTCCGACCAACAAGTCCGTATGGTTACCGAGACCTCAGAGATCTATCACCAGCATGTGCAACCTTTCATGCAGGCGAAGCGCGAGGAAGGCCACTTGAATTGGGTGTTCAATATCCTCGAAGGTCGCACGGAGCAAGAAGATGTGATCATGCGGGATGCCGGCCAGGGTCCCGAGGATGGATTCTTGATGCTGCCGGACCTTAATTGGGATCGGAAGACAATGAATTCTCTGCACTTGCTGGCTCTTGTGCATCGTCGGGATATTTGGAGTCTGAGAGATCTCCAGAAGAAGCACATTCCGTGGTTGAAGTATCTGCGACAGAGGGTACTGGAGGCTACGGTGAAGATGTATCCCGACATGGAGGAGGATCAGCTCAAGCTTTATGTTCACTGTGAGCTTTATCCCACGAATTGCTTCTGCTCTCATTTCCTTTACTCTTATCCTCGCACCAAGCGTCAAATCCCGACATACCGTGACTGATTCATTGCTCTACCTCTCACAGATCAACCGACCTATTACCATTTCCATGTCCATGTTGTCAATGTCATGCTGGAAGCTGGCGCCACTCAGGCTACAGGTAAAGCGTTTGGTCTCGAGAATATCATCTCTCAACTTGAGACAATGTCTGGTGGTGAAAACGCGAGTATGGCAGATGTTAATTTGACCTACTATCTTGGCGAGGCGAGCGAACTGTGGACGGAGATTTATGCGCCATTGAAGAAGGGTCTCAGCCCAATCGCTCATTCAAATTGATCGTTGTTCAAGTCTCGGCTATTGAAAAAATAGTGGTAAGCATCGTCACACCATTTCATTCATTACCTTTGAAAAACCGACCTGTGAACCACTTGACTTTCCAAGGCCTGTCTCCCATAAGTTCCCTTTTTGATAATTGTTTACCTCGCTAGTATGAAGACCGATCTCTATAGAAAGCTGATCAATAGTTTCTCTTCGAGGAGAGTTTATTTCACCTTTAAAAGCAATGGAATGTTCATCTCCACCGTCCCGCCAAAGTCATGTCATGGCCTAAGCGGGCGCATTAGGTTCGGCGTGTGGAGAAAGCTCCGATAAGGCGATAGAACCTTACCCCCGCAACAGCATCTGTTCTCGGCCTATTCTCTCTACTTTATATCCTCCAGTCCTGTGATTTGGGGCCCTCCGATACAAGACTTTCCAGCTGTTAACGGATTTTTCATCAAATCTCTTCACTTACCTACCGAATACTTCTACACTTGATCAATTGTCTCACAATGGCCGAAAATCCCGATGTCCCCCAAAGCCAAAAGGCCTTCGTGCCATTAGGTAAGTCTTCCATTCCCATTCAATTGAGCTGTCTCATTTTAAACGCATAATAACAATGAGCATTTATTTAGAAAACAACCCAGAAGTCATGTCCCACCTGGTCCACCAACTAGGTCTTCCTCCCACCCTCGGCTTCACAGACGTCTACTCCATTGACGAACCCGACCTCCTCGCCTTCGTGCCCCGCCCCTCCCACGCTCTTCTCCTCGTCTTCCCTGTCTCCGAAACCTACGAACAATCCCGCCGTTCAGAAGACAGCTCCCTAGAAGACTACGCCGGCTCCGGCCCCTCCGAGCCCGTCATGTGGTTCAAGCAAACCATCCGCAACGCCTGCGGCCTGATCGGCCTGCTCCACGCCGTCGCCAACGGCGAGACCCGCCAACACATCACCGCCGGCTCTGATCTAGACAATCTCCTCCGCGAAGCAGAGGGTCTGAAGCCCATTGCGCGAGCGGATCTGCTGTACGAAAGCAGGGCGCTGGAAAGCGCGCATGCGGACGCGGCGAAACTGGGCGATACTGCGGCGCCGCAGGCAGAGGATAATGTTGATTTACACTTTGTGGCGTTTGTCAAGGGGGTGGATGGGACGTTGTGGGAGTTGGATGGTCGGCGGAAGGGTCCGTTGGCTAGAGGACAGTTGGAGGCGGATGAGGATGCGTTGAGTGAGAAGGCGCTTTCAGTGGGAGTGCGTCGATTCTTGAAGATGGAGGCCGAAGGTGGGAATCCGGACTTGAGGTTTAGCTTGGTGAGTCTGGGGCCGGTTTTTGATTGAGTAGGATGTGGAAGAAGGGTGGAGGTTGGCGAGAAAATAGCTCGAGATGGATGGATAGGACAAGCTGATGAAGTGTCGAACTCGGAGGCTCTCTGGCGTCGAGAACGAACTCGCTTCATGGAATTTCGCTGTCTGTCCAACCTGCTATACAGGGCTATCAGTATGAGGTGATTTTTTATTCCACGATAATTCTTCAATTGTGGTTAATGAATCTACGGTTAATAAGTTAAACTTCCAAATTATTTGCCATGCTTAGAGGCAGGTAATCTACCCATTCATGACTTTCCCGAACCCAAAGCCGGCGCCTGTCTTATAGTCGCTTCAACATCAGGAGCCACCACAATCGGCTCATTCTCAGACTGTACATCACCGCCCTGAGTCCCTAGCGTCAACAAGGGGACCAGAAGGACCGAGAGACCGGCACACGCAGCGCCAAACCAATACACAGCCAGATAAGGACGTATGTTCGATGTCGAAGCCGCTTTTTGGCTCGCCATGGAACTACTGATCGAGGTTGCAATGCCGAGACCAAGATTGTTACAAAGTTTGCTGACCGTATTGAAGATGCCGCCGGCAATGGATTGTTGAGATGGGGGCAGGGACGACATGACGTACATCTAAGTAACTTGGTCAGCCACGACTTCTTCTGTCTGTTGGGGTGGAGGTACGGGTTAAGTGGACCTACATTGGTCACGTTGAAGGAGATATCCGCACCGACGACGACGAGAACCAGGGCCGGAAAGATGTAGACCCAATAGAGAGCCTCTTCTTTCATAAAGCTCAGGATCAGAAATGATGCAAGATAGGCAAGAGAGCCAACGCCGACAAGTAGCGTGTTGCTAACGCGATGAAGGATCAGACCACAGATCACGTTGACAAGAACGCCGCTGACGACCATGGGAAGAAGTCGCACAGTGATGTCGAGGGCTGATAGGTGCTCGATCTCCTGTAGATAGAGAGACAAGAAGAAGGTGACCGCAGAGAAGCCCATGAAGCCGAGACAGAAATTGGCCATCAGCTACTCGGGCGAGAAAGTCAGTCTCATGCCAACGCGATGTCTCTTGTTAAGCTTGGGATAGCCTTACAAGTGAGAAATTCCGATCTTTCCAAACCCAAAGCGGCATCAGAGCGTATTCGGCGATGGATTGCCAGTACAAGAAACCTGCAAGCAATACAACACCTACAATGAGAAGAGCAAGCACATAGCCTGTCTTCCAACCTTGGGGCGCATCACCTGCCAATCTGAAAGTATCCCGTCTCAGCAAAGATATCCTCGTCCGAATGACATTTTTAGCCAAAGACAAAACTGCACTTACGTGAGCGAACTCGAAAAGAACGCAAACCCAGCAATCACCAACGCCGTTCCCAGCAGATCAACCTGGCGGATTGCGCTCACACTCAATGGGGTCCTGACAAAAGTGTCCGCCGGCACAGTCCAGACCGTCAAAATGGTGAAAATCGCATAGACCACGGCCAAGGCCCAGAAAGACGCTCGCCAGTTGTACTCATGCGAGGCCACGCCGGAGATTATCATTCCCCCCACGAATCCCAATGGGTTTCCCGCACTGAAACATGCAAAGGCGCGATTTTTTTCGTTTCGATGGCTTCTCGTAGACAGCGCCCAGCGCACCCACGGCTGGCGGTACGACGGCTGCTGCGAAAAGACCGAGGACACCGGAAAAGACATCCATGTAGATGGCGTTTGTGGCAAAGCCGGCAATCAGCAAGGAGAGACTGAAGCCTGCCATACCAATGATGAAAAGCGCTTTGCGGCCGAACATGTCGGCCAGTTTGCCGAAAGTGAGGAGGAAAGCACCACTGCTTAGGCTATGAGGTGGAGATTTCGTGTCAGCTTGTCTTGTCCAACGCTACCGAGGATTGTGTCACGGGCGTATTTTTTTTCCCAAAAAATGAAGCAAGGATAGAAATAGTGCTCCTACGGACATACTTACGAAGCGCCGGCATTAATCCACGTAATTTCCGCAGGATTCATGTTCAGATCCGCTCCAATGGAAGCTGTCACTCCAACAATACAACCTTGATAGAATGACTGTTGACCAATTGCCATGGTCGCCGTCAAGACGAACAGACATTCTTGAAAGGTGGAAGTGAAGCATTCCGGCCGTTGAGCGTGATTAGGTTGTTCCTGAGCAGCCAGGCTTAGCGTGGGACCTTTTTCCTGATCAGGTCCGTTGCCATCTCTCGGCGTGGGCTGGGAAGACATGTCGTCTGTGGAATGAAGTGGTGACGATCAATCAGTAGCGATATCAAGGTGGGAACGGTGCTCTGCCAGATTGATCACTCTCAACGCACGAGTCGAGGGGATTGCGCCCCAGAGTAGTTGCTGATACTGAGTGCAAGAAGAGATACGGAAGTTCAGGTGGGATCGATCACGGTAGCGCTAGCTCAAGCCCCAAGTCCAGGCTAAAGACCTTATCCGCTCGTCAGGGCTGACTTCACTCTGGAAAGAATCCTTGTTATCCTTATTTAGGTGATTTCGGGGGAAAAAAGAAATCTCAGGTGGGAAAACTTGACTGAGCCAGAAAAGACAGACGGTCTATGACAGGGACCGGAAGGTGAGATATGCCCGGTGGCTGTATAGGTAGAAAGGGAAAATCCAGCGGCGTGGTGAAAACGAATGGAGGTTTCTATATGGCGTCCATCTGGGTACTTGCTTTAGTCACAGGTTGAAAAAAAAGCCCGTCTCTGCATGAGCCAATACTTCAGTCCTTGTTCAGGTCAAATAAAGAGACGCTAGATTTGGTCTGTTACATTTATGACACGACAAAATCGCGACTGTCACACGGATTCTCTTCCGATCCGCTTCGGACCAAAGCGAGAAACTCTACAGTACGGCGGGTAAATGTATTTCGAGTGTACAGTTTCACTCCATGAATATTAAGAACTCGAGCGGACCTACGTTGGTCTCCACGTAGCTGGTTCATTCTTGACGATGTAGGTATATACTACTGCAAATATATTCAATCGAAGCAGCCATGCAAGGATGGCCAGTACAGTACTTGCTCCAAATTGCATTCAAATACTCGGATTCAATTCCATCTCGGCACTGAATTGCTGAACAATCGCGCTTTTGTCAGCCGCAGCGGCTCTGTTCCGCGACATGATGATTGGGCAGTGGGCACGCTCACGTTAGATTCCGCGGATACGTTTGGAGGCGGAGGAGATCTGGATCAGGATCTTATCTGACAACGCCGCCCAACAGGATCTATGGAGCTATAGAACACCCCCTGAGTTTCCTGGAAGATTGAGTGGCGCCGAGCTCTCTGAATTGCTCAGAGAATTCGTTCAGGGGTCGATGACAACATCCGCATGTCAGCGCCTCATTATCTGATGTTGAGCTGATTGTTCACATCAATCGATATGAAATATAAATCATCAAATTCACTCCGCCCACTGCATGTTCTTTTCCCCGCATTGAAGAACCAATCTCCTACTCTGCATTGATCGGGCTATTAGTCTCTGAATCGCATTCCTCGGCCCAAAACTCTCGCTGATTAAATTTCAGAACCTCATTCCCGCAAGACCACCATCCGGCAGTCAAGTTCCGCGCAAAAACCTCCAACGCAGTGTACTCCTGGCCCCGATAAGCTCCATCCGCCCCGGGGAAAAACACCCGATCCAAAATCTCTTTCAAGTTTGGTTTCCGTGAATGCAAATCTGGGACCGCGGCAATGACTCTCCTATGAATCGTGGACGGATCAATGCCCAATAGATCATGCGAATTGGTTGTGGTCGCCTTAACGGAGCCTCTGTCTTGGGCGGGACCCGAGTCGAAGGAGGATGTTACTTGATCCGCGCGACCAATGACCAAAATTTCATATGGTTTTCGCCAAAGCCCATCAATAGCAGAGACTGGCTCTCCACCAACTGTGGTTTTGATCCAGATCCATTCCTCTGTCACGCGGAAGCCAGTGTCGGTGAGGGCCTCGTAAGCGGCGCGGCGGGCTTTTTCTGCATTGGTGATCCATATGCCTGCCAACGAGAGCGTACTTTGCGAGGATACTCCGCAATCAGTGGTGTTCGATGAGTTAATATCAGCACGGTAAGAGTGGACCCGCAGAATATCACGTAGACGCTGCGTGAGAATATCCATTTCGGAATAATGATGGATTTGGTAGTGGCCACTCCGCCGGACGGAGCGATTCGGCCACGGAGGGTCAAACAGCAACATGTTGAATTTCTGGTCTGAGGGTATTGTAGAAATCGGACGGCTCAGAGATGTAACTTGTTGAGAAGGCTCCGGACCTTTTGGCGGCGATAGTGGTAGTGTGCAAATGGTAAAGGATGATAGGGGAGGGATGATATATGTGAGTGACTCGGGAGTGTTGGACAAAGTCTCAAGCACAAGGACTGACGGCTCAGCAGAGGAGTTTTTGACCATACACCCGCCCAGTTCATCGAGAGAATGGAAGACATTCTGAGACGTAGACGACAATATGACAGGCGGTATGGGCCGAGTAGAGTCATGGCACTCGACATCTGTCGAGTCTGCACCGTCGTAACAAGATCCGTTGCGACGCCGCTTCAGATTCAAAATATTAATTCTGTCGTCAGAGCATACTGTAGGCGAATGCTGTTGTCGCACCTCCTGTGCCTGGTCGTCGCAGAGTATCCGAGGAAGACACCATCGACACTCACTCCCGTCACGCTCGGCCGAAATAGCCCTGAGTGCTGACACAATCGCAGGCTGAATAAATTCGCCATGATATCGCTGCTCACTCAGGGGAATTTTCTCGAGCACCTTTGCCCGTGCAGCGAGCGACTTTGGCTCCGTGGATACATATGGCCTCTCCAATGGCGCTGTTGAGCGCAGCGTTCGCCTGTGGCTTCTCCGAGTCACGGAGTGGTCTTGGACGACCGAGTGCATGGACAATCTTTGCGCTAGTGCAATGGACTGGGGAGTATCGATGATGAAGATCGTATTATCTGCATTGCTGTAGAGCACAGCAGAGTCGAAGGACGGAGGTGGTGTCATTCTACCTAAGACAGAATCAGTCTTTGTCAGGTTGAGACCTCAGCTCAATGTCTCTCTTCTGTTTAACGACTTGGGCTGGCAATTGTTTCAAGTTGAGGTTTAGCAGCTCATTCAAGTAGATGGTTGATGCTGATGATCGTGGCTCGAAAAGCTGATTGGTAATTCTGCAAGACGGAGAGAGAGTCTTGCATCTTTGTAGGTATTGTCGGGACTCCAGTCTGTAGGACCAGTTACTAGTGACTACCCAAGGCATTTACCTGGGCAGTGAGGCACTGTAAGCAAGTCCAGTTTCTGCCGCCCGCCAGCCTCTACATGGATTACATTACATTTGGCTCATGTCCCATCCACTCACTTCAGCCTGACGGACGCACCCACGAAATATATCGAAAAACTCGGAGGCATCACGTTAGATTCTATGGCAGGTCTACCTTTTACTCGGTGATATCCAAATTGTAAAGATTCTTAAGGCGCCATCGCGGTGAAGTCTGAAGACGCAACAATTCCGATATTTCTACAAATTTGAGATCGCGGTGGACGTAGCCCCCCGACATTGAGCCAGGAGAGTTATTCGCGCAAAAAAAAATCAAATAATATTGGTCGCAATGCCTTAACTATGAAAATACATAAGCAAGAATGGAGCGAGTGCATCGCCAGGACCGCCTTTTTCTTGAAATAGAGCAAATCAACCAGCAAGAAGAAAGAAAGACCAACTCTCCGGTCGCACGTCAGTCTTCTCTCCTCGTCCGCGCCAGATCAGCGATCCAGCGTCAGATCTCGGACGCGGAGGAAGGTGGGGGAAAAGAAAAAAAATGCCATAATATGAGCCAGCTGTTTGATTCAATGAATGAAGCAAGAATGACCCGCTGAAAGATCCACCATGAAATGGCCATGAAGCGTGACCGTTAAGAATGAGGCTTTGTACAGATGATGTAGAAGACAGGAAAGAAGATTTTGATCGAGATTGGTTATGAGATTGGAAAGGGGGGGGGAGGGAGGGGAAAGAGGTCACGAGCTAGGTTCAGCGCTGTGAAAGAACTGATGGGTTAGTATGGATTCAGGATGCTCAGGTGGCAGATGATATTGCTTACCCTTCCACGTCGACTTCCATTGCCCTGGCCTTGCACCTGCTGTGACTGGGCGTAGTACTGAGGGGGATACTGATACATCTGTCCCGTATTGACGACGGGGCTGTACTGCTGAGGAGAATAGGCCGACTGGTTGATCATGTTGTTGGGATTCATGCCACCGGAAGGGACGGACAACGGAGGAAGTTGCTGGCTTTGCATCGAGCGCAGAGTCTCCACGGAGGGCGAGGCAGCTGGGTAGCCAAAGTTGGAAGAAGACATGTTATGATACATACCGGCAGGAGAGACCCCACGACCTTGGGTAGCCAAGTAAGCCTGGTGGTACTGAAGATGCTGTGGGTTCAAAGGCACGCCGGGGTCGAAGGCATTCATGCCTCCCAGCCCATTGAGAGGGCTAGCAAATCCGTTGAGACCGTTCGCGCCATAAGCGTCCAGGGGAACGTTATTTTGATCAGCAGTCATGGGTCGAGAGTCAGGACCTTGACCAATGAGGTTAGGACCGTAGGGACCACCTAATTGACGATCCGTCGGCGGTTGAACCGGGAAGTTCGGGTTCCCATGGCGGACGGGCTGGCGGTGCTGCAATTTCTCTGATGGGGAAGGGTGGCTTGCACCATGATCCCGACCATGATGGTTCTCACGGCCGCTGCCGCGAGATGACAAGCCCACCTCGTCCATCAGCCGCTTGTAGCCTTGACTAGGGGATGCTTTGAGCTTGGTGAGAACTTTGGCAACGTTCTTCACAACTTCAGATCGCATTGTCTCGTCGAAGAAAGGGGTAGTGAGGACCTTGAAAATGAGAGTAGCTCCAGACGATTGATCACTCAGAATCTTCTCCAATACCTCGTCGCCAGGGCTGAAGAAGAGGGCCTTGAGCACAATGTCCCTGGCTTCAGGTTCATTTCGCTGATTGATCACCTTAAGGACCGTCAGATAGGCAACTTTGTGGGTGCAGAGATGGACCAGGTGGGGTACAAGCCGAGGTGCCAGGACGGTACGTCGATGAGGGAATGTGCAAGTGTCCAAGAACCAGGTCAGAAGCAGAGCCCCGTTAGCGTTGGTGGCCAGCTGGACGCTATGAAGGGCAATAGCGGCTGCGAGCGCTCGCTGCTGATCTTTGGTTGAATGGTGGCTCTCCAGGCAAGCTCGCATGGCACGAGCACCAAAGCGGCCCTGGGAAACCTCCGACATACGCTTCAGCATGGTCTCAAATATGAAGTCATTGTAAGGAGCTCCAAAACGAAGACAACACTGCAGGACGTAATTTCCGTACTGATCGAGAAACAGTGGCACGGTGAAGGGTCGCAGAGCATTGACGATCGTTTCCATCTGGACAGGGGTCTTGGCGACATCGATGATCTTTTGCGCAGCCCACGTTCCATTCTTGTGCACGCCAATCTCGGCGAGGTGTGGTGCAATCTGCGCAAGCATTTCCTCCTTGGTGGCTTCCGAACAGAATTCGAACAACTTCTGCACCACGGTGTTGCCGAGATAGTCGGAGGACAGCTCAGCGACTTCGGGTAACATAGCACTGGCGATCTCTTCGATCTCTTGGATCGAGCAAGCACCATTGTCAATACGTTTACGAATATCACGCAAACGTGGTGCGTCAAACATGCGCGCCTGGCTAGGTTCTGGGACCGCATGGATTTCATGCTCGTGAGCCTCGAAAACGATAGCACTTTCAATCATGTTTGCGATGTGGCGCGTATCTAGCTCCCCAGCACCAAACTCCTGCACAATCTGAACCATCTCGGGCAGCAAATCGGCTAGGGCGGGAATCTGAGGGATGGCGCCAAATTTGTTGCTCGAGTCCAAACTTTCTGGAACGGGGGCCGACTTGAAGTTTGGATCCGGAGTAGGAGATGATTGAATACCGTTTGCCCCAGGCGTGCCAGTTGCAGAGGTGCCCGGAACCTTGGCATAGCCAATACGAACTGGTCCTGCTCCAGGGAAGATCTCCTTACCATTCAACAGCGACTTGGCTTGCACGGCACTATCAATGCGTTCGAAGTTGACAAAGCCGCAGTTCTTGTGGGTCAGCACACGGGTTGACTCGATTTTGCCGTACATGCCGAAGATCGCATCGAGCGAGGTGACTGTTGTCGAGACCGGAATACTGCCAATCCACAAGGCCCGGGTCGGACCATCCTGATTGTTCTCGTCCGCTGGCTCTCCCGCAGCCCGTGCGCCAATCGTCTGACCACCAGCTGTGCCCAAATGCATGAGCTGGACAGCTTCTGTCAAATCGTCGTACTCTCCGTTTTCAGAGATGTGTAGATCGGAAGGCGTGAAGCTATTTTCCAGGCGTGAGGGCGTTGCAAGGTAATTGCGAATCGACGACCGTTGAGGCGGAGCCTCGAGAATACCTGCAGTCCGTGCTCGTGGGCGATTGGCGGAAGCGTGGCTAGCGAAGGCCTGGACAGCCAGGTTGTGCTGATGAATTTGAGCCTGCGTTGCAGCAAGCTGGGCAGCTGCGGTCGCCGCAGATGGAGTCAAAGTTCCGGAGGGAACCCCCGAGTATCGACCCTCGTACTCCATGTCCTCGTCATCGGCATACTTTTCCTTCGCATTCACTGAATAGGAGCGGAACCGATTGTTGCTCTTCATCATGGCCAGCTCGGCCAGCAGAGGCGGCAGAGCAGAGGCTGGCTGCTGTTGCTGGTGTAACAGTTGCTCCATTGATGGCCGCGAGAGGCTGGATCTGGCCTGCTGGGGAGTTTCGGCGAGTCCCAAGTAGTCCAAGGTCCTCACGTCGGTATCTTGAGAGAACGATGATTGGCTAGGCGAAGCTGGTCCCTCTGACGAACGAATGCTGGTCAATGTGGTAGCTCTCTCGCGACCAGAGGATGGCCAGCCCGAGGAGAAGACCGACGAGCCAAAGGGACCACCTGCTCCGAGAAGGCTGTTCCGCTGAGGCATTGAACCTGCGCGAAGACGCGATAACATTGTTGCATTCGAAGCGGTATTTGAAGGGGTGATATTGGCGCCCGGATCCATTCCCGACACGCCGGGGCCCCGGAACGGACTGGTAGAAGGAGTGGGACGAGAGGTTTGTGAGATGAACGGTTGCTGAGTTTCCACCTCATTCAAGGTGCCCATTGGGGGGAACCGGGAAGGCACAGTCCCAGCGCGAGCTCTACGACCGGATGCACTCATCGAGCCATTAGTGGAGGGCATGAGGTCGGGGAAACTGTCTTGACTGGGAGATTCGGGGATATTCTCTCGTAGCGGCGTGGAGTGGCCACTGGTCGGTGGACCCCAAATACTGGTGGGAAGACCCTCTTGCGCTTGAATTTCACGGGCACTGTTTATGTGAATCAGCATGTTTGAATTGAAGACCAAGGTTGACCGCTTGCTGAGATTCGATGAAACGCTGAGATTCGACGAAAATACCGAGATCCGACGAAAAGAACAGCCAAGACTCGACGAGAAGAGAAAACTCACCGTTTCGGATACAGCCGTGTTCCCAAGTCATGGGAAGGAGAGCCAGCTCCCAGTCGCGACACCCCGATCGACGAAGATGGGCCGAACGGCGCCTTTGCTGTCGTCGAGCCAGCCAGGTCGCTTGGAGAGCTTCTCCCCGTCGAAGCGCCCGACAACGGCTGTGTGGCTGGGTTGTAGTTAAATGGCATTTGTCCTTCTGGTCGAGAAACTGGAAGCATTGTGAATAATTGCCTCGTGCCTTGGTTGGAAGGCCGAGCAGTCGCGTGCAAAGTCCAGTTCTCTCGCCAAGCAGGTCGCTAGGGAGCACAGTCTGTGAATGTCCTGGTTCGGTTCTCGTGTCAATCGGTACGAAGGCGGCGGTAAGTGTGCCAAGTCACTTTGATGTCGCGAGCGATCGCACCGGAGTATATGCAGAAGGGAAGATCGGTCTCTGTGATCACGTGCAGATATATAGTCAGCTGCTGAGCCTTGGAAAAACGTTGTTGGTCTTGAGTCGCCAAGCTTTGTTGTCGCGAGCGATCACATCGGAGTATATGCAGAAGGGAAGAGCGGTTTCTGTGACCACGTACAGATTATATAGTCAACTGCTGAGCCTTGGAACAAACGGCGTTGGCCTCGAGTCACCAAGCTCAATTGTCGCGAGCGATCACACTGGAGTATATGCAGAAGGGAGGATCGGTCTCTGTGATCACGTGCAGATATATAGTCAGCTACTGAGTCTTGGAACAAACGGCGTTCACCTCGAGTCGCTAAGCGAATGGCCTGGTGTGGCAACAGTCCCCAGCCTTAACGATGTAGGAAGGGATAGATGATGTGGTTCAACCACAGCGCGACCTCAAACGGGCGACAGATGGGTGCGCATCGATGTCCATAGTGGAACTGACCGGAATAGAGATGAGACGGATGGGAGATCAGACGAATAGAAGATCCGACGAATGGAAGATCAGACGGTAGCAAGATGAGACGAAAGTGAGATGAGACGAAAGCGAGATGAGACGATAGTAAGATGGGACGAAAGGCCACCTCCCGAGTGTTATAACGATCATCAAGGTCCCCCCAGAGGACAATCAAAACAGCCCGAAGCGATTGACGATAACCCAAATTGTATGATCTGTGCAGCAGAGGGAGCGCAGCGCAGCTTGATATACACAATCCAATGATAATCCACGCCGGAGCGTATAGGGTGAGGTCGTTCGGCACACAACGAACGGGATGGCGGGTCTCGGAAGGGATTGAGGTGGCTGGAAGACGAGTCAGTTTCGCGCGGCTCCAGGAGGAAGTGATGACTGAAGGGTGGAAGGCGGTCGCATAATTGCTGAGTAGTAAGGTGGATGGAGTAGACCTCCCAATTGTACTTACTGCAATACAGAATGCAATCACAAACAGAAAAGAAAGGAGGAATGGAGGAATTGAGGAGGAGGGGAAGCGGGATGGTGGAAGAAGAGACTCGGATGTGGAGTGAAGCGGAAGGCCAAGAGTGTTTTGGCTTGGGGCGGGCAGCTTTCGCCGTTTACACGGCTTTGGGCGAAGATCATCAGGAAGAAGAGCCAGGCCCCTCGAAAGACTCAAGAACTACGACGTACTCTTTAGATGTTGCCTTATAAATTTACAACTACGAGTCGTGCTTCATAGAAAGCTACCTCAGCTTATAGTGTATTCATGTAGCTTGTGCTATATGAGCGTTTCAGGTATCTTATGTTCCAAAGCCCAGGTAGAAGGAGTGTGATGTTTTCATCAAGACCCGCAGTTAAGCTACTGTAACTAGTGGATATAGTCGGCTACTGTTCATCCAGAATCCTGTCGACGTGCGCAGAAGCATGGGAGGATTTCTCCCGGCACCAGAAAAGCTACTCAGGTCTATTTTTGCGCGGATAGGGTCTGTTGTCCCCCACCGGTCGCTAAACACGCATCATCACGACGTTCGGACTGTCGGCACGACAGTGTGGATTGCCATAGCCCCATCGATGTCATCGCTCAAGTCCGTCCCAACAATTGCGCCTGCAACATGAACGAAGAGCCTTCTCGATAATCGGATTGACTAGGTCCCTCACATGGAAAGGTCGAAAATAGGGGAAGGCTTGATACTTGGCGTCCTTGAGGTCTTTTGCAGTCAGCAATGAATATTCACCCGTCTCAGCAACACTGGTGGTGGAAAGGCGAGGCTCTTGATGGGCGTTTGTTTACATGGACTCAGGCAACATAGCAGGCCTGGTGAGACACCCCGGTGGCACACGATTACGCGCAGTAAGCCCCGCATGCTTGGAGCATCATGCCCCAATCGTCATGTTCAAAGGATGAGAGTTGTCAGTGTGCAGCGGCGAGAATATGAAGTTCCAGCACAAGAGTCAAGCAATTCATCATCTCGGTCGTAGTCAAACAACAGCAGATCCGGTCCATCCGAGCCAGCAATGCTGAAGCATCGCATCGGCTTTAACTATAGAGCTGCGAGAATGTCGTGCACTTGATGAATAATTGAATAGTGACTTCCACCTCAACAAGGGATGGATCCACAACCATCATCTTGATCCAGTCCGGAAGGACAGCATTTGCATACAATTGGCCGTAGTTCTCTGATGAAGGATCGAGATACATCTTGGATGGTGATGGAGACACTGCAAGACAGCTGGTACTCGTAGGCATAATATTGAAGAAGTATATGATGGATTATGCAACTGGGGCTAGCATCTGCTGAGCTGTTTCGAGTGCAGTGTACACTGCACACATGGTGTTACTTGTCCTTAGTTATCACTAGGGAGTCGTGACCAGGACACCTACTGATGGACCACACGAGATCCCATATCTATTTGCTTTCTTACCGCTCCTCAAAGCATAGTGAATCTTTGCGGGGTTTCAAATGCAGAGCCATGTAATTTTTAGCAAGACTTCCTAACCTTGAGGCTATTTCCTTGGTTCCCTTTGGACCATGGATGCGATGTTGTCCCAGGAATGGTTTGGATTGATCGAGGCCTTTGGGATGTGATCAACCTGAGGCATCAGCATGGGCTGCACAAAAAAGGTCTAGCGTGGACTTCTCCATAACCTCGAATTCCAGGCGGTGAAATGAGTGGTGTCCGGCATCTTGGATTGTGCCGTCCTTGTGACATTGTTCCTCCGCGCCTGCGCTACCTTTCATTATCACGCCTATCTTCCGCTCAGAAGCATCAATTCAACTGCAGATCAGCTGTTTTTCAGGCATCAATATCCATGTCCGACCGGAACCGGAAGGACGCTAAGCAATCGCCTTGAGGCCCCTCATCGAAATTGAGCCAACACGCCAAAAGACAAGAAAGATGGCGGACGTGCTACCAGACGATCCTGCCTCGGGGGTGCAGTCCTCATCAGAAGACCAACGAGCTGAGATGCCCGTGGAGTCCTTGGTTCAGGGTCGCGCGAAGCGAAGCACAGCCGGTCGGCACATGGCCGCTCTGATTGATGCAGCTGCCGACGATGACCTGACACTCCTGTTCGAAGAGGTGGAGGATGACCAGGAGTTCGCAATGGATGTGGAGGCGGCGGAGGACGAAGATGTGGGACTTGATTCGTCCTCAGATGACGATGACGACCAGGGTCCCGCGGCCCCGGAGGACTATGAAGGCGAGAAAGAACTACAGAAACAGGAACGCCGAAAGCGGCGCGCCCAAAACGACTTGCGATTCCAAACTCTTCGAAAACGAGTCAAGATTGACCCAACCGCCGCCTCCTCCGTCCCTGCTCCCGCGCCCCGTCCCAAAAAAAAAGTCAGAGCGCATCTCATGGCTACCTACAACAGAGGATGGCCCCACACGATCTTCTTCACGTCGACAGACAATGGTCAATAAGGAACTCACGCATGCTCGACTGAAGGACAGTCAGGAGAAGCGTATCCGAATCATTGCTACGATGAAAGAGGCAGAAAAGCGCAAAGCCCACCTGAAACCAAAGGAGATGACCCAGGAAGACCATCTTGCAGAGGCAGCTCGGGTGGAACGCACAAACAGCAAAAGCTTGAACCGGTGGGAGCTGTCAGAGAAGAAGAAGGCAGAGGAAAGGAAAGCCAAGATCGAGGCTCTACAAAACAGACGACTTGAGGGCCCCGTAATTTCTTACTGGAGCGGAGTGGCCACCTGGGTCGATGGGAAATTGACAAAGGTGGGAAAAGTCGAGATCAAAGCGAAGCCTGAAAAGGAAGAGCCTCGGAAGAAGAAAAAGGAAAAGGATGAGAAGTCCGCCTCGGTGTCTCAGAGCGGACTGCCTGCAATGTCTGGCGCAGCAGCCGGAGCTACAGTGCCCGTTACAGATGATCATGCGCCAGACCCTGCTGTAACAGCCGCAGTCGGAGTTGCACCCACTGATACCATGATATCAAGTCATGTACAGGTTGTTGTGTCGAGCAAAGAAGCCGCTAAGGGGAAAGCCCCCGTTGACAAAGCTGCCGACGCGGAGACTACCGAAAGAAGGCCCGGCGACGAGCAAGCTGCAGAAGGCCAGCAACACCTTCCAGCACCGGCAGGGCCTGAGCATTCCACGACAACTGAAAACCAGCCCGGTGTCAATGCTGGTGATAAACGTTCGGCCACACCCGTCGCCATAACAGTACCCGACGGCAGCTCAGATACCAAACAGCAAGCTCAAGAGAGTCAAGCTGGTGCTGATAATCTCCTCGGGAGTGAGACCCAGGATAGTGGAACCAACACCACCAACGCGTCTGCGTCTGCGCTGCCCAAGGACCAAGTCATGTCCAGTACAAATCCTCATAACCCCACGCCGGAGGAGCAGGTTGAGAAAGCCATTGACAGGCCCGGGGAAGAGCCTAATGCGATGGAAATTGATCCAAAGCCAGAAACCAAGCCCGTCCATGAAAATGACTCTCAGCAACAAGAACAGAAATCAACGCCACCGGCACCTGCTGCTACTGCGGCAAGCGCGCCTCGGGACCCTGGCACTCTCGACCACATGGAGAAGTCCATTGAGGCACCATTTTTCAGCGATGCGGCTACTGGGCCTTCGGGCCAAAAAGAGGGGCAAAGGTTGACCACAGGTGGTGTTGCTGCCCCGGCCCCTGCACCTGCGTCTGCGCTTGCACCTGAACATGCAGGCTCCCGAGCGTCTGGGGTGTCTGGCCCTGATGCTCCAGAGTCTTCTCAAACCCCTTACACTCAGGTCTCGCTCAGCTCGGCAGCTCCCCCAGCTGTCACGTTGGCCGACATTGTCGAACCTCCAAAGCAGGATTCCGCCCCAAACCAACAGGAACCGCAAGGAGAGCGCATCAATGTGAACAATCTCCAAGAATCAACCCAGCCACACGAAGCCACACTTACGGCCGGACAGCCCGAGGTGCCCGCAGCTCCAACGGCCCCGCCCGTGATTGAACACACGGGCCGCATTTTAACAATCTTGGAGAATTTTGACGACCGGACCGCGCAGAGCAAGAAGTTCAGCATGTACTTTAATGCCAAGAAGCCGCCCCGTTTGACCAGTGAGTGTCGCTGTCCTGTCCGCCCTAGTTGAGGTCGGGTTTGAGTGCCGAGCCAAATGTCTTTGGCACTATCTATAGACTCACCTTGGCCATGATGATCGAACTGATCCTATATCCATCGTTGCTGACCGTTATACCACAGAAATATCTTCCTCGTTGTGCGTGATCACTTCACTGCCATCGCGGTATCGTGATCCGGAAACCTCGCTACCGTACGCGAACTCTTTCGCATACAAACAGATCCGCCGAATGTTGTCGCAAGGCTATATATGGAGCTCAATGCTGGGTTGTTTTGTTGGACCAGGCGGAATCGCTGCGCGTGGCGTGCCTGGTCGATTCCTCGGCAAGGAAACCGACGGAGACGATGAGAAGGAAAAAGACAAAGAGAAAGACGAGGGAGAGAAGGGAAAGGCCGATAAACCCGCTCCCGGATCTGAAGGCGATTCAAAATCTAATCCTATGGATGTTGACGCATGATAAATTCTACGTCTTCCTTTTCTTCGACTCCCCCAAACGGACGAGGCTGACCTTGTTTGAAACACCATGTATACTACGTTTGTCTGTCTTTATCTTAGCCCTCTTGTTGAATTATATAGATACCCATTCTCTTGATCTACAACCTTCCGCAACTCCTGCTTGTTTTCCTCTTGGAAATGTATTTCGGTCCAGCGGCCTGAATCCCCTGACTTCGAAACTCGACGGCGTCAAATAAGAAACCGCCTCTCTCAAGAAATATGACCTCCACATTGGAACCAGCCTACCTCCAGCTACCGTCCATCAGTTTCCAGAAGAAGAGAAAGACCACAGGATTAACTCTAACGACAAGTGGAATCGCTCAACAAAGATTCCTGCTCTCGATATCGGCCACGTTTTTGATGTAGTTGAGGTTTTAGGTCAGTGCAACCACTGCTACAACGTACTAGTCTCTACGACTGTCGTAGCTAAGGTATTCGACACCTTGAGGGATTGCGTTTTTAGTTGCTCCGAACGTGACACGTTGACAGACAGACTTGTACTCATCAGTGACGGTAGATTCAAACACTTCATGAGACATTTAATCATACATCATATGCATACACATCACAGACAGCGGATTACAACTCCGGCATCCGCCAGCTCCACATCAATGGCTATCCTTTAGGTCACGATGGCACCTGTGGAATAAGCGCTCTACCCGAGCCTGAACGCGCTTCATTCAATGTTGAGCGCCAGGCCATCATCACCTCTTTCGTACACGCCAGTCTGCCTCGAACGCGTCGGAGAGATCGCGCCTAGTCTTGCGTGTAGATGGCTCCCCGGTCTCGCGCTCAAGGAAATCTTCAGGGCGTACGGTCAGGTTCCTGCTCGTTGAGCCAGGCTGAGAAGCTCGTATCTTCGTGACGTATCGCTCTAATCGTTCCTCCCATGCCTTGGACACATCATGCCAGTGATCCGCAGACTTGTGTCTAGCAGGGTCGTCCATGCGGTAGACACCAGGAGGCGAAATGCCTAGTCCCCCGCGCTCAGGGCTTGCTTCTATGATCTCACGCGGAACACGCACATCCACGGGGGCACGCCCGCCTGCTGCGGTGTATTGCCAGACGCGCGTCTTGGAGAAGAACTTCAGAGCGTCATCATAAAGCACGCGCGCCATACCGATCCAGCCGCCGCACCTCGCCCACGTGTCAAGGGCTTTCGCGAGAGAACGCAACTTGGCAGCGTACGAAGCCTGTATGCTTGCGATCTTGTCTGGGTGTGCGGTTGCCGCGGCGTACATGGCTCTTACTGGGAAAGCGCGGATGGAGCCACTCGGACGAGGGCTACGCAGATAGACCATACTACGGATCTGAGTGACTTCTTCTTTCGAATCTGTCTTGTGATCCTGGGCTAGTGCTGTCGAGATGACAGCCTCGGCATGGTTCATCGAGCGAAGAATCTCTGCTACATCATCGGCTCGGTTGCAAACGAACATGGACGTTCGATGCCGCACGTCTGCACTACCGGGGATGAGCCATGAGTCCCATATGACGAGGCGAGAGCTGTCGATATTGGAAGTGCCACTCAACAGAGATCGGCGATCCAACTGCTGATCTAGAGGCATCTTTACCGATACCGCAAATCTACCGGTGCAGTTGTTCAACCTGCTAGCACTGCCACCAGAGACTGAAATCATTTCGTCGACCTGTTTCTTGTACTGCTCAGCTGCATACCATCGCGACTTGCAAATAAGCTCATCAGTACCAGCTTTCAACTGTTGCAACTCAGCAAGTATGTCTGGCAAGGCCGGTCCGCACACGTAACGCTCAGTCAGCCGTTCCATAGCATTCAGCATCAGGCGGCGCTCAACACAATGCACATAGTGATCCCAAGCACGCCAGTCCCAGCACAGTAGCGTCACTCCATCATACTGGGAGCTTCCGAGGCCCTCGGTACCGATAATTGAGTTTAAATACCTCTTCATTGCCTGCCTAGGACACTCTCCTATCTCTCGGCCTACCTCAGGAGAGCGGTTCCTGAGTGGCATGAAATGGAGCTCCTCGGAAAGCTGGTTTTGCTTTCCAGGAGGGGCAGACCGAGTGATGCCATCTTTGTGATTTTTCAGCGCTGTCTCCGCAGAGGTGGTGCCCCATACAGCTCGTGTTTCCAGCAGTTCATCGTACGTCATGGCCTTATTTGCGAATTGCTGATAGATTGGTTCCAAAAGCAACTCCACAGCTCGTGAGAATAGATCCAGGTGCGCTTCGAAACTACGCCCCTTGCGATTGATGAAGGTGGTATCCAAATTATTCACAGCAAAGTCCAGTATCTCAAGTGACACGGCACCGGCAAGTACATTCGGATCTGGGTGTCCCACGAGGTCTTCAGCGTTGATGAAATATGCGGACGAAATAACCTGCACATTGGTGCCAGGGAAGAACCATGTCCTTGTTACTTGGGCCGTGACTTCCTTGAAGGCGGCCCGCCAGTCCTCGTCATCAAGATAGAGCAGATGTCTGTCCAAAACGAAATTCGACAACTCAGCCCAGTAGGGCGACGTTAGCAGCCAGAAGAGCGTAAGGTACATGCGCTCATACGACATTTCCGCAGCTACGCAGGCTCGAAGCAGCTGTTTGGCCACGTCCTTGAATTTCGGCCCGTGGCCCTCAGACGTCCACTTGTCTATGGCCAGCACGAGCAAAGTCGCAATATCAAAATAGTGGCGACGCTTGTGGAACTTGTCTCGTTTCCAAAGAGGCTTTGACTTTTGGCGAACAGGCTGAATACCGGGATCGTTCCCTCCCTTTGTCGAATCTTCGAAACGCTCCCTCATCCTGTCGTGGACATTGTATGAGCCGGCGCGAGGCTCATAGGCTGTACCGAGATCCCCTACGCGTACGGCTTCCGACGCCCTTCCTTTGTCAAGAAACTGCCAAAAGAGTTCCCACGTGTGAGAGTCCACCTCGCCACGCGGCACAGCCTTGGAAACCAACTTATCAAAATCATCCCAGACATAGGGTCCCAGAATCCCCATGACGTCTGCAGTAGCGGCAAGCGGCATGTTGACATACTTTGCATAGGCATCAGAGTGTGCCGTACCAGATGTCCAGGGCGTAACGTGCCAATCGAGCACCTGTGTATCGTATGGATAATCCGGCTGATATGTAAACCCCCGTCTACCGTACCCAAACAATACCTGTACGCCCTTGAACAAGCCAGCAGTTGCCTCATCAACAGTAGCAACCTTGCGGCATTTGACACCACGGGCAGTCAGCACAGCCACCCAGTCGTTCGCTGCGCCTTCTCTTCCAACGACTATCACCGGAAAGCCTCCAGGAACATGTCTTGGCATCCAAGAGGCCTCTGGCCGCCATGGCCTGGACATGTTGTCTAGATACCAATATTCAGGAGATTGACAGTCCAGCTCCTTGTGCATCCATCTGCCGTACTTGAGGGCTTCGACGCTGTGCCGCTGTTGTTCAAGCGGCACAGCGTCGCGTCGAACCCTGGAAGACCTGCTCATCCACAATGACCGTCGCAGTGACTTATCCCGATAAAGAGACTGGCGAAGAAGGGGACTGGCTAGCGACGAAGATAATTTCCTGACGAGGAAGGTATTTCCCTGGCAAAGACGGAGATTGGCTGGGGAGGAAAGTAATTCTCTGGCGATGGAAGTGATTCTTGGGCAAATCAGGCGAGGTCAGAGGAGAGAGTACAACAGAGCCAGATCGATAAGACAAGACAAGGATGGTAAGATTGTTCATTGTTGTGGGTGAGAGGTTCTATCTGAGCGAGACTGGCAGAATCACACAACAGAAAGGTCTGAACCTGAGGCTTCCATGATCATCTCAACTAGAGCCTTGTGCCCCAGACGAGTTCTCGCGGTGGTGCCTAGTGCTGTTGGCATTCTTTGCAGATGTGGAATGGTGGTACCTATTGAATGGGTATACTGTAGCCAGGTCGATTTGATAAGTAGTGGCAGTAGAAGCATTAGTAGCAGCAGCAGCAGCAGCAGCAGGAGTAGTAGTAGTAGTAGTAGTAGTAGTAGTAGTAGTAGTAGTAGTAGTAGTAGTAGTAGTAGTAGTAGTAGTAGTAGTAGTAGTAGTAGTAGTAGTAGTAGTAGTAGTAGTAGTAGTAGTAGTAGTAGTAGTAGTAGTAGTAGTAGTAGTAGTAGTAGTAGTAGTAGTAGTAGTAGTAGTAGTAGTAGTAGTAGTAGTAGTAGTAGTAGTAGTAGTAGTAGTAGTAGTAGTAGTAGTAGTAGTAGTAGTAGTAGTAGTAGTAGTAGTAGTAGTAGTAGTAGTAGTAGTAGTAGTAAGGAGTTTGTTGACTTGACGAGTTCTCATACGTTTTGACCGTACCACTTCCAGCTCGATCCGCAAGTCCAAGTTCAATCGCATTACTGACCGTCTTGCAGAAGCCCTTGTTCTGACTCAGCAGTCGATGATACATACCTACCTATTGCCATAACGGTACATGCCTTTTCGTTCTCCACACGCTCACCCAAGGAACCGCTGTGCGGAAGGCGGCGGGATCCAAATTTAGCCATGTAGGCAGAATGGTGACGGTGGTTCTTTTTGAATTACCCAAGGTCCATTACCTTTTTGTCTCCAAGGTCGAGACCGGGATCTCCCATCCTTTGCGCAGCTAGATGTCTTCTTAATGTACATGGAATGTGCCGATAATGCAAGATGTCTTGAGCAGAGCGGTGGAAAGATTTCTTTTGGTCTGTTGCAGTATCTCATATTAGACGATTGACGCTGCTAGCCTGGATAGAAAGATAATACGATGAGAACGATCACCCTCCGATATCTCGGCCGGTGGTTCAAGCTGTTTGGAGCTGGAGGATAGGTCTTGCTTTGATCAAAGGTAGAGAGATATTATTCGCGTGACCCCGGTAGAGATAGTCAGAGGCTCGGAGCAAACATCGTGTGCAACGGCGAAAGATCTAAACTCAACTGCAACTGCAACGACCTCGAATACAGGTAAATGTATGAAAGGACCCACCATGACAGCACACTGTATCTTGCTCTCTCCATCTACATCTCTTCCACCATTTGAAGACGCCCCACGCCCACCATGTGACGACGAGCAAAACTTTCCACATCTGGTTGATTATTGCTAAACACGGGCCACCGCCACTCGCCATACCTTCGATTTACGTCCATGTGGCGCCGATCTTATGGTAGCATTCGGCGACGGAAGAATCAATATCGCTTTGGAGATGGAGCAATGAGGGAATTTGTGTACTGCTACCTAATCCAACTCAATCTCTGAGACTGGAACGGTCTATCGATCTTGTATGCTTATGTTGCCAATCCTCTCATCAGTTTGATACGTGTGTGCTTCTCCGCTGTGCCGAGCAGCCTACGTACCTACCTAGACACCTACTCGGACACATCTCAGCGTCTTGACCACGCTGTGAAATATTTCCATTTGGAACATCTTGGCTGTGAAAGCTCAGTAACCTAGTCCTAGTGATACTGGCTATCGATACTGGCTATCGACGAGCAATGATCGATCCACCTGACACTTCATGTTCATGCGAATTCCCAACTCTCCGTTCTATCTATAGATCATCCGTGCGTGATTGATCGGACTGTGTGGAGCAGACCTTCGAATCGACGACTTTGGTCTACAGGACCACCTGACGCCCCACAAGCCACAAGGCAAGTCTCTGCAGTCGGCGCCGATCACTCAAACATGATGTGGGTTAAGGCCAGCAGGGTGCTATGGAGCTACTAGTACTGGGCTGGGCGGTAAGCAGTGGCGGTACTGACCTTGATCCTTCGGTCAAGTGAACCCGGTGGAAACCGAGTCAATGATTATCAACAAAGAAGTTTCGATGACGAATTTGGTTATCACGCAACTAGAACCTCACCTGGGGAAGGGGACAATCGTGGACCAACGGAGTTGTCGTAGTTGTCGTGATGACGTGCGCCATTCCGTTGAGATTTATGCCCTTCTCCCTAGACGCTTTGTCACGTCCAGAGTCAAAAGGATGTGATTGAATGTGCTCGATTGGTTGTCATTTCAGAGCATGTAAGATCGAGGCCGTGTGGTGTAGATGAAGGTCCCCCAAATCTCATTCTCAGAAATACCTGGAGCGGCTAGCGCGTGACAACTCCTCTATCTACGACGTCGGCTGATGTCTGGAACCCCTCTAGTGACTCTACCATCACGCAGCGGTAGGACCAGGATCGTGGCGTAGGCTGTCAGGAAAAGTAAAGGATGAAGTATCCATTGGGGTGAGAGTGTCTGAGCACGGGACGTGCCCTTCTAGATTGCATCGGCGGTTTCGGCAGGTCGATCAAACGTGGTGGGTTAGTCGGCTAGACGGCTACTGTCTGGGACTACTTCGTAGGCTGGGCGCTGGAGCGGAGCGGCCCTTGGTGACTACTACTTTATCGACCTACTACCTAGGTAGTAACTACCTGCTCGTTCTCACTGACTCGGACATGGTCACTGACGACCTGTCTAGACGCCTAGTTGGTAGTTGGTATACAGAACCAGGGTGGTGAGAGTATGGCGAGTCAAGATGCAGCATCGGCGGAGCTAATCACATTCTCGAGCACCGTCAGACAGGAGAGTGACTGGATCTTATGATATGCAGAGATACGGGCCCGGCGCTTCGAGATGAACGTTTTTGTGCCGTTGAAAGGGACCTTGGTGGTCTCGATGGAAGGTTGATTGGTGATTGACTCTCGCTTTTCCTGTGTCTTTAGTCTCCACTCGGTCAATGGCCAGTGTTGGAATGGATTGTCATGAATCGAGTACCTCCGGTTGCGTCGACGTTGAGGTAGTTTGCGTTGGAAAGGCACGTCCGCTAGGCAGCTACCGAGAGATCGAAGAAGAAGAAGAAGAAGAAGAAGAAGAAGAAGAAGAAGAAGAAAAAAGAACATACATCATCACCGCAATACACCTTGGAATTCGTGGAGATGGTATAGCTCATAAGCACCCTCGTAGTGAGTCAATTGTGTGTGGACTGAGGACTGGTGGAGCCCATCCATCTTGTACACAATCAGTCCATCTCCCCGCTGCAATGGGGCAATGGGCTGATGCAATTCCCCTTCTTCCTCGGAACAGCTGCCGAAAAAAGAACGTGATGGAACGATGCACCAGAGCAAATAGTAGGGTGTCCTGCACAGTCCACAGTCCCATCCTCCAAACGTAGCAGTGGTGAACGTGGGCGTGGGTGCGTGGATGACGGATGTGTCAAGAGCCAAGAGAGTGCCGTGCAGTGCAATGCCCGCGGGTGGTGGTGCGAGTGGATCAGCAACGCACATCATCCGTCGAATGTTGAGCCGGAGAAGCGGCAGTCTCGAGTCTAGACTTCCATCGGTGGATTCCACGCGGTGGGACTGTGCGGGCGTACGCGCACGCCCCGGTTGGGGGAGGTCACTGAGAGAGTTCTGTGGAGTCGGGAGTCTCGACTCTCGACTGTTCAGTCTGGACGCTGGACTCATCGCCGAGCTGGGTGTACCTGAAAGACTTTCAACCTTCTTTTTTAGCCCGCCGTGATGGTTGCGCACACGGTTCTCATCTCTCATCCGCCCGTATTTATTTATACCCTGGGGGAGGCCACCCCCACCGATGATGGGTAAGCTGTTCTTGGACTATTGACCACAGAAGCATACAAACATCGAGTCTCGACCTCGACCCCGCGACGAGACAGATCAATCTATTCTTCCCTCTCTAGTATCCCGATTGTTCCGGATCCTCTTCTTTTTTGGCAGCCAATTTGGTATGTATTTGTCCCTTTGTCTTGACACACAATCACACATCTCTCTTCAAGTCCTCTCTCTGCTGGACAGCACACACCTGCATCTATCTGCACACCTGCACATCTACCCATAAACCTGTCACTGTCAACCCTGTGAGATCATGGACAGCTCCTCCTCGGATTCCGTGCTATCGTGCATCTGTGACGCCTTATCTCCCCCCCACTCACATCTCGTCGATCTCCGACCGAGGCTCCGATTAGCCCGATCGTGATCCCGGTCGAGGTCGAGATAGAGATAGCAGTCCCTGCCCAACCCACACGGGCGGCAGTTCGACGCGGACGACGAGATGCAATCTCCCGAGTGGATTGGAAGACGAAGACTAACTTTGCCTTGCAATCGCTGTCTAGGCCTCCTCTAGCTGTTGCGGGCAACGTCTGCTGCCCTCGTGAGGATTGCAAACCTTATCAAAGGTTTGCCGGGTTGCGTCTTGCCTCATTCGGCATTTTCGAGTCGCTTGGCTCGGGTGGGCTTATTGCGGAGATCAAACCTTGCGGGGGGTTGAGTCACGGAGAAGAAAGACGCTGCGAGAAAAGACGAGAGAGAGATAAACGTCCGGGAATTGACGTCCCGAGAGCGGAGGAGGGTCGAGATCTCCATCTTCTTGTATCCTCTCGGGCCCATTCCACAGACGGAAACGTCGCTCGTGATCGGTTTCTGTCTTGTTCGGAACCGAAGAGGGGAAACACTGGACACTGAATAGTAGTATATGGTTGCGGTCCTTCCCACCCGCTGTCTCCATCTCTGTTCATCGTGAAGAGGATTCCGGCGTGGTCCTCCAGTTGGGCCGCGGTGAATTGAGATCTGCTGCCAGACCTGCACCCGCCCGTCTGGCATACTTGCTGTCTCGATCTCCCTCTCTTTCGCTCTCCTCCTGATCTCGTGGTCGCTGGCTACCGACCGTCCTCCCTTCTGCATCTCCCCCGTTCCACTGCCTTTCCGACTGGTCTGATTCCATCTCCCTGCGCCAACAAAATCCCTCATTCTCTCGGTCGTGCCAAACCGGCCGTCGACCATTCTGCAATTCAACATTAAAATCCCTCAAGTGACTCCCTCCATTCTTCGACGCTATCGCGTGCTCCACCCCCCTTCCGCAGGTACCTGAGCACCTTACACGGCCGCTGCGCTCAAGTCTCCACTACCTCCGGCTACCGCATCCCCCAGCGTCCCAGAGCGCTTAGTGCAGGTAGTGCCCGGTGCCCACGACATCCACCCCACTGACGCCGGGCCCCGTCCAGCCCTGGAACCGCCGGGCTCCTGATAAGAAAGTCATCAGATTACTGGAAGAGGCATTTTGTTGGATTTTTCGGGTTCTCAATTGGGGAACCAGCAGGGGCTGAATCTTCCTTCCAAGCAACAAAGACAAAAGAAAGCACTCCAAAGAAGAGACGGGAAATCCGTTATTCGAAAAAAAGACCAAATTCGTGATCTTTCACCGCCACATTGTGTGGGTGTCAGAGTGAGGACAGAGAAGCCCGTCGACGGAAGGAGCTCCTGAGCCCCAGTCCAAAAGAAGAAGAAGAAAAAAAAAAAACAAAAGAGAGAGAATTCAGAAAAAGGAAAGACCCAATATGACTCAAACGATGGCCTCACATCGTCGCTCTGCTTCTTCAACTCATCTCTCCAACAAACTCCTCAAGACGGCCCCGACTTCTCGTCCCGGTGTCCATCGTCGTGGCACCTCGGCCATTGCCCTTTCCATCTCCAAATTGGGTTCGGGTCCATCTGCCCGATCGCAGTCAAGGGCAACCGCGACGCTCGACGACGATTCAGATATGGCCGCCAGTTTCTTGAACTTTTGGTAAGTCTTGCCGCTACGGATGCTTTGGACACATTGATTTGCTTTCTCTTTGGATTGTGTTCTTTTGCCCTTTCAACCGGACTGAGAGCTACGTCGCGGCCTGGGAGGACGGTCGATGACGGTCTTGTCTCCCTTATCGCATCCATCGGACTGCTTTGGGACATCTTGCAAGATGCACAGAACGTTCCTTATCTTTGCCCATTCCGCGATCCTCCCTGCAGATCCCCCAGACCGCCAATGTTGTTGCATCCTGCCCTGGCGGTCCATGCAGATTGCCGTCATACAAGACAGAGCAGGATCTCCCTGGGTTCTGATAAGACCTGGAGGGTAGTTCTTTATAATCGACTGAGTCATCCACGGATTTTGGGTGACTGTCAAGTCCCCATCGTCCTCCGTCTTGTTCTCTTTCCTCTTTCGTCGTCTTTCTCATATCACTTCTTCGAGGACTGACATTGTGGTCTCTTTACAGCGCCACGTGCGAGCGTCAAATTACTGTCCCCAACAACTCGATTCTGTACTGCAGTGAAAGGTATGCTCTGCTTGGCCGTCAAGCCTTTTCCTCCCCTTTCCTCCCCTTTTCTACCTGGGCCGATGCCAAAGTGCAGGATTATGCACATATGTTGTCGTGGCTCTCGATGATTTCGTCTCACAGAGTCCATGCGTGTCAAAACAAACAACAACAACAACAGTCCTTTCCGTGTTCATCCTATACCACGTCCGCCTTCTTACCCTTCTTGATATGATCTCTAACAATATACCTCAGTTGTCGCCGCAAAGACTCTGCCAAACCACTCTCGGCCTCTCTCTCCCCGACAGCCTCATTCTCTACCAACTACCACCACCACCACCACCACCACCACCACTCCTCGTCGCCATCCTCAAACACCCATCTCACACCCGTCACAATGCCCCCCTCCCCACCTACCTCACCTTCTCTCTCCCCGCGCACCATTGTCGCCCCCATGACTCCCACTCGAGTCTTGTCATCGACTTCCGCCTCGGTGCCTTCCATCAGGATACCTGCCACATTCCACGAGGCCAAGTCAGATCTGGACCCCACCGAATGGAAGCCCGTGTTAGGTTCCCGCACCACCAGTGCGGCCAGCATGACTAGCACCACGAGATCCCTCGCCACCTCCGACGCCTGGGGCTACCTCTCCCACTTCCACGGGGGTGCCTCGGCAATGCTCACTCGTCGTACCCACCGCAGCACCGCCAGCCTCTCGGGCCTCGAAGGCGTGCCCACACCCTCGCTCACCCATGCCCCCTCTGTCGCATCGTCCGTGTCGAGCGCCGCCTCCTCGGATGGCCATGAGCATGGCCATGAACATGAATATGAGCTCGAGCAGAAAGGACTGCACACACGCATCCGCCGGCCGCTGCCACCCCGCCACAATCCGTACTTTTCGCTTTCACACGCCGCTGAGAATGGCATCTCCCTTGTGGTTCCTCACGTTGCAGCCGTGACTGTGCAGGATGTTGAGAGTGATAGTGGCTCAATCTTCCCGGCCAGCAGCGCCGTGTGGGAAGATCACGCGTCGGGTAAGACGGGTGCACCTATCCTGATGCGTACCACTCCAACCAACAGTGTTTGATGCATGGCGTTTCATCTTGCTTTTGTTTTTGATTCCATTTCTTCTGTCACTCTGTCAAGTCAAACATGGCGCTGGAAAATCACAAGGACGAAAAAGTAAGACCGGGGAAAAAAAAAAAAAAGAGATGGAATTTCATTAGAGTCCACATTGCTCTTCACTTCTCCAAAAGGCATCGCATCTCATGGCCCTCGGTCAGGAGCAGTCGGTCTTGAGCTTGGATACAATAATCGAATTGCATTTGATTCTGTAATACCGCCTTCCAGTCGTAGTGCAGTTCGAGAATCATCCGGAGACAAGATCGATCCCGGTCTAGACGCGTCAATGGCTTGTATGATGAAGTAGTGTGGTCGATCACAAGGATGTCTCGGCTGAGATAGGCAGATTATCCTAGGGCTGAGCCTTTTTTTCCCAAGTTGAAGATGCAAGTTCACGGCTCGTACGTACTTAGTACCCACCACCTAACCTACTAGATTCTTACCTTGGTACTACCAAAGGTGTCGTAGCAGGTAAGTTAGTATACCTCGACAACAAGGCAGGAGGCAAAAGCACGACTCCGCCTCCACCGGGCTTCGCCTAACCAACTGAGTGGTTTGCTCAACCTTGGAACTGTTTCTTTCGCAAGGTCCATTTGGGAATTTGTCTTATACCTGACTGGCGCACCGTTGATGTTTGATTTTATTGAGCTTTCTCCTTGGCGGGCCGGTAACTCGCGTCTATGCAATTGGCATACTCGAGCCTCGAGATGGAACATCCAGGGAAATTGTCCCGTCGCTATACTTGAATAGATCGATAATAAACGTATCTCTATTCTGTTCCGGTTCGATCTCGCCATGAGGAAACTCCATTTCTAGCCTTGATAGCCTTGATAGCACCTCACAATGTTGACTTTGAAATTTGGAATTCGGAGCCCGGAGGGACTTGAATATTGAATCGAAGCCTGAGGTGAAAGCTGGAACTGGAACTGGAACTGGAACTGGAACTGGAACTGGAGATGAAAGATCCATCAAATTGACGTCTCTCTCGCACCAGTCCTCAAACCATCAAACCCTTAAACCTCCCCACCTCCCGTCCCACGCAAACCTCAAACATCGGCCTCCAGAATCCGCTCCACATTCTTCATACCCTGCTCAATAGGCTCGTCCGTATCCGTCCTACACAGCTCGCGACGAGAAATCGAATCAGCCCACTGACTTTCCAACAGCGCCATGCTTCCGGAGACCCCAGTGGCCCAGGAAGAGGGCCGAGCTTATTCCTGGGCCGAGCTTAGGACCAACAAACCTGGTCGTCATCCGCACATCGGTCTGGATTCGCGGAATCCCACTATGATGGACGCATGTATGCGCGACGCCGATGACGCGCATGACGCTGTCCCAGGGTCCTTCTGGATATGCAGATGCGAGATAGGACTTGTTAGTTGGGCGACGAGCCATCGTTATAGGAGGTGCGGTGTATTCGATTCCTTGGAGGTGGGTGTGCTGTGCTATGCTGTCTTACCGATCCGTGTCCCTGTTGGATGCATTTGGTTCTTGAGACCTGATTCTCGGACTAAGCGGTGGACGCCTGCGAGTTCATGGGCGTATGAGCTGGTGGAGGATCCGATCTGGGGCTCGGGAAGGGGGGTGGTGATTGATTGTCTGGTTAGTCACTGGGTGATGATGGACATTGACATGGATGGAGTCGTCAGACTGATCAGGAGGGTGGTTATTTGGGGGGGGTGATATATTGGAACAATTTCAGGTGGTGCTTTGACGATGATCGGTATGGTCGATTTGGAAATCTCACCACTCACCGGTACCAACGAGAAATCAGCAACACAATAGTCGGGGGTATCAGCAGTTGCTGCCGTGGTGGTCATTTTGACAAATTCCTCAGGTAAATCGAGTGTCTGGATGTTCTCTCTTCAAGTTGTGAGCTCCCAGATGGAATTGGAATTCCCCTTTTGATTGTTTGAGGCCGTTTATCATCTTAGAATGGCTCGAGCTATATATCCACGACAGACTAGATATCCCGGGGGATGAGGTTGAGAGGCGTCATCCTGACATTTGCATAACCGGGGTGTTGGTACTGTGATGTTGCGGGGATGATTGCCGATGAATGAGATGCGATGAGACAAAGACACAGCGATCAGATACGGAAAATAAGTATGGCGGGCAATAACTTGGTTGATTTTGAGGTCATTCCAGCCGGACGTGGGAGAAAGGTTCAACCCGCGCCTGAGCTTAATGATATTGGGAGCTGCCGGGCTCGAGCAGCTTTGAATTCTACAAAGCAATAAATACGTAGATTGGATGCGCTCCAGTAGAGTTTTCACCATCAACATGCCTAATACCCCGCGACATTGCCGATTCCAACCATCTACACCCTATCTTGATGTCTGATACCTCCAGTCAGACAATAGTATAGACAATCATTAATCCTCGTCACCATGATGCCGACCTTGGCGCCCATGACGAGCTCGGCACCGTTGGACATGATATCATGAACCGATCATTCTGTTTTCATCGGCAGATCGGTCCCGTCCCCACTTTTCAGATCTTGCAGATCGAACTTCCGAAGTGCGGCTGCCGATGCACACAGCACTACAGGCACTGTACTACCGCACGAGCTGGAGCAGGAGCAAGAACCACACCGGGGATCTGCCAACAATCTTGCCTGCAGATCGAGCTCTTTCTATCCTCCCGCGCTCGCGATCCACCTCTATCCACTGTTTGAAGTATCCCCACCAACGATGCGTGCGGTGAGTCGTAGGTGGACACTTGGAACAGGTTTGGGGTAATAGGGTTTGAATGGCTCGTGCCTCGTAGTGCTGTCATAAATAGTCACACAGGAGCGAATGATGTAATAACGAAGTATTATTGACCTAGATAGTTTCCTGGAGGTATCTCCTATAACATGACCGTGGGTATCGAGGAATCAAGAATATAGAAGATGATGCGAAAAGTCTGGATCGGAACTTGATTGGGACAAACGGACAAACCGCTACATAAAACGAAACCTTTCTCAACCATTTCGAAACAAAACACGTCTTCTCTTCTCGTCTATTGAATTCCTATCAGTTCCCCTCTCGACATCTTCCTCCATCTACCTTCTCTACCAACATGAACCCCATCCGCCAATCCGTCCGCCGCCTCGGCAGCACAAAGCAATACCCTTTATCCACCGCGCGACTACAAGCCGCCCGCACTGGACCTCAGCGCAGATCCTACGCCACTTCACCCAGCGAGCTCGCAGACAGCAAGGGCACTCCAATGTGGTACGTTTCCAGCATGCATTCCGACAGGCACTCCTCTCCCAGGTGGAGGGAGAAAAGATCTTTCCCCCTCAAAAATATTCCAGGGATCAAGTTGCTAACGTGTCTCGCCTTGCTAGGATATACGGAGCTATTGCCGCTGGCGCCGGCAGTATGCTGTACTTGTGGAGGAAAGGAAATGCCAAGGCCAAGGCCGAGGCCGGCGTCACCCAGCTCGAGCATCAGCGTGATGGCGGTGCCGCGAGATAAATCGGGATTCGTGTCGTTGAGGGGAGAATGATGTGCACGTTGATGCCATGAAGTTAATGTGTGTGGACATGTATTGTCAGGATATATTTTCGGCAAATGGAAGGTTGCATAGCATTTTGCTCACCTCCAGCTTCAGCCGAGTTTTGATGCAACGTGTGAGAGTAACAGGAGCGGCGATGTAGCGGTACCTGATATAGGTTATTCCATACATTCCACTTCATGTGGTCCAAGGCACATGCCAACCCATGGGATTCAAGTCAGCGAAGAGATGGCTAACCAGTGAGAACAAGAGGGATGTTTCCAGTACCTCAATCTCGTCAAAAGCGAGGAGATTGTCATGAGAGAGTTTATCTGATAGTCGAAGGGTAGACTTCATTACCCTTACCGTTACTGACTTGAGCGTGTCAATTGTAGAAAACATCTAGCTACGTAAATTGAACTGCGCCACGTATATGAATCTGAAGGGTGTTTGTTCCATGAATATGCAACGACGAACTTGAAAAAGTACATGGATGTTCAACAACGTTCGTGACAAAGGTGAGAGAGATGTCGGCTCTGACCGTAGGGGTAACTCTGGGTTGGGGTTTGACATATAAAAGACTTGGTTCGTCGGATAATGCAATCATCATTAGTTCAGTGTCACTTGAGTAATAAATATGTACAATATGTATAAATATGTACAACATTTCCATGACTGATCGCCATCACCACCGTTGTATACATCAATATCCCGCACATTAGTCGCATCTCATTAACTTAGTTCTCCTTGCCATCCAAGTCAGTGAAGAAATTGTATCCAAAGCTGTCACTGGAGTCATTAAAGCGCAACTTCTTATCAATTTTGTCAATGGCTTCGATATCGGCCTGGTCCAAGTCAAACACGCCCTGGAAGTTCTGGGCAATGCGCTCGGGAGACTTGGACTTGGGAATGACCGAGCGGCCGTGGGCAATCCCCCATGCTATTCAATCAAAATGACGCGTTAGAAACAGACTCTCCAGTCGGACCAGAGGGAGGCCTTCTCCGATCCTGGAGGGGGATCATAACTCACCGAGAGCAACCTGGTTCGAGCTCTTGCCGTACTTCTTTCCAATCTCGATGAGAGTCTTGTCGTCCACGAGTTTCCCGTGCTTCTCCTGGGCCTTGTAGATCTCGTTCTGGTTACCAAAGGGCGAGTACTGGGTGACGTGGATACCCTTCTCCTTGTGGTAATCCATAAAGGTCTTTTGCTGCAACCAAGGGTGGCACTCCATCTGGTGAACGGCGGGGACGACTTCGGTGGATTGAATCAGACGCTCGACTTCCTTTTTGGCAAAGTTGCTAATACCGATAGCCTTGACCTTTCCGGTCTTGAGGAGTTTCTCCATGGCTTTGTAGGTCTGGACAAGCCGAGAAGAAAAGAAAAAAAAAGGCAGTTAGCCTCGCATTCCAGTCGCCGTCTCGTCTTCAAACAGGGATGAAACTCACGTCGACATAGTCGATATCATCAGTCACAGTATCGCCATCCTTATCCTTGGGGAACATCTCATCCCCACGCTTAAAGGCCACAGGCCAGTGCATCAGGAACAAGTCGATATATTCAATGCCGAGGTCATTCAACGAGTCCTGCAACGCGGGACCAACATCATCCGGGTGGTGCTTGTTGTTCCACAGCTTCGTCGTCACGAAGATTTGGTCCCGTGGGACACCACTCGCCTTGATGCCCTTGCCGACGGATCCTTCAGTACCGTAGCTAAACCAATGATGCACACGTTAGCACACACGTACAAGGGGCATCGCATTGAAAACGGCCCTCCAGCCTTCTTACCATCGTGCGGTATCAATGTGTCTGTATCCAGCCTTCAACGCCTCGCGAACGGCAGATTCTTGAGCGTCGGCATCTTGCCAGGTTCCCAGGCCCAAGGCGGGAATCTCGGCTCCAGTGTTGAGCTTGAAAGTCTTGAGTCCTTCGAATGGCATGTTGTGTTATGTGGAGTCAATGATACGATTGATGGGTGTATTAGATGTGAATGCGACGGGACGAGAGGTATATATGGATTTGCAATTCGTGAAGTGTATAACAATTGAATTATAGAGGTGATGGACAATCCGCGACAATCGAATCATTAAATACCACGAGACGGCACATGTCTCTTCCTCATTGTCCGCACCATGAACCCATTGATGAAGCAAGCAGAAATTACGTGCATATGACATGATGAACACAAGTCAACAGTTAAATATCGTTTCCAGATCTAAAGGATAGAGGGGAAACCGCATCGCATGATACCAAATCTTCGAGGTCGAAGTGGACTACTTTGTCAAAAAAAAAGCAAGTTTCGGAGCTTGTGACGTAACAGCTCGAAATGGGAGGGCCGGAGCTGCGACGGTTGGGTACTGACTAGGTATTTGCCACCCCATATATCATGAATAACATGAATAGATGATACTGGCGCTAGTAGGAGAAGCGAGGAAAAGCCGAGACCTGGAATTATCCAGCCCGGGGCCATGGACTTCTGAACTGGTGTCTCGGTGGATCTGGCCCCGTGGAACTTAGAAGAGGCTGCCGGCGTGGGCGTTATCAGATGTGGATCAGCCATGGCAGGGCTTTGTCTTAAAATATCAGGTTAATTACTTTATTCAGGGGGTTTCTTGTTTTGGTAGGATCGACGACCTATACTATCAGTGTCGAGGCGCCCGACTCTGTTCAAGGGTCGAGCCTCGGAGCCAAATAGTATGTCGTATTTTGAACGTGTGGACGAAAGCACGTGGAAAAGGGCAAACTCGAGACGAAAGTTTCCAGAGACCAAGAAATCATTCATTCTTCATCATGAATTAAAAGTATACGTTAAGTAGGATATTGCGTAGGGTATTGTTAACATTCTTACAGGCCGAACGCCGTCAGGTAGGTGTACTCGTATAGAAGGCAAGGGCCCGATATTGTCACCTACTTCCAACCCTTCGGAATACATCTGTTCTGAATGTTGCGCGAAGAAAATTGGAGGATTCAAAGAAAGCTTCGAGCTTTCGGAGGGGACCCCTCCTAGAAGTCTCGGCGCATGCCCATCAATCTGAAGAAACATCACTGCAAAAGCTCGGGAAAGAACGTCTGAATAAACTCCCGATCGAGTGATCCGTAGGCGGCGGCGGTCTTCGTATTGGCTGTTGAGACCTTGTACGCAGAAGATGACGGGATAGGCACGTGTTGCGAAAAGTCTCCCAGTGACGGTGGGAAATCGTCCGTGTCTTTGGAGATCACGTCTGAGATTCGAATCGCGGTATTGTGCCTCTCCATGGCAGAGCTCGTCAGCCCCTCTTGCCCCGTGGAAGCAGACGAACCGCCACTAGAGGTGCCAGCGGGGCCTTTTCGGTGCCAATGTGGCGGAGGCGGCATGTCGCTGATTTCGAATTGCATCGAACCGGCTAGTTGTCGCAGAGTATTGTCGCATAGCTGCCAGGCCCGACGGGAAGCCACGCTACTCTCCGATGTCCTATGGAGCCAGCGGATGCATTTCTTGGTCAATGGAATGAGCATATTCTCGCCTTCGGGCATATGGACGTATCCAAAGGAAATTTCGAGAATCATGATTGCCACGGCCTGCATGACAGAGTGAAGAAGGGACCACCACGGCCCGTGGCGATGCGTGGAGCTGAGGAGTTGACTGTCTGGAATCAAGTGTGTGATCTGTGCGGCCGATTCCAAGGCCGAAAGACTCATCGTTTTATTGAATTCGTTGATTTCTTGTCTGTCAGTCTTCGGTGTCGATGTGTGCTGGCAGAGACACGGCCGACCCAGCAAAATCTTCGACCCGTGGTATTGCAACGCCAGCTGCATTTTGTGGTTGTAGTACGCATCATTGTTGTCCGAGGCAAGAAAGTCCAGCGTCTTGGGCAACGTGGAGAACCAGATATCGATCTTCCCCGCAAGTTCTGACAGTATGACCTGGATATACGACCAGTCTCGCTTTGCGGACCGAACTGCGTAAACCCGGTCGAGAATCTCTTGCGTGATCATCGTCAGATCACAAGAGTACAGAAAACATAATCCCGAGTTCACGGGCTGGTCTCGAAGCCAATGACGAGCGGCCCGTATATCTCCAATGCCCCCCGACTGGCCCATTGGCGTTCCGGGCGTGTAATAGCTTGCCATGGTAGCATCAATCTGTCCATCACGAAGCACGGGATTCGTCAACAGCGACGAAGCGTTGGGAGCGGCAAGATCAGATTCTTCCCAGGAAAGAGGGAATGGTGAGCTGCACATGTTGACGGAGACACATGTTGGCCGCCCCGTCATCATGCCGAGCTTGTTCTCGAGTGAGAATAGTGACCACCACACCCGATTCCGCATCTCTTTGGAAATTCCCGGCACAGCCGAGCTTTTGTTTTGTAGATTGAGACCTAGAGAAATGGCCGATCGAACAGCCAAGGCGGAAATTCGCCAAGCTCTGTTATAGACACAAAAAGAGGGTTTGGTTAGAATGATTCTTAGTTACAGTCTCCGGATACTCGGTCCATTTGGACATGCGACGAACGCGCAACTCACCTGTGGATCTGATCGATGGTCAGCAAGTAGAAAGTAATCAAGCCTTCTAACTGAACTTGCTGAATGTCTGGATGCCGAAATATATCATCGCCCTCCAAGCTCAACATTCGTGCCCGTGCCAGATACACCAAATGATCCTCTGCATCTGCACGCCAATCTAGCTCTGCCAAATGTGCATAGCTCGTAGCAACGGCAAAGATCGTGTTGAGGATGGCGATCCACTTGTCGCCTGGCAAGACTGTCTCATCAAAGAATGATTTGTACTGGTCTCGGAACAAAGGGCGATTGATGATTGGAAAATAGGGATGTGCAACGGCAAGGTAGGTGTCAAACAGCAGATCAGCCAACGGACGCGGCGGTATCCAATATTTTTGCACAGGTTCCGAGACTTGAATGTCAAAATCATCAAGATGATAATTCAAATCCTGAGGAAGCTCGGAAAATGTACCGTCTAATCCAGCATTGGTCCCAGAAGCGTTGTCTTTGCGACGCTGCTCGGCCGTCTCCTGTAATCGTTGCATCCATTTGATTTCTGAGCTTTTGCCCAGGTGGCCAGTTGCTCGAGTTTCCTCTGACCGGTTCAAATCGATATCCACATGATCTTGCGCCTCTAATGAGCCAACGGAAGAGGACGAACTTGCTGGCTTGTCCATCTCGGCGAGCGAGGAAGTCCTTGAGCGGATGGCATTGCCACTGGACGGATCGCTGGACAGATATCCCGTCTCCAAGCGTTGCTGTAGAACTGCGAGTCAGTAGCCGACAATAACACTAGTCCAAGGCCGTCGTGCACTTCGATAGTGTGGTTTGGATTACTCTCCGGGGGAGGTGGCATTCCCGACAGCAGTGGATTTCACCTACCAGTAACTCACGAACTCTTTTCGCAGTTCGACCTGATACCAGCGGTTCGACTTCTCCCAGCAAGCTCTGGCATTCTTGAAGCTTTTTGGCAAGTTCTTCCTGCTGTCTGAAGATCAAAGAAAGAAATGAAAAAGATATTCAGCCCATGTCTCTGAGCCAATCCGTCAGGAACGCGCGAGGGTCTTTTCGATTTCCCACGTGCGTGTGGACGAGGGCAAGGTGAATGGATGGAAAGAGAGTTGAGAGCCAAAGGAGTTCTCGAGTGATTTGACAATTTACATTTTCATTTTCTCGCGTAGAGGCGGTGGATACACGCATTTCATGTCTAGTTCGTGACATTGCCTACAGATTGGGCTCTCACCACTGCACTTCGTCTTGCGCATGTGGCAGGAGGCACAAGCCCGTGGGACTCGTCGATGATGCCTCGACGGCGCGCCCGGTCGGTTTCGCGGAATAGGGAGTTTGGCGCCTGTCGGAGTGGCGGTCCCCATGGATGAGCCGGAGAATGTATGGGCGCTTGATGAAGATGAAGTCCTTCGTACCTCTGGCACGGGGGCGATATTGCCCGTGGATGGGCCATGGCCGTGCTGGTGACTCTGCCCGGGCGCATCCCCCAGGCCCAGAGGAGGAGCGTCGGGCATTCGACTGGTGATGATTTGAAGATTCAGAGGGGTTTCGCTTTCCTTTTAGGCCGGGATCGGCCTTTTTTCTTCTCCCTGTTTCTGATCTTTGTCTGCCTCTATTATTGTCGATTGGACTTCATGTAGCGGACCTGAGCATCCGTGCCGGCCTCCCCCCAACGTGACATCCGAGGATCAATACTTGCAGGGAATAGGTCTGATAGTGATCAGTACGTTCCCAGGGTGTGCTCCGATTTCTGGATGTGGAGGGAGGGAGCAAAGAGGAGACGATTTGTCGGTTCTTCTGTATCATAGAAATTTAATAGAAACAGATCAGGCGCGGCTCATGACTCTCTCGGGCTCAACGCTGCCAGCAATGACGCGCGAGGGACAGTTCGTCTCCACAATCTTGGATTGAATCGCTGGAGGCCCACTCGTGTAGTGTTCCAGACGGGATCAATCATCCTGTCCTCTAGGCTGAGTCCCCTTTGGCCTAGAGCAGCCAGCGGAAAGAAAATCGCACCAGAGCAGACGGGGTGGCGGGAGAAGGTACCACGCCGCGTCCGGTGGTCTGTCCGCAGAATTTAAGCGGGAGAAGACGGAGATCATGATTTGATGGCGGTCAGTCGAAAGGCCAAAATCAAGATTTGGCGGGCCCACCTCCCCGGGTCCTCCTGGCCTCGTTTTTCACCAGAAGAAAAGAGAGACCCAAAATAAATAATAACGGTGTTTGAGTGGTAGGAGTCGCGTCAGCTCTGTTGAAAGAGAGTCAATAATAGCCATGCAATGGCCAGTTGGCAACAGATACCGAATCAAGCACAAGGCCCTGGGCGTCGATCTCCAGGATCACGGCTAGGACATTTGATTCGGCGCCGCTGATAATCGATTTGATCGACTTTGAAAAAGCACATGGCAGCTAACTCCTGGCCAATATTGATCGTGATCCTGGCCCCCACCAGACGGGAAAGACAAGATGGAGCCATCCAGACTTTTGGGTTGGGCAAGATCGCCTGGGACCAGCAAGACTTTGGACAATGTGAAGGGTGGCCAAGCTGAAAGGAGAGTTCATCGCGCATCCCCTTTGCCTTGCCCAATATGGACTATAACCCAAAGCATATGACCTGCCACGGTACAACAGGATCCATACTGGTATTCCTGAGGTCTGCCGACTGAAACTCCCGATAGCCGACCATACAGCTGTCCAGTATCCATTGTCCAGTATCCATTGTCCAGTATCCATTGTCCAGTGTCCAGTGTCCAGTGTCCAGTGTCCAGTGTCCAGTGTCCAGTGTCCAGTGTCCAGAAGCATGCTCGGTGGGTACGGCATTCCCACAGCCAGTGTCAAGCCCAGTACCTGAGGAGTGAGAACATCGGTACAGTAGTAGTGCACTTGGTTGGGCTGCGAGGTAAAACCCAAAGAAGTGGATTATCGCGCTGTTCTGACACATCTCAGATATCTCATCACGTCTATCTCATGCTGATTGATGACCGAAGCCCCCTCTGGAAATCGGACTCCCTACCTTGAACATGACACGCCGCAGTCTCTTCTAATCAGCAAACAATTACAACAGGGGTGTAAAAGACTGGTACTTGCCATAAGCCTGGCCACACCATGATCAGCAGCACATCTGGTTAATGGAAATACATACCAGCCTAGCGAAGTGGACATGTCTGGCCGTTGATTATTATTCTTCTCGGTTGAACCAAGGCTACGTTTTACATCGGTCCCACTGACGTAACGGTCTGATGATAAGTGCCGATGAGGCCGATGCCCCTGAAAAGCCAAATCCGATTTCGACACTAGAAGGACCGCGCCGTACATTCCGATAAGTGCACAAGGAGGCTGGTCACGATAATCATGCGCCTCCGGATTTAACCTTATAAGTGTTTGTGAACAATTTCGGATCGATTACGGATCGGTCGCCGCATACAGCTAAAGTTTAATTCAAGACTTTCCGACCAATCCAAGCGCCATGAACTTGCATCGAGCGTTCACCTCGCATACACTTTGCATGTAGAATGTGAGTGTGTATGGGGATCACTGGGTAGTGGTACAGGTCGCGGGTACAGCATGAACTATGGAGTCATGGACACGTTGAACAGATTATATTCGAGTGGTCACTCGGGTGTCATACGTTAATGCACATGCGAAGTATTGCTCTTACTGAAGTACCTAGTTAACCTGATAGTTCCAGGTACTGTAGGTATAAGTTAACTAAGTTACTACCTCCTACTTAGGGGAATAAGGAGTGGGTACTGGGCTGACCGAATGCCTCACCTAATACTCATCGAGTTTCACCAAATCTGAGCACTGGTACAATTCTCGCAGCGGACGTCTTTCCGAATTGGGAGACGAACCTAACTTAGGAGGTTAAGCTTATCGGCCAAGTCAAGCGTCGTGTAAGCACGTTAAGTCAAGAGATACTACATCTCAAACGCACCAAACGACGAGAGAGATGGGAGTCACTCGACGCCAGAAATTCCAGACAAATAGAAAACAACCCATCTCAAGGACCAGATCTTAAATATCATGTACATCTGACAAGAATTTAGAAAGTTCACACCGTTCCAGTTCCATCAAGCTCATCAACTCACAATCGGGGCTGCAGGTGGGCTGAAATTTTGGTATAGGCTGACCACAAGCCTAAACCATGCTCATCAATCATCCACACCAACCCAGAGAGTACCGTTCAAGAAGACAACTAGGAAGTAGTATCATCCGCCCCCTCAGAAGTCCCCAGCCGTGATACAACACACCCAACAATTGTTCGACGCCTTGAACATCGGCTCAGCCTATAAACGCCGCCACCATGAGCCTACATTAGCCTCCCAAATGTCTCCTCGGCTCCGGATCTGCGCTTGCAACACCGACAAACATCCAATGTGAACTTACAAAAGGTTTCTCGCAAATCGCCTGGCTCCGCTCCGCGAAGCACTGTCCTAAGCAGAACGCGTTGCCTTCATCATGACCCTGAGGCTTTCCAATCAATACCGGCGCAACGTCACTTCCCGGCTGTAGAGGGTCAACGGGTGCGAGACCACCCTGGGGTATATCGTAGGTGTCACCTAAAGGCTGGGAGTCGGCTGACTGTGATGAGCTGTGGGGTTTGCGGATGAATTGGGCGGAGCCCTGCATGGCTAGCATGGAGGTTGCGATCGCGAGCATGGACGTGAAATGCATCGTAGCGTAAGACTTGAGCGGTGGCCGATATCAAGTGACGGAGATGGGAGGCGAAGTGATGCACAAGATGACCGCGAGGCTGGTGTTGCGTAGCTGAGAACTGGCACGATGAAGGCGATGGCGGAGTTTTGTCGAAGTGGATGTGAAAACTTATCCAACCTCGTTCATATAAGGAGTCGAGACTTGAAAGTATATGACTTGGGCGAGGCCAGGGGCTTTCTGTCGCGTCGGAACATGTCAACATTCCTGATTGCCGGCATTCCTTGGAAACATCCCAGGAAGCATGGGTCGACGCGAATTTCCAGGGACATGGAAGATTCAAGGCACGAGACTAGGGTTCAATAAATGCCTCTCTCAATGTGACTATCTCGACGTCGTCGAGAGATCAGCACATCTTCTTGGAGCTTGACATCTGCTACTAGGATGATACGGTTCGGTAGCGGAGAATTATGACTGAACTACTTGTCTTTCGATGTCGAGATTGTTCCTCCCTCGATGACATAAACTTAGCACCCACTACGGCGGCCTTCCCCTGATAGTCCTAGAAAATGTGCACATAGTAACTGAATGCAATTGAAAAATTCCAAAGTCTATATGTGAGCCAGGAATGGAAACAGGCGTGATTGAAGGATCGCTACATATGTAACTCGACATTGTTCGCCGAACGTACGTCGTGCCAGCAATACTTTAGAGTGGTAACCTCAGGCACCAACTAGTATTAGATGCCCAACGCCCGAGGCCAGGATAAAGGATAGTCACATTCAAGGTTATCAAGCAAGGCCGTGTTGATTTCTGCGCCTCAGGACGAGACAAAACTTGATCATTCGGCATGAATCGTATGCTACTCCCAATAAAGATAGTGATAATTGATGAAGAAACCACTAATATGGCCGGCCTCAAGCCGAGTCATCATGACAGCTTGATCTGGGGCCAAGGTTAGACAACAAACCAGCATCGACGCAGTCCAGGGACATTGGGGTCTAAAATTCGCAAAACCGGTCATGCATTGCTGGGTAATGGTACAGAAACTTAGAGAAGTACAATCTCATAGCACCTGTGCATACGTAGATAGAACGCTGTGGCTGATGATTGATAACCGTGAAAGTAAGCGATCGAATTCGCACACAGTGCGAGCAAAGACTCAAGCATCTGGATATGTTGGCATTTGGCCGAATCTGACGAGAAATGGGTCCATTGAAAAGAGATAGTCGGTTTGGCAACGTCGCTTTGATTTTGAAAGGCGACAGCATGATCTAATCAAGACAAGGCTGCACGGTGAGAAACGAGTAATGAAAACCAGCCTGTCATCATCTACGGTTCGGGTGTTTTCCGTCATACTTCGCGCATCACTTCACACAAGCAATTTTTTCCTGCCCATTCGCACCTCGGGCGTGCTTGCTCAATGTAATTTCGAACCTCGGCGCTTATGCAGTGCGTGCGTGTTGATGTCAATCTGACTGCAGGTGCCCGCCCGCTTTGTAATATACAGCACAGAGATTCGGTTCACTGCAGAGTGTAGATTCGTAGAGTGTCAAGTGGTAAAGACCGGATCTCCAAGACTGTTTCTCAGCAGCCATTCGGGTCCACTAAGGGTCGGTCTTTCTCCACATGAGACAACACTCGTCGATTCCATCTCGAGCTGTAGCACAAGTTCACGACAGTCGCCAAGACGCGTCAAACCTCACTGAGCACAAACGAATCAGTCGAGAAACGATAATTCGCTTCCGAGGCATAATTAGCAACGTGAAACCCCTGTGCATCAGTTTTCGACAGCACGAAGAGAAGATGGAATTGTTGAAACCGCCGTTGATATTGTGACTCCGAGAAGGTGCATTTTTGCGGCACCATCTCAGACGAGACGACGCCGCCATCAAAATCTCCTTTACCTGGAGGAAAAGTTGCTCCCTTGCTGGTCCCACATGCACAAGGCTACCTTCCAGACAAACACAATCCTGGTAACATTATTGATGATTGACATGGGCCGAGCGAGACAGCCAGATGGAACCCAGTCCTTCCAATGACTCTCGCGTGGAAGTTTTTTCCGTAGACACAGTGAACCCAATTGGGGCATTGACAAGAGGATAGGGTAGGCCGTATGGTTTCTGAATGGTAACCGGCGGCCCGGACTTTTTAGGCAGACTTCCATTGTGGAGCTGGATGATGGCCGGCCGAGAGAGATAGAAAGACAGTCTACAAGGACTGATTCCTCAGGCGTGAATCTTGGCTGAACGTATCCTGATGGGCTTTCGCATCAACAGGGACACTGACCATAGCCCAACCTGGCTTTTGGACCTACCAGACGCGAGGAAGCTATGGAGGTGGTGAATCACTCAATGCGAGAACGGCAAAGCACCCGGCGAGATCGTCAGGGTGACTCTTGAGTATGGAGAGGGGACAGGTAGCCCCCAAGGACCCAAGACTGTGAGTATCACCGAGAAGGACAACACCACCCTGGATGCGGCGTGATTGATGAGAAGGCCCAACGCGCCTTGGTCCACGATGGGCTCGCGATACCCCTGTCCCTTTGGTCGCGAGTCTGCGGTCCCAAAAAGCGGTGGTCGCATAGCTTCACTGCGAGCATCGGCAAGGAGCAGCGAAGAGACCACCGGCAGACTCCTGACCAGAGTTCGATTTGCAGAATCCGCGTCCGAAGTACATCCATACTCTACGGCCACTCCGCCTCGAAAGACGGTACAGCTTGCCGACAACAACGACAACGACCTACCCAGCCAGCCTGTACGACGTGCTTGACATCAAGGAACAGAAACCCGAAATCCCTCCCATGCAGTGACCTCCAAGCACGGCGATCTCACCTTCATGTGGTATCGACAGAGATAAGAATGGCTGATGATCATGGATGTCGAGGTCTTCCCCTCGGCGACTGACGATCGAAGCTCGTCTTGTTCATCAATATCGTCACAAGAACAGATGCCAAATCCGGGGGCGCTCAACGCTCAGCTGAACCAATACCTGCCTTTGTCGTCTCAGCCTCGCTTGAACGCGATCCACAACAACCGCTTCTTAGCCACACCACGTCCCCTGCATGGAATAGAAGCTGTCTCAACATAGTTGCTGCTGGTGGAGGCGAGATGATGCGTCCTCGTGCCGCAGGAGAAAGAACAGCCTTGGCCGAGATCAAAGACAATCCAACCAACAGTGAACGGTCGAGTGCAGCCTCCAGGTTGAGCAATGCCGGGCGGCAACAAAGATCCAGCAAACTGATTACGGGTAACACTCGTATCACTCGACCGGGCATCTTTGAAATGACCTTCCATCATGCTCCCATCATGCCAAACCACACTGGGCGCATGCAAGTTTGTGGCCCAGAGCGGACTAGGTGTCATCGTGACATCCAGTGCACGGGCTGATTTCCCATGGCATCGAATCGTACCGCCGTGTAGAAATTTTGATCTGCAGGTGACTGGATTCGTGTCGAGTTTCACACCCTTGAAGTATTTCCAAGTTCAGACTCAATGCTAGATCACCGTCTTGTGGATTCAAGACTGCGCAGCAAACAGGACCACAGCCTCAACCCAGTTGCTGATCAATGTGGATGGTAGGGTGAACGGGAAATCGGCGCGCGAGAAACGAGTACAACCTTGTGCATTGTCCACTGAGTCTGCAATATCACTTTTTACAGAGTGCAAAGCATGACATGATGCTTCGCCAGTCTCAATGAACGATGTCAGCTTGCACCATTTCCTCGGTGTCCGTTATCGTGGCGGGATTTGACGGCTTGAGGGGAATTCGAAAGACATTGAACTGGGACACCGGGCTGTTCCGCGAGGATCGGCGTGGAAGATGTTGGTTGATGTGACGGTAAGATTAGGCAGGCGCGGTGGTCGCGGCTTCGAGTGAACGTGAAGGAAGGAGCGCCCGTGTGAGCGGCCTGACATGGAACGGTCATGTGAGCGCCATCTGTCACAGAGGAGAAATTCATGTCAGTCTCTCTAGGGCATTGCGTCTATCATCTGGGACCGTCAAGGTCGAGATCTCAAAGTTCCTTCCCATGGTTGAAGGTGATCTTTGTACAACTGGGGTCCTGAGGTCTCCAAGCCCACCCCCCATTCTCTCGGCGTGTTTCCATCCTCTGTGATAGATACCAACCAGATCATGATCAGTCTACGAGCATAAGCTCGTGCCCTGATCGTGATGATTTGAATCTATCGCCTCATCGACTGCCCAGCTGAATTCACTGATGATCCATTCTCCGCTGTTCGACTCGAACACGGCTTCGCGGGACGACTTGCCTTGAAGGAAAGTCTGCGATCAGAGGCTGTTGGCACGTTTGACAGGATGCCGTGGTACCCAACACCATTGATGATCAAGAGGGGAAAAACAAGAGGTAGATGAAGAAGAAGAAGAAGAAGAAGAAGAAGAAGAAGAAGAAGAAGCCCCCATCTGCCGGGCGACTCTCACTTGACCTCAGAATCGCGTGGTCTGCTCAAAGTCACTCATGGCCTCTTGGGCTTCTTCGCGGCTTCCTTTGGCATGGCCATCCCCGAAAGCGGGTTGGAATGCCCCACGGGACTGAATCGACACTTGCAGCTCACGAAGAAAGTACCATCGACATACACTGGTCTGGAGTTGAAAGTCGAGGTAGTTCTCACGATGATGATGATGAGGTTGAGACGGTTCCGAATCCAGGTACGCCGGCATGAATTACCGAGACACCAACTGGAGGCTCCACTACCGGCTCTATGAGACCCCAAGAAATTGCCAAATCGCCAATCCAACCTCAAGCCCACTAGATCCTGGGCGTCCAGCATCCGGCAACTTCGATCGGTCCTGTTTACGAATCATGGTGAAGAGCTCGAACCACGGAAAAACTGCCGCTCCCAGACAACTGCTTGAATCATGCAAATTCTATGCTTGGACAGTAGCCATACTTCCATCGACTGTCATGAACACCAATTGGCATCTCATGCCATGTAGTTGTGGACTGTGGACCTGACGCATTCCCAAAGCCTCCAATAATGGCAAGCGATCAGTGGTCCTGCGGGAGAGATTTGTATGGGCGGAAGAAAAAGCCTACAGTCCGGTGCAAGAAGAACAATCTGGTACAGCAGATGCTCAACCACACGGACAGTTCAGGATGCGAGACTTGTGGGCCATGAACCATCGGGACTATTCGCGCCACACGGACGATCTTGAGGAGGGATTCAAGAAGAAGCGGCGAGTTTCCTATCGCGACCTTCTCTTCGGCGTGAAGGAGGAGGGGTTTTCCCATCTCCGTAATCCGCAGAGTACAGGTCTCGTCCCGCTTTGGGATCTGACCATTGTCGTCTTGTCTTTTTTACACCTTTTCCCCCGTTCTTCATTTGGACGTCGTCAAAGTTACCCATCTATACAGATCCGACCATTTCGACCCGCCTTCTCAGCAAGACTCTGTTCAGCAAGCCTGGGACAAGGTCCTATTTTCGTAGGGATCTCATTTCGAGTAAGCTTCTCGCTCACAGTTCAACCTGGACGGGGTACTACAGGGAGACGTTCGTTTACATTGTAAATAGTCGGGATTCCGAATTGCATGTGCCGTTGGGAATAGGTCCGTTTGCCTTCGTGAGAAGGGCATATGATTTGAAACTCGAGTAGGTGATCCTGTCCAGAAGGATTGTATTCTCCATTCCGATGTTCCCCCACGCGGAGCGCTACCCACGCAATTGGGATCATGCACGGTGTTTGCCAAACCCCGTGATGGGTCACAGATATTCGCCTCCCCGAGCCTCGGAGGTCTCGATCGCTGGCGGTCCTGACCAGGTGCGGATGAGGCGCGGAAAAGGGATTATTCTGTCTTTTTCGTTGAAGTCTAACTGATCTTGATTTCATCTTATCAATCAGCAAGTCTATCTCTTTGTATTCTGAAGCCCGCACGACAGGCCGCACTTTGCATGTCTTATTTGAGACCGCTGGACTCGTTTCTGTAAGTGCAAGATCGCATGGTTTGCTTCCCAACGTCTTTTACACATCGTTGGCCAACGAGAATCAGCAAAGCCACCAGACAATATGCCGTCCTCTAGATCCAACGAAAACCAGTCCTCCACGGGCCGTACAGGTCCACAGGGAGAACCAGCCAGTGGCAACCGTCAACAGGGCTCGTCGAACCAAGCAAGGTATGTAAAATTTCCTTCCCTCTTGGATTCGTGAAATGCGAGACCGAGAGTGCAAACTCGAACAAGGCCAGTCTGTTCCCGAGATCCATGGGCGAGTTCTGCGTTGCAGCTCCGTCGGAAGGGAAAAAAAAGGAAAAAGGATAGATAGCCCTCGGCTGGGAAGCGCGCTGCACTTCCAAATCCTTGCCTCATCGACCGTGTGACCTGACGACGTACGTTCAAAAGAAGCCAGGGCAACGATAGTTCGGCAGAAATTCTGGAGTACTACCGCTCCAACACCGACAGACTGCTGGAGTTCCTCTCGCGCAGCGATGACGAGTCGCTGAATCGCCTCGTCACGATCGTACGTTCGGGCGCCTCCTACGATGTTGTTTTCACCGCAATCGAGCAGTCCTCCACGAACGGGAGCATAAACCAGCCGAATGGCACGAGCCATTAAAAAGACCTGGGTATCTGCGGGACCAGTGCTCTTCTTGGGCGCGCACCTGCATCGATTTAAGCTCTGAAGAGACAGCGCGTGGGCGGGGGATACGGCTCCGCGATTTCGAAAAAGAACCGTTTTCGCAATTCACGAAGCGACCCCGATCCACAACATTTTTGGCGCCGCATACGCAATTTTGTCCATTTGAGATGCTTTCGAGTCAAGAATGATGTTGATCACGCAGAAGTCGGTGGATACACGGTTTGGGAGTCCGGCCTCCCTGCCCAGAGTGCCGAAGCCGCTCGTGCTTTCAATGTCCACATCGGCAGCAGCGATGCGATCACGGAGGGCACCTTGTATATGTGCGTAAATGTTGTGCGTCTGCGTTTGTGTGCCTGAAGAACAGTTGCTCTTTCATGTTTCAAGTCGTCATTCAATCCAACTCATATTGCCAGTCTGGCTCTTCCTTGTCTTCACTTACTGTCGACCATACGAACTTATCTGGAGGGGTCACTTGATGAAATGTTTGACCAGTCGAGTCCGCGAGCGAAGAGACGCAACATCAGGTCAGAGGACGCTCAAAATTGCGGTGACGGGCCTCGGTCCAAATTTGATGCAAGATGTACCCGTGTCGTGTTGCGCGGCTGTCAAAACGTGCCACATCGAGTCTCGTCAAAGCTCACACAGAACGGTATATTCTGTTGATGAGCAACTTCATCGGCAAGCGAAGAAAAGGGTACCAGGTTGAGCAATACTTGCCAGTGCGGCGACAGGCTTCCAGTCAAGTCTGAGGATCCAGTCCGACTCATATATCGCGGCCAATTACATGATGCAGCTCAGAGCCGCGTCCATTTATCGCCAGGATTGCGCAGCGTGTTTATGAGCGGTGCTTTTATCGGCGATGGTCAATGTACTGCCCAGGGCGCCCAGATGAAAACAAACAAATTTGGGTAAGTATTAGCAAGTGCAAGAAGTCTACCAGTCTATATTGTGAGGGGCGCTCTTCACTGATATGCCCGCGACAAGCCAAGTGACGTGACCGCATAGGGGTACAGCAGTCCACGTCACCATCGCAGAGACGTGGACATTTAGCGAGAGACTTTCAAACCAGTGGGACACCAATGTCAGTCAGTAAGACGTCACCTAGGGCTACCCATTCCAACCAGACTGCAATGAATCAAGCAGTACAGATTCTCATGGCAGTCCTGATTGATGGCCGAGTTTCGCTATCGATGATCTGCAGACATCGGGACTGGGTCTGACGAGGTTTGGGGGAGTGGAAAGCATGTTTATCGCGTCTGGCAAGTCTGATCGTGCGGGATAATGACTCGCGTCTGACGGTATCCCTTCACCCGGTGCGCTGGACAATCAATCAGCTTCAAGCGTCCTGCTGAGAAATATTCGCCGCTCGCATGTCCACTTGCAACCAAATCCCGAAGATGCGCTTCTCATGCTGAAGGAAACGCAAAAGGGTCATCCATGTTGGGCCTTGGCAATCAGGCGAGAAAGAACGTGGAATGGACCATTGTGGACTCTGATGGATATCTTGTCCGGCGCCAATGAGCCACTGCCTCGGGTCTCGAACCAGCTCCAGTCCAGACCAGATGCAAAAGTGCGGAGCCAGGGTCAATTGACGGTGGACATTTGTGATCCGGTCATGACGTGCGATATGTGTTTTGTCTCACGATATGGCCCACAGTCGGTGGCTCATTATTGACTCGTCATCGAGGGCAGCGTCATGGCCTACTGCAGTGGACGAGTTCAAAGAGGTGTCAAAGTGGATGGAAAGAGACCAGGTCACAGAGGAAGGACCAAGCGCTCAACGGACCGATGAGCCTCTGGCACTGGCTGTTCTGACTTGCAATTGCGCTCTGCCGGATGGGCGCCGTGATCTTCTACATTCTCCTTCGGACAGATTGTGTCCTCTTGATCTGCTCTAATTGCGCTGCTAACAAACAAGGTGACCAAGTTGCCGACTGCAAAACCACAAGCCATGACGACCCAAAGAACGCCCGATACCTTTCATCATTGTCTATCGTCGGTCGATGCAGCCCGAACACAACCAATCCCCATTCCACCTCGAAGCCAGGAACGGCCGTCTCGATGCTCGAGACCAGAATCTATGCATCGAAACGGTTGCTGAAGAACGATGTACAACCCTACTCTAGTAGGTAATTTGCCAGCGGAAAACTTGCTTCGACATCCGCCCCTGGTCCTTTCACATCCAAGACATCCTCAATATCGCCCGGTGCCACCGCCCTTTGCGAAACTATTTGCTACCTACGCGAAGATACGACAGCGGACAGCAGATTTGGGGTCATCGACGAGATCAGAAAGTCGGATAGAGAGTCCTGCATCACCCCGACACTTGCCAGCTCTCTCACGAGAACCGATCCTGTCTTCCATTCTCTGATCTGGCCTGCTGAATTGTGCTTTGCAGAGAATGAGAGTAGTCGCTTGATCCTCGAACAGGTCAGCTACACTGGCCTCGCGAGCCTCAACACCCATGTCTGCACCCGCTGGCGTTTCTGACGCCACACGTTGCTTGTAGTCGGAGCAGCCCTTTGGCTTCGAGTCTCATGAATACTGTAGTCCGGTCAATAAGATGAGCTCATCCGCCTCGACACCTAATTATCCCCCATTTGAACGAGCCACAGCTGCCAGACAGGTCGACGCCTGTTAGGAACATCGTGCCCCTTTATAGCTCCGCATAGCTCGAAAGGGTCCATACACAGACATGAGCAGCTTTCGTCTCTAAAGAGTGAATGGCCCCTTCCTGCTGTGACGGGCCACGGGTGTAGTGGCACCATTCTCCATGGACGGGGATAAACAATGGCGGGGGGTGCTCAGTGAAGGTGGGTTCATCCAACTAGTGAAGAAGGGTGGACATGGGGAATTGAACACCCCCGAGCCTTGTATAAGTTGAACATCATCCTCTTGCAACAGCAGATCAGTGTTGGCGTTCATGTGGGCGGTGCATGGCCACTCTCAAGGACTTTGGTAGTCTGCCACCTACATAGTACACAACTCATCGTTGTTGCCTGTACCATTGCTCTACCTCTCGCGTCTTGACCACCCGCAATGGATACAACTCGGATTGCACTATCACTCTAGTCCATGGTGCAGGGCTACCCATGTAGGATGTAGGCAGTAGGCACTCGGCAGTAGGCAGTGTTGAGTGTTGGCCAGGAAAAGCATAACAATATCGAATTCTATTTCTTCGCTCGATTCATGAATCAGACATAGATCTTCGAGGGCTAAGCCCGGTCGTTGGCGAGCTTCTCACTTCAACGTGGGCTCCCTCCAGATTTGCGGGTGAAATCTGAAGAGCATCAGGGTTCTAGATTCCGACTCGGTGCGCTTGGGTATGCATCCATTTGTTCCTGTACTCGGGACGCGTGTCCAATCCTTGCGCTGTCTTACCGAGGTGGACGGAGGTCTATGAACAGCCTGCATAAAGAAGTCGGAAGAAGAGATTTAGACCACTCAACTGGCGAGTGTATTTCATCCCGTGAAAAAACTGCGGGAATCCTCACTTTATAGACTGCTGCAAACCGGTAAGGACCCGAATTAACTTGAGAGCATTCACTCATTGGCATTGGCAGAATAAACTTTGGCCTGGTTCCAGGTTTTCAAGTCCTACTCAAACTCGATATCCGATCTCCATCGTGAATCCAGCTACAAGCTGATTGATGGCCTATTGAATCTAAGAAATACGTATCTGATATTTTCATCTCATACGTCGAATCTCTAAGGAGTGCAACGGCCAGTGAAGCGCGGGTACAGAGAGCAGTCACGGACAGTATAACGGGCGCACAACCAGGCCAGGAAACGCTCCAGACCCAGACCGTAGCCTCCGTGGGGGGAAGTGCCGTACCTGTGAAGGGCCAGATTGATTAGTCGTTGCAACTTTTGATTGATTTCCGGGGAGCAGGGATTGGACATACTTGCGCTGGTCAGTGTACCAGTAGTAAGGGCTAGGGTCCATGCCCTCGTGTTTATAGGCGGCCATCAACTCGTTCCAGTCATCCATACGCATACTACCACCGACAATCTCACCGACACCGGGCATGAGGACGTCCACACTCTCGGTGACCCGACGATCACTCTCGTCCTTCTTCATATAGAAGGCCTTGATCTCGGCGGGGAAGTGTGTCAGGAAGATAGGCTGGTTGATAATGTCCGTCATCTTGCGCTCGGCTGCCTCGGCGATATCATCGCCGAACTTGTGGGGCTCACCCTCCTCGTTGGGAATGTTGTGCTCCACGAGCCACTCAATGGCGTCGGAGTACTTCATGCGCTTGAAGGGACGCGAGGGGGGCTTGAAGTCGGGGTTCAGAGTGGCGATGTATTTGGAGGCCTCGGGGTCGGCAAGCAGCAGCTCGATGACGCGGCAGATCATTGCCTCGAGGTGGTCCAGAAGATCGGTGAAGGTGATGAAGTCGAGCTCGGCCTCGATGTGGGTGTACTCGGACAAGTGACGACGGGTCAGAGACTTCTCGGCACGGAAGGAGGGACACACGCAGAAGACGTCACCCAGCGAGGGGAGACAGGTCTCGAGGTAGAGTTGCGAGGACTGGGTCAGGTAGGCGTTCTCGCCGTAGTAGTCAAAACCGAACAGGGTGCTACCCCCTCAACCTGGGTCTGCACCATCGCGGGTGGGGTCACTTCCAACATGCGGTTCTCCTCAAAGGCCTTGCGGAAAGCGCGCAGAGTGGCAGCGCGGACCTTCATCACCGAGGAGGAGGTCTCACCACGGAGCACGAGATGCCGGTTGTCATAGAGGGTCTGCGGGTCGGCGTCCGGCGCCACACGCGTGGTAATGGCCTCTTTGTCACCTGCGGCACGGCCAATGATCGTGAAGAAGTCGGCGTGCAGCTCGCGGTCGTTGGGAGCGTGCTGCTTGGGGGGAACAGCGCGCATCTCACCGTGAATCGCGATGGAGGTCTCCAGGGTCAGAGTCATGATATCGTAGGTCTTGACCAGGTCACCAGTCAAGATGCATTGCAGGTATCCATATCCATCGGTCAACGTGATGAAGACGTAGTCCTTCTGAGCACGCATACGGTGCACACGGCCAAGAACGCGCACACGAGTACCGGGGGTATCGGATTCGGGGGTGCGCAGCTGGACCTTGGCCGGGTCGGTCTCGTCCAGACGGATACGGATGGGCTTGGGCAAGGAGGCGTCCTCGGTGATGACGACCTTCTTGGCCTCCTCCAGAACCTTCTGACGTTTGTCGGCCTCGGCCTTTTCGCGAATGGCGAGCTCCTGCTCCTTGGCAGCCTTCTTTTTGCGTTGCTCGTAGAGGTTGGTGGCCTTTTTCATGGCCGATTTGGTGGCCGGCTTCCACTCCAGCTTGGCGGCAGGATCCACGTTCTCGCCGGCGGCGTCGGTCTGGGACTTGCGGGTCAGGTACTGAATACCCTCGGTCGTGGGGGCATGCTGCACAAAGGCGTGCAGGAGGGTCTTATAAGGGGCGGACTCGGTGCCTGTGGCCGAGGCGTCGTCGCGACCGACGTCCTCGTCGATGTAGATAGAGAGCGCCATGATGGGGGGGGGGCGCGCTGTGGAGAGGTTGTCGTCGAAGTAGGCGAGAGGTAAGTCGGTGACCTCAATGTCCAAAGTGCTGAAGCCGACACGGCGTTCTGTTCAGGCTTGGGGGTATCTCAAATGGTGAATTGGGCTAGTTCTGGTGGCCGTAAGATTGAATTTAATTAGCCGGCGTGTTATCTGGTGAGTCATCGTGGTAGATTGCCAGAGGGAAACATTCCAAGTACTCCGGCGAGTCAATGGCTCGCCCGAGTCCGTGCGAATGACTGATGGGAACTGACATACCCCGAATCGAGAAGATAGCCAATGCTTGATCGACTGACAGGAACCACAACAATGGAGATTCTTTCGCACAATTTCAAAGATAGAGGGGTAAATTTCCGCGGGCGGCCTCCTTCCCCACGAGTGCCTGAGGCAGGAGATGCTACTGATGCCTGCAAAATATGGCGATACACTCCACGTGCCCTTCAGTCAGGTGACTACGTCGCCAAGGTTCGGCCGTGGTCAATCGAACTGAGACCCTCTCTCATCCCATCCCGACTATGTCTGAGGTCCTCTCAGAGGATGCGATGGTAGCATATACCAGCGACATGTACCTCATCTAAACGATGCCACTATGATCCGTGTTCCTAGCAGCACATACTGTACATTATTGACAGTGACTAGTAGACTACTCATAGACTACTCAGTTTACTTCAATGTCAGGACGGACCACCGTGATACAGTCAGTATTCATGCATGCCAGGGGCCGAGTCCAGCGCTTTGGTGATTGGTGCCCCAACCCAGACCTGCATAGATCCATCTGGAATTCTGGATCGACCAGTCGGCGCCAATGCGAGGCCAAACCTGATTCTTCATGTTTTACCACTTTTCCCACTTGCGACGGTTTTGGTTGCCGGCAGGACTGGGTCGACTTGCCCAGTTGCCAGAGCCACGGAACTGCATACAGTCATACACCCATTGGAGGGAAGCTGATCGAGAACTGACTCAAATAGAGTGCTGAGACTCGGTCCTTCTTCGGTCATGTGGCGATACTATATGCATCTGGGATGCGCTGGCGTCTGTTGAGATTAACAAAGACTGGGTGGATGTATACCTGTGACCTGTACCTAGACTAACGGATTACCCTCGTCTATTTGAGTTCAAGATACGAGCTGGAATACCCTCCATCGCTTTGTCCAGGAACCAGGTATGCCCGTTGGAAATCCGAGTACGTGGCTATTGTACCTGACTACCAGCATGGCAGTTCACACTCCACAAGACTTGAAGACCGTCAATGCCGATGGATACCTGACGATCGGTTCAGACTCCAGTGTCGCACTCTCGAGGCTCTGGCTTGGGCCGCGATACGCGGTGGTATCAATATGCAGATCGGCCTAGACGATCACAGTGAAGAGATGTTGGGTTTGTCACAATATGTGCTGAGTCGCTGACTGCTGTACTGCTGCGTATGGAATTCTAAGAATCGAATACGTATTGCTCCAGTTCACCAGATGAGCAGACATAAATCATATACATTCTCATGCAGTCATCACCCTCAGTATACGCTTAGTCTTACTCCCTCAGCCCAACGACGGCGATGACATCGGTGGAATTCCATGTCACGCGCGCAATCTCGACGTAGTTCATGACTCCATGCTGGTATGCTCTCCAGTTCCACCATCCTTTATCACCCCAGCGTGGTGGCCCGAGACGCCTGCTTTTCTTCCATGGCATCGTCCTCACGGCTTTCGTTCCATGGCTTCATTTCTCCCGGCCTCTTCCAAACCCCGGGATCGCTGGTTCTTCCCGCCGTTCGACCATCAAACGTTGTCTCAGAATCTCCCGTAGTTCGCGCCCTTTCCCTGGGCCCGAATGTCGAGCCCTTCTTCCAGATGGCTCGCAACGCTGCCTCCCTGGCCCCCTATTTTTTTTTCTTTTTGGTTTGCTGCTTCTCTCCATGTCCACATCATTGGGACCCGAGGGCATTGAGTGTTCGTTTCCTGGACTTTCTGCGTTGCTGGTCTCCATAAGCTCTCCACTGGAAGGAAGACTGGACTATGGACCTCTAACTGACTATGTAATCTGCGCCTCTGACTCCTTCCGCTGTCTGTTCTTGGCTTCTGCACTCGAGTGTCAACAATCGAATTCTCGTTCGAGTCCTCTGCGCATGGGGTCGCACTCCCCTCCAGTCCTCGTCAATTCGATTGCGATCTTATAAGCAGACTGTGAAGGAGCGACAGATGACCCTGAATGTGTGTGAGTGTATCATCGTTCCTTTCGGTCCTCTAAACTTTCCCCTTGAAGAGGCTAAATATCCACCTCCCCTCCTCCCCCTTTTTAGTTCCACTCCCCATTTGAGTCTGATTCCCTTTGGGTGACCTCCCCACTTGTCACTGCGCAGCTCATTAATTAAACTGCTCGATCTGCGATAGTCTTTTTTTTTCCTTCCCCTGGTACCCAACTCCGCATCTTCTCTCCTTCACTCCCTCCCATTCTCTTGAACCGCCGAGGAAGCATATTGCGCCGCCGGATCATATAGATTTGCATCCAGTCCTGTGCGGGAAAAAGGCACGGACGCTGTTGCCAGTCCCTGGAAGAAGGTGAGTCCACCCGTCCCTGCGCGGCCGTGTGCCTGCATAGCTGGGTCCTCCTTCACTTCAGTTGATGATCATCCACCCCCCAGCGAATGCTTTCACCCAGCCTGAACCCTACCTCGACACTGTCCCTTTCTTCCCATCCCGAGCTCAATCCAGCATTGAGTTGTCCTCACATGGACAATTTAGAGCCAGATCACTGACATTCTGCCACTCTGCGAAGGTGCTCTCCAGGCAAGATTCTTCTTCGCCTTGACTCGGCCGACTCCCCCCCCTTTCGAGTCCGCCCTCACCTTCGTTCCTCGATCGTGAAGCACTGCAACTTCGACAGCAGCTCTGCACCCCCTTTCCTTTGAATGGACTGCTGAAGGTCGACCGTCTTTTCTTTGCAACCCTTCTTTCTCTCTCGTCTATCGGCTCAGGGTCTTGTGTCCTCTCTCGGGGCGACGTCGGGTGATTTACAAATCTTTGTGTTGTTCCCCTTTCCGTTCCGTTCTTTGTCTTTTCTTGTCCAGGGACAAGAATAGCCATTTTCGCAATGCAACATTCGGATGTATCGCGCTTCAATTCCCATAGATTCAATAATCTGAACGGTGACACGGGTTTCTCGCACGGTGCCTATAACTCCAACACGCCCAACCAAGGCTTCTCGAATCGCAACCATCGCCGAGCGAATATTCCCGCGATCAACACGGCCGCCGCGGGTCACTCCTCGGACATGGGCTCCGGGGCCGGCTTCGATATGAACTTCACCCCTTTGCTCCCGTCGCAGCTGCTCGTGGGCAGCCCCTTTCAACCAGGCACCCCGTCCGCTTTTGCCTCGCCGCAATTTGCCAGTTTCGGAGGTTTCCCTCAGGTCGCGGCGAATGGACACTCCCAGAACCACCAGACCCATCAGCTCGGGAGCCCGACCCAAGGATTGGCGAACCACGGCCTCTTTCTGTCGACCGACGTCGGTGCAGCTCAACTCCTGGGTGGTCCTCAGTCGCCCATCGGTGCTCTACACCACGCCGGGCTAGGAAGCGCCGCCCTGGGCAGCCCGGCCGCCTCGGTGGCACCGGGATTGCTCGCAGGGACCAGTCGCACCGTGTATCTAGGCAACATCCCCGCCGAAACCAGCGCCGAAGAGATCCTGAATCACGTGCGGAGCGGACAGATCGAGTCCGTCCGCCTGCTGCCGGACAAGAACTGCGCCTTCATCTCCTTCCTCGATAGCAGCTCGGCCACTCACTTCCACTCAGACGCCATCCTGAAGAAGCTGGCCATCAAGGGGAATGATATCAAGATCGGCTGGGGCAAGCCGTCCCAGGTCCCCACATCGGTCGCCCTCGCCGTTCAGCAATCCGGGGCCTCGCGCAATGTCTATCTTGGCAACTTGCCCGAAGAGACCACCGAGGACGGTCTGCGGGAGGAATTGAGCAAGTTTGGCCCCGTAGACACCGTCAAGATTGTCAAAGAAAAAGCCATCGGCTTTGTGCACTTCCTTTCCATCAGCAACGCGATGAAGGCAGTGGCCCAGCTGCCCCAGGAGCCCGAATGGCAGGCGCCCAAGCGCGTCTTCTACGGCAAGGATCGATGCGCGTACGTGTCCAAGACCCAGCAGCAAAATGCCGCGCAATTCTTGGGTATTGCTCCGGGCTATGCACATGTTCTGAACTCTGCAGACCGCGATTTGATTTCCAACGCCCTAGCCCAGCAGTCCGTGGCGGCGGCGGCCGTGGCTACGACAGCCGGCGGGGTCAACAATCTCGGAAACCGAACAATCTACCTCGGAAACATCCACCCCGAAACGACCATTGAGGAGATTTGCAACGTGGTGCGCGGCGGCCTCCTTCACCACATTCGCTACATTCCCGACAAGCACATCTGCTTTGTCACCTTTATCGATCCTACCTCTGCCGCTTCGTTCTATGCGCTGAGCAACCTGCAGGGATTGATGATTCACAATCGTCGCCTGAAGATCGGCTGGGGCAAGCACTCGGGCCCTCTGCCCCCTGCCATCGCTCTGGCTGTCAGTGGCGGTGCGTCGCGAAATGTATACGTAGGCAATCTCGACGAAACGTGGACGGAGGAACGCCTGCGTCAAGACTTTTCAGAATATGGTGAGATCGAGTTGGTGAACACCCTTCGTGAGAAGAGTTGCGCGTTCGTCAACTTCACCAACATTGCCAACGCCATCAAGGCCATCGAAGGCATGCGCAACCGAGAGGAATATCGCCGTTTCAAGATCAACTTCGGCAAGGACCGATGCGGGAACCCTCCTCGTCAGGCTACCAACCAAAGCGGATCCCCTCAGGCCCGCAATGGAGGTGGTCTCGAGGGTCCTCAATCGCCCTCTCCCGCCTTGAACGGTTTCCAGCAGGGATTGAACCCGAACGGCTCTCAGAGCCCGTCCCGTCACGCTCTCTCCCCCGCGCCTGGATCAACGGGATCTCAAAACGGTCAGCATCAGCGTCATCCTCTGCAGACCGTGACTTCTCCCTCTAATGTGCTGGACGGGGGATCCAACAACCCGCTCACCATGTATCTGAACCAAATGTCGGCTCAGCAAGCTCAGGAGCAGGAAAACCGTCTCTCGGACTCCATGATCATGGCTGGCCTTCAAGCTCAATCCCAAGGCCCCTCCCAACAATCCTTGTATAGCACCAACGGCAATACCGATCTGACGAATGGCTCCATGGATGCCCCAATGCGCCACGGGCATGCTCACAAGCCCTCTGGAAATGGCTACCTGAGTGTTGCTGGCTCCGGTCACCATTCGACCGCCAGCACTAGCAACCTGAGTGTGCCGCGGGCGCAGCACTCCCGTGCCGTCAGTCTTCCCTCGTTTTCGCAGGAGCCCTTTGGCCCCGTCTCTAGCCAGCCTGGGCACATGCGATCCATTGCACACCAGCCCCAAGCTAGCTTCTCGAGCTTCTCGGGCCTGGGCGGTTTGAACCATTCCGGCTTTGGTCTGGCCATCCAGAACGAGAATTCTCTGCCGGGATGGGCCGAGGAGGAGATTGGCGCCAAATAAAGAGAAAAACGACCGATCAAAGAGTCTCACGTCTTCACATATACACACTCATCTCTTTTCTTTTCCAATTCTGGAGATGACATTAATCTTTTGACTCGTGCGATAATGCCGCTCTCTCCAAAGACGGGAGTATCCATATCACGGCGACTTCTTCGTCCTGTTTTTCTTCACCTATTGTGTTTTAAATACTGGTTCCTTTTTCACCCCTTCATCGGTTTCTCTTGTTTTTCGTCTTCAACATTCATTTTCTCCTTTTTTTTTTTTTTCTTCTTTTCTTTTTCCACAATCCTTTCTTGTGACCATATAGTTGTTCCCCATCTCATTCTGCTTACGATGCCATATTCAAGCTACCTTGATCTTTAACACCATTCTTCGATCACCATCTATGTATTAATCAACTTTTGATTTCTCCAATTCATTCTACAAATCGATCTTGCTCTAATCCTTTCTCATTTGACCTCGTTTCCGGGAGGTGAATAACACAAGACTACATTCATAATCTCGCGTATGAGACACTGCCTTATCCGCAGGATTGTGACTATGGTTCATCACAGCCCACGTGATGACAGTCCTCCCAATCGGGACTAGTCCCCACTGAGCTCTTCCCGTCTGGTCGGCTCGTCCCTTCAACCAAAAGCAAGCGGAGCTGGATCCAATTCAAATCACGACCGCGACCGACACCTGCAGATTATTTGTTCTGCGCTGCATCCGCCTGTGAGCTCATCTTTGCCACGCAGCAAGAAAAAAAAACGACGATGGCATTACCACCAGAGCAGATCAATATCAAACGTCGTCGGGAAGAGGAGCCCGTGGAGACTCTCTGTAAGTATCTGCTTTCGTTTCTTTCGTGGTTGTTGCGACCGAGAAGCTGCTGTGTTTGGGAGCTATTTTTCTACCCCACGATTTGGACCCCGCTATTGCCTGTTGAAATGTTGACCGATCTAGCCATGTCACCATCGCGAGAAATCAGTGCTTCTTTTGTGTCTCTTTCTGTCCTAGCATTCTTGTACTCATCTATCATTCGTTTCTCAATCGAGTTTTCGCGGTTGATATCCCCCCATTCGAAGCTAGTCACTGACCGGCTGTAGACATTCAGTCCGCGACACACCAAAGCAAGCGCCGCTTTACCGACTACGTCTTTGAGCGCGTCACACTCAGTCGCGAGGATGTGGTGACGAAGGACCCGACTCAGCTTCCGCCGGGACATCCTGCTACACAACGAGCCTTGCGCACTCCTCGATCCGTGAGCAGCTTGCACATTCCCAATCGTCGAGCGGCTGCAGCTGCAGCCGCTGCAGCACAGCCTACAAATACTAGTGGAATCCCCGTCGTACGAGCAACTTCGCCAGGAGCTGAGATTCGTGAAGCTCAACGTCTCGCCGCTGCTCGAAGGGAAGCCGAGGAAAACCGTCAACGTCTATTGCAAACCCCGCCGCAACCTCAGTCTGGCGCCCAGTCGGTATCGAGCCAAGCTCCGTCTACACCGTCGGAACAAGGGCACAATAAAACGGGAGAGACACTTGCTGTACAGGGTCTATCCAGTCGGACGCAATCTCTTCGTCGATTCCAAATTTCTCGCTCTAGTAGTCCTAGCCTTGGTGCGCCCGGGACTCTCGCAGGTGGAATTCAGAAAAGACGAGCCGATGGCGCCGCGCCGGGTGTCGCGGTCCTCGTTGAACAGCTTCGTCGTCAGCCGCATTCCCGCAAAGCGTCCATGGTCGCGGGTTTGGTCGACCAGGCTCGTGTGGAATCCGTCATCAACGAAGAACCCGACGATGCCCCCGTGAAGCCGCGAAAACGTCCCGTCGTCAATCAAGCGGAGAAGAGATGGCGTGAGGAACGGCAAGTTGCCATCAATGCGGCCAAGCAGCATATCTCCGAGGTGCTGGATAAATCGGCGCGCCAGACAAGTCATCACACTTGGGAAGAGGAGTCGGAGCACCTGGCGAAAGATTTCGAGCAAGTCGCGCTGGAGTTGGAACAGGACCGGGCGCGTGAACATGATCATGAGATGGAGATTGACGATCACAGCATCAACGTGGCATCGGCGCAGCAGTCACAGGCACGGAATGTCCCAATGCCCCTCTCACCTCCCAAGCCAATGAAGTATCAGCCTCGGCCACCGAAACAGCCACGTGCGGTACCTCGACACGCACCCTCAGTTTCCAATGCGGAAGGGGAGGGTGTTGTGGCCGAGACTGCCACTGGCGTGGCTGGCGCCAACTCTGCCGTGGCAGAGGAGAACGAGGATGACTATGTCTACGATGTGTACATCCGACGACCATTATCCGAGAGCGAAATGCTCACCAACCCTCTGGCCGAGCACGAATGTGAACAGCAACTTCAACAGATCGAAGCCGCGAACCGGGGCATCGGTGTCATTGTGATCACTGCCGAGGACGAGGAATACTGGGAACACTTTGTGGAGGACGAAGAGGAAGAATGGGATAGTGAGGACGCAGATTCCAATGGTGAGTGGAGTATCATGGTCTCCTTCTTGTTTGCAACGTTATTGTTCTTCCTGTCTTTGCCTTTGAACTGCGGGAACAATAAGCTAATGATGTCTTTTGATCCCTCTTAACAGCCGAAAACAATCCCGCCAATGAATACCCCGACGAAGAACTGACCTCCTCTGACGAAGACGATGACCCGACGGCTATTTATCGCAAATCTCATTACCGAGCGGGCTCTGACGACGAAGAGTATGACATTGATGATTCGGACAGTGATGGTGGGGCCCGCTTCGGATCGGGATCGAAATATGGCTTCTCGCATCGATATGCGTATGCTGGGGATGGAGATTCAGACGAGGATATGTAACGAGCCGCTTTTTTTTTGTTTATCTTTCGATTTTTCTAGGCTTTGGTCCGTTGAGCTGTGGGTTGCGGGCTGCGGGCAGTGGAGACTCTACTTCAACTATGTGCGAAATGATCCTTGGCGAATCCTCGAGTTCCTTGAGCGTCTTGGGCCATTCTCAGTTGAGAACCATGAGATTGAGTCAATGAAAGCAATTCTTACAACTGTCAATAGCATGCAACTACCAGCAGCCAGCACCCTCGCAACAATCAATGATAACCAGAATGACATCCATTACTTCACATGTTTTCCACGTAACAGTACACCTGCATCACCCAAGCAGCACACCTGCAACAAGGTAAACTCTTCCAGGGTTCGAGGCGAGAAAGACAAACTCACGACGCACACTTCCAAGTGCATGCACTGCGCTCGAACTGAATTCTTCGAGCAGGAGTACGCACGTATCTGCCTCGACCGTTCTTACTGAACATTTCGTCCCTGCCTCAGCCTTGTGGTCTTCTTTGTTCCTGGTAGGAGAAGATGCTAGGAAGCGAAGGCTTATCAGCTTCCACAGCCAGTCTGAGTACGACTTCGGCCGTAGTCTGAGTCTAGTATGATTTCGCAGAAGCGAGAGCGCGCTACCCCTGGACAAGTGCTAGCCTCGGGACGTTTCATGGACCCTGCAAGCATTTTGGCCCCAGGGCCGTATCTTCGTAGTTACATCATTTTGTGCTGGACCGCACCGGGGGGGGGGGGGGGGGGGGGGGGGCAGCATCAACAGCTCGGGATAGATGACTTTACCCAATGGACTATCAAGCTGATTGGGACGCACTGGGAGCGTCCGGCAGGTGTCGAAATGCTGTAGATTGTGCCGGGGCAGGAGGAGAAGCAGAACTGTTGTGTGCTGTCACCTCGGCCGAATTGGCCTCACGGGCTACAGATTTGTAAATGAAGGGACGAGTTCAGGCAGCACATCAAGATGGAGGTAGTCGGGTCCTAGGTACTGGAAACCTAAGTGGAAACTAGACAGCGACGAAGGACATATCGGAGTCGCAGTAAGTTTCATCGCACTGCTCTAATAAACTGACCCAGTATCGACGTCCAAAGGTTCAACATGAGATGTGCCGACAAATTTCGGTGCAGCTGCACGATGTGAGAGAGGGATGAGGATGAGATTGCCATGGAGGAGAGGTTCTATCTCGGCTGTGGACTGCGATAAGCGGCAGGGTCACATGCCATACAAGCCGTTCGCGTTGAAAACCCCACGGCCATGTCCATCTAGAAGATCCGCGAGACACATCGAGTCTTCCTTGGCCGCAATTGACTGATTGAATGGATCTCACCCGAAAGTGGAATGGAACCGCCATCGCTGACTCCTCTCATCTTCTCTTTCTCCTTCTCTCGATATTTTTTTTCTCTTCTCTTTTTTTTTTCTCTTCTTTTTTTTTCTTTTGTGTTTTTCCCCTTCCCCGCGTGGTTCGAGACAGCCGCTGCATGCCGACTGGGAGGAGGAATCGAAACGTAATGGATATTGCCAGATTGGTAGGTATCTGGGGGATGATCCGGGGAAAGAGGAGCCGATGAGTCGAAGCTGGGGGATTCAGGTTTGTGGTTACAGGGGCGTATAGTAGATAAATAGTAAGCATGGATAGAGGTACTACTTTAGTAGTGCACTAGTGAGTAGGATAACTCGATGATACCATGGTGAGTGGTCGAGATTCTAAGGCTCATTTCCTTCTTGTGGGAAGTCCACTGCATCCACACTGAAGAGTAAGTACTACGTGGTGAATCCATATAGCACTAACGAAACCAACGATAGTCTTGGGCTCCTTGAAAAAGGTCGTAGTAATATGTACGTGTAAGAGGAGATAGGACTGATGGATGTTCATTAGGATGTTTACATCTCTCATCGAGGCTCAAGCGCAAGCCCTGTTACACCTCCGACGCCTCCGCTTCTTGTCCCGTGAGATGAGAAATATCCGTGAATAGTCGAAAAGGAGAGAAGATGAAACTTTCGAAAGTCTCTTCACTCTACAAGTCTACAGTACAAGGAGGTCAGTTACGGTATGTGGCTATCTCGGCGCCTCGTGGCGTGGCAGAGAGCAGAAGGACCTTTCTAACCCACTTCTACGTGAGCATCACTAATCTACCGCTGCTGGGTAGTCCGTGACTCTGTAGTGGGTGACCAGTGGCAATGCCAAGAAGAGACTAGTACTACTACTACCCGAACAAGCAGTCAGTCGGGGCTGTCGGCGCAAGCCGCCCACTGCAAACGCACCGAGTCTGCCAGTCGTGAGTAGGCTGCTGGTGGAAGTGGATGGACTGGAAGAGGGCTGGTCACGAGGCCCGGCGGAAAGGGGTCAGACGCGGAGAGTTGATGATTGTTGTCATCCTGGATGTAACTTCGGGGTGGTTTTCCCCGCAAATGAGACTCGGAGAGGACTTCCCTTTCTCAGCTGGCAGTGAGGAGGAGGAGGAGGAGGAGGAGGAGGAGGAGGAGGAGGAGGATCTGACTCTGTCGGATGGAGTCAGACAGCACTCAGGCTGGGAGCTCCTTGAGGCTCCCAACCGCAGAGCATGAATTTGTCATCAGTGTAAATGACTGGCCGTCGACGGTACCTCCAAGCAGCGGGCAGATCGACCTGCTTGAGCGCATCAAATAGTCAAGGCCTCTTCCAGGCAGAACAGATACAACAAGTGCGCTTGAGGAATCTCCCCCGGTCTGGGGTACCCGGTTGAGGTCCACGGACCACCAGGAGGACCTGTATGTGGGTTCTAGATTTTAGTAGCGTGCCAGTCGCTGATCCACATTCCAGCCCGAGGCTCGGTCGTTGCCGCTGGTTCTTCCTCGAGCCGGACTTTTACGATTTTCTTGACTATCTTCACGCCCATCGCGCTTAGCCTAGTGTCATCATCGGGTCAATCCAGTCAGTAAGCCTGGTTGTGTCAGCTTTTCATCAACCGTTGGCCCTTGATCCCCCCCCCCCCCCCCTTTCACCAGTACTCACCTTCTTTCTTTCCTGTGTGGATGACTTTTGATCACTCGAGCGATCATCATCATCAACCTGTCTCGTGACCAGCAAATGGTCTCGATACTGTCATCGCACCCAGTCATAGCACTGCCCGCACTGCCACTGCCCGCTTGTCTTTATCGGCCGCAGAAAATGCCCTTCCCTGGGCCCTGGCCACCCGAAACGTGGTATCTGGTGTGGCCAAGACTTAACGTTGCAGTGCACCCTGGCCGCCAAGCAAATCTGTCTCTGCCAAGAAGGGTCCGCCAAGCCCCGAAAGTACCGGAAGAACCAAACCTTGCACACCGCCAAGGCCACTCCCAGCCCGGCCATTGGCCTGGATCGAGGACGTTGGCATCTTACAGGCATTGGACCGGAATGACCTTTGATTGATCTGGAAACCACACTGGGGCCGACTGGGCCAATGTCTGTCTTCAGGGCTATCAGATGAGGGTCCGCAAAGGATCTTGGCTCTGGAAATTGCTCGAATATGCCGTCGGACATGGCGATGGCGCTATCTCGCGTGCTGCGCACCCAGGTGCACGCCGGCGGGGTGCCGCAGCCGGGTGGATATCGGCCTTCTCTTTTTTCCCTTTTGCGAAGTAGGTCGCTACTCCCTCCACTTGGCCGGGGGAAACAGTGGCACCCGTGAAGGAAGCAGCTTTCAGCCGCCTGGATTGGTTCCCGGACTGTACATGGGACCGGGGGGACCATATCTGGAACGCACTGCGCAGTCGGTCCCAGGGACAAAAGGGTCCCCAACCCTAAACAGGATACTACAGTACTCCTAGTACTCATGGTTGGCTCCTCACCGAATCCTCAGGCAACAAGCACACTCCACGGTAGGCTTGGTATGCAGCCGGGACTGGAGGAACTCTTCCATCAACTTGCCACTGCATTTGAATTTTGGGATTTCTTTAATTACCCTTCTTCTCAGTCCTTTCTCACGGGCATTGGCCATTCAAATCTCCTGATCGCGGACCCGGTTATCAACGGTTCCAGTTCCCCTCCGGCCATGTGTGCTGATGGCCTTTGCCATATCGGGTTATACCGCCGGAGGTTCGAAGATATCGAGGACCTGGACACCAGGGAATGAATCATCCATATCTCGGTCCGTTCAGACTCCAGGACCAGGGGATCCTGGTACCTAGGTACTGCCTGCTACCTGGGGTAGTAATCAGGTACCTACTATAGAGTACAGACTACCACAGGACAAGGCAAGCGTCTGTCTTGGCTATGTGCACGCGCGCGAGAAACCCCACCCCCGGTCCCCTCCAAGAGGCGACCTTCCCAAATGGGCATCTTCCTATCAGGTGGCTGTCGCCGCTCCGCTGGTTTTCCGGAGAGTCTCTCCCGGAGAGCCTACACCTACTTGCTCGACCACCGTCTCCTCTCTCGGTGGATAGATGATGATATTATCGAGGTGCTTTGACAGGCGGCTTGGCGTTGGTGTGTGTGTGTGTGTGTGCGGCGCTCCATGAAGCCAGTGTAGCTGTGGATGGGATGGAAATCGATCATTCTTAAATATCACCCTTCACCCCTCCTCTGAATTCTCTCCGTCTTTCTCTTCTTTTCCACACTCCTCTCCTCCCCCCACTCTTCACCCTCCTCCGCGTGGTCGATCGTTTCTAGACCGTCCGTCATCTTGGTGCTGTCATTGACTTCGTACATACCCAAGATGAACGCCTCAGATCCCATCGACACGGCCGACGTGTCCAAGGCCCACGCCTTGGAGCACGATAGGGAATTGAATGAGAAGAGTTCGCATTTCACCGACGACATGGTCATTGAGCCAGCGCCGGTTGTGAGCGTTCCAGTGGAGGGTGAAGATGCCGCGTTGAACAAGAACTACCCTACCGACGAGGAATTGCAGACCCTGCGTCGTATCTCGGGTCACCTGCACTGGACCATTTTCACCGTTGCCTTTGTCGAGCTGTGTGAGCGATTCTCGTACTACGGAACGACAGCAGTGTGTGAGTAACCTGCAACCATCACCCCAACACATCACCCAAGATTCGCAAATTAGCATTGGGCTGTCTTCAAGTCCGCCCTCCATTGTATGTCTAGCTTGCTAACCCATTTGCTCTTTCTTCTTCTTCCGTTCTCAATAGTCGTCAACTTCATCCAGCGTCCTCTGCCTGACGGTTCAACCACTGGTGCTCTGGTTGGTGACATGACCAATGGGGTGCCCGGTGCCTTGGGTATGGGCCAGCGTGCCTCGACTGGTCTCACACTGTGTATGTGGTCGATCCGTGGTCCTGCACGCAATCGGTACAATTGTGCTTACAAACAAATTGAATAGTCAACCAGTTCTGGTCCTATCTGTGCCCCTTGGCCGGTGCTTATATCGCGGATCAGTACTGGGGTCGTTTCCGTACCATCTTTTCGGCCATTGCCTGCTCCTTCGTCGGCCACATTTTCTTGATTGTTTCCGCCTTACCACCAGTGATTAAGACCTCTGGTGGCTCAATGGGATGTTTCGTTGTTGGTCTTGTGATAATGGGAGTTGGCACCGGTGGTTTCAAGTCAGTTTATCCTTCTGTGTTATTTGTCGTTTTCACCACACCAGGGGAAGGTTCCAGTCTAATCATGCATGAAACAATACTCACATTTTTTCCGATCGACAGGTCCAACATCTCTCCTCTTATTGCGGAGCAGTATCGTGATGATAAGCCTTACGTGAAGACCTTGGCCAGTGGAGAGCGAGTCATCGTTGACCCCGCCGCGACAGTGGCTCGAATCTACATGTACTTCTACCTGATGGTCAACGTTGGCTCATTGATCGGCCAGCTGTCCATGGTCTACGCCGAGCGATACATTGGATTCTGGCTCTCCTTCCTCCTGCCTACTCTGATGTTCTGCCTGTGCCCCCTGGTTCTGTTTGCTTGCCGCAAGAATTACTACCTGACTCCTCCTACCGGCTCGACTTACAGCCAAGCATTCCGTCTGTGGGGTCTGGCATTGAAGGGCCGTTGGTCCCTCAACCCCGCCAAGTTGTGAGTTTCCATTCATCCCTCCCAGTTCAAGCAGCAGCGGCAGTGCCGGAGCAAAAAGACTAATCGCACAACCAATAGGTTCACATCCACTCCTGAACAGTATAAGGACTGGAACCATGTCAAGCCTTCCAACTTGGGCGCCAACAAGCCCCAGTGGATGACCTTCGACGATGCCTGGGTTGATGAAGTGTACCGTGGTCTCAAGGCCTGCAAGGTGCTCTTGTGGTACCCTCTTTACTGTACGTGTTGACTAGGGCAGATATTGACATGACTTCTGGTCAACACAGTCTCGTTTAATGCCATCTGCTAATGTTGTCTCTCCTTACAGGGCTGGCCTACAACCAAATGACCAACAACTTGACTTCCCAGGCCGCTACCATGACCCTGAACGGTGTGCCCAACGACGTAATCAACAACTTCAACCCCTTTGCCCTGATCATCTTCATCCCCATCTTCGACCGCCTTGTCTACCCTGGTCTTCGTCGCATGGGCTTCAACTTCACCCCCGTCAAGCGTATCACTGCTGGTTTCGCTATGGCTGGTGCTGGTATGATCGTCGCCGCGGTCACTCAGTACTACATCTACAAGACAGGTGACTGTGGCAAGGAAGCCAACCGCTGTCTCGAGGAGTTCGACAAGCACAGCCCCATCTCCGTCTGGGTCCAAGTTCTGACCTACGTCTTGGGTGGTATCTCCGAGATTCTGGCCTCGGTCACCTCACTCGAGTACGCCTACACCAAGGCTCCTCGTAACATGCGTTCCCTCGTTCAGGCCGTATCACTCTTCATGAACGCCATCTCTGCCGCCATCGGCCAGGCCTTTGTCAGTCTGTCTGCCGACCCCCTGTTGGAGTGGAACTATGGTGTCGTGGCCATTCTGGCCTATGCTGGCTGCATTGGCTTCTGGCTGTGCAACCGTCACATCGACGCCGACGAAGACCGCATGAACATGCTGCCCGAGAGTAATTTTGAAGGCCGTCCCACTCAACGCAATGATGTTGAGGGTAAGCACTAAATGGAAGTCGATTGGTGTGATATGATGCACATGTATAAAGGATTTCATGCGAGAACGTCAGCCAAACCTCCCCTCCCCCAAGTTGTGCCTTCGGATTATATTGCTACGAGAAGTGATCGAGAGACATTTGACTATTGTCCATGAGATACCACGTTGCCATGTCTTTTTTTTTTTTTTTGGGAATGAAAGTCAACGAAATACTATGATATTGATTTGCAGATTGGAAACTAGGAAGACGCAAGATCTTGTAATGAGGCAGAACAAACATTAATTGACGTTATTGTTACATGTTGACAATTCAAATGAGCACGGAAGTCTGTTCTTCACTCCTCCGCCTCATCATCTTCCATATCCTCATCCCCATCAGCTTCACCTTCAGGCACGTACTCTTCCTCATTACCATCTTCAGCCTGGGCTTGATCATCTCCGCCCTTCTGCTGTTTGTCTTCCTTCTTGTTGTTTTCGTTGTCATCCTTCGCCGCAGGTTTCTTGGACTTGTCCGACTGTCCATTCTCTTTCTGTCTCTTGTTTGATCCAGTGGACTGTTCAGCAGTTCGCTTGGTCCCCGCCTCGGCTTTTTCCTCTCCCTTGGACTCTTCTCCGTCGTTCTCATCCTCGTTCTCATCCTTGGCCTCGGCCTTGCTGGCACTCCTTGTCTTGGGCGGCGTAGTTTTGTTGCTGTCGTCGTTCTTCTTCTTCTCTTCCTGCTTTTGTTGTTGTTGTTTGCCTCCCTTGTTTTTACCTTGACCTTTGTCTTGGGTCTTGGCTTGCTCATTCTCATCCTCGTCTTCACCTTCACCTTGCTCCACTTCTTCCTCCTCATCACCCTCACCATCATCCTTCCCATCTTTCTCATCACCACCCTTCCCCCGCTGACCATCACTCACACCCTTCCTCGCCCCCTTCGCCTCCTCCGTATTCCCCACAAACTGCTTCCCCTGTCTCGAACCCTCCACCTTCTTCTCATCCGTCTCCTCCTTCTCCTTCTCACTCATCTGCTCCCACGCCTTCTTCGGCAGATACCGTTTCCGCGTCGTCCCCGCCTCTTCCTCATCCTCCTGCTTCGCCTGTCCGGGGCCTTCTTTAGTCTGCCACTCCTCTTCGCCCCATTTGTCGAGGTTCTTCTGGGACGAATCCTGGCCCGTTTCTTTGTCGGTCGTGTAGCCGCCGCCGCGCTTTTTGTATTCGGCGGCCATCATTTGGGCCTGGCCGATTTGGATCGATACATTAGACGCGGAAGCGTGAAAAGAGGGACGGGGGGTTGGACAGGGCCATTGATTGGCGACGAGGAAATGGGAAGAAGAAGAGGAGGATGGATTTACGAGGGGCTCTCACCTTTCGAGCAGACCATTGACCTGGTTCGCCGCCCTTGTCGCTATTGTGAATTTCCTCCTTGACTTGATCGCGGAGTTCGGGATCGGTGTACTTGTCGCGGGAAGGCATCGTAGGACTGGAGAATGGAGAATTGGAAAGGGAGAGGTAGCAAGTGTGAGATGGATGTAGATGGATGAGATGGGGGGGGGTAATTGTATAAGCTTCTAGCTGGAGGGCTGTCAAGAATAATTCCGTGGATATGATCGATTGCGAAAAAAAGTTGGGGAAAGTAAGATACAACCAGCTCCTACTTATACGATATAGTCCCAGTGACCAGTCGAGTCCACTAGCTACCAGAATATGAGCGATAACTCATACCCAAATCAAGCCCGGGCGAACCCACAGCACTGTTCCTCCAGGCTCAAGGGATGCAGACAAGGGGGGGGGGGGGGCATTAGACAATTGTGACGTGGGATGCGCGGATTCAATTAATTTTTTTTTAAAAAAAATTTCAATTCAAGACTTTCTCCGCAGTTCGCAAGCTTCAACCCTGAAACCCAGTGAACGAACCGAACCCACTGTTCCAGGACCGATCAGTCCAGATCAGCCTCAGTCAAGCTACAGCTGGAATGATCCAACCCCGAGATCGCCGTCTTGAACCAGTCCGTCTGAACAATTTACCGGATCGTTTGACTGCGATGATAATTGGCTAGATTTCCGGACGGGCGAGAAGTAAGTGAACATTGCCGAGATGGCATCAAGCCCAGAGCAGCTACTGTACCAGGGTACCCTGACTGAATATGGACTTGCATCCCTCCCTGCATCGGTGACATCCGTGACATAGCACGTACCACCACTGCTCTGTGAATCCACCAACGATACACTACACTGCACGACGGACTAGAGTACTACAGGACTTCTCCTAACTCTGTCCTGATGGTGATGTACTGTATGACGGACCCCCCCCCCCCCCACAAGCTCCTCTACGTTGAACAATAGCACCAATTTCACCCTGACCCTTTCCCTCTTTTTGTTTTCCTCCACTCGACGATCTAAGGTTAAACTTGGATCTATCTTGGTTCATAGGTGACATCATGTGAAAGTTTCGATTTCGATCTCCACGCGGAATGCGACCGGGTTACTCGGCACTTACCTGGGGCTACCTCAACCTGCCTGCCAAGCCCGTGAGTGGCCTTCAATTCAGCTATATGGACACATGAATTACGGCGCACGTGCGAACAAGTATCCTTAATTACGCACTGCGCTTGTGAGGCTCGTGACCAAGTGGCGGCTGGAGGTTCTTGAGGCGAACGATAGAAGAGATCTCGCCTGATCTCGTCTTGGGTGCACAGATGCTCGGGCCTTAGGGCCGGCTCCGATCTTGAGAGAAATCCAGTTTCGAGATAACTTTATCGTTCGTGCGGGTGCGGGTACCTACTATAGTGGGGGGGGGGGGGGGGGGGGATCCGGTTCCGTGTATGGATGGCTCCGGAGATGCGGTGCGCGGCCGGGGAGGCTTACAGGACGGGAAAGGGTATCTACGACGGCGACATCTACTTCATCCGTCTCCGTGTCCCTGACATCGGTCGCAAAGTGTCACGGCGCAGACTACACATGACAACGGGATACGATTCACGGTTGAATCGGCCCCCGCATCGTCCGAGGGTCGGAACTTTAGGAGTACTACAGAGATTTAGGGACTGGGTATACAAAACCTCTATGTGTATATATCGTAGTCATCGTGGAATCTGTACGAAGACTCCAAAATTCAGTCTTTGAATCCAGACCCTATGGTAGACGTGGATACGCTGCCTAGCTCATAGGTTATCTAACCTACGATCCGGAACTTCACTCGTAATTGAGATAAGATTTCTGTTAGATTCTTTATACTAGAACTAATCTAATAAACCTAAATAGACTAACCATCAAGAGACTAAGCTTATAATCTCATAACCAACTCAGAGTAACTTTACCCACTAGATACTAGAGTTTCTTAGAGAAGGCTACTTGAATCAAGCTATTATTCTAGAAAAAGTACTATCACTGTGAAGGGCTGTAGCGGACTTGATTCAATTGTACTAGGCTAACATACTGTTTACACTCTACAGCTATCTTGAGGAAAGAAAGAAGAAGAAGAGACAGGAGTCGGTCGCGGTCCTTAAGAGGGTCGATCCCGTTTTGGACAGAATTCTCTAGACCCTCGTCATGGATCATGGAATCGCTCATAATCATTCTGCCAAGACGGTATCCGAAGGCCATGGCACATGGTTTACCACCAAGCTCTGGCCCGTCACAATCACAGCGTCGTGTTACGTGGTGCCTGCTGGTTACTGTGAGTTACTGAGTAGCGTTGGGAGGTGGCTACAATAGGTCCAGCATCACCCATGTCTGAGAGGGATGAGAATCAGATTGACTGGCTAGGAGAGATTCTATCTAGGCTATGGACTGTGTTGAGACGGCAGTATCACATTCACATGCCATACGAACATCTAATAACTGACTAGTTAACTAGCAAGAATCCCCGCTTACTGAAGTCCACTACTCTAACTGAACAACTAGTTGCGAACTTATTTTTCGCCCAAAGGATAGGTAGTCCTAAGGAAAGTACGGGGATTTTCAATATTCGCAGAATCCTAGACGAGCTTTCATAGAAATCGAACCATAAACTATCTAGCATGAAGCTTAAAAATTTTAAATCGGAATTAGCTATTACCCGTACTTATCGACAGGCCTTCTACAAGGAGCTCTTCTTACACACGTTGCGGAAGGGCTCGGCCCGCAATGGACGTGCAGTTGGACTTTTATTTGGCGGGGGTTGAGGTAGGGAGTCGGGTTGTCACGAGCGCCGGCGAGTGATGCAGAAATACTTGGAGAAGAATGGAGACTTAGCATGCAAAGAGCTGAGGGTCTTCTGTAAGCACAATCGTTCCTTGTTCCATCAGACAGCCCAATACTTTCTCCTTCAGAAAGGATCTTTCCCGACGGAGTAGAAAAGGCGCACTATTCCCCTCGAAAGCATTGCGAGCCATGTCCAGGACACAGCAACTTGACATTTACAATCTGGTCCATCCTGGATATTCGATCAATCAGCTCACTCAGCCAGAACCCGGGCCTGGAGCCGCAATAGAATACGATTCTCTCTACTGGATTGATCATCTAAATGAATACTCTGCTAGCAAGAGCGCGACCAAAGACCTCCGTAATTGTCCTGCAGTTATCGATTTCTTTACGCATGACTTCTTTTTCCGAGGCTGTTAACCTATCAGGAGTTTTATCATATAATAGGAAGAAGACGAATTTCCAAACCGGGAGTGCACCGCATGGTTCCTCTCTGAAATGACGAACATGGCAAAGTGCTCAACGGCTGCGGAGGCTCAGTACGAAAAGGGGCTTCGCAAAGAAGATATCGCGGTAAGAATGACCTTGCGCGATTTTGGCGTTTTTACGTTCGCACGGACTACGCTTTGAAAGCTTAGTTGGAAATCTGGAATGAAAGCATCTGGGGGGAGATTTCAGGCCCCAATATCAGGATATCAATGACCGAGTAATATGACATCATGCAATGCAGCATTAGGATTAAATATGGGTGCTGCCCGTCGCGCATGTCTTTCTCTCTCCCCACGCTATACAATTTGGTGAACAGTGGCCGCTATACTCCGTAAAATAGCAACATGACGTCATACAATCCTCCGCTATCGCTGGTCATTCTGGGGACTATTTTCATTGGCCTTGAATTGTTAAGTTCTTTGGCCATCGGGCTGGATATCTTGTACCGACGCGGCTGACGGTCGATGATGGTAATCATGTAAGTTGGTGGTTGGTTGTGTCCGTGGTGTATACACAACTTGAGCTGATCGTGTATCGTCAGGATCCCTGTCTACGTACTGAACGCTCTGTACCTTGCGCCTATAACAATCTGGACATACATAACTATGGTCGACCTCCGCTACCTTCGACAGGACCCGCATCAGATGGGAAACAGGGCCACACCCAGTACGTATCTCCCTTCAAGGATGGGCCACGCAGATGCTCTAACCGAGTTAAACATTTTCAAATTGCAGGGCAGATAAAACCTATGCTCATGAAGGGGAGGGCGGCGATCATGAGAAAATGCAGCATAGCCATTGCCATAGCGCGGGTTCATCGAGACCGATGTTTGCAACCGTGACGGTCGCAGTATGCCATTGCGGTGCTGGATGTCTTCTTGGTGATATTGTAGGAGAGTGGCTTGTTTATGGCACCAATGCAACTATTAATGGACACCACCTGTGGGTCTCATTCCTAGTCGGTTTGTTAAACCCCCCTCTAAGGTGCCCCGTTCAATAAAGTCTTCTGAGCTAACTTCTACGGCAGACTACGGCTTTGCTCTTCTATTTGGCGTTTTTTTCCAGTATTTCTCTATCGCTCCTATGTCAGGAGAATATGGTCCAGTCACAATCTGGCGCTCATTGAAGGCGGACTTTTTGTCTTTGACGTCATTTCAGGTCGGCCTCTACGGATGGATGGCGATATACCAAATTGTTATCTGGAACTATGGACTTGAGATGAACAATGTAGTTTATTGGTGGATGATGCAGGTATTTGTGCGCATAATCTTGTGGATAACGCCAATGCTAATGGACGCTCTCTTCAGGTCGGAATGTTCTTGGGCCACTGGACGGCAATTCCTATGAACTGGCTACTGATCAAGTACAAGGTCAAGGAGCCTTGCGCATGAGCGTCAGTGGCTGCCTGTGACTTGAAGGTTCGGAGCATAGAATGGCTCATGTAAGTAGCACCAGCCTATGTTATTCAACCTCGTCAACTAACTCATTTTAGCCAATACGCTCATTTCAGATCTTCTTTTTCAGCGGGGAGTTCACTGTGCACTTGTTACGTGTGAATAGAGATATTCTCAGCAACAGAATACATTTCAACGATCGAACGATGCAGTCCGTGCCACACACAAATAGAGCTACGGATTCGGGAATAGCTGATGACTGTCAAGGGCTGTAACGGAATTGATTCAATTGCACTAGCCCGACATGGTGTCTACGACAATCTTGGGGAAAGAAAGAGACACGGTCTCTTCCTGGATTTATCTTGGCCATTCTGCCGCAGGCGGTGGCCACCCTTCCAACGTCCGGCAGAATAGGTCGCGGGTGACGCGGTCCGCGTCACATACACGTGATACACTATCAGATGCACACGTGACCCCGACCGAGTAGCTACATAGTCCCCTCTCGTAATATCGGTAATGTAAGGACAATCCCCCAAACGGGAATAGCCCGAGGGAGGACTGGGTCGAATACAGGCTACGTGAAGAGACGGTAATGATTAGATAGAGATGCGAGGGGGGAAAGATATCTCAACGGTTACGGAGTAAGTCAATATAGGCATGGGTGAGTAACAACTCTGACTCTTGATTCCGTAGGATATCCTAGACTTAATCGAAGACGAATTCGCGGAAGGATTAATTCGGTTCGCTAAATTATCTACTCTTCTCCCTACATTATCTACTCTTTATTACTTAATACTCTTTATTACTTAACGCTCTATATACTAGATTCTTCTTAATATATCTAACGAGGGATACCGATCGAGGACGATGGCATTTTTTGCAGGGGGCATTAACGCGGGACCGCGTCCCACATACGTGATACACGATCAGATAAACACGTGACCCCGACCGAGTAGCTATGGCCCCTCGAGTAGTTCACAGTCTTCGAAGAATCCATCTCTTTTCGTTCCGACCACTCAATAGCGGGGCCGAGACACCTCAAGCATCTCTCGGGGCTCGGCTGGTCGCCCCGAAGCGCAGATGGGCTGACGGGTGGGTTGCCAGACCCCGACGGGGCGATTGATAACCCGATTCATCTTGACAATCACAACAACAACAACCGGGGCCGACCAAAATGACCAGGGTGAAGCATCAAGCAACGAGGAACTTTCCTCGCCAACCATGTCAGCCCGAGTCACAAGTCACCCCTCGATATAAATACTCTATGAATTGGTACGGCTTGCTTTGGCTGCACTCGATTTTGGACATTCGATCCTCATGCCCAACCATTATTCCCGGCTCTTCATTCTCGGATCAGTCATCATCGTCATGGCGTCTGTACTCCTGGCGCCATTCAAGCCACTGACTCTTCGAATCAAGGTCCTGGGTGTCAGTCGAATATTTGGATCATTTTAGAATCTGCATGGTGAAGACACAAAGGTCATTTCAAATACCTTGTTCACCGAAGACTTGCACTATCATGCCCCGTCGCATCAGTTGTTCGGTGCGTCCGAGGGTGATGACAAGACTAGGAAGACATAGTATCCTCCGTGCGTCCGACTATCCTCCCTCTTTACCCTATACATGCTGACCAAACTGCAAACAGATTGACCAACTGGAACGAGCCGGAGTCCATCGGCCAAGGAACCATTATCGCGATTGATGCCAATGTAGCTTCCTACCGACCTTGTCCTTGAACCCGAAGCGCGATCACTTACAAAGCCATCCATACATAGACCCTGACTGCCACACGCCTGACGTCGCGTAACTTCAAAGGACCCTTCAACACCCATGGAATCGACATCTACACACCACCCGAGGATCCGAGCTCTATTTACATCGTGGCAGTCAATCATCTGCCCAACCCAGCCTTCTACGCATCTGCCACTCGTCCCAATCCGGCGCAGATCCCCCAAGCCCGCTCGCGCCTGGAGATCTTTCACCACAAACTCGGCTCCACCGAAGCAACTCACCTGCGCTCCATCTGGCATCCACTCATCCGAACCCCCAACGACGTCTACTTCCACACCCTCCACGAGATTTACGTCACCAACGACCATTTCTATCGCGATGGCGTGATGCGACTCATCGAGGACCTGGCCTACGGCAAGACCGCCCCGACTGACCTGATCCACCTGAAGATCACGGATCCCTTCACTCAGACCCTCAAGTCCGGCGGTGATGTCGACGACACAGCCGGTGTGGTCGGAACCCTCGCGAACAAAGGAATCCACAACAACAACGGTCTGGGCCACGGCAAGACCCCGTCCGAAATCATGATCGGCCGGCACCGCCATCGGCCAGCTTCTCCTGGCCGAAGTCGACCAGCAGCGTAAACCCACGCTCAAGATCCACGAGAGGATCCAACTCCCCTGTACCCTGGACAATCCCTCTTACTTTGCCGATCCCTACGTGGCCAAGACCGGCAGAGATGCCAGCGGGTATGTACTTGCGTCCCTGGCCCAGGCCATCGCCTTCCCGAATGGACTCGATCTCGTAATGGTCATGCTGGTCCAGCCCAGAGGTGACACCAACTCCAAAGACAAGTCCAAAGACCATTGGACGCAAAAGGTAATCTTCCAGGACGACGGCCATATTCTTCGAACCGCCAGCACAGCAGTTCTGGTCGCAATTGACCCGGATATGAACAAGGGAAAAAAGCAAGCAAACCTCTTCGTGACCGGTCCATTAGGCCACGGCGTCGTGGTCTCTCGGATTAAACCTTGATTTTTTTTTGGAGCTTGCTGCCTTCCACTGTCCAGTTACCAGTGAGCCCGGATACCCATACTCATTAGTCCATTTTAAGTCTATGATCGCCAACTTGACCACTTGTTGCAGTTTGTTTCTTCATGGTCCCTATCATATGGAAATTGGCTTCCGAAATGCCATGAGACTCGACACACCTCAATGAGGCCTGCATTTATTGTACGCAACTTCAATAATCGAGGCCAGTGTCTTGACAGAATGATTAACGGGCAAACCAGCGGTTTGAATATCTCCCGTCCCATCCGGTTGATGGCATGAGTACCGAAAATGCTTAGCATATTTTCAGATGAAGTTAAAGTTCGTTTATACATTCAAGACACTAATTAGGGTGTGTATCTCCTCAAATGACCTTCGATCACCAACATTTGTCCATGAAATCTTCCTCTCTCTCTCTCTCTCTAATTCATATCTGGTCGCAATTGCAAACTCGGCCCAGCAACAAACTCCATCCCCTCACTCAAATCGCCCTTCAACGCGAACTTGATATCCTTGTGATAATGATCTCGCGGCTGCCAGGGCCCCTTGTCACCCGCGCGAGGCAAAGTCCTCGACGCAACTGTGATATAGGTCGAGCTCAGATTCAACAAAGGTCGCTCCTCGAGATTTTTTGCCTCATCGGACTTGAGCCGTGGTGTCGCCGCGATCAGTTTGCGCTTTTCGAGGAATTTGAGTAAGCGGGTGACAAATTGTGCGGTCGCATCGGACCCAAGTGTCCATGATGCGTTTGTGTATCCGATGATGAAAGAGGCGTTGGGGAGATCTTGCAACATGACACCGTTCCACATGTATTTGGAGCCTGGATCGTACTTCTCCCCGTCGACGGAGATCTGAGCACCGCCGGCTAATTGGAGTTTTAATCCCGTGGCGGTGACGATGATGTCGGCATCGAGTGTTTCACCGCTGTTCAAGGCGATTCCGTTGCTGGTGACAGTCTTGATGGTGTCGGTGCGGACGTCGGCTTTGCCGGCGCGGAGACTTTTGAAAAAATCACCGTCCGGGCAGACGCACAACCGTTGGTCCCAGGGGTTATATCGTGGGGCAAAGTGAGGCTCATAAGGAATGTGATCGGGTAATTGCGAGCAGACGCTCTTTTTCAGGATCCATCGCGAAAAATTTGGGTATTTTTGGCAGAAGAGGAAGAAAATGCGTGTCGTGATGATCGCGATTGCACGCTGAACGCGATGAAATGTAGCTGTAGGTAGCACGTAGGAGAGCCATTTGCTGGAGCGATTGGGCAGGGAGAGGATGTATGTTGGACTGCGCTGCAGCATCGTAACACGGGCGGCTTTGTCGGCCAGATTGGGAATCAGAGTAATGGCAGTTGCGCCGGAACCGATAACCACAACTTTCTTGTCCTTGTAGTCGAGGTCTTCTGGCCAAAATTGCGGATGAATGACTTGGCCGTTGAACTTTTCAATGCCAGGGATTTGCACATCAAGTGGCTGACTGTAATTGTAGTAGCCTGTACCAAAGATCACAAATCGAGCTGTGTATTTCCGCTCCTTGCCATCGGCATCGACCACCAAGTTCCAAACATGGTCTTGAGTGGACCAGTCGGCGGCGGTCAATCGGTGCTTGTAAAGGATATGCTGGTCGATGCCGAATTTTTGCGCCGTGTCTGCAATGTATGATTTAATCGCTGCGCCCTCGGCGATGGGGTTGTTGCGGCTCCAGGGGTTGAAAGCAAAGCCGAATGTGAATAGATCCGAGTCAGAGCGGATTCCCGGGTATTTGAAGAGATCCCATGTCCCGCCCAAGTCATGGCGGGCTTCTAGAATCGCGTAACTCAACCCTGGCAACTCATCTTGCACTCGGTAGGCGGCATTGATGCCGGAGATACCAGCGCCAACGACGATGACGTCGAACTGGTGTTCCGACTGAACCTTGGCGTGGCCGTTCATGATTCGGTGAATTCAAGGTGTTGCGGGAACGATTCGCGTGACGAAAAAGACGAGGGGAGATGGAGTAATTGAGACGAGAGATTCGGGGAGAGCTAAGTGGTATATGAAAATAAGATAACCGGACCACAATGCAAAACATCCACATTCAAAATCAACAAGAACACACCCGATAAAGAGGTCGATGATGGATGAAGAGGGAAAGAGATCTCTGACCTGTTCTTTTCAACTCACATGCCTCGGATCTCGCGGTGTAGATCGGGCGATCGGCGGTGGATCAACGGGGAATCGCGCGGTCTATTGTCGACGGCACTGCCCTGGCAGATACGTGTAGCTACGATTGCCAGTGGGAATGAGGCTGCTGCGGAAGGTTTTGGAAGTCCCAGCTAGAACAAGAGGTCTTCGGAGAGATAGCACCGGATGGAGTATTCTCCCCCTCTCAAAGAAGACTTCGATCGCATCTCCCTAAATTCGGATGTCGAGACTGGAGAACCGAAACTTTAAACCATGGGAATGGTCCGACCTGTGAACTCCTGTTTGATCACCAAGAGACCCCAGAAGAACAAAGAAACGTCAAGCTTGCTGACAGTAAATGCGGCAAGGAGTGGGGACACAGCCTCATCCTGCAATCATGCGCTCCACGGGAGATGATTGTCAATTGTGACATGAATCGGATGATATTGGCAGGATTCTAGGTAGCAGCATGTTTCATCCAATGTATCCGAGGCTGAACGCCATATGCATAAACTCGGTGGTTGACGGATCAAGGGTGAATGGTCCAAGGTCATGACGGTCATGTGAGGTCTTGTGACCGTATCAATCGCTCGAATTTCATCGTCTTGAAGCTACAGCACGAAGTCTCCTCTTCATACTTTGCACCAACATAACCTGACGTGCAGAGCAGTTGTGTTTAGAATCCATTGCTTGCATCCCGCTCAGTGACCAAAACATGGCGAGTCTCGGGAGCTCTCATTTGAAAACAGACACTGCCACCAAATTACACTAACTACGTACGCGTGTGGCTTTAGCACGGGATCCACTTGCACAATGTGATGCCTTTCCAGATCAACGCTTTCTCATGTTTTACATCTTGACAGTTTCTGATCCTGCAGTTGTTCTCTTTGTTCTGCACCCGAGGGCCGAAGTGAGTATTCGCAACCTGTATAGCAGTGGCAGCCGTCCATGATTGTGGTTCCACCCAGACGCGCGAGTTACCTCGAAACCACGGACATGGTTCGCCTCGGCTAAGCGAGTACAATAAACCATCAAGCAGATGACATCGATCAGTACCGCTTCACGACCGCTGGGAGGTTTGATGATCTCATAGCGTGAGGCTTCTTCAATGCCGAAGCATGGCTCCGATCGTTGCCCCTTCAGGTCACCCTTGCGAGTGTTAAGCTATCGCATTCTCGGGACTGGGCTACAGCGGCTCCGAGGCCGCTTCTCCACTCTTACGCGGACGGTTACTGCCTGAAAGGGAAAAGGCTCTGCTCCTCGTGCATTTGGAGGATCCCCACGAGTCCCCACCACGTTGCCTATCAACCGTGGATCGTCGCCAGCAAGCGGGGAGCTTCAGGAGAGCCGCGGATGAAGCGAAGCTTGTTGATCGCGGGGACGTTGACAATCAGGCGCGCGGGGGGTGAGAGCTTGGAGCTCGGGAGCAGTGGGAAGAAGTTGAGAAAGGGACCAACCGGGCTTGGAGAAAACGGGTCCTTGCTGGACGGCTTGGGTTGTGAGAAAATACTTTAGCGTCGTGAACTCCGTGATGTGAGTACCGATAATTAGTGGGATTGCCAGTCACTTGTTCAATCTCCAAAGGGCCACAGGACGGAATAACTTCCATTGTACCCTTCCACGCTGACAAGCAATCTCAGTTTATTCCACCACGTCATGGCGACGACGAATCCGAGCCTCTCGCTCGCCGAGAAGCTCGACTTTCTTCCTGCGCTCGTCTCCATCTTTGTTGGCGCGACTTTTTCGCTCTTTACTGGTCTCTGGCGTAGCGAACGTGAAGCCAAAACTCTAGCCCTCCATTTTGGCTATGCGATTTCTCGCCAGGCTACTGCCAGGTTGTCGCCGAAACAGATGCAAGCAGTTCTGCCCTCGAGCAACGATATTTACAAAGCCTACGCGAAAAAGGCCGGTGTGACACCCCGATCTGTAAATTTGGGCCATGGCGCAATGGGTCACTGGGTGGGCGAGCCTGATGCGAAAAACATTTTGATTTGGTATCATGGTACGTTGCGAGTGACGCGTTCAATCCGGTCCCGCGGTGAGAAGCGTGTCTCTTGAGTACAGAGAGCCGAGAAGCAAAGATGAAGATATCACTGACATGGACGCTTTGTCGTGTTTTAGGAGGTGGCTTCAGCCTACCAGCAAACTTAGGATACTACAAGTTCTACGCCCAAGTCATTGACGACATGAAGCGCGCAGGCAAAGAGGTCGCCATCTTCAGCCTGGAGTACACCCTAGCTCCCATTGCAACATACCCTACGCAACTGCGCCAAGCCGTTGCAGCAGCACGCTACATCATCTCGGACCTCAAGCATGATCCATCAACCGTCTTCCTCGGCGGTGACTCGGCCGGCGGCAATCTCGTGTGTGGTGTTCTATCTCATGCCGCTCACCCACACCCTCAGATCGAGCCGCTCGATCTGAACGGACACAAATTTTCCGGCGCAACCATGATCGCACCCTGGACTCTTCTGGATACCGAGTTCCCACCGGAGCGTATGATCTATCATGGCGGCGACTTGATTACTACGGCCGTGGCGGGTCCGTGGAGCTCCGCATACCTAGGCGATGCGCAGCGGGATAACTATACTGATTGCTACCATGCGCCGACAGATTGGTTCAAGACGTTCCCCGTGTCGAAGATGTTGATTACGGGAGGGGGAAATGAGATCATGTTGCCGATTATTCAGGAGTTTGCAGAAAAGGTGCAGAAGGGGTTCGCGGACGTGGAAATGTTCGTGGGTCATCGGGAGTGTCATGTTGCGCCGGTGTATAATTTGGAGTTGGGGAGCACGGAGGAGACGGAGCAGGGAAAGAAGATGAAGTCCTGGTTGAGGGAGTTAGCTCAATAGATTAGAGATTGAGATTTTGTAGGGATCATCGTAAGGGTTGGGAGCTTACTCTGATAAGCAGTACCTTCATCCTGACTGTACATAGTGTTTGCTGTAGTTAGTTGTAGATTCTCTGACACCCTGAGACATGAAATTTTACAGTTGGCATGATATCGTGACCAGGACTTTGAGTAGATGGACAGCTTACATTCTGCATAACCGGAAGCCCAGGAGATGTACAACATGGGGGAGCCCAGAATCTAGAATCAAGGATTCATCCATCGGTGATGCAGACGTACACAGTATGCCCTGATGGACGTGGTATGCGAGGCTCACTATGAACGATCTGAGCTTTGAGGGTCCGTTAGGTATATTTGTAATGCCAGGCAATAGATGGGAATGAATAAGGTGTCTAGGAATCTGGAATATTTTGTGCAATGACAATACATAAGTTCATCCATCACTGAAATTAGAATCCTGGTGACATATTAAGCTGGCTGGATGCCGATACATCTACAGGACTCACGTGGCCGTTCCACACGTGGGAAGAGAATCCGCTTCCATCGGAGTAAAATTCCAGTATACTTTGTCATCCACTTAACAATTAGTACAGTACTCTGGCTCAACCAGGTCACAACGCCTCCTTCTGCTGTACTTCACGCATAGCCCGCAATGAACCCGATGCAAGTGATCGCACGCCCTCCTGCATCCACGTGGGCATCGCCCGCACAGCACTAGCCACCGACTGGCTCCGCGGCAGAATCACCTGCCCACTGTTCTGCGACAAGATCTGCTTCGTAATCGCGTCCGCCACAAACTCCACCGTCATGATCGGCTGCCGGAAATGCGATTCGTGATCCGTCAACATCTTGATCATCGGCGTCCGCACCCACATGGGATGTACCACGGAAGTGCGCACCCCCGGCGCATTGTACCAGGACTTGAGCTCCTGTCTCAACGACTCATGGAAAGCCAGCGCACTGGCTTTGGAACAGCAGTAGTCAGCCATTTCGCCCAGGGCAACAAATGAGGCCATGGAGGCGATGGTCACCACGTGGCCGTGATTTGCGTGGATCATGGCAGGCAGAAACTCCTTTACCATGAGGAAGTGGGAGATGGTGTTGACTTCGAAGGTTTGCCTGATCTTGGATTCGGGTTCTTCGAGGATGGTGCCGTCGTGGCCTACGCCAGCGTTGTTGACGAGGACGGTTGGGTCGCCGTGTTTTTCACGGATGGTCTTTGCGATCTCGGCGATGTTGGCGGACGAGGTGATATCTGCTTTGTAGAAGCTCACTGTGGCGGGGAGAGGGAAGGTGGGCTCGTTGATGTCGAGAATGATTACACGGATGCCCTTTTGGGCCAGGTTTTGCATCACTTGTTTGCCGATACCGCTGCAGCCTCCAGTGAGGAGGATGAGTTCTCGTTGCGAGTCCCATGGAGGACTTTGCGTCCAGTTGTTGAGTGTCCATTGGGAGAGAGACTTGTTGAGGCTGCGAACTAGGCCAAAGGCGAGGAGGATACCCAGTGTCTTTTGGGCCAGTGGGTGACGCAAGTATGCTTGTGCAGGCTCAGGAACGTGCATGAGCGCCGTGTGAGTATACTCTTGGAGGAGATTGAGTATTCCCGCCATGATGAAGATGGTTGATATTGAAGCTCAAGAACAGACTGAGAATCAAGGGGTTTCAGATCAAACACGAGAAAATTGCGGGAGAGAACTGAAGGTCGGATTCTATCCCAACCTTAAGAAGTCTAACACCGGGTCGGTTTACTCGGCTGAGTCTCTCAAGGAAAAGAGGTTGATGTCGTACAGCACCAAGTCGGTCGGAGTCTTTTATGAAACATCAACAGAGACGGAGGGTTTTCTCAAGGGAACCCACCACTTCCAGTCTTCTTCCGTCCATGCAATAATTGCGCCCACGGAACACAGTCCATCTCTTTGTTGATCCACCTTCGCAAACGAGAGCGCCTGGTCGTGTGGAGTGCACCGCCGGAGACAAAGTTCCTCAAAGAATGATCATTTTACGTTCGGTTGCTCGACCAGCCGAGGTCCTGTATCATGGGTTCGCAGGTACTGACATAGGGATCGACGCATGCACGGTCGGGTTGATCCACTTTGGCCGATGAACAGTTTCGAGAGTGAGCGGACCGTGTAGACCGAATCTGGCACGAACAGTAGGGGGAGAAAGACTGGCGAGTCGGAATATGATGAAGTTGCGTGGGACATGACGGGATCATCGTACTTTGTGAAGTCATGGTAGAGAGATTCGCATATCTCCGGGGCTATCTTGTCCACATGCACGAATATGCGAGGTCATCGACGAAGTTCAGGAGATTTAACTTTGGAGCTTGACTGGAGCTCCTTCCCCACAGAATGCGGGCGCCTTTCTGAGACAGTTCGCTGCACCTACAAGCAACTCTTTCGATTGCATTCAGAGGTCAGTAGCGCCTCGGTACGCGAGCCGATAAATCGAGATCTGTTGATAGGACCGTGACATTCCAGGATCTCGCTGGACACAGCTCAGCGAACGATCACTCATGCATACTCACCACCTTGAAAGGATGAATAGAGTTCCCCGAACTTGGAGAGTCTCGACGAGCGGCTCGACGCTATTGTCGGATGGATTCCGCCTCTTTGGGCATAGTCCGCATGTCGAAGACGGGGAATCTGGGGCAGCCACAATGATATCACAGCAAGTGGGAGAGAACAAACGACCTCTCAACTGTGAGCATCGATCCCCATGGAACGCGAAGAAGCGAAGCGATCGTCAATCGCCAGAACTATGAAACTTCAAGATCAGCGCTCATACCAGCTGCCGACAAATTTCGAGACTGTGGCATGCACTGCACGCCTGAACTAACTAAATGGAGTACTGGACATGCTCATGTAATGGCATGCACGAAAGGGGGCCGAGGTCGACCGACCGACTACCCCAAGGCGTCTTGAACCACAAGCCGCCGATCAATGGAGTTGAGATCGTCGTGTTGGGTTCATTAAGCCATGGCCTTAGCACTGCCCTCGTGGTCGTTTTGCTCTATTGTCAGCAGCAGATTGCAAGTCTGCTTTCCTTTTGTTTTTGTTTTCAAAGAGACATTCTTCATCTTTCAAGCGTGCAATCACATTACTGCCACGACATTGGAAATTCGGTCGGCGAATTTTTCCAAATCTGTATCAAATTCACCGACTTTGAGAAACAGTCGGGTAGTTGCAAGCTCAGCCATGGCAGCGGGAGATAGTCTCCCAGCTTTGTTGGTGTTCACTCTTGTTGAGGCCTACTTTCTGCAGCGTGCAGTGTTTGTAGAGCAGACATTCCAAACGGTCATCCTATGGAGTCTGGCAGTCAACATCTTGGGCAAAGGCTTATACAGCCTGGTCATTTGGCCATTCTATTTGAATCCTCTGCGCCACCTACCAACGGTACCGGTACGTGACTCTTGCGAGCCCTTATACATCTTTCTCCTCGGCGACAAGCGACTGGAATGCCAGGAGTTGGAAAAAGACGAAGAAGTGAGCTTCTGACAGTGAACGACTGCAGGGCCTCAGAAGTCATGCAAACATGATTTTTGATTCCCCTCGTGGACGTTTGCCCTTAGACTGGATGAAGACCATTCCTAATGAAGGTCTCATCCACCTGCGCGACACAATCGGGCAGAGCTATCTGATCGCCACGAATCATCAAGCTCTGCTTGACATCATGAGTACTCATACGTACGATTTCGAAAAGCCCTGGCGCGCGCGGAACTTTCTGGCTCGAATTTTAGGATTTGGTCTGATTCTGTCCGAGGGTGCCGCCCATAAGAGGCAGCGCAAGGCGTTAACGCCTGCATTCAACATCAGGAATATCCGATCGATGTATTCGCTGATGTGGGACAAAACAAACCAGCTTCTCGTGGAAATGGAAAAGGAGCTTCGAACGAATCCGATGGATGGAACTACTTCAAAAGAAGAGGTTGGAAAGCTCGAAATGGGCGTATGGGGAAGGTATGTGTCAGGTCTTTTCTCTCTTTGCTGTGAGACAGACTCTCTCTGAGAGCCGCAATTGAAAGGGAGAAGGATCTAGGAACTTCGTTCTGACTTCTTCCAACAAACAGCCGTCTCACTCTAGACATCATTGGGCCCGCCGCCATGGGCCGAGATTTCCGCTCTCTGCAGAACAGTGACAACCCCGTGGCAGAGAGTTTCCTCCGTATTCTGGAGCCGACGAAGGAGAAAATGGCCTTTTTAGCCATGAACTTTGCCCTACCGCAGTGGATCGCTCGACGTGTACCTTGGCGTCTCAACCATGTGATTGATACCGAGACGGGGTTCCTTCGAAATCTTTGCAATGATATTGTCCGTGAGAAGCGAGAGATGTTGACTGTATCCAAGGCCTCGGCGGAGGATCTGGAGGCCGACATTCTCGGTACAATGATGTTGGGTGGTGACTTTACCGATACCGAGTTGGTTGATCAAATGTTGACATTCCTCGCTGCTGGGGTGAGTCTTTTCCTCTCGTGCTGATCCCATATTCATCTCGGCGCCGCAGGGGCATCCCAAAGAAACATCACGCTAACATGTCCCGCCATCGTAGCATGAAACAACAGCTTCCGCATTGACCTGGGCATGCTACCTCCTCACACTCAACCCAGACGTCCAAACGCGTCTTCGAGCTGAGATCCGGTCCAGAATACCTTCCGCCGACTCTCCAGTCACCCACACCGATCTGGAATCCCTCCCCCTTCTCAACGGGGTCTGTCAAGAAGTCCTGCGCCTCTTCCCCACCGTGCCCGTCACCATCCGCGAAGCCATTCGCGACACCACCGTCGCCGGCAAGCACGTCCCAAGAGGCACCCGTCTCATTCTCTGCCCGTACGCCATCAATCGCGCCCCGACATTCTGGGGCGCCGACGGCGAGAAATTCGTTCCCGAACGCTGGATCGACACCGACAAGATGGGTAATCAGGTTCCCAATAACAACGGCGGTGCGTCGACGAATTTTGCGCAAATCACCTTCTTGCATGGACCGAGGGCGTGTATTGGGAAGGATTTCGCGAGGGCGGAACTGAGGTGTGCGGTGGCGGGAGTGGTGGGGAGGTTTGCGTTTGAGATGCAGGATCCTAAACAGGAGATTCATATCGCGGGGGCGGTTACGACGAAGCCGGTTGAAGGGATGCATTTGAAGATGCGGAGGGTTGAGGGGTGGTGAGGAACGGGTTTGCTGCTCTCCGAGGTATTCGAAGTATGCGTATACGATGCACATGACATGACATCTGAATCTAACAGTTTTATTACATGGCCTCAAACTCTTTCTCAAGCTGGAGCTACCATTGAAATGTTAGACAAATAACTCGTGTTCTCAAGATACAGGTTCATTAAGGGAAATCAGCGCTGAGCTTGGTATATTCTTTATCAGCGCGATCGTTTGACAAGACGATCAAGTTTCTACCACCAGCCGTGACATTTCATAACCGAGAAGATAAGAAACACTTGATGACAGCAAGGCTAAGTCGTTCTCGAGTCCGAAGGCATGTGACTTCATGAACTATGGACAATAAATCAGCTGGCAGGATCCCCAACGAGTCAATATTTCTTGTCAATCACGATTGTCAAAGCTGTCCTCGTGATGCACAACTTAGACGTGACGTTTGGACATTTTCAATCCTGGCTGCTATAGTTACAGCATTCTCATGAACGGAGAGGTTTTCCAATATTCGAATCTCGTTTCATTCAAGCGAGCTACATACCACTCGAACAACCAACAGTTCGAAAAGAGCTTGAATGGTACGTCTCATATCAGTGCCACTTTGCACCCCTGAACTGCAACATAATCGTCGGGATGACGCTGATAACAACCATCATCGCAGCCGCGACTCCTGCACCACCTGCCCAACCGACAGTCTCAAACATTTGAGGAAACCTAGTCGACAGTGTTAGTCAAATGCTGCTTTCGCGTACATACCGGTAATCCAAACTTATTTCCAAGACGAGGGTGTTCTTACCAGAAAGGTCCAATGAACCCCCACATCTGACGCACAAAGGTAATAAACACACCCACACTCGCCGCATCCGCACGATAGCAATCCACCGCATACGTGATATTCACCGTCGTCACAATCTGATTCCCACTTGCAGCAATAGCCGCGCCAATAATAGGCGTCACATTCCATGTATCGCTCGCGTTGCCGAGCTGCACTGCGAACACGGCGACGCCCATGATCGTCAACGCATGTCCAATATAGCTCAGCCACAAGCGGTACTCGGCATCCGGATACTCGCCAGTCCGCTTTTGTCGATGAGCCATCCAGCGATCGCTCATGAGACCGCCAATTTGCTCTCCGATCACGGAGCCGATGATAATGCCGAGGAACTGCAGGCCGACTTGCTGGCTGTCGAAATGGAACTTCTCGGGGAAAACTTGGGGGATCTCGATCGTTAGGGTGATGCTGCCCCAGAGGAAGATCATGGCGTAGGCACAGGCGGGTATGAGGACGCAGGGCTTTGCAAAGTATGAGAGGGGTTGAATGAAGTCCCAGAGTCGAAGGGGCGAGGGGTCGATCCGGCGGAAGTGAAGAATGGATTGTTTCGAATCAGAGGGAGAAGTGGTGGAGTCCTCATTGCGTAGGTAGAGTGACTCGGACCCGAAAAAGAAATACAGAATGAACTGGAGACCATTGGTCTATACAGCACCTGAAGGTAAGAGGGAGACTCAACTCGTCGGATGATGGAAACTGCTGATGGACTTACAATGGCCAGTACCCAGTATATCCAGCGATAACCGACCCGCATCACCATGAATCCAAACAAGAAGGGTGCAACTGGCACACCAATAGTTACCATCAAAGTCCAATATCCCATGCATCGCGCACGATCCCTCTTGAAAAAGGTCTCGGCGACAACTGCGCTTCCAATCGCAGCAGCCGGACAGATGAAAAACGCCGTGATGGCCCGACACAGGCTCATAGTGGCGTAAGAAGGACTATTAGCACAGCCAATGTTGCCGACCATTGCAAACAGCAACGAGATGAGGAAGATAGGCCTCCGACCGAAGCGATTGCTGAGAGGTCGCCAGAAAAGAGGAGCGCCGCCTAAGACAGCGATGAAAAGAGAGACAAGGTAGCTGGTCCGCTGCATGCTGACACCGAGATCGGCTGAGATCTCGACAAAGGCGGATTGAATCGATGCTGCGCTGAAAAGGCCTATCATTGCATGGAAGACGACGAGCGTCAAGTTGACAGTCTTCTGTGAAAAAAACTTCGTGAGCGTCTGGTTGTTTTTGAAGACTTTGCCTCAATTGATCATCAACGTCAGGGGAAAAGTGGGATGAGAGCTATAGGCCACATACCCTCCATGTTGGCCAGTTGTAGGGGTCTGCATCATTCATGTCTGGGATTGGATCGAGATCCAGAGTGCCATGACGAGCGAGCAGGTACTGGCGATGTTCCTCGGTAAGATGAGCCATTCTGTCCTCAATGTAAAATGCTTCTCCCTTTTCAGCTTCGATAATGCCGGTGTTGGTTTCCTCGGCTTGAGCTCCCTCGACATGCTGAGAGTGATCCTCAATTGCACCCATTGCGGGTTCCCAGAAGGGGAGAGAGACTTGTAGAGACGTGAATAACAGCAAGGGAGTGGTCGCTCCCCGGTAATAGAGAGTCAGCAGAAAGAGACATCCAGGGGGCTCGACTCATTTATAAAGTAGTTGACAGCATCACTGATGAAACTGGTCTTGCCACAAAACGTTTGAGAACACGCCCCCTGAGACTGAAGCTCATCCCCACACGGATGTGAGAGTTCGCAATCGAGCTGACGTACTCGTCAATTCGTGGAAGACTGGAGAATAGTCGGAAAGCAGAAATCGACAGGACCAGTGACTTCTTCTTAGAATGTGGAATTCTCTCAAGAAGTCTTGTAGTGCACCAGTCGAACATTGGGACATGGGGCGTCAAGCCTGGTAACTTTATTTTCAGGGGCCGGTGTCATTGGGTAAGACGAGAGCGCCGGATATAATCTTTGCCCGCTGGCGTTTGGAAATTTGTGGGGACTGCGGAGAATGTCGAAATCAAAACGAACGTATACCAATCACTATCATGACTTCAAGAAATGTCTTCTATTATCCAAAACTTCATTGCACACGCTGGGTCGTATGTCCAGTCTTTCCCCGGACCCCGCATGTAGATTATCGATCTCAGGATGGGGATCTGTGGAGACGAGGCGATTCTGTGGAGAGAAAGTCCTTAACTCAGGTGCTCCACAGGGACCTTTCCTACGGTATATGATGTTTATACCGGCTTGGTCGTCGAGGCTTGGTAGAAGTCATACTCCTATCCGGGAACTGACTCATAATACAGGCAGGAGTGCATCAGTCCCATGCTTTCATGATAGCACGACGGCCTGTACTGATGCTTTCTGGAAGTACCCAGGCTGTTTCCCAAGTCCTTGGCGATGGATTTAGAAGTGCGTCTCCGAGCATTCATGCTGATCGCCTTGGGTCGAAATGGAACGGATGCTCATGCTTTGGATTGTTTGACAGTGAGTGAGTTTTTCACGTGAAGCCACCACATTCGGATTTGAAATGTATTCCTTACTGCGCGGCAGGATGTCTCGCTCGCTTCTGAACTAACAACACAGTTATCCGTCCTCATCAAATCATGAACTCAACGATTCATCTGCTTAGTCCTGCCTATGTTGATTTGGTACAAGGCACGCCAACTTCACCCTGGATTCCATTGCAACTGATCAAAGGTGGAACCGTCAAGTTGATACGAGACAGGTGAATATCCGCGCACACAGCGTTCGGCGAGCAAGTCAAATCAACAACCTCTCTGCCCTTTTTGCCGGAAGATGTACCGTAGATGTTGTCAAAGACGATGTTGGTAAAGTTTACGGCAGAGGGATGGGCTGCACACTCCGTCGAGTTGATGTTAAAGTAACACTGATCCAAGACCACCGGCTGATCGGTGTTTTCGATGTGGATGTTGCGGTAGGTGATGTTGTTGATTCGACCGTAACCGGCGGACTCACCGGCCCAAGCCTTAAGACGAGCGCCGTTCTATGTTTCAAAGTGAGCAGGGTGCATCCATCTCGCGTTTTGTCATTCATATTGCCCACTTACCTGACCATTCAGCAGGGTCACATTTTCAATGTAAGCATGCTCGATGATATCCTTGACACCTGCATACTGTCCAATACTGCCCATGCTTACGCCGTGGGTGTTATTGCACCACAAGTTTTGCACAAAGATATTCGATGTGTTGGGCTTGGGCGAGAAGCAATCGTCGCCAATGTCCACGCGGGTATTGGTAACTCGAAGTCCGTTGACATTCAAGGAGTCAAAACCGTCGGTATTCTTAGGCAAGGCCTTTTCCACAAATCAGTCAGTCATAGTTCCGGCTCGATTTGTTTTGCTTCTTTGTTTTTTGACAAGTCACATACAGATGCATTGGTCGAGTACGCATTGATGAAGACATCATCGAAGGAAACATCATTAGTCCGCACGAAAAAGTTGGTCCAGCACGGGGAGTTGAGCTGGGTGATTCCTTCCACGCTGATGCGGGTCGCATTGTCGGTCAGGAACAAGATGGGTCGGTAAAAGGTATTTTTCGAGTCCTATAACCAACGCAAGGTCAGATATGGAAGACTTCGCAGTGAAATAAGGTATCTCCACTGACCAAAATCTCCCGCCCGGCAAAAGCGTTGTACCATGCCTGGCCATTGCCGTTCAAGGTACCGTGTCCAAAGATCTTAATGTCCTGGCCACCCCACACCCAGAAAGTGATTGACTTTTGGAAATCATAATAAAAGTTATTGGCTTGCCAATATTTGATGTCATCGGTGAACTAGACAAAGTCAGCGGTGATAACAGCGGCGCGCTCACCTACTCTGTACAAACTTACCTTGATCTCGCCTTCTAATTGGACCTCGATGTCATTCAAGAAGCTCAAGTCGAGCTTTTTGCCAATAACATATGTCTTTCCTTTCTTCAAAAGCACCCGACCGCCATGATTTGCCCGCTTCATCGCCCAGAGGAAATCGTCCGAAATATCATCCTTGTCGTTCTTGGATGCTCGGATCGTCACCGTCCGGCGATTGGGATATTTTTGGCCATGAGCTCCACAGCCTTTCAACGAAGAAACATCGTTTGCTGCAATGAGACTTGCGCCCTGTGGGATATGATCTGTTGCAAATGCAGCCACCGCCCCGAAGAGCAGAGCGCCAATGGCGAGGAACTTCATGCTCGATTGACCCGGTCTTCGATGGTGTCGCGAAGATCAGAATCTTAAGGCCTCTGCAAGTAGACGATCGGCTGATGTATTCAATTGTGAGTGTCAACAAGTCTGGCAAGTATCGTGTTGTCGTTAAGCAGTTGCGGCACCGCGTCCTCCATTTGTAGTCGATTGTCTCCGGCATGTCTCTACGAACTCGGCACTTTGAGCGCGGGGGCGATGAATGAATTCTGATTTCTCCGCCTGTCATATTGCAGGAACCAATGTTCCAGCATCGAGCAGACCTGGAGAATTGCTGTATACAGATTGACAAGCTATCGCGGCCCAGCAATCCAGGACGTAGACCCTCCTCTCCGCATTTCGCCAAGCATTGCAATCCTGGGGATGCGGGGATTGTCTCCCATGAATGTGTGATGCAATGGTTTCCCTCCACACATTTATGAAAGGGTCCACAAGAAAGATCTTCGCGCGATGCCCTCTCTCAGAGGTCGGGTTATTGTCTGCCGTTTTGGAAGATGGACAAGCTGCAGGCGAGATTGGGTTATTCCACCTATCAGGATCCCCGTCTGCGCACATCAATGAGGCTGGGGGTTGAAGCTTGGGAGCGAGACTCGACTTCCTGCGGCAATGTAGAGAGCGAGACCCTTTGGAATAGCCAATTGGGTCATGAATGGATAAAGTCATTGATCAGTTTTCTGTGTTTGGTACTTGAAGACTGTACATGTTAAGGTAACTACTTTGGCAAGGTAGCTGGACTTGATCGTCAGGGAAGAGATGGCTCGCAACAGTCAGATCGGCACAAAGACTAATTCTTAGGGATCCCTATCGGTCCCCTCACGGATATCTATCTTATAGTCCTTGCTCTCTATACCGGGCAGTTTTAGCAGAAACTTTACAAAAATTCTACAACTCCACCATTTTGCCGGCAGATTGATTTTGGACCCACTCTCGCAATATAGGCCAAAATCAGGCAACAATTCAGATGCTAAGCAGACGGCAACCGATCGCATCAGCTGGCTTTGATCATGTGATACACAAACCTCGGATCATTCAAAGCTTTAGAATGTTTACTCTAGTATACCGAAGATATAAATTATTGCTGAATCTCGTTATCGAAATTCTCTATATACAAAGGATCTCTCGCTAATTCGTCGCGCCCTATGGCGCTTTCGAGAAGTATGATAGCGACTGCAACAGCGGTCCCCCTATATTAGAGGAACGTCTTAAAAATAGACAGCCACTCGCTTGCGTTATATGTAGCGCCATTTCCATTCTTGGCGGGTCTTGGGAAAAAAAAGTCCTCGGGGACATAAGAGAATACGATTGCAAATATGTTCAAGAGTGCATTACTCGTAGGCCTATCCGTCTTTAAATTGGTTTGCATATGACGTGAGAGTGGGAGAAATGCGAGGAAAATGTCATTGTCCTCAATCCAAGACATTTCATCCTCATTGTCTTCGCGGAGAAATTTTGACACGATCCATCATAGCCTGACACTCCAGGACGAAACGCATTCGCGTGTTCAGTAACACTAAAATGCACCGCCCACATGCATATGCGTAACTGATACGCTGCCGATCGACGTTGGTCATCTGCGTGTAGCCATTAAAAAAAATTCTGTATTAGTTCAAAGAACCTAACGATCTTCGATAAATGCATCGAAGAGACGTCTTATTCTACTATTCTCGAGGCTGGTCAGCAGAGAATCCAAAAAGTGTCTCGCCGTTGGCGTCGCGCCGATGAAGCGGCACGTTTTAATTCCATTAGATACTATCGGGCTTGCTGTCGATTGCAGCAAGGCGCAGGACAGTCTTTGCATTTGCATCTGTTGATGTACATCGTGGGTTAACCCCCGCAGTCTCACCCTAGATCTGGCTAAGTAAGTGCAGGAAGTTGTTGTCACCGTTGCACTCCAGACAATCTTTATCTTGCGTTCCAACCCGGTGTCTAGGGTGCCTAAAAGCTCATAGTCGCTTTCAACAGCTGGACAGTCACATAGGTGTCCTGGCTCCGGGTCGAGCCCAAACCACGAGGACGAGTGGATTCGACGAAACACAAAATATCGCCCGAAAGATATCAAAACATCCGTAGCAGCTACTTTTCGAGATTCCTGGTCTAGCGCCTCTTCCCCGCTGGGCTCGTATAGAACTTCACTGCGCAGAACACCAGGACGGACAACAGTGGCAAAAATCAGGGGCTCCTCATTGACCTCTTTTAGCATGGCCATCGTTTTGGTTGAATACAAGCCCGCCAAGCTGCTCTGTACACTCAAACTCGGCAGACACAAGCAAATATAACATCCCTGAAGCAGCAGTTTTCTAAGGACATATCATCTGAGCCTCCGTCGGGAGGGCATTTCGTTTGAGGTGTTGCCCGGTAACCCCTCACTCACAGAACTGTTATGTCATCCAGGCGACAGTTTTGGCTTCAGGTCATTGCGAACGGCTTCGGAGGTCAGCGGAATCGAATCTGGATCTTGAGGTCTCTTGACATTGACTTTGGAATGGGCCTCAAGCCAGGAGCTTATCTGTATTCCGGATGAAGGGGTGACTGCGGGTAGAATACAACCCGACCACAAGTGGTCTGGACTGTAAGGACTAAGGAATAATCAGGTCGTGGTTCGCACGTTTGAAGTATTTGGCTAGCATGTGATTTGTCCTTGTTTAGCTGCCCACCTTAGATAGTCTCTTTCCCCGATTATCAATGTCACCATTCCCGTCTCTGTCTCTTTTTTGCTGCGCCTCCTCCCTTCACGAAACCACCTTCCAACATTGAGCGACATAGTTAGATGGCCCTTTTCCAAACGGTATGTACCCAGCTGAGCATGCGCCGAAGCATGGGTACGGACTTAACCCACGTGGCTGGACGGTTAGGTAGCCGCCTGGAAAAGACGGCCACCATCTAACACCTGACTCTGGGGTTTGTGGACCGCCTCGAACACCTGGAGGGACTAGATATATAAGGACACTCACTTAGTACCGGGCATTGAGTTCTTAGCAATAAGTTACACATTGTTACTTGGTATCTTCCTTAATCACTTTGCTCTTCACGGCGGGTCTCGCTTTAAAGAAACCCCAATTAACAGGTACATAGGAATATACCCACCACTAACGCTAAGTAGTTGAACTACTTAGCGCGCACCTCTTATATATTCTGCAAACCCTTCAACAGGATTCAACCGCAGTAAGACTTTGCGAACCAACGGTATAATTAAGAGATAGTCTCGGGATTTGCAGTTATAACGAGGCAAGTATAACCCATGTATATTCTAACTCGCAGTGAGCAATTGGCACTGCGCAACCCATTTAAATGATCATCATTCTGCCATCTTAGTACATGAACAAGCGATGCCTTGACTACGCAAAGGTGACACCAAGGGAGGTCGTAATTCCTTGCAGATGACCGTATACAGGAACGTAAACGTCGTTATATAAATCATGCTGATTGAATAAAATAGAAAGACCTCAAGCTGACAACCCCGGCAACCCAGGCACAGGCACCGAGAACCAGCCCCCTTCACCCGTCTCATCCCGCTGCGCGAGAACCTGCAAATCCCACCTTCCGCAAAACCCATCATGGCTTGCAGTCCGCGTCACCGGTGCAAAGTGCCCCCCGTCGTTCATTTCACCTCCTACCCAGATCATTTCCTGTATTTCTTGGCCCGGTGCCTCTGTGCGACGAGGATTATGAACCGGAAAGCTGAACACCGTACTGAGCAGTCCATGCACGAGCGAATAGAGCCGCTCCACCCGCCGCGAGGTTTGGAGCCAGCTAAACGACACTGGGTGGTAGGCCACGCGGATGAACGGGTTCATGTAGATGCCTGTATCTTCTCCCTCTTCCTCTCCCTCCATCTCGTCTGTGGAAGAAGAGTGCCACCGTTGGATATCCGCGTGGATCAAGCAGCATTCTGATGACTCCCAGAATAGATCCTTCTCGCTGCGGAAGCGCACCGGCACGGGCCGGCCGCGATGAGACGAGAGCTGATTCTTTGTGTCTGGCTGGAAGAATCCGGCGTCAAAGGCAACCATGCCTCCCCAGCAGCTTCGGACGCGGACCGCATCGGTGCCGCGGAGCACATCGGCACGGCTCTCTGCTTTACCGGCAGTTGTGAACCAGGGAAAAAATGGAAGGCCCATGCTGTAGCCCTCAAAGTCGCGTGTTGCAAATGTATCATAGAACTTGAACGGGTTGATAAAGTCGACAGCGCAGGCGGCGCGGTAATCCGGTCGGCCAGTTCGGTGGTTGGTGTGCGTCGAGAAAAGGAGCTGCAGGGCATCGAGAGGATTGAAATAGATGTCATTCAGAACAAGCAGGTGGTCAAATTGGATGGAAAGGTTCGCAAGGGGCTGCAGTGCCCGGTTACGTACCTCGGCCAGGTAGGCTACGCGGCGGACGTAAACGGATCCGTCGGGCAGCGTGACGGTGGGAAAGCCGGTGAAGTTAAAGTGGGCGTCATACGCAATAGTATGGTTGCATGGAACCTTATCGCGTAGGTTCCAGAGCGCTTGTTCGCCTTCCGCATCGCTGTTGTTCTCATAAATGCTCAGATATACCCGTTCCGGCCCGATCATATCGATCAGGTCCAGAAGACTCTGGCCCCAAGCACCCCCCGCCAGAACCCCAGTTTTGTCATAGAGGCTGACCGCGATAAACACAGTCGAATTGTGAATGTTGCCCCGGCCGCGTGCTGTGGATGCCTCGACGGCGGATTGCAGGGCACGGTAATGCGGAGGAAGATGGGTGTATGAGGGGAAGAAGGCAAATGTAATAAGAATCAAGCTTGACAGGAGGCAGACCAGGATCGAAAAAACTTTACGGATCTTGAAGAAGACAAAAAGAGAGCGGCGCCATATGCGCCGCTTCACTGCTTGAATTGACTGGACTATGATGGCCAACAGATGCTCGACTGTGCTGACTCGAGAATGGCTAGGGTAGCGACCCGCCATCAGACTGGGCCACGCCAACTCAATCTCTTCGTCCTCATCGTGCGAGGTGCGAGGAACAGGCTCATACCAACTCCTTGTAAAACGTCTCATCGGGTATCCGGTCACGTCGATGTCAAAAGCTGGTTTCTCCCAAACAGGGGTGCTGGATGAAGGTGATCTGGTCTCACTTTCTCTTTTATTGTGCGTAAAGCACAAAGCTTTTAGTGGATCTACTCTCGTCTAGCCGATGTAACATTGCAAGGATCAAAATATATTGTCTCCGTGGCAAGCTCCACTTGTATACTAGGGGTTGGCTTCCTGTCCCCAGTAGCAGAAATGTTTGACTCGGTAATGTTGATAGCCGAGAAAGATTTAATGCTAATGGCGCCGTAGCGCAGGGCACCATTGATGCAACGGAGATGATTGGTAGGTTTACGCTCGTACTCCACAATAGTAAAGCACCATCGTCCATCAGGGCCCACTGAGACATGTTTATCCGAAGGAGTAATTGGGAAGCGTGAAACCCATTGATTTTGGTCCGAGGAGCGAGAACACGTTCATCTGGCCAAGCGTTGTTTAGTCTCTCACAGAAGGCTGCCGCACGTATTTTATGACAACCCTTTACCGTCAGAAAGTCGACAACCGGGCGGAAAGAATTCAGAGAGCTGGTTTCCTGAATATCCTTGACGAGGCGGAAGAGGACAGCTCTTGTCTTAAGCAGCCAGATAAACCGGACTGTAACATGAGCAGATTACCAGGTCAATGAAGGTCAACGAAGATATCAAGTTGTTACCTCTTTATCTCCTGGCTAAAAATCGTTCTCCCACATTACCCTCATCTGCGTATACGCCTCCATCCCCATAAAGGCTACGGGGCTCTGACTTGCAGTCCCCACTCCACACGCACCAGAGTCTCACTGCCAACGAGCAAAATACCTCCAATTCTTTTCGGTGAGAGCGGCACACACTCCACATCTGTATTTTCTCTGCGTTGATTTAAAGGTCGGGACCCCGACTGCAGTCAGACGGCTTCAAAGCCACTACATTGACTAGATATGCCTTCGGAAGGTTGTACACTCTTGTACCTAAATCCTGGGCTTGGCACGTCTCCATCCCCCACGGGAGGCTTCGGACCGGAGCAATAGGCTCCGGCCCCACTAGTAGACGTTAATTACCAAAGCGCTACAGCTACTACTACCATCACTCGTCGCAGAGCTGATTCAGATTTAGCTCCACATCACACATGTCTGCTCATCATCTGATTCAGCATGGAATTAGCTCCACGGTATCTGTGGCCTACGTAATTTTAGTACTTCGACCCACCCACAACCTTCGGTTATAGGTAGGCCTTACTTTAACCGCTATCCTCACCTCGGTCCTCAACCGCTAATTTCACCATCTCTAAGTCGGAATCCCCCACTACGCTATCTAGATTAATACTATAAAGACTACTACTCTTATAGTCCTAAGCCGCTATATAGGCGTAAAACATCCTAGTCGAACTAGAATACGATAATACCCCTACTTCTATTACTTATACTTCATCTAAGCTATACTCTAATACTTTTAGCAAAATCGCCATAAAAAGTATACTCCTAGAAAAGATATATACATTAATAGCGTTATTAAGGATAATACCGTGGAAAAGTTTATCCGCGACTATAAGTATTTCTTCTTAGAAACTACTTAGCTCTCCGGACTCCGGAGTAATTATCGGGAGAGACTGAGAGCGCGCCGTCAGCACTTCCTGCGGTGTATGGCATCGGTTCATACCCATAACCATGCGAGTCCCAATCAAAACCATACCGTTTCGGCAGCGTTCTCATTGCGGCCTCGTGGATGTTGAGATCACTTGACTCACTTCTTCTTGTTCTGCTTTTCAAACTGATGGATCGTCTGTTGTGCGTTTTCCATGTCTTCCTCGGAGACCCATTGGTTATACTCCGAAGGCCAGTCCTTCTACTAGATCAAATAGTCTTGGGTTCCGCGGAATATTTTCTTGGCTTTGATTTCTTCTACTTCCCACTCATCGTCATCTTCTAGATCAGGAATCGGCATCGAATCGTTATCGCCCTGTCGTCTGACCCAAGGTTCCAGGAGAGAGACATGGAGCACATTATGCATTCTCTCATATTTCTCGGGTAGGGCTAGCCGATAAGCTTGATTTCCAATTTTCTGTAGGATCTTGAAGGGGTCCGATAAACCGAGGGGAAAGCTTCTTTGCGGGTAACTTCAATTTGAAGTTCTTTGTGGAAAGTAAGACCGAGTCCTTTCGTTTGTATTCTTTGGGCTTATGTCTCGCATTTTCATGTTTAGCCTGCGGCTCGACGGCTCCGGGGCAGGTGGGGGAAGAGCGTTGTTGTAGGAATTACGGCCTGAATTTTCAGGTTCCATGTTTATTTTCTCGAGGTAAGAGCTGCAGCCCGGCATGTGATTGACTGACTAGGTAGTGTCCTCCTACCTAGTTTATCAGACAGATCGAATCACAATGCAGATGGATGTTGCTTTTGCATAGTCCTCGTCTCCTTCGTAAGGTGTCTCTACATCGTCCAGGCTGAGCTTGAGTCCAGAAATCATGCTAAACCACTTACTGCATGAGCCCAGCATTGCATCACTTTCAGCGACAGCTCGCTGAGTTTGCAAGAATGGTCCAGAGACAATGCATCCCTCTATACGATGTTTCACTGTGGATAATTCTCAAAATGAGCATGATCTCCGGGTTTGTTCCAGCATGTCCACTAGTCTGGTTGATATACCATGCATGTAATGATCTGCCTTGTATACTAGACTGACCTGATAATCCAGGTCAGATTGGAGACGTGTAATCATCTCCGATCGTCGAGATATTGGGAAAATAGAGCTAGTCTCAGAGCCATGACGCGGCTTTTTAAATCAGTCATGCGTGAGTGTGACAGCCTCATATCTGCTAGAACACACGGAACCAATTTTCCCAGGACGAATAAGAATTCACGTCTCATTTGTAATGCATCTTGATGCTATTATTACTCCTGAAACTTGGAAACTGGTTCTGGAGCCTGGTGTGCGTGTTTGTGTTTTTGCTTATTCCGGTCGACTAATCATGAGACAGGGCTACTTGGACATCGTGATGTGATCTGCAAGCCAAGCTTACTTGAGACCCTGCTTTAAGCGATTGACCAAGATCTCCAATTTTGGATAAGATAAGAAACATCTGCGTATATGCAAAGTGCGTGGTGATCGTGGCAACACAATAGGCCCGAGAGGAATGGTATGGTCCACTAGTCGTCTTGCACTACCACTAAACACTTCATGCACAAGCGGACTTCTCCCTGGAAGGGTATTAGCCAGCATCCATCGTCCATGGAACTTGGGGGTCCTCAGTACAAGGTGGAAATGCACTAGATAATTGCTTTTCTTTAAAGAGTGACAGAACTTTGATTGACGTCGACTGAATGCCGGCTGTCTTACATGAGTCGGGCCTGACAAGTTGGAAAGAGAGTGGAAGGATTCATTCAATACACGAGTCAGGGACGAAAAATTAGGTGCTATAATTGGTAGTCCACACGAATTGTGAGGCATGCACGAGGTGCAATGATGCAGCGGACCAGATCAAAGATTCTTCGTAGCTGCAACAAATGCACAGATACACGAGATATTCCCCGACCACCAAAACGCTGATCGAAAATTGCTCATCATACGCGTCTCGCCATAGGAGTAACAGAAACTAAAAGCGATTCTTGACGCGGTATACCATATACCATATCTGTTGATGGCTTTGTTGGGGACTTTGGCAATGACGGCGATCAGAACTGGTGTATGTCAGCAAGATACAAGAGGGTGTATAACCAGCTCGTTCCCACATACTTGCTGCTGCAAAAACCGAGTAATTCTCAATTGCATTTGCATGCGCTGCCTCATCGCGTTTCAATTTATCCAGCGTTCTGCGGCTGATCTTGCCTGACTGTACAGCGGCTTCACCGATTGTCGCCAGGTCTTCTCGCGGAGCGATGTTGTTGTCGATTCCGAGCGCAATTTTGGTATACCGAGTGCTCATCCAGAGGTAAGCTATCACCCAGTTCGCGAGAAGCAAGCTCGCGGCACGATTTGGAATTCGACCATCCGGAGCAGAGCGTAGCCCGAGGGTCGTCGATAATGATCTAAAAAAACTCGTAACCTTAGCCGCGTACATGGCAAAGTTACCGCGCAAGACCAGGTTCCGCGGGATTTCGAAACATACGACATGCTGTTCAAGTGTGCAGAACCTTTTCAGACCTCAATTTGAAATCAAAAGCATGGGAAGCGGGGCCGGCCGTTTTATAGCTGAATACGACAGGCAAGACATATGGATGCTCTGCACGTTTGCCCCCTTGAGATCCACCACCTCCAGCCGTTAAGTGTCTGGCGGGATGCTGAAATGGAAAAAACATTATGGGACTGGGCTGTCAAGGATGGTCTTCGAGTTCAATCGAATCGTGTCTAGACTCTAGACCTACCCGCTACTGAACCGAAACCCGAGGAACATCTGCAGGGCCCCATCGGGCACTTCATGAATATTGGTCGGGCGGGCTCCCATGGAAGACATATCCACATGTTTCCCACACAAAATCAATCAGAATTGCGCGGTTCATCGGCGCCCGGGCTTGCAGCACCCAGGCTTGCGGCACCCATAGCATAGAGTTCATACTTTAACCAAATGGTCGGTGACCGCTGGTCCGAGCGTTGATCTTGCTTCGTTTCGAGGGACATTGTGGCTCGCTCGTGGATTGAATGAGGGTGGGATTTTCGAGCTGAGCCAATGGAGAGACACCGTGGATTGTGCTACGCAGACGGCCAAACTCTAATTATGTAGGGCAGTAGGAAGTTGCACGGCAAGGGATGGTTCATTGTCAGCTTCCTCAATAGGAAGATCCATAATGATGCTCCAGCAATTGATTGCGAGGCCTGCTCTGCCATCATCAGTGCGAGAACGAAAGCGTGGAAACAATAGCCACAGTATACACTCCAGTTAAACCATGTTTCTCGCTGCAAATGGAGCGGCACAATCCGACTCTTTGATCGGGCTAGTTGAGACCGATTCGTCGCCATCACGATCGCCGCTGCGAGTTTCCAAGATTATGGTGGAAGAATCTGATTGTCGTCGGTGAGGATTGCCAAGATCAACGCCCTCGACCAGATCCGAGATACGAGAGAAGCGATTATTGACCGTGACGTGGTGGGCTTGCCGATTCACCACACTATTGTTGGGCACGGGTTCATTATCCGTCAGCAAAAGTATGCCGACCGGATGATCTTGAACCATGGGAACCCGTCGCCAGCGATAGAACCCGTACAGAATAGGAACTGATAGTCCGTGTACCACGATCGAAAAAAAGACAAGCCAATAGACCACTGCAAGGATAATGGAAAAGAAGAGACATTATCAATACTTGCTGGGTTTCATCATGGTTTCTGCCAACCCCGGGGAGGAATCATACCTGGAATCATAGCAGCTGTCAAGAAATTGATCTCTGCATCGCTTTCTCCTGCATCGGGCAATAGTTCGCGGGCATATTCAACATAGGCAATAGCTCCGATGCCTTACAACACCTTGGCGTAAGCTAAACCGACAAGCGAAACGAGAACAGCAGGCAACAAGAACCATCGACTCACCGATTGGCGCAAAGTAACCCATGAACAAAGCTTCCCTCCAATCGTGGCAGACTCGCGGCATGAATCGATACCCCAGAAGTATCGCGGGAAAGCGCCGAAAAACCAATATCAGGATTCCCAGACCAATCAGTCTTGCGACCGTGATTCCTGTGAGATCGGGCACTTGAAGCTGATCCCAGGGCATCACTGCGCCTAGGTAGACGAATGTACCAAAATTCAATGCTGTCTCGAGTGTACAATTGAAAGTATCATGGCGTGCCTCGATCTCGGCATGAAACCGTCCATCCCAGTTGAAGGCACACCCGGCAATGAAGCAGGCAAGAGTTTCGTCCGTGCCAAAACAGCCACATGTGCCTACAATGAATAACTGACACACCCCAAAAAAATCATCAGCAAGGATTTCACTAGGAAAAGATGTTCAGAAGTGATAAAAGAGAAACGCACCCCGATCGCCAAAGGAAACAGTGTAAAGCTCTCCTTGTCGACCCAGTTTCTGATAAGAGGTATTCCAAATCAGCATGTTCCAAAATCATGCAAGGCTGATTTGTACACCCACAAGAGAATCTCACCTTCTCGAGGCCAGATTCAAGCCTTTCCGAGCGACGAAACCCACGAACAAACCATACCCCGACGCCATCATGATCATGTATAAGACACCCTCCACGGCCCAATGAGCGAGTGCACGGCTGACATCGCCGCCAACCCGACCAGTATCGGTCTCACCGATCCAATCACGATCTGTATAAGCTTTGCTATCACTTGGAGCGTCGTCGTAGCGGAGCAGTGCGATGGCCAGCATAAGGAAAGGGAACCCAAATCCATCATTTCCTCCCGCCTCTGCCGAGATGAATTCACGAAGATGTCGTCGAACGTATCGGTCGGCGAATGGACCTTTTGCGATCGCTTGAGACAAGACGGGATCTATACAGATGACGCATGACCCGATGATGCTGGACGTTAACTGAATGGCAATCAGTCAGTGAATCTTTGTGTCGGGGCCAATCTTGGGGGGTTTTTTCTTCATCAGGCAGCCTTACGAAGGTCAAGTTCGGAATCATCAACTTGATACACGTTGATGTAGCCACCCACTGGAGAGCCATCATAGGTAAAAGACATATTGTCAGTTCAATGAGTCGCAGACGAAGATATCTTTTGGGCAGCTCGTAGCCGACTTTAATCATCTGAATACCGAGAACAAGTCGAGCCAACGCCTGGCGATGCTTTAGCCTCAACAACGGGGATGAAAGTTGACTGGTGATATGCTTACATATGTAGTACTGCCGACATGTTCACGGTCACTTCCGCCTGTCCATCTGCTCACATTGATGAGATTCGCGGCAACTGGACCGAGGAGAACGCCAACAATGAACGAGGGCACTGGCACTTTGTCAGCGCTGTGTTGCAAGATACAGAAATCCAGGCGACGGCTCGACTTGAGTAACGCACGAGCTTCTCCTAGGTACCACCTTTGCTTGATCTTTAGGGAAAGCAAGCCAAACCCAAGCAGAAATAAACCTAGAATAGAGTTAGCATGACCCGGTCACCTCGCCTAAGATCAAGCAATCTATTCTCACCGGCAAAAGTCGTGGCAACATTGAAATCGTCAATGTCGAGAATCGGATGAAGCATTTTGCTTTCACTGACCGCGATGCAAATCTCATGAAACTGACACAATTCCCATTGTACTCTTCAGTGCAGCGAGCTAGCGAGCTTGTTGGCAGAAGACAACGGCTTCCTCTTGATATCTGGTAAAGCTCGATGATGGGTCCTGGGAGATAGGAGGACACTCAGTGCGTCATGCTAGGAGCTTCATCACCTCCGCCACATACCATCAGGGGCGGTGCGCCTAGAAGGAATGTGCCCCTTTTGGCAAGTCACCACCTCTGATAAGAAACCGTAGAGTATCTCTCATGCATACAAAAGATCAGCCAGTTGGACGAGTTGAAACTTGAAGTCCTGTCTGACATGTCATCTCCCGCGATCGCTGTCAATACTCCCAGAGTCCTGTTGTGGCATCGCCCAGCCCAAGGATCAATCGATCTCGGCTGCATCAGCTGTTCAACAGACTTGAGCCTCATCCTCAACCTCGAAAACATTGAGAGACTCTCATCAGAGACGATACGCGTAAATCGTTATCATCGCCCGTGAGGCTTCGCCCCCTTGCGAAAGCTCCACACCAGCAGTTCCCAGTGACGCCACGGAAACATCGCAATCCAGGCACCGAAGCAAGGGCCCGTAGGATCGACGGCGCCAACGAAGCTTGGTACATCAATTGGGCTCCACCGGTCCTGGCGCAGCACTGATAAGCGGACCTTGGTCCCTGTACTGTACATACAAGCAAAAATGATAATGGCAGAGTAATTGTGTACCTCACTTCTGGGCGATACCATGCAGGGGTCGGCTCCAGGTCTGCTGCAAATTGATTGCATTTATGTTGTGTGACTCGCAAGTCCAAGACAAGTGTGTTGATGCGGCGTGAAGCAAGGGATGAGTGGGGGGAAAATTCGTATGCTCTAGAGTTGATGAATAGATGGGATGAGATCATTGAATGGTGTCGCTGTTGACGAACAACATGAGGGAATCCTGCGCTGAAGTTTTACGATCTTCACGTGCTTGGTGCTGACTGGTACTGCGCCCAAAGCATTCTACAGGAAGAGCCATTGTGCGGGCTGCTGACCTACGTGGGAAGGAACAGATACACTGGGGCGAAATCATCGCGACTTGATGGGCATCATAATATTGGAGATTTTTCTTCCTAATAATCATAGCCGTTCCACGCACAACGCACCGATACATTCGGCTGTCAAAGTTCGGGCAAGTCTGCAAACATGTTGCTGTTCCAAGGCTCGACACCTGCAGACTCGAGTCCATCAAACCATCCGCTCAGATCAAGCGCCTACAATCGAGTCAGCAGAATCCCAATCAAGGTACGATTGAGGCTTACTGCACTTACCGCCAAGTCATTGAAATCAGCCGACAACAACGAAGGAAAGTCGAAACCCAAAGAGGTCGTAGAGAGAGGCGTTGCTACAGGCGGCCCGACCGGAGGAGGATCAATAGACTGAAAGCTCATCTTCAGTAAATTGAAATCACAAGGCAGGAGTGGAAATGCTGGACTTACCTGACAAGGTGGCCGATTGGCACTTACAAGAGCCTCGCTGTAGGACAGTCCACTGACAATTCCGGACCCGATTTGCACGGCTCGTCTGGATGCTGCTTCTAGCTCTGCGACCGGATCTTCGCCTTTTATTCGAGATTTTACCGACGCCAAAATGAGGCTGAGAAAGAAGAAGGGCTTACTTCCTTTCCCAGATCCACAGAGAATCGTGCGACCGAAATCGTCCAGACTGCGCTCGACAGCCTGCAACATGACAGTCTGTTGTGACTGTATCATACTGACTAGCACACTGGAACTAATATTGCTAACCTTGCTGCCGGGCGGCTGCGCCATTTCCTGGGCTTGGAGAGAAAGCTCAACGCATACCGTGATGGTGGCATGGAAGAGGTCGTCGCAGAGCATTCCACTCGCCAGCTGCTTGATGTGAGGTCGCGCAATAGACTCGCCAGCTGCGGGGAGCTTCATTTCCGAAAGGATCTCCAGAGATGTCTCGAGACAAACTTTCCGCGAAAAGAAGCATTTGGGCAATTGTGCGACGCTCAAAGCGAAAGGACGATGGAGAGCAAGAATGAATTTTTGCATCGTGAGTCGGTGCAGTGATTGAGCAAATTCATGTCGGGCACCATTCGTGACATCTGCAATTGAGTTTTGTTCATCAAAGCGACTGACAGACTTCTTAAATAGGCGAGAGAGCTCTTCGCTCATGCGTAAAGCCTCATCATAGGTCAGATTAAACCGTAACGTGTTCAGCTTTTTGGCAACACGATACCTCAGATCAAGCGACTCCAACAGCAAGCACTGATAGAAGTTTTGCGTTGATAGGGTTCTGCTCCGATGTATTGGATCGTCCCTCATTTCCTCGAAGAGAGCTACATCTTCCAAGTCAGAAGGTGGGGGGCAGTCACATTCATCCAGGTCTACAGACGGTGTCACGCCGCGATCAAGAGAAATCTTCAGATCAAGTTCGACTATCGTTGTCCATAGCCGACGACGGAGTTCAAACCAGAATGGCGCATTAGCTTTGCGAAATCGACCTGGGTCTCGATGCAATCCCATTGTCATGGCAGACCGTATCAATGTGCCGCAGGACGTCCATGCAAGCTCAGCATCGCATGAAACTGCCAGCCGCGCCAAAAGAAGAAGCACTTGTGTCTGTATCATTCTGAAATCAATGTCGGGGCTGATCAAGGTGCATGAAATATATGACTGAACGGCCATGATCCATTCCGAGGCTGATTTCTGGTACGTGTTGGGTTGGTCGTTGGTCGAAGAGGTCGGCAGAAAGCGGGTCCCTGCTGCCATGACTGCTAGTAGTTGCGCCAGGAACGCGGTGTCTGGCTTAGATAGGTCGGCCCAGTAATCAGCGTATTGCTTGAGGAATGTGGGTACATGAAGAACACGGTAAGTCGTCTCGAATGTTTCAAGATATAGTTGAATAAGCTGATCAGCAACAGCCCGGGGTGGCACCAGCTCATCAAGCTTGAAGGCCTGCTCTCGAAAAGCTTTTTGTTGCTCTTGACTCTCTCGTGCCCATAACTCGCATTTGTATCTCTTCATGGAGTTGTAATCTCGATATGTCTCATTCCTGTGCTTGTGTCGCATGAAGGCCCCGATATCTTGGAACTGTGATAGACATTAGTCTCTATGTCACTGCAGACCACAAAATGTGTACGAGAAAGGAGGTAACAAACTCACGAATGACAGTGTAGTGCACCAATGACTTCGTCCAAAATATCTGGTTTTTCCTTTCTTACCACGAAAATTGCAATCCGGCAGGAAGCGTATCCGATCGTCCAAACACATAATCTCTGTGTTATTCTGAGGACTCGTTGTTTCGGAGAGCGTATCGTGGACAGTAGTCCCTGGGGTCTGCATCATGGATGGGCCCGCTTTTGTCACGGCACGCTCAAGGGTACGCAACCGCTGACGGAGGTCAAGGAGCTCATCTTGATGTTGATTTTTAGATACACGGTCAGACGTTGATTTAGGCCCAAGGCGTGAGTCAAAAACAAACATGCTGCCTAGGCCCACTTGTTGATCCCCTTCGCTGTGTAGCAGACGAGGCCGAGTGTTTGAAAATGCAGGGCGCTTGGGGGTGTCCAAAGATTCACCCGGTTGCCAGCCCGCAAAGTGACATGTATCTGCTGTCTTGGATCGAATACATTGTCCGCAAGGAAGTGAGCGATCACACCTGAGCTTGCGCCGTCGACATTCACTGCATGACAACGGGGGTCGACGTCTCCTCTGAACCACCTTTTCCACTGCGCTGGTCTCGTCTGGTAGCCTCCCACCTGAATTTGGACGGTCGCTCATATCGAAAAAGAAAACAGTCCAGACTTTGATAAAAAGTGGTTGAATAGTCATATGAGAACACGTGAACGACGAAGCTCAACCGGTATTCAATGCCATCCGAGACCCGGCTGGGCCTCGCGCAACTCCTTCGCGTGTCGTTGATCCAAGAAGTGAGACCCTCGGTAAAAGCGCCCAAAAAACCCAAGAGCTCCTAAGTGCCTCTAAGTCTAAAAGAAAAAAGACAAACTTCTCCCGGACCATTCAAAAGTGTCAACGCGCTGAGTTTGTATATGATCCTTACCGGAGATAGTGAGAACGTAAGGGGAATTCCCCGAGCTCGGACTTACTACTTCGGGTGTTTTTGCCAAGCCCCGAGATCACTGTGGACGCCTGAAAGGCTGATTGATAAGCCCGTTTAGGCAATAAGTCGACCGTGGATTGAGTCACCCTCAACGGGAGGCTCGTCGGGACTTGTCCACGACCGCTGCAGTGGAGTCAGCCACGATCCTTGATTGTAGTTATCAGATTCCTGGGATTCCTGTCATTCGTTGAGCATGGACCCTTTCTGTTGCTTTGCGCTCTGCGCTCTGCGGTTGACGCTTCGACCCTCGCTTGGACCGACCGATCGGATCCTGGCCAGGTGGAGTTCATACGTGCGCTCTTCTGACGGGCTTGGTGATTTTCAATTCATAGATCAGATTGGTGCTATTTGTTTTGTGGTGATCACTCTCTCATGTCAGCGAGGATATTGGAAAGAGGTTCCTCACAGACGATATTGCGTTGTGTTACTCTCTCCTTCCACTATTACACGAACCTGGATGTCATGTTCTGGATGACAGACTAGACCATACATCTGCGATCATGTGCTCAAACCATACCATGCCATGCCATGCTCTAGAACAGGCCTGGCGTGGCATGCAGACCTCGATCCGTGCGCAGGTCAAGGCCAAGCATTTTGAGATTATCCCGCGAAACGAATTCCACTTCACTTACTCATGGTCGGCACATTGAGCTCCCGTGCAGCGACAAGGGGGCTTCCAGCAACGATTTTGGTAAAGTCATGAGCATCCAAGCAAGCACGACGTGAATTCAGCACGCTTGCTTCTACGCGCGCAAAGACGTGCTTGTTGAAAGCATCGAGTGACTTTGACAGGGTCTCGGCGTCGGAAGTGCTGAGGCTAGTTAGCCACAGTATGATGATGACACGCACGGGGAGATTCGCTTACCAAGCCTTCTTTAAATCCACACTCTTGACGAGATCTTGGACGTCGACAATGGCATTATTGGCACCCTCACCCCTGACTGAGAGGTCGGTCAGCTTGTCTCAGATATACTGAAAGACATTTCCTTCAACTCACACATTGTCATCGTATGGGCTGAATCACCCATCAGTACCGCGCGAGGATGTGCCGGAGAAATTCGTGGATCGAAAAGCCAATCGTCAAGACGAAGGGAGCGAGCTTCAGCATCACTTGGAAGGTGTTGAATCAGCGAGCGGAATGGCTCTGCCCAGTTGTTGGTCAGTTCCTTCATCAAGGCAATTCGATCTGCGTTTTGCACGGGCACCGTGATCCCCTTCTCGTCGGCCCATGATACGATAAGCTGCACGTGATAGCGGTCCTTGCTACTCTCGTCGAAGTTGTTGGGTGTGTCGAGGACTGGGAGGGTGGTCAGTATCGACGCTACTGCACCGTCCTCTGATGCTACGGCCTTGACGTACAACTGAAGAAGAAGAAGATGTTCGAATCCGGATGCGACCCCTGGAAGATGTAAGGATCGATCAGGTGAACTCCATGCAACTCCTCGGCAGTATAGAAGGTAGATGCTCCGAGTAGCTGGACGGGTAGTGGATTCATCTGGGAGTGCTCTGGATACATTATCTGGCGCGCACGAGATCGCGCCCCGTCGGCAGCGATCAAGAGACATCCATTGTAGCTTGAGCCATCTTCAAATTGAGCAGTGATGGAGTCTGATGATGATTCTATACCCTTCAAGGTCTTGCTCCACTGGAAAAGAAAGTTAGCGTGATCTTTTTGGCCTTTGACAACGCTGCCATGGTCGACTCACGTGAACTTCGATGCCCGAAGTCAACAGCTCGCGCAACCGGCCACGATTCACACGAATTCGCTCTTCGGCAGGGATGCTGAACAGCGCCTCTCCACTTTGGAGATCAAAGAACTGGAAGCTCCCGACATCCCCTCGTAGGGATGCTTCTTTGTTGACAAAGGTCTCAGGAAAACGCTCAACCAGGTGTGGTGGAAGCAGGGCGCGCAGGGCAGGCAGCGACCAGTGCAGTGTGAGACCCCATCCGCCCGTGCGTGCATCGATGGCGGAGTCGCGATCGAAGATCTCAAATCTGATGCCTTGACTCTGAAGGTACTGGGCCAGGACCAAGCCACTGATCCCAGCGCCGACGATCAGAACCGGGGCATCTGACATGGGTGAAACGGTGTCGCAGCAAAATGTCCTCGGATCACTGGATGGCGATGCAAAGAATAGCGTCTCAAATGTGATCTGCCAGCTTTTGACGCAGCGCAGCCTTACGCCCAATCGATTTCCCCTTACAACTTGCGGAAATTCCAGACTTGACAGTGAGTGAAGTGAGACAAACAAAAAAAATCCCCTCGGGTCTATGGCATCTATGCACTGTCCAGTGTCCACCCTTGACATCCCGAGCCAAACCCGTCCCCGTCGACGCGACGAAACGAAACTAGAAGGTACGCCTCTGCTTGACCAACACCCGAGTCGTGAAGATTCAGGAAACCCAGGATTCCCCGTCGCGATCAAACCAAACTGCTTCGGTGTGCCTGGAGTCAGTCACACCTCTTCCTGTCCCCGTTCTTTCCCCCTTTTTTCCATCTCACCCAGTTCCAATCCCGTTGTGTACATGCTGGTCGCACAACAGCCGAAGCCAAGAGATTCCTTCCCTCCAGGGCGGCGATTTCCTCACACTAGTACCGTATGCAGAAATCTTCCAAGGTACGGATGGTACTTTTGTTTTGCACATACTTCCACCATACCACACCTCGGATACTTTTCTCGCACTTCCGAAACAGGCAGCCTGCCGCAAAATAAGCCCGGGGTGGCATCCTTCATGCCATCGACAGTCCATCCCGATGCCAAAGCTTCACTGACTTGGCGTGATGATTGGTGCGTGTCAGGACTCTGAACAGTAGTGAACCCACTTTTGCAGCTTACCTGAGTCGCTTTCGCGTCTATCGATGCTGACAATTGTGGGCCGCCGGGGCTATTTCTTGACGGCTGGCCCCGGCCTCGATCGTCGATTTCTCGAGCTCGGTCGGACATGGGACGGGGAAGAGAGAGTGAGAGAAGAAAGAGAGCTTCGTGCATGTTACTGACGAAGGATTTTTTTTTAATGTAAGAGAATCTCGTCTCAACTCGTGGAACACGCACAAAAAAAAAAGATTTCAGACCGTAGGCACCTCTTGATTGCAAGTCAGACATCAACAGTCGTAGTCTCTAGTCTCTGCGTCTGCACTTTACCGTCTACACAATCGACCCAGTCCGCACGATCCGTTGATTTGCCCGAGTCCAACGGCCCGGATTCCCGAACCCGCAAGGATTCTTCTCATCCGTGTGCCTCGTGCCCAATCATCGATGTATTCCTCGGAATATCCACTACTCCGGGTGGTACATTCATCTAACGTACTCCCGAATGTGGAATAGCACATCTCGGTTGACAGTCATGAGTGCTGAAGGATTCCCCCCAGCCGTCTGGACGGAAGCACTGCAACCACCGACGGGCCTGACAACCCAAATGAGCGTCCTCGACAACTTGACTAAACTCTATGATCCTTGTCTAGCGCCAAGTGGGTGTGTCTGACAATGGCGCTGCTACCGCGCCATATCAGCAACTCTGGCACGGGCAGCTGTCATCGTGGCGGAATGGGCATTGGACAATGGCTGCGGCCTGGACAGGACTTAGTCAAGGATTTCAACAATGCCTTCCAAGAGGGCAAAAGCTAAATCGACATCCCCCCCCAAAGAAGAATCTACCCTTCCGATCAAGGAGTTACCGTTTTGGACGTTTGCTCCTAGATGCATCCATTTGACCAAGTGTCATACGATCCAAAGAGGAAATCGTCCAAGTTGCCACTGTAAGGCTTGTTTACTTCCGATGCAGAGCGAGATCGTGCGAAAAGACCCGGCCAGCGAGGTCGTGTACCACGTTGTAATTAGTGCTTTTGCGTATAAGTAAATACCACGCACTTCGCGCGGACGCGCACTACCACAGTGCACCACCCAGCGGAGGCCTCCGTCCCACTGCGCGTAATAAAAACAAAGTGTTCAGCACTCGTCGCCCGTCTACCTTCTGACCATCAATTGCGCCAGCTGCTGTCGTCGTGCAACAAAGTAGGAGTGCAACAACCTCAAAAAAAAAATAAGAAGAATTCTATAGGAAGGAAAGCGACAGGAAAGGACAATCTTGTACAAAATAGAAGGAATGGCAAAGATGCGTGCATCGTGGAGATAACCCAGTCAAGTCCATACTCCCGTCGAATTGATTTCGCTCGGTGCATTTTTTTTTCTTGCTTTCTCTCAAGAGACTCATCTCGGGCTGTACCCACGATTTTCCTTTTCAAGGGAGACGGAGTATTCCACCGTCATTTCGATACCACCATGCACAGGCTCTTTGCTCGACAAAATCAGTTCCTCGCTCGGAGATCGTCGAGGGGCGGCGGGGCCCGATGCCGAAGATTGCAACTGAGAGCGCTGGTCCTTGGACCAAGTCTCCATGGCGTAAGTACGTCCATGGCTATTGTAGTATTTCTTGTTGCTCGTGGACCGGAAATCTCGAACGAATCCGCGAAGTAGAGGGGTGAGGTAAGGGATGCAGGTGACGATGTTCTATTCCAAAGCCAAGTATTCACAATCAGTGATGAGGCCCAGACTGGAATGCACTGAAAATAAGATGATCTCTGGGAAAGGAAGGACCAAAGTTAATTTCGTCGGAGCGTATACGTACTCCGATATTGAACTCAATTGTTCCCCACAGAACCAGCATGGTTGAGTTTCCATCGCCCCACGCAACTCGGTGAATTTGACTAAGCCGCAAGATCGAACAGATCGTTGTAAACAAGCCGAGAAGAAAGAGACAGACGACGCCGGCCTTTTGCGCAGGCTTGATCTTCAGACGGAGGAGCAAAGGGATCGGGAGGAAGACCATTACAACGTCACAGACGATCGTGAAGATGGCTAGGCCGTAGAATGTTGGACCGACGGGAAGACAGTGTCCATGTACCGTGATATCCCACGCGGATCTGACCTGCACAGTTCAGCGGAGCAATCAGCATCGTCAGGGTCGATCAATTTGTCGAACTCAAGGGGGTAAAGGTGGGACTCTTACTGGTGTACAGTTCAAAATCAAGACCAGTGCCCCTGCCAAATGACCTAGCGTACTGAGCGTGATCACGGTCCAAATGAGTATCCGGTAGAGTTTCATCGAAGTCCCTGAGATGAGGCGCAGGTAACTGAGGCAAAGAGACGCTTTGAAGCCCGCAATGCCAAGCTGGTAAAATGGGCGTCCCGCGTAATTGATCTATAGAAGAATCAGAATACGGAGACCCATGAAGTGGCGGTTGACACAATATCGCAACGGATTGAATGAAGCGACGGTACCTTTGTGTATACTGCCTTGTCTAGCGCGGGCCGTAGTTTCAATGGAAGACCAAGCCCGTATCGGCTTTCTTCAATGGGTGTTAGCGAATATAGGGGAGCAGACGATCAGTCAAAGACAACTCACGGGCGATACACAAGGCGCTATAGATAATGCTGAATACCTGAAATTGTGCAATGCACCACTTGTTACTTGACAGATCAAAGCAAGTTCCAGGGGAGTCGGAGTTGCACTCACCATGCTAAATACCATGACATAGTCTGCTGCTCCCAATCGACCACTCTGGGCTCGAAGCCATAGACGAAGGCATACCGTGATGACCATCAATAATGTCAGACTCAGGCAGACGCCCAAGATCTCTCTGTACTGAGATAGTGCCTCTACCTCGGGCGAGGCATTATGAACCCAGCCCATTGTCTAGGGGCTCGTGTCTCAAGACGTGAGTTGTAAGTAATAGAAGAGCTTGGTCGACATCGAAACAGACGTCTTGACGGTGGATGAATGAGCTGTAAAATCACCGCGCCGCATGGTAGGCATGACTTGCTTGTTTTAAAAGATCCAGCTAATGAGGCGAGACAAACCCAGTTACGCACTAATCGGGATAAGCCATCGCTCGAGTGTTGAAGGAACGCCCACATCACAGATTAAGTGGAGTCGAATGAGCCCCGGCTATTTCTGGTGCATGGTTGACATTTGACAGCTTACTACTGCTGTCCCCATGGAAGACTACCTACCAGGATTCCACCGGGCAATTTTCAATGTAGCATTTTGGGGATCTGGTCTCGCTCCAATGTTGTCGGGGAATTTCTCAGGCTTTTTTCCCATTTCCATACTAACAGAACTGAAACCCCAATGATATTTCAGAAAATAATTGCGCAAGAATATCACTTCTCGTGTACCTTTTCATCGAGTCTAGCTTGCTCGATCCAGTTGGTAAAATAAAAGACCCGCTTCATCTCGTCCGAACATGGCTGCCGAATCTTCCGACTACTCAGGGGTCAATGGTGAGTCTATCATGCAGATATGGATATACATGGAGCCCGTTCTCTTGTTCCCATAGTAGTATGTACATCGGTAGTTCCACCGGTCTTCTCCGGAGAATACTGTACTAGCTCATACCCACTTCGATGTGGTAGTAGGCACGAAGAACTCTATTCAAACTCTGTTAGCGAGGGCTATTCGCTTCTTCCGATTAATAGCATGATAATGGCTTTGTGCCTGTGAATACCTGTTCTTTGCTTGGTGTATAGTAAGATGATGAGAATAGCGCAACATGTAAAGCCTTGTCTTCATCAGGATGCAATGCCCCCGATCTGGCGATATGGTCGAGATCACGAAACCAGTACTTCTGAAGTGGCGTCCATTGTCTGTGATCAAAAGTACGGAAAATACAAATGGAACCTCCACGGCGGATCCTACAGTTTCGAGTGGCTCCAAAGCAATCTGCATGCATCAACAAGTCATCAGTCGTAGCGGCACGTTTCACACTAGCATGCTCCTTCCAGATGCCCGCCACTAAGCACGCATTCTCCACGCTATTGCCACTTAGTCCCCTCGTGGCGCCCTGATTGTGTAGGCCGACTCCGACTCCATTCTCGCCATGGCCTATCTGGCACCGTTCCCATCTTTCCTCGGGCATGGGCCTTCAATCCGGAATAGCGTTGGAATGTCCAATTGCATCTTATAACTCGACTGACTCGTCATTTTTTCTGATCAGCTTCTTCCCACGGGCGATGAGAAACCCTGCCACTGTGTTCCTTGTTTAATCCCCGAGTCGCATGCACGAAGCGATATACTGTTGTATTTTGTACTTTTTTTCCCCTTTACGGCCGACACATAACCCCCTTGTGATCCATCACAATGAGTGAGAAAGAGCCCAACGTGACGTCCAATTTGGGGACCTTGGATCGACAGGATGATGCTGTGCGTTATCTCGAGGGTCACGCTGATGTGAATCCAAATGTGGATTTGGGGGCCTTGCGCCGTAAGATTGATCGACGTCTTATGCCTTTTATGTTCTGTTGCTACGTTTTGCAATTTCTCGACAAGGTGATGCTGAATGTAAGGATGCGTGGTCTTTTTGTTTTTGTTGTTTCTTTTTTCTTCTTTTGTGATGCCTTCTTTCCGCTCTGTCACTCTGAAACAACAGGCTAACCCAAGGATGTACCCTTGTTCACAATCCTTTAGTATGCGGCTGTTATGGGAATCAAGAAGGATCTTCATCTTGTGGGCAATGAATTCTCCAATACAGCAACATGGTTCTTTATCGCCTATCTGATTGCCGAGGTTCCCAATGGTTCGTCACCATCCCCCTCCCCCTGATTGACATTGAAGACTCCCATTTGCCCCCAGAGACTAACCTTCATCAAGTCTATTGTTTACAAAAGGTTCCTGCCGCAAAATGGCTCGGGGGCAACGTCTTTCTGTGGGGCGTGGCGGCGGCTGCTTCAGCCGGCGCAAAAGACTACAAAACTCTGTTGACAGCCCGTATTTTCCTCGGCATCTTCGAGGCAACCGTCGGACCGTCGTTGATGCTCTTGAGTAGTCAGTACTACACAAGAAGCGAACAGGCTCCTCGATTCACCTTCTGGTATATGGGTCTTGGAGTTGCGCAGATCTTGGGCGGCATCATCTCATTCGCCTTCCAGCATGTGAAATATGCCTCTTTGGAAGGCTGGCGCATCATGTTCATTGTCCTCGGTCTAGTCACCATGGTCGTGGGCGCCTTGACATACTTCTTCATCCCAGATACCCCCATCAAAGCCAAGTGGCTGTCAGAGGAAGAGAAGATTGCACTCCTTCAGCACGTCGGTGAGAATCAGACAGGGGTATGGAGCACGACGTTGAACTTTGGCCAGATCAAAGATGCCGTCTTTGACGTACAACTATGGCTGTTGACCTTGATCACGATTCTGGTGCGTATACACCTTCACTTCTATAATGATTTATCGCGTCATTGACCCATTTGACTCTCCAGATCTCCGTCTCCAGCGGAGTCGTCACGACTTATTCTGCAACTTTGGTCGCGGGATTCGGATTCCCAGGTCCTATCTCCGCCTTGCTCAATACCCCCGGTGGCATCGTCAGTATTTTCTTCACGCTTCTTGTCGGATTCGGCATCCGCCGCACCTCCCATCGCTGGGCCTGGAATGTGCTCTGCACAATCCCCGGAATCGCGGGCGGCGCCCTGATGTCCTTCTTACCAAAAGACAACAAGGCCGGTGTTCTGATCGGTATCTACTTGGTCAACGCCATTGTCGCCACTCTTCCCATTCTCTACCAGTGGACAATGGCGAACTGCGCGGGCCACACGAAGCGTGCCTTTGCAAGTGCTCTTGTTGCCGGTTCCTTTTCGGTGGGGAACATCATTGGTCCGCAGACATTCCAGGCACGCGATGCTCCAGAGTACAAGCCCGCCAAGATTGCAGTGTTGGCCACGCAGGCAGCGGCGGCTGTTCTGTCGGTTGTGCTATTTGTTTATTATCTCTGGGAGAACCGTCGACGTGACCAGAAAAAAGGGGCCCGTGGACGAGTCGATGGTTGATGAAACGAAATGGGCCGGCCTTACTGACCGGGAGAATCCCTCTTTCCGATACGCATATTGAAAAGCGATGTGACTTCTTCTGCCTACCGAAGCGAGGACAGAAGGTCTACTGGAAGTCGGACGACAGTCATGTAGTACTGAAAGGGGCGGGTCGTTTGCCAAAATCCCTCGTTTGGGGTTCCTGTATATAAAAGTCAGATTAGGGCCGTTTGGTCTTTACTAAAATTCACCAGCAGTTCATTGCGGTAGGTTGTCGACCGGTGGAAACCTCTAGACCTTTAGTAGAGGCGAACACTCGAAAGTTCAGTGATCCCACTTTCTTGAAACTGCTACCTTGAAGATCAAGATTGTGGAACAGTGAGAGAGCTTTACACCTTGAAACACTGGAGGACACCTGGACACCGCCGGGAGAAGCTTAGACTGTGCGAGATTGTGTGTATACTGCAATAACTGTATAGAGCTCTGGAACCGTTCCCACCGGCGCTAGCAGACGCGGGCGTGGAGCCCCCCGCCATGGGTAGATTAGTCATTCCCCGTCATTTCAGGCTAGTCTGCCGGCGCAATCCAGGGCCCGCTCTGCAACTCGGGGTCGGCGCCGCATTAAATCATCTCCAACTCCCGTCCTCTTGCTACATTGACACCACACCGGGCAATCAACTGGTCTACGCTGCGCAGTAGTGAGCACTGCCAGTCGGGCTGGTCATAGGGGACAAATGGCTCGTGTTCCATCCACACATCGACCATGCTCTACAATGCCCTGATTCGCACACACCACATCACTTCGCGCAAAAAAGTTGCTGCCCTCAAACGCGCCGCCGACGCACACAAATGCCACGTGCTGCTCCGGTCCGGGGGCTGCCCCGGAATCATGTACGTCGAGGGCTCGGACAAGTCGAGCGTCGACGAATGGGTTAATGTGGTGCGGAAACTGCGATACAAGGACTTTCAACTTGTTACCAGGCCGGGTGCCGTGGAAGGTGAAGGAGTCGACGGGGAGAAATCCAGATCACCTGATGCAGGTGTGGATGTAGGTCTTGCTGAGGTGGACAGTGTCAGGGAATTTGGGCATCGCATGGAGGAACGTGGGGTCTGGAAGTGGTGGAGAAAAGGCATGGGATATCAGCCCTGATGTCATTCTCTGGGTGACACTGTCTGGTCGGCCGATCCCTTGAATCAGCGGCCAAAATTCAGATCGAGGAATTGACTTCATCATTTGCAAGGACTATTATGCTATGGTGACATGGTCATGGATATTACGAGGGCTCAAAATGAGCCTCTGGAGTGCCGCAGACTCGGCTGGGGAAGCCCTGGCATAAGCTCTCCGCCATCTGGAAGAAGCCGAGCATCCCCGCTGCAAGTTGACCATCTGTTGTCGACTTGCACTACAATATCCGTCTGGACGGTGACACCTCCACTGTTGTTCCCATCTGCTTCCTTCTCATAGCCCTGGAAGCCCTTGGAGACGCGGTGCTTGGATCGATCCGGGCTCACTGTCCACGTGATCGGCGGCTGTTCCTCATCCTGCCATTGTGTCATCGCCGTCGCTGTAGCGGTCGTCGAATCAACCCAGCTGATCTTGTCTGGGTCCCGTCTGTCTCTGAGTTCCATCTCGTTCTGGGCGCTCTTGTTTCGCGAATTCGATTTGGACCAGTAGCCTGTTCGTCCCTCTTGGCGCGCATCAACGATGGTCCGAAGGAACAGGCGCGCGACTGGAGCGCAAGAGGCGAGAAGAATGCTATAGTTCTCAATTCTTTTGAGAGCTCGTCAGCCGTCAAGATCTGAGATGGAGGTGGGCGAGGTGTGCAAAGAAGCAATGCCTGGCAATGTTCGAAAGCGGAGTACTTACTTTACCCACAAAATAAAAGACACAATATTATATGTGAAATCCAGTCTGTCTCCCAAGGATTTGAGTTTCTGGTCACATTTCCATTCAGTCAGCATGGGGGTATTCCAGTTTTCCAAGGCGACCCGACGGAGCATCACAGAACTTACATATGTCTTGATGATTGACGCCGCGCCTGAAAGGAGCAATGGCCCACATAGGGTCAAGGTCTGCCAAATTCGTCGAGACCGCACAGTGCTGTTAATCCTCTTGAACTGTGACCAAAACGAGAGGTTTTCACGGTGCAGAGTTCGAAGGAAGAATTGCCATAGTTCAACACCGGCAATCACTGCCAGAATCCAGTCGATGACGGTATTGAAGCCTGCGAGGGAACTGTATCAGAACGAATATGGTCGTGAGATCGGATCAGGACTATCGACAAACCTCCTTGTACAAAGCCCACCGTGGTCTGGACGTCCGGCGATTGACAGACGACAGATCCGTCGCTCGGCAGCGGAGTCCACATGTATTTGAAGTATAGTACGCGATTAGTCTGTGAAGTCAGTCCAGGCTCTGCACGCCGATGTGACCGGAGATATTGGCGATAGCATACCGCAAAGTACGGGTTTGGCCCACACTGGACAATAATCTGCACGATCGTCACCATATTGACGACAATCTGCACAATTGCGCACACAATGATCGAGATTCGAATCTTCTTATCACTCGCCGCAAAGCACGTCAGGAGGAACCACATCATTCCGGTTCGAGACACCATGGCCGCGGCGACGGCAAGTGGCTGGGAGTAAAAGTCGTATTTCATCGCCATGGAGCGCTCTTCTCCAGTCAAGTAGAAGAAATGTCGGCCTAACCCCCATCTCGAGCTGATTATGATCAATCAGTCAAAACTGACCGATATACCTCGAATTGAAATAACCACAACAATACGGAGACAAATCTCACTTCACTCACCTCATCTGAATCATGACCATATGGCCTAGGTCAAGCACGAAGCCAGCAAGGAAGAACAGGTCTTCATATCCCCAGATTCGCCCTGGGGCCGAAACCTGTGGTAGTGCAAATCGCACCCAGCTTTTGACTGCGTAGCGGAAGAGCAGCGTGATTCCCACCACGATGGTCAACACCTGATCAACGTAGAGATTATCCAGTCAGTCGAGATTCTCGAATTGACAGGAATAATTCGTGACTTGGTAAACATACCCAACACGCTATGAACACATTTGTGCCTACCGAAATCTATTAGTCCTCGAAGCTCTCCTGCTCCAAATCAAGTCTCTTCATTACAGTTTCGACGTACCGATATTCACATCGCCCTCTCCCCGGTCTTGGGATACTCTCCATTATCAAATGATTGAAACTGCAATTTTCCTTTGGAACTCTTCACGGCAATGGACCAATTCGCGGATCTGAATTCATGCAGAAGCTGATAGTCGTGCGAATATTAATCAAATGATGTCACGGCCACGACCTCGCAGTATTCAGCTCAATCTGACCTGCGGCGAGATAGACCGAGCAAGGTGCTGATCAAGAAGTCGTGCTCATAAGACGCTTCGCGTGGCCCAAGAATCGTATTTCACCCACTGAGCAGAAATCACTTGAATGTCCTGAATAAAGGTCGCATTCATTTCAACATGATCTGCAGCGCGAATGGACCCTTGATAAATCCAAATCCCCCGGCGATCGGATCGCCCTATCAAGGTTTTGGAGCTCGGTCGTCGACGAACTGGTGGAACTCGGATCTCTCCGACACTAGGCAACGCTGAAGTCGATTCAAGGGTTTTTACCAAGACCGCGTAGGTTCCGGTAAGTCAGTGAGCAAAACCGGACCCGACAGGTTGTTCTCTCCGTGAGCCTCGCTTCACCGGGTTCTACCCAATGGAGAACCGCGTGGTGGGCATACTCGGCATTGCCTTTTTCGAAAAGCAAGCCCAGGCCAGCAAGGGATAACGATTATTTTGGTTGGAGGCCTCGCAAATGGTGTCTTGCGAGGCATGCACCATGACCTAATCAATTTCGTACTTCAATAGTTTAAGATGGCGGAAAGCCACCAGATGTATAGACCCAGACGAATAGACTTTGAAAGGGAACTCAGCCCTAAACAAATTGACGTGACACTTCACAAGCGTAGCGGATATAATTCCAGTGGTAAGGTCCGTATGGATCACACATCATCTCTACTGGAACTAGTGGCCACTGGCAAACCTAGAATCAGGAATACACCTGGGGATATGCATGTCCTGGGTATTTTACTAGGCGCCTCCTCTCTATCAGCCGACACGGCGCCATCTGCCTTCTTATCCGGTTGGCTTGATTTATGCCTATTGAGGCTGTCCTCCGCTGATCTTTGCGAATGGAAGGCTTAACCTTAATAAGTTGAACCTGCTGAAGGGAAGACTTGAAGATACCGAGACATCTTTCTTTGCGATCTTGATGGTTTTGGCGCACGGCAGAAAATATACCGAGTCTTTCAATTACTGTTCTGGGCCATCTCTAGCGTTAGGAATGCCCTGTATCTTGTCACTAAGCGATTTAACCTAATTGATTCACTACGCGCGACTCTCCAGTCTTCGATTGCATGATCATCTCACACCGCCCGGCGAATCTGGAATTCACAGTCTCTGCCAGGCGACGTCTAGTGAATAACTACTCGTCCTGTCGAATACGATGCACACTTGATATCGAATATTGGGCAGGTACGGTGCCGAGAAGCTAGCTGAAAAAAAAAATAGACCTTGCAAAGCGCAAAATAACATTTCCAATCACTCCCCGGGAGATAAACCACGGCGTGACCATGAAGTTGCATGCCTTTCTGAGAAAGCGTCCTCACATTCCGCAGAAATCTGGTGGGGGATGTTGGCCTACGGCCAGGCTGACGCCACCCGAGCGTATGCAAGGGGTACACGGTTGATCCAGATACTGTACAATTGAGCGAATGGACCATCTGATTGAGAGCCCTTACAGGCGGAGAAATGGCGAGAGACTTTGAACATGCAGCGCTTTCATGTTTATTTGTCTTTGATAAGCTTGGACCGGGAGGGGTGGATGAAGTAGGGTTTGCAATGGCTGTATTTGGGTTGACTAGATTTAGTTATCTTTTCTCACGGCAGACCACGGCCAAAGGGAGGCCGACGCTGAGATACATTCTACTTTGAAGAAGTATGATCAAATGATTGGGCGGTAATAGGTACTCAATGCGCCATCAGGTATCGGTGTTGAATATAAAGCTCACAAGCCTGAAAATCAACCGATTTACCGCAATTGTGCATTGCCGAAATCTGACTTGTCTCGCAGAGTCCGAAGCAAAACAAGTTCTTCGAATCGAGCGCAGATTCGTACATTTACCACGAGTCACAGTCCATGTGAGAAAAGTAAGTACATCCTCCGCGAGAAATCAGTGCCCCGTGTTCTGGACTGCTATAATGGTCCCAAATCAAAACCAGGAAAAGTAGGGTGTATGCAACTCATGGTCAGTCACAGGCAGCCTCAGCACTCCCGGGCTGTGGTGAAGTCTACACTTCCATTCTTAGGCATCACAAAGCGATCCAGGAACTTTTTGCTAGCCAGACTCATACGGCGGTCTGATGGACCAAGCCCGATGATTCTCGAGTTTGATTCATTCACATGGCAATTCTAGATTTTCACACAAGCTGGCCACTAATCTCGTTGCATCTCCACCAAAGATTCCCCCGCGGTCTCGTACTTTTCAAAAGTCACTTTCAAACCACAGATACCCGCCATTTGATGCCACTCCGCTGAACTGCGCTCACGGCCTCCATACAAAGCAATCATGCTTGCGTGCAAGTTGGTGTAAGTCAGATTCTTCGCATACTCGATAATCAACAACCGTGACTTTGGGCTCATCGCCCGCGCAAGTTTCTGGACCAGTGCCACCGCATCGAGGTCTGGCAGATTATGCAGAATATGCTGCAGGCTGTACGCTCGAGCACCGCGTACGGGCTGCTCTCCCGAAACTTTGTAGTTCCACTCCATCAGATGCACACCGGGGACCTCGTCAATGGCTGCGTTGAATTCCTGCACGACGAGCTGCGACGGTTGAAGGTTTGGATATCGGGCCTGAACTTCAAGGAGCAGCTCACCGCGTCCTCCACCAATGTCCACCATGGCGACTTCATCGCCATGGAGACCCTGGTCCCCAGCTGAGCTGCCGGAGATCCCAAGTGCGGCTTCTAAGTCGTACCCTGCAGCTGTCACGCGGTCAGGGAAAGTTCCGACTTTAAAAAACTTGCCTACCATGAATTGGTTGAAGCTGTCCATGCGGCCTTGGGCTTCCATGATTGTGTACGTGTGCTGCTTAGCGAAATGGTCTTGGCCCATGAGTCGGTAAGCGTATTGAAGTGGGCCGTCGCATTCGGCAAATGGGTAGGCAAAGTTGGTGTCTTTCAACTTCTGCATCAAGAAGGCCCCCGCCAGTAACCCTTCGGTGCAGCTGGTGGTTGGAAGAACACGGTCAATGTCTCAACAATACATGCAGCGTGCAACCAGTGGAACTGAATCTCGCAGGTGATATTCTTCCCAGTATGGCGGTGGTACCTGAGAGAAGTATGTGCACTCACAAATGGACTGCTCCGTGTTGTGCCGACGGCATCGCTACCATGTGGTGCGTGATGGCATTTGCCACAAACCGATCCTCATCAAGGCGATTCACCAGACCAAGACCGGCCATTATGTACAGCGTGTCAGCTGCGTTCCAATATCAGCCATGGAGATCTTGATCATATCGGTTCGACAGCAGGGACCGGGTGATTCGTTGACCAGCTCGTTGAATTACATACCGACCAGCAGGGTTGCTGTGGTCATTGCTTAGCTCTGTGCACACAAAATCATTTTGTGATCTTCTTCTGACACTTGAAAATAATGAACAACTTACATATGTGTAACACATCGTCACCACCTGTTCTGGCTGCGCTATTCACAACACGCGCAATGTCTTCTGCAGTCGCAGGGCTCCCATGACGAACCAAGGCCCCGAATAAATCAAAGTGAACAGCAACGGGTACAAATCCCAAAGATGCTGGCTGAAAGTCGATGAGTACTTCAAGTGTACGCAAGACTAGTAGGATTGCTGCAGGAAGAGCTACTTACTAAGGTTACAGTACCTGCCAATGCAGCACCTGGGGGTACAGCCGGCGTGAGACTGGCTAAACGATTCAGCAAAGACATTGTCAACTCTTGAGAGGTGGGTGTAGGATTCTTGTCTCCGTATAAAGAGAATCTGATCACATTGAAAATTTGCACTGTCAGTCATTGCAGTACTTGAGAGTGAGCAGTCTTCGGTCAGCTGATTTGTGATACAAGACTCGATTGTACAATTTACACAGCCAAAGTCATCATCCCTGGTCATTGAGTCTGTTCGCGCAATCTATTCGCGCATTCACTGCGGGACTCCCCAAATCCAAAATCGGAAGAAAGTCGAACTCAAATCACATAAAAGAGTCGATGGTGGACATTTCCACTTTGGCGCCAAAGCTGCAGGAAGCTACACAGCGAAATTGGATACCCAAGGTAGTTTAGATTGGTGGGCCAGTCTGGTGAGGCTTATGGATCCCGTCTCACATGGCGAACGCATGATTGCGATCACCAAGTTGATTCTCATACATGATCATTGAGTTTGAACTAAGTTTGCGGCTACAATTACCGAGAAAAACTGATCCAAAATCAGAAAAGAAAAAAAAAAGTCCGAGCGCAGGAGGTTCGTTGCAAAAGCACCTATTATACATATCACAAAGACTAAAGCCAGGTCAACTAAACTATCTGCACAGACCACATGATTGTTTATCGAGAGCGACAATGGGATTGTTGTTCATCTGTTGTTGCTTCATGTTCGAGAGCGACACTTACGTGGCAGGCTCAAGCCTAGCACGGATAGACCATTGTGTTCACTGCGTGGACGATGAGAGTAGTGAATGATAAGACGACCTTAGACTGTGGTTAGGTTTGAACATCCTTGACCCGATGCCACCGCACCATTCTCCTGTAGAGCCGAGGTCGTGAACAAGGTTGCTGTTCATAGTGGCGCAATGACCAGTCAAGACAGGGCAGAGTACAGCAACTTAAGGTTCTCGACAGCTCCGATCCCCCCACGCGATGATGATGATGATGATACAACCTCTTCTCTGACCATCACATCCAAAACAGCCGAGCCACGCGGTTGCGTTGGATTTCCAGACATATTCCGAGCGTGGTCTAGATTTCGAGGCATGAAGCGATCCTGTCTGGGTCGCCATGCATGGAGAGCCACGCGAGAATCAAGATCCGTGGGATTGAAATCCGCATGACCTGCATAAAAGATCGGCGGTGTTTCCCTCCTCTCGTCGATGGTCTGATTTCAAAGCTATCTTTTTTGTCGTGCAGACTGTGCCATTCAGTCGGTGTGCTCTGCTGCCACTTTTCCTCCTCTCTGTTCCAAGGACTCTCCGCAGGCCCTTCTGTCGTGTTCCCTTGGCAAATTCTTGCCCCTTGCTGTTGGGAAATCCTTGTGAGACCAGGCACATTGCTCTCGTCGCGTGGTCAGGGTGAGATTCGAGTACTGTTGGCAACCAGTTGGCCCGCCATGGACAAACACAATTTTATCGGCGACATTGGTGAGTTCCAGTTAGATGAAGTGAGTACGGCCTCACAGTCGCAAGAGATGATTATCTCGGAGCATGGCATGAAGACACTGGATTCGATGGACAAGAACAATCCTCGCAACTGGAGCCGAGCTCGTAAAACGCTCCTGTTTGTGTCACTGATGAGTAGCTCGCTACTTGCTGATGGGTGAGTCTGTTATTGACGCCAGGGCGAGCCCGAGGGAACCTTATCCAACTTGGATGGCTCCCCGTATGAGCCCAGTTCGATTTGGAGTCCACTAATTGCTGTTTTCTATTCTTTGCAGTGGAATGGTCTGGGGTGGTACGCTGGTGACGCCACAAGCGATAGAATGGGGAATCAGCGTCACACACTCTGCAACCAGCATGAACTATGGCATTTTGCTTCAGGGATTCGGCGGGATGTTCGCAGTGCCGTTGATTGAGACCTACGGTCGGTAAGTGCACGATACCCTCACGTGCAATAGCCCAATCCAGCCACCCTCACGAGGAAGGTCTAACGGCGAGATGTATAACTCTTCTTTTCCAGATATCCTGTGTGGATTTGGCCTCAAGCCATAACAATGTTCATGGTCCTGGGTGCCACACTGTCGAAAGACTATACAACATTCACTGTTTTCCGCACTCTGCAGGGTCTCTTCGGGACAGTCCCACAAGTCATCGGCCTGCCTATTATCCACGACATGTATAGTCCCGAGGGTGAGTAGCCAAGTTTGTGATCCTCATCTAATGAGTTCTGGATCTTTTCTAATGAGACTTTTGTTTCAAGAATGGCCTCGCATGATCAATATCTGGGGCACCGCATTCATGGTCGGCCCATATCTGGCTCCCGCACTAGCAGGATATATCGGCGATGCCTCGACCTGGGTCATCTCATTCGCTGTGCTCACCGCGATATATGCCCTGTCGACGCTGATGGTGCTCGTCTTTGGAGCCGAGACGTACTACACGCCCGGAAAGGCTCCAATCCCAAGATTCGCTTCGTATATCGGGAACCATAACACCGGCCTGCCCAAACGGGCAACAATATTGCACTGGTCCAAAGTGATGATTGCATATGTCTTCAAGTTCCCCTTGCTGATGACTGGTATCGCTACTCTGATCACCTTTACGTGGCCGATCGGTACGTACAATGGTTCAACATGCTGCGCGATAATGTGCAATTGGCCTATGATTCTACAATCACTTTGCGGTTCTTGCCTGGGGGCAGCTAACGCTAACATGTCTTCAAGGCATCGCCACTACGATCGACGTCTTTCTGCACAGCCCACCGTACAACTTCAACACGATCCAAGCTTCGTCGATGCGATTTGCAGGCGTAGTCGGTGCACTAGGAGGTATGTCACCAGTCTCGATTGCTCATTGTAAATGCCAGACTCCAGCGCTCACGATCAACAAACCAGGGTGGCTGGTCGGCTTCATCTTCAACGAATGGATATACAAGCGCCACAACGCAAAATGGCGGACTGAATATCGCCTGCACGGGGTGTGGTTTCCTCTTTCGAGCATGGTCTGCGGACTTCTCACCTATGGCTTGACAATGCACTTTGGCAAGCATTGGATCGGTATTGTCTTTGGCTGGATCATGGTGACTTTGGGGATGGTTGCATCAACAGTGTGAGTCATCAAGCGCTTTCCTGGGCCATCAAACTTGTCTTTTCCCAACTTGTTTTCTTATTTCCGGACGATCTCGAGATCGAACTGACACTTCCCTCTTCGAATGTCCAGCGCCGTGACAGCCTACGCCCTCGAGAAATACCCCGACCAAGCCACCGTGGTCTCGGCGATTCTGAATATGTGGCGCACTTCCGGCGGGTTCGCAGTCGGGTACTTTCAGACTGCATGGATCGCTCGCAATGGATTAGGTCTGGTGTTTGGGATCCAGGCGATTGTAGTTGGAGTCGCGGTTGTGCTTTGTATTGTGCCGGTGTTTATCGTGGAGAGAAAATATCCTCGACGCGGGTGTATTGAGACGAGGGAATCATGATTGATGATTGATGATGAGGGTCGGCGAGGAGTAATTATTGGATAGTGGTTTACTACAAAAATGCTGCAATTGCCTGTTACAACTCAATCACGTCGATGAAAAGTGGAAGTCTTTAACGCAACGGACGCGGATGTCTGATTTTCACAGCCGGACTTCGGTAGGGAGGAGTGTATATTTTCCTTGAATTCCAGACGGACCATGTATCTTCCACATCAACTATAATTGATCGGGGATGTGACTTAGGTCCACAAACGTGACAAGTGAGCGCCCGAGTCTCTATCCAACGATGCTTCCGTTAGATACTTACCTAGTTGATGTAGGTTTAGTAAAAAGACGAGATGGATGGTTATTCAATTGCTCTAGTCAAACATTTCAGTACCAACTCTCGTCGATTCTCTGGCGGTCGCACCCTGTCCAGCAGGTGACATCTCTTATTGACAGCCGGGACTGTGTAATGAAAATATCCGCGAAATGAAGATTTTGCACAAGGAGCTTCGATTGCTCTGTATTCGATTATTATGGAATGAATTGAAGCCTTTCCAGAAAGTAGTGGACAAGGCATGTGCATGTGTCTATATAGAGGCAAGAGCACGTGCATAGTAGCTAGAGGGGCTCGAAAGACGAATGCGAACTTTGGAATCTGCGCAGCAGACCAGGAGAGAAGAAGACGATGTGGGAGGAAGAGGGACAGAACGAAGGAGAGACGGTCGGACGAGGGTAGAATAGGCGGGCAACGAAGTCGATATCAGCAACTTATTCTGAAAAGCCAATTTCCTGTCATGATGTTGGAGGAGATGGCAGATGCGAATGATGGGCAGGTAGGGAAGTAGTGTCTCATGTAAGAAATATATGCAACGAGGGAAGAAGGTCAATCAGAAGGGTGAAATAATTCAAGAGCTCTCCGACTAATGTCGTAAATATACCGTCTTGTGGAACGAAAGGTCAATTTAGTGCAACACCCATTGCACCTCCGGACACGAGGATTGGAAAGTATCCAAAAGTCGCTGCACACGATGTGTGATCCATCCAGAGTCGGTTCCATTGCTAGGAACACCGCCAAACGTCGTGGAAGCGTGTTTACAGGACTGTTTCTCGCGATTGAACGAGAACTGTAAACAGTCATTATTCTTCCCACAGGCCTTGGCGCAAGCATCTGCAGACGCTTCACCTGATGGATTCAATGTCACAGCGGCTGGAGAGAGATTATCCCAGTTGGATCGGGTTGCGAGCGATTTGTTGTGGACCGATTCTCGGTAGACGTCCCCGTGCAGGAGAAGCGCATTCTTGCCGCTCTTGAACCATCCTCGGTCGAAACGCCACATCTCTTCGATGTGACGAGGACTCATGTGGTGGTATGAAACGGCTGGGAAACACCACGGCTGGCGACCATATGCCTCGGAGAAATGGTCGATTTCCTGGGGCCGTGAAGTCATCATCATCGGCCATGCCCAGGTCAAATCGACGTGGACTTTTCTCAGTGCTCGGGCCAAGGCACAGTCTCCTGCCCATTCTCGACTCGTCATCTGTTCGAGTTCTTCCTGGTGTGTGCTCTGGTAGTCATTTAGCAGGTGCATTGTCTTTTTAGACAGGATAATTCCCGCGCCGCCATGCGCAAAGAGAACGTCCCCGATCTGCATCTGACTGCCGAGATAGTGGTTCTCGGTATGATTGAGCCGGGAGAGCCAGGTGACCAAATTGGGCCAGACGATGTACGTATCGGCTTCGATGAAGATGTACCATTTTGCCTTGGGCCGAGCCTCCAATGCGCCAGCGATCATCGGAAGAAATTTCCACTTATCCAGCTTCCAGCCGGGATTGTTCACTTTGCCAAAGGGGCCATTGGAATGGTCGCCAAAGTCAGCCGGAGTCAGGTCCTCGGGCCCCACTTTTTGAAGTCGATGGTAGAGTCCAAATTCAGCTTCCTTGGACTGTGTTGCCTGAGAGATATTTTGCAGGATGTTGTGCGTGCTCACTCCCCCGATTGTTTCCTCGTAGTCGGAGAAGATTGCGTAGTGTGGAATGCACTCCAGGGTGGTGTGTAATTGTACGGGGACTTTTTGCCGAGCTTCGGTTGCCCCGGTCTTCATGACGACGAAGATATCCTCCATGCCCTTGCGAATCCTGTCGCAGCGCTCATCGTCGTCTGAGGAATTTTCGGAAATTTGTTGTTGCTGCCATGATTTGAAGTCTGAGAATGGCCGGTGGAGTTCAGAGGGCGTTGAGTCACTTGCAGATTGGGCCCATTGCCTCTGTGACTCTAGTGATGTGATTTCTGGGGGTGTTGAGGAGAAGATAGAGTATATCAATATTGTTGCCAAAATGATAGATGCGCAGGCCATCCATCGTATGGATGAGGTCATCATGTTGATTTGTGATGGTTTGTTGCCACGGCCCGTAGGAGTGTATGTGAGTCGAATGACGACAGAAAGATATTCGAGTATGTCACCGCTGTCAGGCAGGACAGCAGAAATGACTGGATCAGATGCGGGATATATGAAGGGAAGACGAGAATAACGCGTATGAATGATGGTGGGATCTTAGACAGATAATGCCATGAATAAGTAGCAATGTCCCGCAGAGGGGCGTTGAGCAAGGAGTAAAGGAAAAAAAGAAACAAAAAGAGATGGCAATCTGCAGACCCTGGAAAGGATCTAAAACGATAGAGGGTATAGCGCACGAGGGAGAGGCATTTCCCGCCCCCAGGAACTGCGCTTCGTGAAACGAGAAGAGTGAGAAAGGTATGCGATCTTGTAAGGCATCAAGTACGATGATGCAGTCTGAACTTCTGAAGTACCCGACAGCAGTCGCTTCAAAAAGCGGGATCAGATCTTCATGAGGGATGACACAAGCGAGGATCGTCCATGCTCGTCCCTGAAACCCTGTCATTATAGTTCTTCCGCGATTCGATGACAAACTACACTAGCATACAATGAACATAACTTGACTAGTTGACCCTCACTCGGATCCTATGTACATACCCCAAAGTGGGCGCGTAGTCATACACTTCCACGGCGGTTCCTGGAAGCCCAATTGTGGTTTGACTGGCCACCAATGTATCCACCTCGCATTACTCTATTGTAGCTTGAAACAGCCGATCCCGTGGGGACACGATAAATGGGGATACTTAAGCCTCCACTCAAGAGCATGAATGCCTGATCCTGACCCAACTGGCAGTGTCTTCTGAAGTCCTAAGCGCACAAGCTGTCAGACTAACCGCCCGACGACTTGGTATGCATGCTAGAAATAGACAGATCATCAGTAAACAAACAAACACCACCCGGGGACCAGTTGCGTGTGAAGGACCTGGAAAGAAATCCACAGCCCCACGTCTTGGGCGTCATCACCCTCGACGCTCGAGTCTGCGGGATGATAATAATAAGATCATAAGATAAGGGCTTCAGTCTAATACTTCCAGTGATTCATAAAGCCATATCTACCAAAAAAAGGAATGTTTGACTCTGGCAATGTATGTCAGTTTCCGTAGGTGTGAACCCTACTTACCTAAGTCAGTAATTAATCTGTATAATTATACATATTATAGCAAGCATTGAAGCAACAGGTCAAGTTGAAGCAGATACATGTCTAAAAAACTGACGGTAAATCGGAAATACATCCGTTCGTTTTCTGTACTCATCGCCACAGAACCACCGGTACCTGACCGGTCAACCCTGCAAAGGCAATGTGGCCACCCTCCCTTTTTGATCGTCGTGAAAGTGGACACTCCCAAAGGAAAGGAATGGCCGTGGCGGAGGACCTTGATCAGCATATCCGCCTAGAAAGCTACATGAGCCATCCTCAGGGGGGGGCACAGCAACAGTAGGAGAAATGGTCCGGTGGTTGCTTCCTAAGGTTGATCGCATAAGAAAAAAAAGTACAAAGGTACTGTCAAGTGTAAGCGCCTAGGATAGGAGGGGAAGGGCATGTAAGAGTGCTACAAGTGAATCAAGTTCCTAGGCTCCAGGGCGTCAAGGAGCGTTCAAAGGAAGAAACGGCGAGTCGTTCACGCCAAAGAACCCGAAAGTGGAGAGAAGACTGCGATCGGCGCGCTATTCGCCTATAACTGCAATGCGCCTACCTACATTTGAGTTATGAGTATGGTCCCAGTGAAGGGGACGAACTATCTTAGTCGATGCAGTCAACAGTCAACACTGGCGATGCCAGGGCAATGATTTGCGACCGGGAAAATTATGGATGTTTGACAGGAGTGATGTATTATTTCTCCGGCACGGACTGGATTTTGCCAATCTTCGGCTACAAATAGCACCATTTCGAGCAATGATAGGGTTCGAAATGTCAAAGGGGACAATTAGTCAATTACTGTCCGGATACGATTACGTTAGGAAGGTCAATTCTGTATCTCAGGGGATCAATATGTTTGCAAAGGCAACTCATGTGCGAAGTTGAGGAATGCCGGAGGAGACAAATCTCCACAGTAGTGTAGTACCTACCTTCTTGAGTGCGCTCTCTGGGCCCAAGCCTTGACTGCCAAAGCGAGGCACACGGCAAGGCAATCTTAGCTTTTCCTGTCGCCGATCGTACTCAATGAAGGCTTTGGGCTTCGAGCTTCAGGGGTTGGAGTGAACACCCGTTCTTCCCCCTTTCTTGAGATCCACCTCGCTATATCCAGTATTTAGCGCACACCACCGTTTCTCGCCGTTCTCTCGGTAGATGGAGCACAACGTCAATAACAGCCCCGCCGATCAGGAACAAGGTTCCATGCAGGAGGAGAAACAAGGTGGGAGAGATGAGAAAAGATGGTCATCGAATCCGATTCTGGAGTCCTTTGTGACACAAAGTTCTTGGCGGCAAGAAGTGACATATTATCATGCTCCTGATGAGTATTATCCGGAATGCCGTCGCTGCTTCTTCTTGCATTCAAATGTGAAGGATGTACAGCCGGTCGCTTGCGATGACACTCGATGTTGAAGAACATGTGAAACACATGACTGGAGCCGTTTAAATTGCTGTGGATGCGAGCACATCCATGGCGGTGGGGCTAATGGAGCTTCGGCTTTTTGAAGGTGACGACCGTGCGAGCCTCGTCAGGGACAGCGCCGAGGTATTACGTCGAGACACAGCAGTGTGGGACATCTCTGCTAGTGAGGTCGTTCTTAAATCGCGACCGGGATAAAGAAATTGTCTCCCCTTAAGGTGCTTCAACCGTTTTGCTGACTCCCAGCCTCGTGGAACGTTTCTGGAAAAAAACCTGGAGGGGGCCATATATCCTCGATAGACGGTGGATGAACCAAAGGCTGAGATCCCAACAGACGGTCGGGGTCATGACAAAACGCTTGAAAAGTGCTATCATCCAAGAAGCCAAAGTCTTTGAGGCCAGCCTCGCGGTTGTTTGACCACTCGGTGGTGTCGAGGTATGCGAGGTCATTGAATATCGCATCAAGATCACTCGTAATCGTACTGGCAGAATGGCTAAATGAAGCTTGTTTGTGGACAGGTACAGATAAATCACTTGTCGCAGGCTTGCCACCAAATACTGAGCTGGACATGTAGGAGTCTGGTGTACGGGGCTGAGGGTTCGCGGTCCCCGGTGCAAACATTCGATCTGCCATGTTCGGGGCCGCCGTCAAGCGATCAGACAGTGCCGGCTGGTGGAGGACTGATTGCATCGTAGGAACCTCCGAATTCCCCATGGTCGTATCGGAAGGGGTCAATGATTGATCCTTGCTGGAGGCCACGATGGAGAACGCGAAGCTGGCTTGATCCGAAGGATGAATGCCATGGACCACGCTCGTGGCTCTCCCAACGTTATCTAGGTCTCTTGGGAGTGAGGAGAAGCCATTGCGGGCATAGCCCGACGCCGTTCTGGGGCCGTTGCTGTATCTTGGCCAGCGCTCGGTCGACGATGCGTACGAGCTATAGATCGGCCACATTGAAGCTAATGCTGGGACTCTGGAGTGGTATTCCTCCGCCCAACGTCGGGATGAGTAGTTGTCCGGCGAATGTCTCGATTGTTGCAACAAGGTGGCCTGCTCACTGACAATCCGTAATCCACCGTCAAATATCGGGGGTAGTCCACACATGGGGAAGTGCTCCAAATGTTGTGTGATCATCGACAGCCCACGGCAAACGATTCTCTTCACATCATCCGCCAATGAGACTCGTTCGGCCGGGGCAAGGCGCGAGTGTAGCCAGAGCAGCGTTGACACATACGTCAGACCAAGGTAGCTCTGATGAGGAAGCAAAGCTGATTGACGCTCGACATCGGCGGATTCTGGGCCAAATAGACGACATCCTTGCGGAAGATGATTCTCCCACTGTTTTAGGTCCCTCAACATTTGAGGAATCATACTCGCAGCCTGACCTCCCAACGAGACGCTGCGCACAATCTTGTTGAGCATGCCCGCCAGCTCCACCAATCGATTAAAGCAGCTGAGAGATTGAAGGGGCCCTCCACGAGGAGGGTTTCTCGTCGGGGGCGGTGCCAGTGGGAGAACGTCCATCCACGAGTTCCACTCCTCAAGTCCGTCTTCCTCTAACAATCCCACGGTCGCCAGGTTATCAGAAGACATGGCAGGGGACCGAGAGAGTCGGAATGAAAGTAGAGAGTCAATCACAAAACAGCCTAATAACACCGCTTGGCCCTGTCTTTCTTCGTCGGCCCGATGTGAGTCGATAGATGTACCTAAACCCATGGCCATGGTCATGCGCACTGCCTGGCCGCTCAAGAGCCACGCAGCAGTCCAGTCATTCAGACCGATATTGACCAAGCTCAAAAGGAGCAGTGCCTGAATATGGCCCAGTTCAAATCGCTCCTTTTCAGAGGGAAGCAGACCCCGAGAAATAGAATAATATTCTCTTGCACGACTCAATGGATCAGAAGGGCTAGTCGTAGGTTTGACTGATCCTTGAGCCACCGTGTAGCTGAGAATTGCCCACAAAGCCGCATGGTCCCCGGACCCATTGGATTCTGCAGAAATGGAGAGAGGGCCGGTTGCGTAGAAATACGATGCGCGGAGAATATTGTGTTTGGCGAGGATTGGAAACCAGGAGTGCGTTGCGGCAAAGTAAATATCGAGTAACTGCGATGTTTGAGGAGGTAGTCGCAGCATCTGGGCACCGGTATCTGACAGAGAGGGGATTCGGGCGTCCGAAGGTAGCGACGTTCTGGCTCGCTTTGCGTGGGAGGATGAGACGGTTGTTGGTACGGTAACATGAGGGGCTTCGGGGCCCAGAGGAGTCGATTCTTGAGCGATACGAAAGCCCCATTGACCACCGACCTGTGGATTCGAGTCATCCAAATTCGAGGCGCGCGGTCGCTTGCCTGTAGTGATAGATTGCTCGGGGGTTGACAGCATCCTCTCTAGTTCGCTACACAATCGGCTCGTCTTCCATGTCTCATGAAGACTATCTGATGCGCCGTCATCGGACCAGATGGACATCATGGCTTCTCGACGATCTGGAGATTCCGCCGTGGAGCCTAGCATGGCCAGCATGGTTTCCTCGAACCCGTCGATGTTACACAATGAAAGTGCCCATAATTTCTCCAATCCACGAACATATCCCTCCGGCAAACCACGTTTTTTCGCGTGAGGATCGTAGGAGCAAGGCTGACCGCTAGCTTGACAAGCCGAGCAGGTCGGACGGAGACCATCGCATTTATCCTGAATGGGTAAACCACAAGTGAATGAGCAAGTGGCGCCATTTCTCGATTTCTTGACTTACATGAGCGAACCGCGACTCACCTTCTTGCTTCGGCAGCGATCGCACGCCCGTGATACCCTCTTCCGCCGAGTCGCCTTTTCGGCCCCCTCATCCATGAAGAGGTTTATTGTGAGCAGAGCCGCATGGCCTGCGCCGTTTGATATTGGCGGAATTCGACTGTCGACGCGAAGACTGGCTGGACCGAACTGAGGCAGAGAGCCTTGAAGAAGGTCAAAATGGCCCAATGCACGCCCCCGATCTGACCGATTTCGTTATGACCGTCAATCGCGTGGAACGTGAAAGGATCGATCGTGACAAACTGGCCGACCTGCAGCTTCAGTTGGGACGAGGATCCAGACGACCGGAGACGCTGTGGGGGATCGGCAGCGATTGAACGCTCGCTGAGTCGGACAGATCAAATTGAAGACTTGCCCCAGCTGGTCGGGTCAGATAGTGTGATCTCTCCGTAAGAACTTGGGGGCTATGCTGCAGACATCCGCTTCGCGCCCAGAAAGAAGATTGTTGCAGGAATGACGAACGGGACGGAGTGCAAAGTGTCCAAGGAATAGGATGCCCGAGACTTAGAGTGCGGCCTGGACTTGGACACTCGGGATTGCAGGTTCAGACCTCGGACTTCCCCACGGCCCCACAAGATCCACCATGGATTAACCTGCAGGAGGCTGTAACTCTGCATAGTTTGGAATAGCCGGTCGTCTCAGGGCAATCAAAGCAGACGATGTGCGCGATCTGTGTTTCTGCATCAAGGGAATCGCAGATTCAGCGAAAATATGACTGGTCACGTTGATCGAGATATTTGTGTCACGTTCTCGAGAAGCCTTACCTGGCTCAAGTCTCATACTCGAAGCCTTGAACCGGGTTATGGAGCCTCCACGCGGCGATCACAAGGCGCCCGATCTGGAGAAAGGTACGATGGCGGCGGGTGTTGTTGGACTTTTCGAGGTGGAACGAATACACCTGGCGCTCTGTCGCTATGTCGCTCTGCAGTGGCGATATCGGCCTAAGTGGCTCGCTCACAGGCATGAAGCTCTGTCCGTTTCGCCCTTGTCGTCTTCATTCTCGAGACTTGCTTGCCAGGGCGAAAACGGGTCTCACAAAGTACGGATGTTGCTGAAATGTGATCACCTCCGTCCGTCCCATAAGCATGAAGCCTTTGATCTTCTCATCAATGTCGCATCTGGTTTCAAGTATCCATTGTCCAGGGTCAATGTAAATGCACGAGGCGGCGCAGGGCTGCACATGGTGCTGGTCTTCTTTGCGTCAAATCGCTGGGTCCAAGTGCCAGAGTTTCTTAGTGCATCTCAGCCGGCTAAAGTTTCAACCGCCCCAATGGCAAAGGTAATGGGCAGGTTTGTGGATCACGATAGACTTGTACTGCGACCGCTTTCTCCGCGATTTCAGTCCCTGGCCTACAGTATTTGTCCACATATACCGTTCCATCTCCAGTCTCACTTTTCGTAACCCTCAGATTGCGTTGAAACCCAGGCAAATTCAACCGGGACCATTCACCCGGGCGACCAAGGTTCATTTCCGGCACGACTTGTGTGCCATACTGCTTTGAGATGCGAAAGCTTCACGGGCCACAATATACATGATGTGAAGCGGGTCAGCTTCACCCGGGCAGATACGGCTTTGAAGTTGTCTTGTCTGGTTTGTCACCAACCAGAATGACCAGCATAAATGATGACGCTATTTTCATTGGAATGAGTATCAGAGACTGTTCTAGATCACGAGACTCTGAAGGGAATACAATGTTGTGTTCGACCGCCGTGGCAGACACTCACTTTGAAACAGGTAAAGCTCAGCACCACTAGGGGAGCTTCATTACACTTTCTCGCAGGTGATGGATACGTAGGTATCTGCATGTATTGGAGATAATTCTCAAATTCAAACATCCACCTAACATGCGGGCCGAGTTTCCAGTCTTTACATGGCCTTAACCCTCATACAGTACCTACCTAATCTTTCAGGTCGTGGAGTCCAGTACACGGACGAAATTCTGTACCAAAGCACTTGCTACTTGGGCGCATCTGGCTAGCCTTTCAATTACATGGATATCAATTCCTTTCCAGAAACCGAGACTCATACGGCTGATGGTGACCGAGGTTTTTCATCAGCTGTGCCATCTAAAAAGAGCTCATATATTTTTCCGGTCGAGGTGACAAAGTCACCAGACTCATTTTTCTTTTACCTGCATAACGAGGCATTCAAGTAGGAACTTATACACGCGGAGGACTCGATAATCCTTCACTGAATGAGAACGAAAGATGACGTCTGCATCGACTGCAGTCAGGAATTTTCACAATGAACGATGATTAATTACCAATGTCCAAAGCATTTCGAATCATCGGAGGACAAGAGCAAAGTTTCGCCCTCGACGCTACTAGCCGCATAATCAGAGTAACCACTAGCAGCGAAACAGACACGATCGATATCTCGATCAATCAAGTCATGTATTTCTTGATCGCCACATATTGTATGCACTTAGCTAGCATCTAAATCTGCCCGCAAGTCGTAGGAAACGAGCTCAGTTGTGACTCGATGGAAATACCGCGTGTGATCTGCTGGCCGGTGAGTCGAGGAGGGGAATAACCTGAGTGCCTTCCAAATCATTGAAGTCAAGCCACATCGAAGGATTCTTAGAAATAAAATAAGAAAGCGCCACAAAATTGCCTTGAGTTCTTGAGATCGCAGAATCCGTACGACCACGTAGTCTTCAGTAGAGGATGTTGTCAAGTCGAACTGCCGCTGAAGCGACCAGATGTGGGGACCTTCCGTGGTAACCGTCCGTCTAACTCCTTTGGTCACTAGCGGTGAATGTTAGTCTCCCTTCAGTCCAGGTACCGTGACTCGGCGGGCCTGAGCTTTGCTTGTCTGCCCCATTAATTGGATTCACTTGACACTCCTCACCAGACCCTCCACCACACCCCTTCGTCCTCCCAATACAGCTTCACTCTGTTGCCTGCCCACTCACCTCCTCAAAGTTCGAGTTGCCTAGGACGCACACCCTCCCTGATGCCTGGCTTCTTAGAGCCTGCTAGCTCACTGTCCGCCACATGGAAAAAAAAGAAAGCGAGACAATGAATCAGAAAACACAGGCTTGGGTCGTCCGTAAGTTCTCCGCGTTAGCAGCCCAATATGGCTATATCCTGAGATGCACGATGTGTCCACGGTGACTCTGAATACTGACTGCTCTCTACCGCGCCTGCAGTTCGTCGTTCTTTCCTTTCTGCAAAGAGCACACCGATTTCGACGGCAACCGCCCGCTTCCCTTGCCTCGACACCCTGCAGAACTCAACGACTTGTCGTTTCGCCCCCGATGTCTGCCTCGAAAACGGAGACACCTGCAGCCCCCATATCTTACTATTCAACCACACCAACCACCATCCCCTTTGACGCCCAGCGTGTACACATCTGCTCAGGATTCTTGTTCGCCGCCCGTCTCCCCGAAGACCCTCGTGCCACTTTCATACCCTCCAACGTCTGCTTCCGCTCTGCGGCCATGTCACATCTGCCATCGACGGCCCACGACCCGACAAGTGCTAGATGCATACGCCGATTGTGACATGTGTCAACAACGGGCCTGCTTTATCTGTCTGCGCCAGTGCGATGCCACTGATTGCGTGGGCTCCGCATACGGAAGCATCCCCAACGAGCACGAGCTAGACCGTTACTTCTCCGATGGCGAAAATGGCGAGGAAGGTTTGACCCGCAAACGAAAAGTTTGCTCTCGCTGTGCAGTCGAAGGGCTTACCGAGACCGGGTCGGAAATCGTCCGTTGTTTGGACTGCGTACAGGGTCATGCCCAGTTCCCTTGGTCTGTGGATCATCGGAATCAAGACATGATGCACGGGTAAAGCCTCCTGGTGGAGCTTCCGTACCGCCGATGATTTCTTGATGATTCTACGAACCCTACGCCCACTTATATGTTACACCTCCTCCGGCACACGTCTCTCTTCATGACATATTTGGAGCAGGATATCCAGTCTTCGACACAGTCCAGCGAGGTGCAGACTGAGGCCGGAGCACGGGGCTTCACCCCTACGACGCATTGCTGTTGTTATCGTTTTCCCCCCTCTTCCACCTCCCATCGTTCTTGCTTGTCCCAAGTATGAGACCGGGTATTCTTTACCAAGCATTGTCATTCTTCCATCATTCTTCTCCTCATACTCAGGCGTTTTGTTTCTGCTTTCTGGTCTTTTGGAGTCTCCTTATAATGAATGCTGGTGTTCCTCGGAGCAATATATTGCATCATCTGCGCTATCATGACCCTTTCTTCTCGTCTCTTGTTGCGCCGCTTAGTCTCGAGCGTTACACCATCTTACATAGATACCATTCAATATCACAGACGGGATGGCCCGTCATTTCCACCCATAGAGATCGGATTGTCCCGGCAAGTATTGATAATATACAAGTTGAATGAATACTGTCACGAATTAACGATGCAAAAGAGGTATAGACTAGCCTTGACTAGTATGCAGCCAGCACTCTGGCGAATATTCAAACTCCATGGGCCCCTTGTCATCTGCAACAGGCCCCACAGTCTATCGGAATCACCGACCAAATCGCATTTGCGCCCCAGCATAATGCCACAACCCCCTCATAAAGCCCTGATATTCCACCGCCTCTCCATACCCCGTCATGCCGCGATGATGCACCCCCGTACAGTACATCTCGGTCAACCGGATCTGCCACGGCGGATATCCATCCAATTTCAAAAAGGACCCAAACACAAGAAGAAGATCTGGCTCGGGCTTCATGATCGGCTGTGTACCGGCACTCTCCTGTGCGGCTTGCGACAGAAGAGGCTGCGTGGTGATCTCACTGATCTCGGCGTCGACCAGTTCGGGGGTGATGTCCTCGGGGGAGAGTTTGCCGTTTTGAGACATCTCGGCGAGGGTTTTGGTCAGATCGACGATGGTTTCGCGGCCGTCGGTGGAGGAGAGGAGGAGGATGGTGAGGGATTGGGATGGGGTGCTGGTACTTTCGGATCGAGGGGTTTGCTGTGTAGTGTGTGCGCCGCCGTAGACGGGGTGGTGAGGGGCGAAGAGTCGCAGAGAGGGCTGTTGGGAGGATGTGCCGAAGTAGGAGGTGAGTTTGGTGGAAATGTTGCGGTGCAGGGCAGGGATACATGATTTGAGGATTCCTATAATGCGGAGAAAGAGAGAGAGAGAGAGCGTGTGTGTGAGTATATTTGTATCTGGGTGTAGGCTCTTCTTTGTTCTCGGGTGTTGTTTTTTTTTGGTCGCATACCTGATTTCTCGTAGACGCTGAGCTGCGGAATTCCTGCGCTCGCACTCCAGGCAGCCAACTCGGCGACCTCGTCCATCAATACCGCCAGCGCATCGTCTTCCTTCTGAAGGGTCAAAATGACACTCAGATGTTCCGGCAAACGCTTCAAACCCCTGACATCCTTCCGAATCAACTCCGGCGTCCGATGGTGGTGGTAAACAATAGCGAAGACCCGATCTACCACCGCGTGGTACGCCTGCAGTAAGCGGACCACAATGCCAAAGAAGATATGTGTAATGGCATAAGTGAATTTATAAAGTTGCGATTTGAGGAATGTGCGGATCGGCTTCTTGCGAGCTCGCTGCTGGCGCCGTTGCGAGGGGCCAGATCCGGTACGGGATTGTGAAGCCGACGAATTCGAGCTTGGCTCGAGGTCTGCCGGGTCGGGCAGGTAGGGTTTGAGCAGATTCTCGCGATCGGCGGCAGTGAGACTCTTGTCGCCGCGGGCGCGGATGTCCGCGCGAAGAATCTCGCGATCGGTCTTGGAGACCATTGTCGCGGGGTTTGGTTTGGAGGACGTGGGAGGAAATGTAGTGTAGATCGGAAGTCGGGATGAATATGGTGGAACTAGAAGTTAAAAACGGGTGTCTTTCTCGGGGCCGGTGGACGGTGGACGGTAGGGATTGGGAGCTGGAACTTGTATCAGACAACCCACGTGCAAATTGATCGGCTCGACAGATGAGAAGTCGGACTCAATGGAGATGATTTGTGTGGGTGCGCTTTTGCAGATATGATCAGTAGAGGATTGCGTGGACCTCTACACAAACTGCTTTGCAAATTGATTCTTGGGCACTTGCTGCCTAGTTGATTCCGCTGGCACACTTCGTCGCGTCATGCTCAAAGTGTTCTTGGCGTGACATGTGCTCAGCATGTTGCACTGGCTAGTAGCTAGTAGGTAGTAGCTACTAGCGAGTAGCTCGTTCATGCCTCCTGCTAGGCCAGGAGGCTTGAAGTTTTCGTATATTGGGCAATGGACAGTACTGAATGACCGATATGAAGGTGTCGTTTACTCTGTTCATTTCATTCAGGTGTTCGTATGGAGTATGGACTGCGGACAGTCCTGCAGTAAACTGGCGGAGGAAGAGAGGTTCAGCTATGCTTTTTCGTGGCGACACTGATGATTACGATATGGAAATACGGATCCGGGGGTCAATAGTAAGAAAAGGATACAGCGATGTTGAGCATGTAAAATCTGGAAGCGATGTCCCTAAAGTCATCTTTAAAGCTTCCCCCCTGTATACCGCGCAGTTACAATTCCTAACCTCCTCCAACCTTAACTGCCCCTGGCGCGCGGTGGAATTTACCCGGACCTCCGACGCTTCCACCAGCTCGTACCTCTTTAGCTTACCCCGGATTTGGTCTACGCCCAGAGCTCTCGTCACTCAGTCCCCCGGTGATCTGCACAATTCGAGGATCTTTGCGTCGAGAAAGCCTCATTCATCACTGTCTAGGGTCAATGCCCATCGGCTCCATATGACTCCCCCGCTACCGCCATCATGATGATGCCCGATAATGCATCCATCGCGACCCCAAACCCCGCTCGTTCCGTCTTTCCTCAAGGCCCCAGTTTCTCGCTGGAAGATTTCTCCAGTCGTGATTTCATCGTGAAGGAGTTCATCGAGGCCCTCTCTGACACTGCCATCTCCCATCGCCGCTCCGCTGCGGGCACTGTGGCCGCCTCGAATCAACCCTTCGACCCGAAACCGCTCATCCGCACCTTTGAGCATGCGCAGCGACGCCTGGGAGAACTGTCCGGGGACTTGGAGATCCGAGAAAATGAATTGTCTGCCGCAGTGCGACGCGCAGAGGCTCAACATTCCCAGAATCTGACAACACTGGGCCGGAAGCTGCGACAAACGATCGAATCATTTCAGCAGTTGGACACGTCATTAAATGGCAATGGGTTAGAAAATGGTGAAGGTAGAGGGGCCGCGGGGGGATGGGAAATATGGCCGTGGAGACGGGTCGAAAATTAGAAGAGTTGGACCGACAGCGTCGCCGGGCGCTAGATGCGCATTTCCTGCTCGAGTGCTGGGATGGCGTGTGCAATCGCGGTGAAATTGCCTTGTTGGAGAACCTGCGACGGTCTGGTACGGCAGAGGCCAAGGTTCGCTCCGCGCATATAGCCCGCCAGCTTTTGCGTATCAGTCAGCGCCTCGATCCAGAAAGCTGGCAATCTTCGTCCAAGCAGAGCAATGGCAAATACGGGGGCAATTCTTCGTCCTCGGAAGATCTGAGCACCGGTCACAGCACGCCGCGGAGGAATACACGCGAGATTATTGAGAAATTCTCAGAGACATTGGAAAAGGACTTGCTGAAACAATTTGACGATTTCTACCGCAAGGCGAACTTTGAGGGCATGAAGGACTGTGCGACCGTGCTGCAGGATTTCAATGGTGGCTCGAGCGTGATTGCGCTCTTTGTGAATCAGCATCAGTTCTTTATCGATCGCAGCCAGTTAGTCACGGAGGAGGTGGGTGGGGATGCTGAATCGTGGGAGAAGATGGCCGACCCCGACGCGGAACTACCAGGCGTGGAACCTAGTTTACAGTCCTTGCTGGATGAGGTCAAGGTTGTGGTACAGGAGGAATCAGCAATCATCCGACGAGCATTCCCGTACTACGAGCAAGTGTTGGGCAAGTTTCTTCAGCGTGTCTTCCAACAGTCGATCCAGCAGCGACTCGAGATGGTGTTGGACAAGGCCAGTGGGGTGTCTTCGCTGGCATTCTTGCGATGTCTGCAGAGCTCTCGGGGCTATATCAGCACCCTGATTGATGACCTCAAAGCGCATGGCCTCACCGAACATCCCGAGTCCATTTCCTCCCAGACAGCGTTGCTGTTGGATCACCAATTGGAGGAGCTTTTCGTTCCTTACTTTGTCGGGTCCTCCTACATCGAACGAGAGAAGCGCACTCTGGAGGAACTCTTCCACGCCGTACTCTTCAAATTCACGTCCTATCATGCGCGTCGCAAGAAAGCCGCGACCACATTCATGGCCTCTCTCTCACGGCCGAGCACTACAGAGCTACTGTCCGCTACTCGAGATGCTTTTATAAGTCGACTCGACTCGCCCGAGATGCCACCTACACAACGGCGGATGCTACTGCACGTTGCCAAGGTGGGCGATGTGCCCGAGACTCAACGCTTGACTGAAATCAAAATCTCCGATGAAGAGGGCCAGCCGAGCCTGAACGACGCCAAGCGTATGCTCAAGTGGCTGGCTGAGGCGGTTGGTCGTGGCTTGGAACTGAGCGTGAATACCGACACGCACAAGGATGTGTCAGCCCTCTTGACCTTTCTGTTGGCCAATATGGGCGATGGATACGTGGATGTCTGTCTTGACGCCGCGTTGGAAGCTGCCACGGCCCAGGAATCCGGGAAGAATGAACCGGATTTGGGATTCCTCATGTCTGTGCGGACCACCATTAGTGTCACCACCTTGATGGTGATGTGTGTGAACGCGGTGTTACTGCCCTTGGCGACGTCGAGCATCACTACCCGACGGGACATGGAGAAGCGAATCTCCCAGACTACGTCACGGATCGAGGAGAAGATCAATACCATTGAACAAAAGACTATTGATGCTACGTTGGCGTGGGTCAGTCGACTCTTGTCGGGACAGAGGAAGAATGATTTCCGTCCCCGGGAGAGTGACAATGCGGCATGGTTGGAGATGTTGCAAACACCAGTGAGTTTCCTCCTGCCCCTGGAGTTGACAGCGGTTCACGCTCTTTTCCTCTTTGTAATGAATCATCGTCTTCCCGTACTGACTCTTCTACAGACATGCGCTTCCATCTGCACATTCCTCACCCGAGTACACAACATTGCTCGCACCGCACTCCCCTCGAGCGGATCCAACGTCCGCCACGTCCTCACCGAAATCGCCCTCGGCACCCGCGGTCTCTTACTCGAACACTTTAAGCGATTCGCTGTCAGCGGGCCCGGTGGCTTGATGGTCACCAAGGACATGACCCAATACGCCGACCTACTCAAGTCCTGGGACATTGACGAGGACACCAAGGGACCTGGCGGCGCGCTGGACGTGCTGCTGGAAGTGGGCAACCTCTTTGTGATTGGCGTCGAGGCCCTTCGCGAACGTATCCGCGGCGGTGCAGCCAGTGGGGCGACGGGGACTTCGACGGGGCCTGGCCGCAGTGCTGGCGGACAAATGGAGGCCAAGTTGAGTGTGCAAGAAGTACGAGCCTATGTGTCACGGAGAGAAGATTCCAATACGTTGGCCATGCAACAAGTTTTGAATGCGTTGTAACAACGGACGCGTGGCGTTGGAAGATTAGACAAGGTTTGGGGGGTTCATGATAGACGAGGATGCAGCAACGCTTCATCTAATTGGCTTTGAGTTTGACAGATTTGAAACAATTCACGATCCTACCATAAATCAGATTGACTCGGGTCTTCGCATATCCTACAACGCTTGCCAGACTTGTGCCGGCTTTGATTGTCTTTTTTTTTCTTCTTCTCAAAGAGGACAGGCACTAAGCTCATTGCATACATAGGTTTAAACTTGGGTAAGAGTTCTGGTAAGCATGGATCTACCCCTCGGACAATATACCTTATCTTATTTGCCGACTTCCAAAGAATACCTCGACTAGCCCCATTCTGATTCTGCGAGTTGTCCTGACCATGTCCGCGAAGCAATCGACCGGTAAGGACGAGACGAGCGTCATCCACACGGATGCAGAGAAACGACCCCCTCCCGTCCCCTTCACCAACCCGGACAGGATCAGACCGTCGGAATCTGAACTGGAGAGGCTGTTACTGTAGTTGTAGTAGGTCTGTCCCTTGATTCCAAGGTTTGCGGCACGTGAAAAAGCTTCACGCCATGTGGTGAGTGGGATTTGGCGCCCTGGCCCAATGACTGAGTTCCTGGTACTTCGACCTTCGGATCAGACACATCATCGACCTGGACATGCATGGAGGGCGAGATTTTCTTGCCCCGGGCAGACGCCATGTGGAGGGCAGTGCCGAACTTTGAACCTTTCAGGTCCGAGCTTAGGTTGTATGCCTGTATGTTGGTCTGTTGTCGTTGCGAGGCATGGGTTCACAGGATTTTGTCGTCCGTATGGTTGAGTGGATGCTCAATTGGGAGTATGCCGGATCCGTGCGATGGAACCTTTTTCCTTCCATCAGGGGAGACGGCAGAGTGTAGATGTGGATGTATTAGCGATATCCATGACATCTCAGTCAAGTGTCATCATAGAGGGGAGCCCGAGCATATTGATCTCGGGCTTCAGGAGGGGTTGCTATGGAATGTTCTCGATGTGAACTCGGACTCTGCTTTTGCCCGACGTAGAAATCGTCGTCTTCCAAACAACCGTCATATGTACTTTCTTGACTTCCACGTCTCCACCAAATCCCGCGGTCAACAGAGCAAAGTACACTGCTAGGTAGACAGGTATACCTGAACATGAACCTTAGGGATAAAGTCATACATCAGGTAGAAAGTCAACATCCTCGGAAGTTGTCCAGCTCGTCAACCGTATCAGTTGACCACTTTTTCTCTCTCCGGTTGACTTGCATGAAACTAGCCCACGCCACCGACAAAGCTCGGTCTCCGGAAAAATAAATCGAACTAGTTAAAGCAGGGCAGATCTTTGATCCTCTGGATTTTGTGGGACTAAGAGGAGAAAATAAAAAGTGAGCTCGCGTGGCAGAGTGGGACCGTGCAGCTGAATTAGATATGTATGGGTCGCATTTCGTGAGATCCATCCGGCTGAGGAGTTTGTGATGGATCAGACGCGGTTGTTGGGTGCGATGTCTCGACCTGCTCTGCTGAGGTCGTCGGTAGGTTTGGCAAATATGGCCGGATCGGGTGTTGTGAATGAAATGTTCTGGGGTTCTGCAAGTTGGGTCCGGACGGTGATGTCTTGAGTGTTTGGATTCGATTCAATTGTTCCCGGAAATCATTCCGGCTCTGTCATCTGGCGTGTTGAACTATCTGGCCGCTGGATACGTAGAGGGTAATAATAGTGCTGGACAAGAGTCAAATAAAAAGAAAGTTTCGTCCTGGCAACTCGTAGGACGATGATAACCCCCAGTTGAGGGGTTGCAATACTGCCATCTCACGGACGGTATCCGCAAAGAAGGACGAATTTGGTATCGTAAGTCAATTGAATATTCTCGTGTTGTATTCGGCTTCCGTTCGAACCGTCGAGGGCATCCCCACTGTGTTGACGTACCGCGAAACCTACATCATGACCACTCTACCATGTGTATGGAAACCTAGTACTGTAACCGATATCGTCACTCTATTTGACTTTCGGCAGTGCGATGAACTCGCGCTAGATTCTTGTAAAAGGAAATCCGTCCTTTGCCATCCCTGGTCATCGATCATAGGGTGGGGTACGGGGTCAATCCCGAAGTTTCGTCGATCTGATCGCTCACAAATGAATGGACGCCCGATTTTCCCGAACTTGCATGCATAGAAGAGGAAGAAAAACGACACTAGCAAGTGGAAAGCGTCGAGAAAGTAATAGATTTGACTCGGGTTTTCTGCAGGCTAGTGTTTTGATCGGAAATAGCTCCGCTTGTGCGGGTTAAGGACTGTTGAAAACATGAGGTTGATGGTGTGGTTTGCTTTTTGCCGCTTGTTCATGTGGTCGGTAAGATATTGTTTGTAGTTTGTCGATTGTTGATGTCTCAATCTTTAATTGGAGAAAACAGCACGTAGAATGTAGCAATATCTAGAGAAGACGAGAGAGTCTCGGTATCCGTTCACTTCCGGCAACTATATTGCGGCAAGCAGGTGTATACCCAAACTCAGATGCCCGACCAGGCTTGACAGGCCGTGTTCACCTACACTCTCAACCGGGAATGTCCACGTTTTGACACGAAACTTCCCTCCGAATATCGACATCACACTATGATTCACATATGGAAGCAGCTTCATACTATTCAGCTTGATCCATCCCGGCCAGCAGCCCGCAAGCATCATCGTGACGCCGGGTCTTGGCCCATTCGACTTTCTTGACTTTAGACTTTGAAACACCTTCCAACTCCTTCCTCATCCCTGCGACTACTCCCATCCCGCATGAACTGCGAGCTGCATCCAGTACCGGGATCCCTGGTTAACTTCCCGAGTCAAACCTCTCTCTCTCCCCTTGCCTTGCATACTGACCGTATCTCTGTAGGAGCCCTAGAAGCTATCGACCTTGGCCCCGTCGCATTCCAAATTCCAAACCCAACCAGCAGGATGAAATCGACCCCAGCCCGTACAACAGGAGAAAGAAGAAAAGCCCTACACACGATCCCCCATCGGTAGACGCAGATAGCCGCGTTGGTGATCGGACTTTCGCCGTTTCAGCTGCTAGGCATCCGATTTGGTTCGCGCTGGTTCGAGTGCCAACTGCAGGGTTATGCCGTGGTGTGTATAGGTAGTCATGGGATGGGAGTAGTAGGTTGGTAATTGGTTAGGTAGGTAGGTACATGGGTCGGTAGGTACCTGTTCTCAGGCTTTTTTCCAGGCAAAACGGATTATCCGAGGGGTTGTTTAATCTAGACCTTTATATTGAGTAGAGAGTGGACTGTGGCTGTCGTTTGGAGTTGCCAGCTGCGTTTACGCTTTCTCGGTTTCTTGGAGGCTGTCAGCTGTTGTTTGTGGAGAACAGGAGCGAGATGTGAGAAGGGGATCGGAACAATTGTTGAGTTGAGCAAGCTACCTACTTTCATCTGGAGTCCTTATCCTTCAGAAGTTGACCTCTTCAAAGATCGCTTCTCGTTTTGAAATGATACGCCGAGGCAAGGTGCTTAAAGAGTGAGAGAAGTTGTGGGCCCGTGATAAAGGCATAACGAGCACCTTACTATCTTTTCGCACGGTTTCTCGTCATCATCATGCCTGCATACGCATGGACGCGCGTGTCTGTTGTATTCGCATCTCCTAGGGAAATACCAGCCCCATTGCTGTCCAAGGGTCTTCTTCTTCTTGGATTCTGTATTTACCCGAGCCAAGGATCAAGCACGTAGAGAATGCATCCTCGCGTATTGAGGACCCGAGATTTCAGCGGTAGGTATCGACCGAGGTAGCGAGTCTAATTCTCACCGTCTATTCAAAGGCAGTTGAGAAGCCACAAAATTCATGAGCACCGACGTCTAAGAGGCTCGTGTGTGGCATTCTCATAGTATAGCCTTTGTAAACAATCACTCGAAGGCTGCGGCTACTACGATGCGAGGGTGAAAAGCTGTCGCGGTGAAAAGGATCGTTTGCCCTGTAAGTTCTCTGCATTGCCTGAGCTCGAGATTTTGGGCAGTAGTATGATCATTTTGTTTCATCTTGCGCACTTATGGCGTCGACTCGAGTTCAAGCGTTCCCTCGGTGTTTTATAATGAGCAACCCGATAACGCGGAGAAAGCCAATAGCTGACTACACTGGACATTCGTCTTGCCTACCCGCTGTATATCCATCCATGGTCTACCCCCTTGCTGGGAGGCGCCATTCGTCACCGACATCGCAGAGGACGCAGGCGACTCGAGTGAACAGGATTAATAAATCTACAGCGGAACCAAATCAATTGTATAGCGAAGTCGACCGAACGACTCGAACGAACCCCAGTACTGATTCGGCCTGTCGAAAACTTACATGGATTGATTAGCTTACCTTAGCTTACCTTAGCCTTGATGATGCAGATTTTGAATTCTAGACTGATTACAATTTCTGAAACAGCGTCGTGCGTGGACTATCGTATGACGCATAATCCAGATGAGGGACTTGTCTAGACTCCAGACTGTTCTGTTCGTGCTAAGGTTAGTGTTCGCTCGAGCTTGGGTCGGGTAGACTGCATGAAATCAGGTAGTGAGGCAGTACTATTGCGATCAGTTGTACCTCCTCTCATGCCTGTATCCAGTGTCAGGTACCTAGCGTCCAGTGTACTGTCTAGTCCCAGTGTCTTGACTATCTACTACTCTTCCCCGAGTCTAGCATTGCACTGGTCCGCTTGTAAATGAAGTTTTTTTTAAAAAAAAAAGGCAAAATCAAAGTTTATTCGGGAGTTCCAACCGAGCATGCACCCGATTTGAGATCTGTGTTTGCGACAAACCGGTTCATCGAGGTGTTCATGACAGGTCAGATTTGGAGGCAGGGAGGAAGCGGGAGGTTCCATGGGTCATACTCGGGTGGGTTATAGATTGTGACTAGGTGGATGGACGGAAAAGCAATGCATGTCTTGAGTGAATGCTGGACAAATGGATGCTGGACCCGGCGGATCCCATCGAATCCACTTTCCACGCGGAATCTTACTGACAACTGTCGTTGTTGATGCTGCACTTGTGGAGATGAGGACGAGAGAAGCATGTACGGTCGACGATGATGGCGACAAGACAGCAGTGGTGATATTCCCTACCTTGACTCTGTACTGTATCTTATTTCTGCGTATATATCTGTAGACAGGCTCTAACCATTTTTTATCTTCCAGAGGGGATGAATATCGACAGGGGATCATGAATTCCGTGGTTGACTCTCGCCTATACCACCAGTCAACACGCCTGATATCCTCTATACCGGAACCCCCTTATCTCCTTCGTTTCCCTCGAGACGTCTCCGGTCGGGCATGATTGCCCAAGTGACAGGTCCGGCGGCTCTTCACTCGATCCGATCGCGGGTTTGTCACTCGGTCCGTGCACGCAGTCGTAAATCAACAAGAGAGTACTTAGTTAGGTACTACTTACTACTTAGTAACTGAGCAGTAAGTTAGTAGCAGTGGGTACCAGGTGGAGTCTGTTGGCGTCGGGCCTAAATTAGCGCCTCTGTTTCTTTGTTTGATGCAGGTTTGGGGGCGTTATGACTATAGGAGCGGTTGCTCATTAGTGGTGGAGAGCAAATGAAATCGATTGATAGTTTGGGTGTACTGATTTGAAGAGTGTATACTGTATACACTGTACAAACACTCAGACCGTACTTTGTACTTTGTAGTCACTGTGTGACTGTAGATGTCTCTGTGGAGCACTGGGAGTGTGGACAAGGTACCGAACTCCTTGCCGTCGGGTCATCCTTATACACTTCATAAGAGTCTAGCAATCAAAGTGACCGGGGAGACCTTGACTTTGTCAGATACGACCAGAACACAATGGGTTGACCCTGGATGGCAGTCGTTCTGCACAAACGCCAGGACAGACGGAACAGGACATCCCTCGCTAACTCAACTTGCCTTCTCCTACTTCATCCCCGCGAAGTTTCAGAGCTCCCGGGCCCATGATGCCCACCGTCGAGGTGGTCGAGCGTGATCCGCAGCGCCAGCGTTCCCGGATCGGGGTGGATCAACGGAGCACGGCGCTTGCTGGCAGAGCTGGACGTATTAGCGGATTGGCGGATTAGCGCATCCAACGTACCCGTGAGCAGGTTGGATCCGACCTGCAGCTGGCGATTCAATCATGGAGACTTTTTGTTCTTTTTTTTTTCCATTTTCTCGTCCGCTCTGATATAGCAAACGGAGACGGAGTATTCACTTGTGATTTTTGCTTTTTAGTTTCCAGGGCGCATGGCCATGTATTGTTTCGCTGGGCCAAGAAGCGGGGATTGGAGGGTCTGTCTTTAGGAGTATATAGGCCCCCCCCCTTGCGCGGTGCTTTTCCCTCGTTGCGGACGCAAGCTGCTCTTCAGTTCTTTTTGAAGGCACGAGTATAAACCTGTTCCTCGATCGCCCTTTTTCTTTTAGGCTGTGCATGTCAACTTCGGAGATTTTTGTCCCTTGGCCTCGTGGATTCCAGTGAGGCTTCCTTGTTCGTGTTGATCACTGGACATCGATCCTGTACGATTTCCTGGCAAATTGTCACATTTCGAATGTCCACACGCCCTCTGAAGACATTGCACCAGATTCTTACTGTCCACTTGAGCCATTGATTCTGCACTCGATCATCAATCGCTTGTTTCCAGTCAGCTTCGTGTCACGGTACAACTGCCATGATGATCCCCATGACCAGCGAGGAGGGTCTTCGATCACTGCCGCCCGCTGTTCGACGAAAGGTAAGGAATCTTGATTTGTCTCTACTTTCTGCCCTGTCATCTGCCCTCGAGAGTACTCTAGCGGTACAAAGTACATGCTGCACCCCGTCCCCTCTGGTCACGCCTGCTCTGGTCACGCGTCTCTCCCACCTCCACCCGTCACTATATCCCTTGCGGGTGCAACACCCAACGTCATCCATCTTCTTCCTTCAACTCGACCCTCTTTGACTCGGACGGGAAATTCATGTCGCTCCCATGGATCAAATTGGCCCCTGCTTGTTCTCCAAGTGCTGCCTGTCACCAGTCATCAGAGGCTCAGGTCTCTGTCTCAAATGCTACGGGGAAGGGAAGGCCCGCTGTCACCAGCGTTCAGTGCTGGCCGACGAACGACTCCACCGCTTCGGCTGGTTTCTTTGTCTCCTTCAGCCTCGTTCCCACTTCCTAGTCACTAGTGTGAGCTTGGGACAAGGATGGTCGTCGGCCGTGATGCAAATTTGAGAAGAGACTGAGCTCGAATCGAGCTGCTGACTCTGTGGGGGGACACCAACCCCATTTTGAGCGCAGACTCCGACCGACTGTCCACGGCTGAAGGGGTCCCTGCCGCCAGGGTGCTGATCCTTGGGGTGTTTTTTGGGGGGGGGAAGGTTTCTTTCTTTTTTTACCACAACTTGAGTGGGCGCACAGTCCTTGCATCTCATCACCATCCTTGCGACCGCAGCTTCTCCGGTCAATTGGTCCATGGGAGAGGGGATCCCACACTCGAGATGAGATGACCGTGATGTGCTTGTGCTCGTTGGTGGAGGCAATGAGTACATCACAGCATCTACACTCTTCACTCTACAAGACTTGGCTGGTCCTCCCCTGGCCGGGCTGGTCCCATCACATCCGCTATTCCCGTCTCGGTCGGTGCCTGGCGCCAAGCCCCAACCCATCTTCTTCTTCTTCTTCTTCTGGTCGCGCGCTTGACCACCACGAGGAGTCCAGCGGTCGTCCCAATTTGCCTCCCTCCCCCACAGGAGAAATAAACAAAACAAGATTGCGATTTCCACCTCTGCATGCTTCCGTATGTCAGGGCAAAGATTGCAATCAATGACTCGCAGGGCCCTTTCTTTTGGTGGCCTCGAATGAAGATGGCGCTCGGTGTACCTCTGTCTCGTTCCCCCCGGTGATTCCAATGGTTGACGCACGGGTCGTCCCATCGCTCGCCCCACATCCTTCCAGCGCTCGTGTGTTTGATTCACCGTCCCCGGTGATGGGGCGAGACGGCGAGTTCGAAGAAGATTCGGTGAAAGGGCGAAATGAAATGACTCTCAAACATAGACCGCATTCCTATCGGCTGCTGTGGACTGTGAAACACAAAAAACACCTGATCCTCATCATGGAGACAAAGACACTGACCACCAACTAACTACTTGACAGTTTTTCTCCAACGTCGAGCGCTTGCGTATACGGGAAGCCCAGAACGATGGAGACGCCGCGATCCACTCCACAGACTACCGCAACTATAGCCCCCATATGCACCAACATCCACATCTCCAGAATCACCACCAATATCATCCTCGCACTAACGGGTCCTGTCTCCGTGGAGAATCTGGCCCCTTCCATCGTGATCTTTCTCCTCACTGCCCCTCACTCTACTGGCATTCTCTCCTTTCTTCTCCATCACACCCTCGTGCCTTGCGAAACGCATCATCCACCTCCCTCCCTAAACCGAGGGTTCGTCGCCTAGACAAAGGACCCAAAAATCCCCGAAGATCGGCGGCTGCGTCCCGAAAATTGCGCACGCCCGACGCTCTACATCTGGCCTATCTCGTGGCCCAAGCCGACTCGCAATGCTTTCATGCTCTTCCCACTAAAGTCCAGCAACAACTATTCTCGCCCGAAGAACGCCGTCGTCTTCGTCACGCCCATCACCAAAGTATCATTCTAGACGCAGCAGACGAGGTCCTCTACCGTCGACCTCGTTTACTCCGTCGGCAGAGTTCTAGCGAGAGTTTCCCGTCCGAGAACACCCTTCCAGTATCCCAGGCGGATACGGTGTTCTACGACTCCGACTCGGATTACGAGTCCGACGACAGCATGGATCCCGCCTTTTATGAGAGCTTTCGATGGCTCAATGAGGAAGCCGACCTCGATCTGGCGCTGGACGAATATCATGCACATGTCGCCGATGCAGCCGCCAAGTCCAAAACCCGCCGTCGCCCATCTTTTCGCCGCTCTCTTTCCTTCTCCACCCACGCCTTGAAGCAGCATCGGACATCTCCTTCAATGCCCTCCCGTGGGTTCTCAACGGACTATCGCCATCCGCCTCCCGCGCCACTTTTCTCATCTCCTCACTCCCCCTCAATCGCTCTTCCTCAAGGCCAGGATCCCGTCACTTGGCATCCTTCCAACATGCGGTGAAACCCGCCACGACGACTATCGATCCCGCCGCGCAATACTATCAAGATCCCGATGCGCGGCTCAAGCTGCGAGTCTACCTGGCCTCCCCTCAAAAGTTTGACGAGGCCATCGAGTTTGGTTTCCCATCAGGGGAGCAAGAAAAGGAGGTTGCGGTACCGAAAGACGACGGTCCGGATCTCGAATTCGGGAGTGGCCCTCCCAGCTCGCCGACGGTATTCGGTGACGGGACGGGTACCTTTTTCGAGGACGACGATGGAACTGTCGTCGGTTCACCGAGTGGATCCATCGAAGAACCGTCGATCTCACGGGTCCCGTCTCACGTAAGAGATACCGCCCGTCCATCGACGGATACGCCGTCTTTGTTACAATGTCGACAGTCCTTCCTGCCCAATTCTACGTCTTTCCCAAGACGATTACCAGGAAACCGAGAGATGACTCTTAAGATGACCCTGACGCGCCCGGATCTACGGACAGAGTCTCCGACGCCGTCCACCGGGCGCGCATCGGAAGATCCGCTCCGACTGGCGGACTTGCCCCCTCCTGATCGGACGCAGATGATCTGGGATCAGGATGAGGAGGATCATGGGGTAGTGAGGAAGATGTGGCGTAGACTTCGTCGACGTGTATGATTAGGGAGTTTCCCATGATCAAGACGACCACTTCGTCGAATCGGTGCGGTTATGGTTGAATTTTGATTGACTGTGGTTCGATAATTATTGTCTCTCCCATTCGAGTTTGTAGCATTTTTGTGGTACTTTTAGCGTTTTCCTTTCTTTTTCCCCTCGACCCTTCTCTCCGACTCTTTCGATTACTCTAGACTTATCCCGAGTCTAGTAGCCTATGTCCAGCTTTCTTGAAATGATGTTTCAGGTGAAGCGCTTGTTCAATGACCATGTCTTCTCCATTGTGGTTGTACATTATCTCTTTCTTTTCCTACCTTACTCATCAAAGCCAATTCCTTCTTCAAATAACAATTGTAAATACAATCACTTTTTTCAGCCCCTCAGTAAGGTGAAAAAGTTCCGTCTGAATGACGAACCAGTCACTGTTTCACGCTCTTACTTACCGACCAGGCCGTCTACTGTCGGTCACAATACTATACTTCGCTGATCAACATAACTGCGCTAATTCATGCTGGCCAAGCTACCGTAGGTGAACCATGGTTTCGTCTTCCGCGGGATCTGCTTATCGGAGCACATTCTAATGATTACACATGTCAGTTCCGCGATAAGGCTCGTATCTCAGCACGTGACAGAGGAGCTCTCTCTCTCGCTCTCTCCGTGTAGAGGCCACACGCACTTGTCTCCATCTGTGCATGTCATCGCCATTGTTTCCTTGACTGCAAGTGGTGATTTCAGCTCCAAGTCCTCCGCTGAATCTCACTGTTTCGGGTATTGCGATCTTCGTTCCCCTCCCAAGTGCCTCACATTAGATTCAATCCGACCGTCGATTGACCTACGCGTTCTGGACCGGCCCGCTAGCTCAGCTCAGCTCAGCTTAACATCGCATCGCATCGTCTCGTACAGCTTCGTCCGGAGGCTCCTGGCTTTTTCTGCTGTCAGTGCTCCTGCTGCATCGCTATACCTGACCACATCCTCTTTCAGATGCCCCAATCACCCTCTCGATCATGATCCCTCGGTGGTTGCTGCTCGTGGTCGGATTGTTGCTGGCATGGACGGCACAACCGGCCACAGCCAAGAGCGATAAACCTAAACTGTCCTCTGAAACTCTGAACCACGCGCCCTACGACCTCTTCTGGTTCAAGGGCTCCGAGACAGTGCTCTACCGTGATCCCAAAAAGCACACCGCCCACGTTTCCTTCGACGGAGGCGCCAAATGGGAGACTGTCAAGGGACCCGATGGCAAGATGGAGGGCGCGGTCGCTTTAGTCTGGGAGCATCCGCACGATCCGAACCGCGCGTATATCCTGGGTGCAAAGGGCCAGCATTGGATCACGACTGATCGGGCGAAGACGTGGAAGGCATTTGAGATTCCGGCGCGTCCGATTGTCGAGATGGGCATCTTGCCCCTGGCGTTTAATGGGTGGGATGAAAAGAAGGTGATTTTTATGGGCTCGGATTGCTCCGGTCTTCTGGGGTGTGTGCCCAAAGCTTGGTATACGACGGATGATTTCAAGACGGTCCATACCTTGCAAGAGTTCTTTTACTCGTGCATGTGGGCCGCGGGAGCTCCCCAATTTGGCCAGGATTTGGATCTACCGGACAAGATTGGAGATCGTATTCTCTGTGTAGTGCCCGGATCAAAACCCGGAAGCCACACCCAGCGGCTCATTGCCTCGGATGAGTACTTCAAGGATGGAATAGATGGATTTGAGGTTAATCTGGACCGGGGTCGACCCGTGACAGGCAGTCAGGTCATTGCCCGCTCCGTGAAGAAGTACCTCGTGGTCGGGGTGGTGTCGACTGGTACGACCGAGCAGGCGCTGTTCGTCAGCGATGATTCCAGAGAGTGGCATCGCGCCGAGTTCGGAGGTCACCGAATCGAGCAGGATGCCTACACTGTGCTCGAGAGCACTAATTATAGCATTCAAGTTGACGTGCAGACGACACAGCATAAAAATAGCGTCGGTGCTCTCTTCTCCTCAAATTCCAACGGCACTTACTTCACCCCTAACATCGAGCATACCAACCGCGACGACTTTGGATTCGTTGACTTCGAGAAAGTCAGCAATATCCAGGGTATTGTGATTGTGAACACAGTCAAGAATTGGGAAGAGGTTGAAAAGTCCGAAAAGACCGAAAAGAAGCTCGTCAGCGGCATCAGTTTCGACGATGGTCGGACGTTCCAACCTCTGAAATCCGATGGCGAGAAATTGCACCTGCATTCCATGACGTCTTACGACCAACTGAATGAACTTCCTGTCGGTCATATGTTTTCCAGCCCCGCCCCCGGAATTGTCATGGGTGTGGGCAATACTGGTGAGCATCTCAAGAAATACTCCGACGGTGATCTCTACGTCTCCGATGACGCGGGTCTCACCTGGCGTCGCGCTTTGAAAGGTCCTCACCAATTCGCCTTTGGTGACCAGGGCGGTGTCATTATAGCCATCAGCGATGATGGTAAGACCGACAAGGTCAAGTATTCGTTGAATCACGGCAAAGACTGGGAGGATGACATTGAGCTTGAACACAAGATCAAGCCGGTGAGCATCATCACCACTCCCGAAGCAACTAGTCTCAAGTTCTTGATCGTTGGCGTGTCCAGCGACAAAAAGAAAGCAATTATCTCCTCCATTGATTTCGACGGATTGCATGAGCGCAAGTGCGACAAGGACGACCTTGAGTCCTGGTGGGCTTTGCTCGACGAAGACCGCAAACCCAAGTGTCTGATGGGTCACAAGCAGAAATTCACGCGTCGGAAAGCAGATGCCGAGTGTTTCATCAAGGAGGACAAGCTAGATGCGCCTATCTTTGAGCCCTGTGACTGCACCAAGGATGACTTTGAGTGCGACTACAACTTTAAGCGTAATGAAAAGAACGAGTGTGTTCCGGCCGTGCCTTTGACTCCTCCTCCAGGCGAATGCAAGGACAAGAGTGATAAGTACAAAGGTCCCTCGGGCTGGCGACTCATCCCCGGAAACAATTGCAATCGAGTGGATGGGCACAACTATGACGACAAGATCGAGCGATCCTGTGAAGACACCGTGGGTGCTCCGAGTGGCGGCGGTGGCGGTAGCGGCGGTGGAAGCAAAGGTGATGGCAAGGTCCACGCTGGCAAGGCGCATGAATTCGCTGGCACCAACCTGGACTATTTCTACCTTGAGCGTCAAACCAGTAACTCGGGCGACGACGAGACAATTTTCCTGCTTTCCGGAAAGAACGAAGTCTTTGTCACTCACGATCATGCCAAAACCTGGGATCAGCCCAAGGATCTCAAGGGAGTGGAAATCGTGGGCATCGTTCAGCATCCTCATTACACCGACGGCGCGTACTTTTTGACAGCCGGAAAGACCGCTTACTCTACCATCAACCGCGGCGATACGTTCAACAAGTTTGAGCTGCCAACGTCTGTGTCAAATCGGGACAAGGGCGGGCTCAACCCACTGGCCTTCCACAAGAAGTACATGGACTGGATGATCTGGATGGGCAACGATGACTGCAAGAACAGCGACTGTGTGCCCAACGCATACTTCACTAAGAACCGCGGTGCAGACTGGGAGGGCCCCGATCTCCGTGGCGTGGGCAGCTGCATCTTTGCATACAGCGAAAAGCGCGAAAACAGCACAGATCTCATCTTGTGCGAGCAGTATGAGAAAGAAAGCAAGAAGAACAACCGTCAATTGGTGTCGAGCGATTCCCACGTCGATCGATTCAGCGAGCCCAAGGTGATCAATGACAATATCGCCCACTTCGTGACCATGGACGATTATATCGTCGTGGCGACTTATCACACCGACGATCACAAGTTCCTGAATGTCAGCACCAGCTTGGACGGCCGGGTCTTTGCTCAGGCCAATTTCCCGGTCAATGTCGATGTCTCGCAGTACACGGTGCTACCGGGCTCCACGGATGCATTATTCCTGTTCGTCCAGCTCAGCAACGAAAAGGAACGGAGCTATGGCCAGTTGGTCAAGAGCAACAGCAATGGCACGTACTTTGTGTCCAGCTTGCCGGCGGTAAACGTCGATGACCGTGGCTATTCGGACTTTGAGAAGATTGCCAACCTCGAAGGCGTTGCTCTGGCGAATGTTGTTGCCAATGTCGACGAGGTGCGGACCAAGAAGGATTCCAAGAAGAAGCTGCGTTCAGTCATTACGCACAATGATGGTGGGCAATGGTCATTCCTTCCTCCCCCAACCAAGGATGCCGAAGGCAAGAAGTTTGGCTGCTCAGTAACCGAGGGTAAAGGCACAGAGACTTGTGCTTTGCATATTCATGGCTATACTGAACGTCGGGACTGGCGCGATACGTTCTATTCGGGCTCTGCGATCGGCGTTATTGTTGGCGTGGGTAACGTTGGTCCGCACTTGAGCAGCGTGGATAGCGACGATGTCGGCACTTTCATCAGTAACGACGGCGGCATCTCCTGGACGCAAGCCAAGAAGGGCCGATACATGTTTGAATTTGGCGATGCCGGGTCGGTCATTGTGCTTGTCCGCGAAGCCGAGCCTACCAAGGTTGTCTTCTACAGTCTTGACGAGGGCAAGACCTGGACAGAGTTCCAGTTCTCAGACACGGAGGTGCTCATCCTTGACATTTCCACTGTTCCCTCGGATACATCCAAGAGCTTTGTGCTGTGGGTTCGAGAGCCCAAGTCTTCGAACCGGTTCGCTACGATTCCGATTGATTTCAGTGGGATCTGGGATCGAGAATGTACGCCACCGGATGGAAAGGATGCCTCGGATGATTTCTATCTGTGGACGCCCAAGCACCCGTCCTCGGACGACAACTGTGTCTTTGGCCATATCGAGCAATATCATCGCAAGAGACCTGAAAAGGAGTGTTGGGTAAACTGGCGCGATCCACATGTTCATCGTGTTGAAAGCGCGAATTGTACTTGTACCCGTGCGGACTTTGAATGGTAAGCAAAACGGCAGTCCCATCCATCTTAATTTTGAGACATTTTATTCCATTGTGAAGTGATGTGGACTGCGTCTGACTAACCTGTCCTCTTCGTCCAGTGACTACAACTACGAAATTCAGAGCGACGGGAGTTGCGGCCTCGTTCCAGGATTCCAACCTCCCGATCACAGCCTTTCATGCAAAGATAACCCGGATCAAGTTGAGTATTGGGAGCCAACCGGCTATCGACGCATCCCCCAATCCACCTGCAAAGGCGGACTCGAACTCGACAAGATCGAGCCACGCCCTTGCCCCAACAAAGAGGAAGAATTCGAACGCAAGCACGGCATCAGTGGTATAGGACTGTTCTTCGCCATTGTGATCCCCATCGTTGCCGCCTCGGCATTCGGCTACTTCGTCTACACCCGTTGGGACGGCAAATTCGGTCAGATCCGACTCGGTGAGAGCGGTGGTCTTGGTGGAGGTGGTTCGTCCGGTCTGGCGGGTCTGTTCACTCGGGACTCGCTGCTTGTCGCTATCCCCGTGACAATCATCGCGGGTGCAGTTGCAGTGGCCCAGGCTCTGCCTTTACTCGCCATGAGTCTCTGGAGAAGCGCCAGTGGGTTTGTCCGGACAAGAGGGAGGGGATACCAGCGGCCGTATGCGACCAGATCATCCTTTGCTTCAAGAAGAGGGGACTACACGCATGTGGTTGATGATGAGGATGAGTTGTTGGGGGTGGATGACTTGGAAGATGATGAAGAGGCGTAGTGTATGAGATTTTGTGTTTCGTTCCCCCTGTTACCTTGCCTTTCACAAGTGCAGTGAGAAGTGAGATTTGCTGGGAAACTGTTTTGTCTCTTTTGTGATCTCTCGATCTCTTGATCTTTTCGAAATTTGAAGAAAGTTTTCTTTTTCTTGTTTTTTTGTCTGTGTGTGACTGGAGCCCTGGCTACTTGTTTCTCATAGCCTTGGTTTTTTTTTCCCACCGATTTGATGCAATTGATGTGACAATACGAGCGTGATGTGTTTTTTCCCCCTTGTCGATTTCCTTGCCCCTTTCATCTTCGGTGTGTCCTTTTTATATAAATTCTCTTCTTGAATTGACGTCGTGATCCAATAAACATGGTTCGACCTTGTCTACAAATCTTTTTCAAAATCTAATTTCCAGCCCATTGACATAGAAGATCTTTTGCCGGACAGAAGCGATGTACCTCGCACCCTGAGACTGGACTTTATCCATCGATCCGAGAAAAAAAAAAAAAAAAAAAAAAAAAACTTGGCTTCAAAAAAATGACTACTGGACCAAGGCTTCCTAAGCGCAGCACATTCTCGTCTTCAGGTTGGGGTTCTTTTCGAAGTTGCTAGGTATACATCCATCCAAGATCCTACCGGTAAGCTAAAACAGGATGAGAGATCGGGCCCCGACTCCGTCCTCTCATTGCAATGCACTCATAAATTCCGGAGTCCACTGACTCCATGGTATCCTGCTCTGGTTTGGGTCTTGTCGGTGGTAGCTGTGGGCAAGGGGGGGGGAAGGGGAAATATAGGCCCTGTCTCGCTCTACTTGGGAAGATCGTCGGGACCGAACGAGTCCGGCAGCAGCTATTTTGGGGTTTGTGTCAGAGGAAGATTCGTAATTATTTGAGAGTGAGAGTGTTTTCAAGGTAGAAATGGGCATTTGGGGGGGGGGGGGGGGGGGTCATACCTCGCCCATTGTCTTCATTTTATAGTTCCCTTTTCCGTCGTACATGTATATGGGGAAGGAAGGGGTTGTGAATTCTCGCATGCTGGATTGCGAAGCCGTGCGTTAGTCGAGTGCGCTTGATGATCTTCCTTCTTTCGGGACATATCGGAGAGGACTCGGCGAGATGGAGTCTGATTCTGTCTTGTCTCTCTCGTCTCGTACGGATAACATGCCCGTGATCGTGAATGTGTGTGTTTGACATTGTTGGCAAAAGACGTTTTCCAAGGACAACTTACTACTGCCGACACATTCCACACGGTGACGCTCCAGGTGTAATATCAGTGGCCACGGCAATAGCGCGGAACTCTTTATGGCCGGCAACCTGCAAGTGAGACGATGGATGATGAAAAGTCAGCTTGACTTGAAACCACAGGCGCAAGGATGTACTTCTTGAACCGTGTTGCACGAGATATGAATATTCTCGTCGGCACGATGATAAGAATCGCGGACAAGACACGATGAAGGGAGTGATTGTATCCCACGTACGATAGCCGTGGCAAAGGCGACTCGTTCGGCGCAGGTTCCAACGGGATAAGAAACGTTCTCGACATTGGCTCCAATGACGAAGTCACCAGAGGCAGTGAGGATACATGCGCCGACGCGGAAGTTGGAGTATGGACCTAGAGGAGGGATAATTTTTGGTCAATCGGGGTATGAAGAAATACGTTGTGTGTAAGTTGATTTAGTCTTCCTCTTGGGTTCTTGTTTTTCGGTGCCTGGTGTGTATTTGGGTCCGGTGAAACGTGAAGGGGAAAGCAAAGGAAAGATGGGATACGAGAGCATAAATGGCTGGGTGTATGTTCAGATATGGTGTCTTGCTTGACCGCTTGCTTCCATGCTCAAGCTAGCTATACTTTCCGAATCTTGACGGGCGATAAGATCTCTCTTGACATCGCAAGAAGGATGGTACCGCTGGCACAGTTCCTCGGGCAAGATAATGCCATATAGAGGAGATACACACATGCCCTGCGCAGCACGAGTCGAGTGGAAGAGGGGCTGGAGTGGCGGAAGCGGAGCATTCGAAGCTTTACTTACAGTATGCGGCGGCCTTGGCCTCGATGGCCTTGGTAGAGAGCGTGTGAAGCTCCTCGGCAGAGACGGCGGGGTTGATGGGAGGCATTTTTGAAGGAGTAGTACAAGTCAATACCGGGGGAGATGTCAGTTGAGGAACAAGAAAGAGAAGAGAAGGGACTGGAAGAGGTGAGGGGAAAAATCTGAATGTCGAGTCCGGTGAAATTGGAGAGCGGAGGAGAGCGGGGATAAGGTGGAGAGCTGTTTGGGTTTGGAGGCGGAAGCTGGCGATAACCCAAAGTCAAAAGAGGGTGCTTATCACGTCTGCAAGACTAAGGAGAACATCCCTTCTAGTTGTCACCTGCATTGGCAGCTGGTGATCTGGACACGGTGGTTTATCTCGATAGCACCACGAGAGAATCAGTCTTTTATGTTATCGTAATGGTGTCAATGGGCCTACCAAACACAGGATTCTGGTTGATGCAAGGCCCGGTTCATTCATCTCATTGAACTTTGAGATTTGGAAGCACGCCGTCTCTCGAGTCCTACAGAAACAAAAGACCGAGCAAGCTTATGGAAATCATATGAACTACACGCACCTTGATATAACTGGTCATCATTTAACCCGTTTGAGGCCTCTAATCAGTGTCAGATACAGGATGATTTGCGCCATAAAAGTGGGCCTGCAGATTAAAACTTGACTTTTCGAGCAGTCCATAAACTTACAAGACCATACGACTTGAGGCATTCATTACAAAGGTGGTTGTGTATGCAGTTGATGGATTGAACCTTCGAGACTGTATCGCTCATCTTCAATAGGTCCCAACGTGAGAGAGCTTGCAGCATCGAAATATAGACATTCGGACTTTTATAGTCCTATTGCGGTAGTTCGAGTCCCCTCTCTTCTCTTCCCGCCTAACGTCTCCTTCGATTAGGTATTATGCAAATTGAGATCAACAATATGATGATTCCTGATGCAAGGTAGGTCCATTCGTGTAATCTCCCATTGGAAGAGTGCAGGTGATTATAGGGGCTCTTGCCAAGTCTTCCAATCCTTGAGAATCTCCTCAAAAGAATCATCGGAACTATCCTCAAAAGGACCCTCGCAAAAGCTATCTGCTGGTAGATAGCGGACCTTTGACACAATATTCAACGAGAGTAGACGCGGTCCTGTACTTACATCTCAATACTGCCAAGTTCGTATGTTCGATTGATAAGTGGTGAATTGGCTGGCAGTATGCTACTTACATATTTAATGGCGAGGTGACCTCTACCTTACTAAGGTTGATAGTGGAGGCTAAAAGTCATTTGCATTTGTTAACCGGCAGATTCCTTCGCAAAAGGTCAGAGAAAATATCTTAATCTAGGGACTCTATCGCGTCCATTGTATTGCAAACCATGGAGAACCGTATCTTTGGCATTAACGAGGTGCTGCGGTCTTTGAATCGATCATCATATCAATTTTCTCGCCGTTGCAATTCATTGGAGCTATGCCAGTTCATGGTTGGGTTTCTGAGCTTGAAGCTACAGGTTGGTGGTTCAGAGGACTAGCGTCGTGTCGAACAAGAGTACTAGTAATATTGATGAATTGACAAAGCAAAAATTCTTCAAAACGAGGGTATAGCAGCCAACGAGAACAGAGCAAGACATCAAGTTAGTATGTGCGTCCATATGCAAGCCCACAAGGGTCAAGTCCACCAAAGAAAGTAGAACAGGAAGGACGAAAAGAAAGACCAAAAAAATCTATCTATATGCAAGATATGCTACCCCAACATCACCCAAAGTACGATCGTAAGCCTTCATAGACCGAGAAGATAAAGGCGGAACTTGGCGCCGAACGCGCACAGGTGATCCCGCACCCGCGATATAGGCCTTTGAGACCCTGTTGGCTCCAGATGGCACGTCCAACGCCAATAAAAGTTTGACGTTCCCCTGTGGCGGCAAGAAGCGATACATCCGCAGTCTGCATGCGTGACTTGATCGTGTCCGCGGGGTAGAATAGGAAGTTGTAGCTGATGCCCGCCGAGGCGCCAGCGAGCATCTGCTGATGAACTGGAAGACTCTCGGTGGATTCTGATGACCCGGGTGGCTGAGAGTATTTGCGCAGTAGCGACGTCGCGCCCTCATAACCACCAAACCAGGCGGCGCTGCCACCAGTCTCACGGATCAATGTCCCCATCTGGCCTCGCCAAAATCCGCGAATGCCTTCTTCCCGAAAGACGCGGACTATCATGCCCAATGGTCCGATGGGCTTATGGTATCTCGCAGAATCAAGTGGCACCTGGATCTTGCACTTGATGAGCTCGATCGGAGTGAGAGCCAAGGAAGTCACAGAACCGGAGAGAGCGCCGCTCGCGACAAGGACCATGAAATGCAACTTGTCGACACCTGGGAAGAAGGCTGCGCGTATTGCATCCTGAATGACGCGATAGCTGAAGAACAGGCAGCTGGTCTCGACGGCGGCACCAAACATGGGCGCACTGATGCCTCGGTACAGGCCTCGAATGCCTTCTGCTTGGAAGGACTGTCTGAAACAGTCCACAGGTCCAGTATATCGAAGGGGAAGGTGGTCCGGTTGAGATTGAAGCCGCACTTTGACCGTGTCAAAAGGATACTCGATAGTTTTTCCCGCCATTCCGGCCACCTGAAAATCATTTGCGACAAAGAGATTAGGTCCTGGCACTGCGGATGCTCCCGTAAGAACGAGACAAAATGAGACACTCACCGATCCAAAGGCAATGTCTTTCATTGCCTCCAGGCCCTGGTTGGGCGGAAGAGAGGGCAGCTCCATTGCGACTGCCTCATCACGGATCGGGATCGCATGCTCGGCTGCCGCCATCAAGGCTTTCACACAATCACTCGGGCGCGTAGGGGCCGACTTATCGCAGGGGCATTGTAGAAAGGAAGAATAGGGGGTATAAGAAGGACGAGGGAAGACACCAAAGGGCGGAGAGGGAAAGAGAAGAAGGTCCGAGTGGAGGAGGGACTTTGATCAAGGAAAGAATTTACGTGAGCGATTTCGCCGGGTCAGTGACGGCGCGGAGGAGTTGGTAGTGGGGTTCGAGTGACAGGGAAGGCGGTCGGGAAAAAAAATCGAGTGATTTGCTCTGGCCAAGCCCTCCTGCAGGGTGAGATTATGCGTGAGAATGATCAGCAAGTGAGATTTGTGCGTGGACAGACTCGGCGCTGCATGCTGGTCTAACCACACAATGAAAAGTGACCACGGGAGGAGGGTCAGGGTCTAGACGAAGTTGTCAACACATGTTTAGGCAGGCAGACGGACTTCGATGAGGCAATTGCGTAGGGCGAGTGGAGTGAAGAATGGAGTCCGCAAATGGAGCCGGACGGAAGAGGAAGAGTCGGAGAGTGGCTGCCCAACCGGCAAGAACGGGGAAGAAGGAGGGGAACGAGAAAAGCGGTTTGGGCGTCGGCTCCGCCAAGACAAATTATCAATCTGATAATCTTTCGGTGAAATTTTCATCCGTCTGCCGGCCTACGAAGTTTTGCGGTCAACCTCACAGCAGCCACCCCCCCCCCCCCACAGTGATCAAGTCAGTGACCTTGTTGTGAGCCCAGCATACTGCCGCCAAGTCTAGGGGTTTTTTTTGTGACTTTCTTTTTATATTGCTGCCCTCTTGCATGATATATCATGTCTGCGACCGCTGAGACCCCCGCAACCACGCCGGCGACCGTGCCAGCCGTTGGCATGCGCAAGAATGGTCAGTTGTCCAGGATTTTTCTTCGACCTCCATCATGTCCCCACTATCATAGGCGCCGCTCTCGTCTGAACTTACGACTAACCCGCTTTGTCTGATCTTTCTAGGCAAGAACTGGCATTCAACCAAGAAGGCCTTCCGACCTACCGCTGGGCTGACATCTTATGCCAAGCGTCAAGAGACTCGCAAGCAGCTTGAGGCGAACAAGGAGCGTGAGCGTGAAATGAAAGAGGAGAAGGAAGCTGAGCGTCAGGTGAGAATATTATTGCGATATTCGTTGTTGGCAAACCTCCCTTGGACTTGACAATACACGCTCGAGTGGGCGGCCATGTCCTCTTTCCCGGGCTGTTACCGGCCACCGACCCGTCTTTTCCCCTGAGAAACACAGTCTAACCAGTTGGACGATTACATAGGCCCATATTCAGCGCATCAAGGACAAGCGTGCCGCCAAGGAGGAAAAGGCTCGCTTCGAAAAGATGGCCGAGAAGATGCATGCCAAGCGTGTTGAGCGTTTGCGACGTCGCGAGAAGCGCAACAAGCTCCTCAACTCTTGAGGATTGTCAAGGAAAAGCTTGAAAATGATGGGCTGGGTTGCTGGAACTCAGACATCCAGTCACCGATTTGCATGTACATACATCACCCAGCTCACATGCAGCAGAGATGCGCTGTAAGCAACGGGTGGTCTAGGACACCGGCGTTCTCTAGGAGTGGTTTCCAAGGGATTCAAAATATTTTATGATATACCAGCTGAGACAGTTGCATTTTGATCTGCATGATCTGTTCCTTCGCCCAGTAGATAATGGTGACTGGGTGAATGAACCCGATAGGTCTCTCTGTAATGATCTGGATGCATCTTGAGCCTGATGCGTCTGGCGATTATTCCGAGGAACTTCTTGATTACCACGAATATTTCTACCCTTGAAATTTCTTCGGCTCACAATTCAGTGTGTATTCTGTCTGGCCTGACTGTTGGAAAAATCCCCTGGTGATCCAAAAGTAATCCGACTTTCTTACGCATCGCCGGGGAACGAGGTAAAACGATTTAGCGAGACACTCAGCCCAGCGTGGGCAAGTACCCCAAGAGGCTTAGACCATGTAAGACAAACTCAAAAGATTGAAGCTTATACTGATTAAGCGTTATTAACACGTGAGTCCATCTATGTCGACGTCCATATCTTTTGAATTGCATATCCTGAAAAAAAAAGATGGATGCAGGGGCGATGGGTACCGTATTCAGGGAGGATGCAGCTAGACCGAGTGATGCCGATCTGCGTGACTTGGCACTATGCTTAATTCACCCCCTCTTTACTTGCCCCCCATGTTTCCCATCATTCCGTTATCTCGCCCTCTTTGCCAGACTGCAATCCTTCGAAATCGCAATCATCATGCTCTTGAGTTGAGATATGGATGTCCATCGCTTCAAGCCCCCACTCCCCTTATCCCCCAACAAACGATCCATCTCCGCTACCTTCCCACTGACCCATGGATCATCATCCTCCGCTCCCCGATCCGATGACCAGCCGACTCCAGACCGAGAGCCGGTTGCAGGCAACAATACAACTGACCTCGCGAGCTCACCCGACACTGGCCATGCATCTCATCATGGCCGCGACCACTTTGTCAATTCATTAGACAACACCCTCTCTCGCGCCCGACCGCGAACCGTCCCAAAATCGGGGGAGCTCCCGAGCTTCGAACCGGTCAGGCCGCAACACCACAGCCACCATCATCGTCATAAGCATAGCAAGTCACGGGAACTGCGGTTTCCACGACCAATGACTCATTTCGCATCGTCGGCTAGTGCTCGTGGCTTGTTCCCTTCCTGGTCGGGTGGTCGTGATAAAGACCGCGACAGCGACCATGGCCTACTGAGACCGCTGACGAGAGAGACCACCCGGTCTCGTTGGGGATCGGAATCGACCGGTCGCCTGAGCTCGGGCAGTCGACGGGGAAGCTTACTGGATGTGCCTGAGCAATATGAGCGACTGGGTCCGATCCAGCGACGGGATCTGTCGTCGATGGCAGATGTGGAGAGAGTGAAAAAGCGACGTGAGCAGGGTGAAGAGTAGGATGAAGCTCTCTCCTCCAAACTTGGGATTATGGTGGGCATAGCTCATCTATATATTCCCGCGTGGCGCAGACCAGACAGAAGCTAACGGGTATATGTGTTGAATAGGTATATTCGGACTGCGCTCACTGGCATCGGTTCTCTTGCGACGGAACTAACGCGACGGTTGGACTACACGTACTATAACCTCCTGGAGAAACTTACGGCGCTCAACTCGACGATCGGCTCATTCCAGGAACTCTCACTATCGGCGTCAACCTTATTGAAAGACTTTGAGAAGGAAACCTCCGAATTGGACCAGGACATTCGGAGACAGATCAATGAGCTTCAGGGATTCGCGCCCCAGACTCAGAAAGCGAATGCGCTGGCCGAGCGCATGGACAAAGGTCGACATCGAGCCGAAGAGCTGAACAAGCGACTCGAGGAGGTCAAGTCCCAGATTGACCGCTGGGAGCAAAGAGAGGCTGAGTGGCAGAGCCGTGTGAGTCGGCGCTTGCGAATTTTCTGGGGCGTTGTGGTTAGTGCAGTCCTCGTGTGCATACTCGCTGGGGCGATTCGCAGATGGCCGAGCTCGCATCCATCACAACAGAACAAATGCCGTCCAATCCCATCCTTGTCAGAGATAGGAAATGAGTCGGTGACAGAGACTACTCCGCCGCTGGATATATGGGACTCTTCGTGGAGAGTTGACGAGGCTACTAGCGAAGCAGGCTCGTCATGGTATCCAAGCAGCCTTGCAGAGCGACTACAGCGCCTCGAGCAGACACAATCGATGTCAAGCGCTTCACCCGGTTCTCGGCCATCGGTTGCGGCAGAGAGGTCCGAGAGAAGTCACGATCCCTTTCGACTGCTCGATGAGCTCTGAATATTCTGGTGAACTTTTCACACCCTTCCAGCTCTTTGCTCTGCTACACTACTGCCCATTTCACGTTCCTTCCAGTCGGCTCTCATCGTCCGCGACTCACACTTGTCACGTGTTGTTTCGTTTCGTTTCTTTCTCTCCTTTTATCGTTCACTTGTGTCATGATACCCCCCCCCCCCATTATTCGTTAGATAATAGATCCTTTTTCATTGTCATCATTAGAAAAGAAAATGCTGTCTCACACCGCCGGCCCCTCGGCTTTCTTCTTCTTCTTATCCTCGATCAGCTCGATATTGGCCTCGGGCACTTTACTGCCGTAGTTTTCCAACAGCCACTCCTTAACATCCTCACTCACATCACCTTGCACGGTGATCTCCTCTGTACCGGCAGGCGACCGAGTGACCGATGAACCCGTAGCCATCTTCTTGCCCAGCTCCTTGGCCAATTTCTTGTTCTCGAGTCCAAAGATTTCTAACCCGATGATGACTGTGACGTACTTGCGCTTGTTTCGCTCGACGCGCTTGATCTGGATTTTGGACGCGGCCTTGCGTTCGGCATCACGGGCTTCGGTCTGGGCAGCCTTGGCTTCTTTCTTTGCGGCGTCTTTGGCGGCGCGTTCTTGCACGGAGACGGAGAGTTCGGAAAGATTTGCGTTTAAGGCGTCTGAAGGGAGTTGATGTTAGGAATTGACGTGATTCACCCCGAGAGAGAGAGAGAGAGAGAGAGAGAGAGAGAGAGAGGGCAGCTTTTCCAAACGAGGGTTTGTTGTTCGAACTCTTCTTTTCAACCCTTCAAGTCTGTGGGTCTTGAATTGGAGGTTAGACGTTCATTCATACCTTCAGAATGTAACCGACTCCAGAGGTCTTCATGGTTGGCTTTTAACCATTCCTCGCATTTTTTGGCGGTGCCTCCAAACTCGCAGTACTATTGTTTATCCTTGTCAATCGAATCGTCCGTCACCTCGCGGCATCGCCATCCTTGTTGAAGACTTAATTGGTGAATTGTACCTCAGGAGGAAGTGTGCACACTATATCGTTCCCAACTCAGGTTTGTTTGTCAGCCTTTCTTGTTCGATTTTTTCAAAATGTTGATAAGGGTCGGGGGAGTTTCAGCTTCAGCCAATTCGGTCAAGGACTTGACTTGCCCCGTTTGTCTTCCTAATAATTCCATTGAAGACGAGAACAGAGAAAACATGACATGAAAGAAAAGAAGAAACATACCTCCACAATACACGACCCGGCGGGCCTGTGATTCGATAGGGCCAGAGTCTGCTACTTCGGCCATTGTGTTTTTCGTATAAGATGAGTTTCGGCTCTCGAGGATAAGTCCTGATGTCACCGGCGCGTTGAGAAGCTCGTCGCTGTTTGCTGTTTTGGGACTGGTGATTGACTTGCGCGGGGTGGCCGGAGGGGCATTTCCTGACTTAGTCCGCTTTGGGACATATTTGAGATCATGTGATGTCAATCTATGTTCTTATCGAGGGTTGAGGTCGAGGTCAGAGCTCTTTGGATGGAGCTACTATACATGTGCGAGAAACAATGACAATTCTATTAAAAGATCTGTTTTGTTCATCGATCTCGGAGAATGAGAGGCGTGTGTCCTTGCTGGTAGTGCAGGGCGAATGATTCACTACTTCGGACTCGTAGCCTGTTGGGCAAGGTAGAGAGCTCCTGGGCGGGAGCTTCGATTTGTTTAAACTTGCCCAGCTTCTTCTGTGTGACTCTTCTGGAATATTGATGTTTTCTTTATGGTGATTTCTAGATCACTATAAGTCCATAGAGATCTAGACTTTTCGGTCCCGAACCATAATCACATATATGCTATACTATTTAAAAGCAGGACTTTACCTTTCCCCCTCGTCCAGCTTATCCGTCTCCGGCTGAGGCGTATCGAATCGACCCGATAAGAGGAAGAGGCTGACGCGCGTGCCCAATTTCATATCATGATTCGTCCACCCAGCTTCAACTAGAAGGCGGCCCCGTTCCTAGTCCCTGTTTGGAAGCAGGATAACTACAAGTACGACTGGAAAAGCTAAGCAGCGCACGATGAAGTATATAGAGTGGTAGTACTGGGTAGATCTACACGGCTATGTGATTCGCCGGGTTTTCTATCCCGTTCTATCAGCGGGAATTGTTTGTGCTTTGGTCTGCGGTTTTATTTGCTTTGTCTGCGTGGCTGGTATCTTGCGCAGCGCAGGGATTAGTTAGTGTGCTTTATCGCTCGACCGTTGTTGGCCTGCATCGTGTTGCATCTTGAGTGCATTAGGCTATAACGTGGGTAAGAACAATTGAGCTTTGAATCGGTACTGTGGTTCTTACTGGTGTAGCAGTCTTACTTCTGTAGTCATGGACTCGTAGATAGAGAATTGCGCATAGATAAAGCACATTGAACGTCCATGGATAGACAGAAAGAGGACTACTTTCTGATTGAACGATAGTTACCTACAGGCTACAGCTGTCAGTAGCTAGTCGAGATAGGAGTGAAACACGCACTGGGTGTTTCAATTGGTGCCCGCTACCATTGTCTACATTTGGGAACGGTCTGTTCCGTGTTTATCGCTATCTGTACTTACTTAGCTACTTTGAGTACTTGTAGGTTAGTACCGTGCCACGGCGATAGGTGTGATTCAACCACATAATTAGGTGTTTACGTATATCGGGTATGTTCTCCATTTCTTTTGGGCAGGTATGTTCGATGGAGAGAGATGGAAAAAGTCAATCCGTATGCTGCTGGCCGTTGACTCTGTGGGACAACGACCGCAGCCCACGGGTGCGGGCAGCGAGAGCTGATAAGGTACGGCCATACAGCCAGTGGCATCAACTGGAATAGAAATGATGCAGATGGAGCGGTGACAATAGAGTTTTAAAAAAAGATCGACCGTTAGCTACCTCTTCATAAGATCATGGCATTCGAATAAATCGCTCAGAGTGGCACTGTTTGCATACGAACAAGTCAAAGAGATCAATCTCTTTATGTTGATATTCATAACTGCAGAAGAGTATCACCATTGACTACCCTGGAGTACGCTTCAATTGAATCAAAGAGAACTGGTGCTTGGTAATCTGCTGCGAATGACGAATGAGGTGGTAATCAAGTTTCACTCTATATCGCCATGGAATACTAAAGAGAATTCGGTACGACGATGACTGCACCTCCTCTCAAAATTTCAAGATAATACGATGGTCAAAAGATTGCTCTCGGCCAACGGATTATTTGACCTTGGGTGCTAAAAAGCTGGCAAGCTTATAAGTCTACTCTTTCAACAGGGCCAACACCCCTGCAAATGAACTCTAAGCATATAATATAAAGGGCAAGTAGTTGCCGGGATATTCCCGGATCCACTCTGGACAAAAACATCAGCCCTGGAGGACTACTCAGAGTAGAGACCCCGGTCAGGCGGAACACATCCCGTATCCGCAGTCTCATATGAGATAGGAAACTGGTGCACCTACGTTTTTGAGTAAGAGTGCAGGCCGAGTCGTCGTATGTCCGGCTTGAGTATGTTCTGGTTTGAAGGTGGGAAATTGGATTTCCATAGAAAAACGCTTGGACCCGATGTGTCGGGGACTCGGGATAGCGGCATTGCGCGGTGCTGGAAATGCGGGGTCCGTTGACGTGAAGTTCTATGCTACAGCATCATGGTGCTGTCTTGCATTGTCCATGTCATGCATTGTCCATGTCATGCACTGTGCTGATAGCTTGCCGCCTGGGTACCTGTGTGTGTGTGTTGGAACTTGGTAAGGTAGGAAATTGTGTGTGGATCAATGTTTAGACCTTTGCGTGGGGGTGTCTTTCTCGAGGGAGTGGGTAGCTATATGAAGGTATCTCTCGTGTCGTCGAATCGTGACCTGATAGGATATCAAGAACCTGCTACTGTCTTTACATATATCCAAAGTAGGCGAGTCAATAGAGTCGACTTCGGTGCTTATGCTTCCTGACTAGAGAGTTTCACTATTCAAATCTCATGAATTACAGGTATAATAATGGGCTTACGCAAGATCTCCCATCTATAAAATTGACTGCTTCTTACTTGCTCCTTCGAGAGAGAATTCACTTCGGTGCTTATCCGAGTAATGTCTCCCTACGCAGGTATCCACAGATCTTGAGGTCGACGTGCTTTCGGAAGAAAGAAACAGTTTGAGAGGTCTAGGTGGTTGTAAACATCATCTGTACTTTACCTTCGTGTAAATAATTTGAGCTTGAGGTTTTCACAAGTGAGGTCGGGTGTGAGATGACCTATACTCAGAAATTTACAGCTTGATCTCATTGGTGATGAGCATGACAAATCTGGTCAGCTATTGGCCTCCTACTTCAATACAGGTAGTCAGTTTCCAGCTCTCATTGGAGAAGGCGCATCAATCTTGATATATCTTCGAATATTGAAAATCTTAAATCCAGTAGGCCTCAGCCAATTGATCTCATTTTGCAAAAAACACAACGCTCAATACCTGCGCAGTCTTCGTAATTCATGTCCGAGTAAAACAAGATCTTCCAAGGCCGGTGCAGTAATTAGCATGATCGCGTTCTTTCAACAGAAGGGACTCAGGTCCCAGAGTGAAGATCCAAATACGGTCCGAGCACTTATCTTTCCGGCGCCAATCCACCAAACTCACAATCCAACCAGCTATGCGCCAGATCGTCAGAATCTGGACGCCACCAGTATACTCGCAGCACTAGCCGCAGGTCTAGAGCGACAGCCTTGCGGAAAGTAAGTCAGAGCGGGGCAAGATGGTAAGAGAAGAGGGGAACCTTGAGGGTGGTTTGTGTTGTTTGTCTGAGAAGAGATTGTGCGTGTAAGATTATTGTGGCGATGAGAGGGAATAAGGTAAGTCTAGATCTCTTGACTTGACTGGGATGAGGAGGTTTCATGTGTGCGAAGTTGGGGCATCGATCAGACATCATGCCTGTGTTGTCTGTTTTACTATTAGATCACGGTATTCTTGTTGTAGTGGCAGTCACCATTATAGGGGCGAGTCTTGGCCCTCGTCGAGATACGTAATGGGGTCTGGAAAGAGGCCGAAGGCCCACAAAGTCTGTTCTGCTGGTTCCATCGAACCTCAATAGATAGCATCTTACACTACACCGAATTCCGTAGATAGTGAAATAATAGTGTACATCCCACACTTGTACCTTTCAACGGAGCACTCTCCCCCTCTCTCTTAGATTGTGAACTCTCGCTGACTCCCATACTCTTCGTAAGGTTTGCTGAAGGTTTCGTGCTCACGGTGGACCCTCACTGCTGGCCTATCCGAGGCCGCTGATGATTCAATCATCATTGAAGGGTCGATCATCCCCCCGTGAACGTTTGATCTGGGAGGCGATCATCACTGGTCGGGGGATTTTATACTTTTACGACAATCTGCAGACGCGCGGGCCTTGTGAAGCTTCCTGGATAGATGGGAGTAGAAAGATGGCGTGCAGTTGTGTGTTGTGTAGTGCGTCGAGGGTGGCAGATTTTGACGGACGGATGAAGAGGCTGGAGTGATGGACGCAATGGAGTGAGCTCGGGCTGTCCTGGCAGGTTTCTACGTCTGTAGGATTCTTAAACTTTGTATTGCAGGTTCGTATGTCTTTGACCTTCGAATTGAGTATTTCGAATGCGCTGGATTCTGCTCGAGTTAAAGATTCACCTATTCTTCTGGAAGAGTAAACTATGGTGTCTCGACTTTAAGATATCCGATGGCGGTACCGTCACGAGAAACACTCCATATTGAACTTTATCATCCATTGACCAACGATGGAAATTTGTGAAGGAATCTTGTTTCGCAATCGACGTATATCGCCATTTATTGTTGTGGCTTGAGAAGCACGACCCATCTGTGAGTATTCTCTCGATACTATCTAGGTTACATTTAGTCCCCAGATACATCCATCCATATATGTCAGACCCCATATTGCTTTCCTCTCTTTGCTGTTGCTGGATTCAAGACGAGCACGCAACTTGACGACTCGATCTATAGTTAGTAGACACAAAAGTCGCTAAAAGACTACAACGGTTCATCCACGACCTGACTAGTCAGTATCTATTTCACGCCTACATGCCTACATATCAACTCAAATCAATTGCCTCTCCGATGTCGTATCTTCTCCGAGATATAAGGTATGTACAAGTATACATATGCACGAGAGAACGGACGCACGCACAACACATACCATACATGTACTTCGACCTCATCTGTCATGCATGAAATAACGATCCACTCAGTCCTAGCAATGCCTACCACCATGTTACGCTAGACTACTAGTTGCTTCCATGCTTCTCCACCAACGTGCGCCTCGGAAGC